GATTGCTAGACTATCAAAAAAATATCTACTTACTTCATCATAACATTGATCCTGATGACTCCTTATTGCTAGACTTAACTATCAAAAAAATATCTACTTTCTTACTTCAACATCATAAGATTTATCCTGATGACTCCTTATTGCTAGACTTCACTATCAAAAAAATATCTACTTTCTGACGTCAACATCATAAGATTTATCCTGATGACAATGACTCCTTCTCCGAGACGTCCTTGGACTCCACTGCCAGAACCTCGAACTCTTTAGGTTTGGCCGTCCCGGTCTCAGGGTTGATCGAAAGTGCGGAGCCTTGAACGTTGGGTCAGCTCCGTAGTGCAAGAGAACTTCCAGAAACGGAACGCGGAAACGCTCAGGCCGTTAGAGGAGAGGAAACTCATCAATCACAATCTTAAGTAGATATCGTTACTTCTTATTGTGCTCGTTCATTGATTGTAAGTGTGTGCCTCCTACTTACTTTAGTTATTGATTCTACTTGTACTTAGATCTAGATGTTCATCCTTTTATGGAGATTACTCCAAGCTCGTCGTCCGATGTTGATTAGCTCAGAGAAAAAAATCACCTCCCAGCATAATCATCACCCGCAGAATGCGCTAGAAAATGCAGTAAAGTGAAGCAGCCCTCAGGATTATTTTCGTCGTCCAGTTCCACGTCTCTGATAGCTTCTCCATCTTGTTGTGGTTGTCCATAATTAGAGGAGGTATTAATGTAAGAAGGATTGGCAACTCGGAGTTCCAACGTTTCTAGTCTCCAACGAACGATAATTCTAGGTGGATTATTTCCAAAAAAAAAGGTGTATTCGAAACAAGTAAGTACTTTGCCGCGCAGTTGTTTTTGTTGTTGACTCTTCGAAAATAAATTAAAGAAATCCGTAAGATGAGCAGCACTGCTTTTCGACTCCCACATCAGAGTTTTGTGTTGTTCTAATTGCAACTGCGTCGTTTCGTGCTCTTCCTTGGCCGGACAAGTAGAACAAACGGAGACCGGGATAGTGTTCGCTTCTGTCGCTCCAGGTCCAAGATGGCGGCAAATCAACCAATTGGTACCGACTAGACCTAGAAATTGTTTGGAATTATGATGATCCTGGCTTCTCAATCGGCCTCTCTTACTCTTGGCCACGCCCATGTTGAAACCGTAAACGTAAAGATACTTCATAATTAAACGTCTGCGAAAAGAATAATACCAGATTCAAATATGCTTTTGATCGGGGAGATGAGATAGGGATTGTTCATCCGTGCCAACGCGTAGAGAACTGTGTGAAGATTCCTCCTATGCGTCGCCACACCCCGATCTGCCCTTGCTAAAAGGCCTTTGAGAAAATTAGAGCCCTACGTATCTATAATGTAGTTCATCTACTACAGTCAGCTACGCTAGTGCATCCTTGAGGAGTATAATCACGCGGAAATCCTCGAAAATAATGACGAATGGACTAGGCGGCGTTTTCGTTTAACGAGTAGACCAGCAGACTATTTCAGGCACTTGATATCATTTAGAAACGAGCACGCAAATAATCTCCAAGGATGCGGATAACATCAAAGATGAACTAGTGAGAGCCTTAACCAAAGGCGCTAATGCAACCCTTTGTGCATGTTGATCCCGGTCGTCCATCAGAGTTTTGGCTTGCTCACCCTGCAACGCTTCATTACAAGGAGCCCCTTTATACTTCGGTTTTTGTTGTCGCAGGACCGTGTAAAAGTCCTTGAGTAAGTGCAACGTGTCTTAGAATAGGTAGAGTGTTGTAAGTCTAAGTAAAGTCCTTCTGCCTCCTGCTCCTTCGTCGTGGCTGATCATGGCAGCAAACTAACTTCTTACTCATGCTGAACAGTGAAGGTAAAAAAATCATCTCGACAAATAACTGAGCTAATTCTATTCAACACCCTTAACAGCCCTTTGTTCGTGCCTGCTCATTCCAGCTGGCTCGCTCGCGAGAACAACGTAAGCCTGCTGAATCTCCGATATTAAACTTCTCTTTCAATCTGAGCGGGCCAGCTTCATGCGAAGAGCAAGCGGTCGATTGCTCAGTCTGGTAGGCAGCTTCTGAGCGAGGGTTAGAGGTGAAGAGAAACGTATGACGAATTTTCAGCCAGAGAACCAGCTGCAGTTCTTGAATAGATTCTATCTGATAGTAGATGAAAGCTGTTGTTCCACATGGAATGTACTAGGACTATGTATGTACTTATATATTATATTTGATCTCTCTCTCTCATCTATTTTTAGATCACCATAAGAAGCGCAAAAGTGACGTTGCGACTGCGCTGGCGTGCTAATCGGTCTAACGACGCCGACGATGAGGCCAGTGAGGCACTGACCAGAGAACCGTCTGCTGTTTGTGGTTGGAGAGGTCCTGTAAAAATATGACTCCCTTGTGCCACTACTACCCTTTGAAGATCGTCAGCATCTGGGCTCACTGGAGTGACGTCGCCGTCCACACCGTGTTGTATTAGAAGATAATTTTGTAGTTGATAGCTAGATAGACAGACAGACAGACACGCCTAGATAACCATAGATGAATTTAAGTAAGTACGTAGGTAGAAAAAACAGAAACTGAAACTATAGATTTCTCGATTGATAGATCATGGATACGGACTAGCTACATTTAAGTCTGTTGATAGAGATAGTGTTGCTGGTGGTTTAAGTATAATCTATTGATAGTAATAGTATTGCAGCCCTACACCTAATGCTGCAACTGCAAAGTCGTCCATGAAATCTCCCTGGCTTCGACGTCCTCCACCTGGCCCAGCAGAGAAGGCAACCTGCGCAAACAGGAGGACCAGCAGGGGAGGACATGAACGAATGGTAATTTCTTTGATCTTCCCTATGTTCGTCATCATCTTTGATTTTGATTTTTCAGGAGGACAACTTTTACTAGCAGAACTACTCATTTTTAGAGGTAGAAAGAAGAAATCCATCTTCAGCAGCATCGTGAGGCTCCTTTTATTCCCTTTAAAAACGGGACGAGGATGCCCGTGAAGATGGATTTCTTCTAGCCTTAACATTTTATAATTCTTGGAGCAGCTTCTAGAAGTCTCCTCATTCTTATTCTTGGAGGAGCCCTCCTTTCCCCGTAGTTTGTTGATTCCCTCTTTAGTTTTCAATCGACGTCGGCGAGGTGGCGGAAAGAAGTCTTTCATTCTGCGACGTGGTGATGGAGGTCTCGCACGCTTGCAACCAGGAGTTGTACTAAAACAGAGAAGCGTCGTTGTGGTCGTTGAACTACTTTAGAAAGAAGTTGTAGGTAGAACAGCATGAGCCAAATGTATGAGCCCAAAAATCTTGGTGACTCCAAAGCTTCCACCGAGTCCGAATTTATACATATAGCTGTAGTTCTTCTTCCCTCTATTGCCCGGGTCCGTTCCACAAGACCAAGTATATTGGGCGAAAAAGATTTAGTTTTTGAATATGATCAGTATTGTTCATCTGTATGTTTATCCTCAATCAATAATATTGTTGATAGTAGATCAACAGGATATTAGATCCTCTTTCAAGTAGTCGTTCTCACAAAATAATGAAAGTAGACCAGATTAGAGTTATCCTCGATTATCTTAGGTCCTCTAGTTATTACAGCTCCTAAATCCTCTATTACTTAATATGAATGTCTATGATTAACATTATGATGCAAGTAGTTCTGCTTCTAAAAAAGTACTTAGTATGTACAGACCACTTATGAATGTAAATACGGAGTAAATGAAGTTCAGCAAGTCGTTCAAGTTCAAAAGCACTTCTTCTACTCAATCCAGCTATTCCTTCGGTTATCAAAACTCAGAGACGAATTAAGAGTCGTGCCTCTCCTCATCCGAGGACAAAGGCGGCGAGGAAACCGGGCCACGCATAAGAACGTGGAGGTGGACGAGTGGTGCGGGCATCTTTTTGATCTTTTGGTCTTGTATTTTGAAGATATGTTCGATAAAAGAAAAGAATTATCTATCAGTTTTTTAGTAGAAGAACTACTTAAGTTAGGAAGTTAAGATCGTCATCGTGATATCGGAGGAAATAAAATTCCTGTGCTGGTCGGTTTTCAAAGTTGTCATTTGTGTGACTGTATGATGTAGAAGATAGAAATGTTGATGCAGAGGTAGAGCTGACATTGAGATTATACCATGAAGATATAAATATTTCCAGAAGAATCAATAAGGCTGATGAAATGCTATGCTAGCTAGAAGTCTCGTTATTGATCTACTGCGTAAGAACCTATCAATAAGGAGTAGTTTTCAGAAATGTTATCCCGGAGAACCGGTTAGGCTGCACACCCATGACCACTATCGACATATTAAAAGTGACATCAACAACGAAGTTACTAGCATCGCATAGCATACTATTTGCATGAAAAAAGCTTCGAGAGGAGAAAAGTGGAAGTGCTTCTAGAAACTCCTAGAGCACTCTAATGATTATACCCCCATTTTCAGATATTACGGGCGACAGACGATACGTGCATGAGGAAGTGTATCTTGATGTAATCTACATCACTTCGAATGTCAAGCATCAACATCTCAAAAAATCATTAGCACATCATCTTCATCATTGACTAAAGCTTAAAAATATCGTGCAAAAGGTCATCCTGTTGCCACAAAGTAGACCTTTTCTGAGAAAGGTTCGAGGAGAACTACAAGCTTCAAGAGGAAGCTGTTGAGAGGGACAGCCCTGATCCTCTGGATGAGAAACGGAAATACACTTCCTTGTGAACAACAAAAGGAAGCACTGAGCGGTGTCCAATGCGGTCTATCGGTGATCTCGAGGATAGAGGCAGATAAAACGAAAATGCATTTACTTACCATAGAGATCCGCAAACGGCAAGCTGCATTTGACGAGGAGTCGTCTGGAGGTTTCGGCATGATAGTGCTAGATGAAAAAACCGAAACGGAAACACACTTCCTTGTGAACAGGAGGACGCATTGGAACTGACCTTCTTCATGAACAACATGAACTCAACTTCACAAAACAACAAGTGACAGGTACCACTTCAGACAAGTGGGCACTGGTGACTTCTTTTCTGAAAATTTCAGAAGAGCAATCCACATCACAAGTGACCGGCACTAGAATCAGAATAGCAATCCACAAACAATACCAGTGCATGTTGTTCGCCTCCTCTTCGGAGCTGAGACACGAATAGTGGTCGCGTTATTTTCTTGGAAAGAAGAGTGAAAGCGGTGCATCCATAAATAGCTGCCAAAAGGACATACACATACTCGGAATATTTCGTCCATGAGCAAACCTGACAACATGTTGTGAGTATTTAAATTTCGCTCATGTGGAGGATGGTGCAGGAGGAAACTTGCACCAAAATTTACAACAAGAAGAATTATAAGCAAAATCTCGAGCTTTTTTCTTCCTTGCTAAGCAAAGTCTCCCATCGCTTTTTTCTTCCGTGCCCATCTTCTCTGTCTACTCCTTTCCAGCGCCTCATCGGTTTCGTTACGGTTATTTACCTCTTCAACATCGTCACCGGGGTTGCCACTTTTGGTTAGATCAAGAACAGCTCCATTTTCTCTTGATGAAGTACTTCAGCTACTTCTTACTTGCAGTCCTTTCGTATTCGTAGGGTAGATCCATCAATCTATCATTAAAATTCATTTCCATAAGTTAAGCACCACTGCTCCACCAGCACCCTGAGCACCGTTTTCCCCACCTTGTTCTCCCTGCGGCCCAGCGGCCTCTATCCGAGTAAGGATTGTGTGACGATGATACTCAAAGAGTAGATTTGGACGGGCATCTATTGGTCCTGCCCAGTCCTTCTTCTTCATTGACGAAAATTTGAATTTCGGCATTTCCTTCTCAGCCTCCTCTTGCACGATGGCTGCCTCACTAGAAGGGTTGTGCTCTGCATGATTGCTTGTATTAGAGTTGGCATACAACAGAAATGGGAGAAGTTCGTCTTGTTGGAGTCAACTGAACGAGTCAAGTAAGTACACCAATCAGAAAAGGTGGGTATGTAATGGAGGGTCCATCTTAAAAAATACCCACCCAATTTTAGCCAAGAAAAAGTGGAGATAGTTGAGCTTTAGTTTATTGTTTCGTCCAGCACCTGTCAAGGCATGCAGAGAATTGCAACAATGAGAAAGTGGATGGTAGCGGGAAAAAAGCAAAAGCAGAATTAAGGCTACGTCAATAGGTAAAAGGTACTACTTACTCTACACGACCAGCGATGCGCACTGGCTACAGCACTTAGCTACTAGGCGAACCAGAATAGTTCTGAAGGACGAGGGCGGGCCGGGGACTTATTTGTTTAAGACAATGACAACAGCAAGCACAAAGACACAAACAGACGAAGACACGACACATCACACAAGCGGCGAAGAACTAAGAAGAAGAGCCAAGACCAGGGGCCCACGCTGATGGATAGAGCTGGACTATCTAACAACGACGCCAGTGGGGCCAAAAATTAGAATAAACCAACACCGCCAAAGGTGAAAGGAGAGCGAAGACCCCCACTGCATGGCACCTGCACGCAACAAGCACCCGCGCAGCCGCAAGCGGTCCTGTGTATTGCGCCCTTCACTCAAGGCATGAAACGAGAGCAGGCGCGGCCGAGCTATCTCGCCCGGGTTCGTTTGTTAGTTTGAAGAGTTCACAAGCCCAGGCCCTGCCCTCCAAGTGCGCCACAGAAGCTGTAGTCGCCGCCCCAGTCACCTTCTCCGTCCCGGTGAACCTTTTCACGCCAGCAACTTCGCCAGCCAGAGTATGGGCGAAACCGCTGGCATCATCATCAACGGCACACCCTGCCTGCCCAATTTCCACAACCTCAGTAGCGCGCTCTTTCCTCTGCTGTTGCCCGGAGTCCGGTCGCTTTTGTGGCCCTTGCGGTGCACAAGCTGAGCAGCGAAGTGCTCGCAGCTGGGTCACAACGGCGTGGGCAGTTCGTTGTAGACATGACCGCGGGCAATACGGTTTCGAGGCAAGAGCTCGGCAATATGCGCGACATTTGCGACTCACGCCGGCGCGTGCGCCTCTTGTTTTCTAGTTATTAACTTGCACGCTATAGCGAGCCCATCGTGTATTAGGTAGTGCGGTTCTGGAGTGCCGAGCGAGGCGTCGCCTGCTTCTCAATAAGCAGGAGCGTGCGGGAGTAGTCAATAGTTTCGTCTTCACTTTGCGGGCGCACCGCTATGGCGTTCGCGACTGGTGGCGGGCGCCGGAGTATATTGCCCGGCACCAGTTGCGGCTCCCTTGCAAACTCCGCACAAATTGCCGCCCAGCGCGTAGCAGACTCGAAGCTCGAAAATTCGAGTCGGCCGCCATCGGCGATTTCCGGATAGCGACGCGATGGAAGGGCTATAACTCCCCCCATACTAGAAGAAGACGCTGAGGATTGTGCTAGTGCCCCTGCGATCGTAGAAGAAGAAGACGACGACGAGCCAGGTCGTCGCGTCCCAGGTTTCGCCCTGCAACCGCCGCAGTATAGGCGAGCCCGCACAACATTTCAGCTACGTCCCCAACACTTTTGCGACAGCTCACCCCCGAAACAGCAACAGCGAAGCTATGGGTGCACGGCATTGACTGGATGAAGTTACTCCAGTCATGACTCGATAAATCGTTCGCGGCTTCACCTCGGTCGAAGACGGGACACCACGGGCCAGCCGCACGGCCCTGCGCATCCGCCTCAGGGTCAGCGCGGACCGCGGCTAGCGGCACTGTCGCCGTGAGTGGTCAGGCTGTCCTCGAAGTTGGGCTTGGGGGAAGCACTGGCCGCGCACTGACAGTGCACGCGAGTCATGGCCCGGCGCCTCTTCAGCGGCTGCGCTTGGTCTTGCTCAGTAATGCTTCTCCGCCAACTGTCCCGCCCCGGTGCCACCCGCGTGGCGGCTCCGCTTGCTTCTTACAAAGCCGCGCCAGCGCACTCAAATGCACCCAGCCCGCCACAGACAGCCCGTTCTGATACGTGTCCGCGGCGTCTCTGCACGACACCACACAACACGCAGCGGCCCAGGTTCACGGCTTGCCCCCACTCGGGCGCCGCGCGCGGCTTTCCATGCGGGCCTGGTTGCCCGCTGCTTGCGCAGGCCTTCGCAGGTTGGCACCTTTCCGCTCGGTTTTGCGAGTTTCATCCGCCAGCTGCTGCAAACACAAAGCAGCGCGCGTGCGTTCCGGGTTTCCTCGGCCTTTCCGATTTCGGGCCGCCCCGCTGGCTGCCGTCTCCCCTGGCGCGTCGCGTCTTCCGTGGTGTAGGGGCGCGCCGCCCGCGCATCGTCTTCAGCATCTGGCGCAAATGAATGGAAGCCCACCGCACCGCGAGAGCCCCCGATTTGTCATTCCCTGCCACTTTTTATGTGCCCACTTTCGCTGTTGTCGGGTGGATTCAGTTTCACTAGTTGCACTACTACAAAATATTCTGACCGTAAGCCCTCTACCAACTGCAGAATTCCTGTACTGGCCACGGTTTTCGGCTACCCAGACCGCCGTCATTTTCGCCGTGTGGAAGAACGGATCAAGCGGCACTGCTGGAGTCCCTATTTCTATCGAATTACCACAAGAATCGAACATCACTCGTCCACTGCCCGATGCAGAAACGCCCATTCCGCCTCCTGCTGTGTCCACTGTCGTTATTTGATCCGTGCCTTCAGCGACTGACTGAGCTTTCTTCTGCTTTGCTATGGCGGCGTTTACTTCATCGAGTTCAAAGTGAGCGCATTCTTAGAAGAGCAAGCACTCGCTTTTGTCGATCATGATTAAGTCCATTCTTTAATGATACATCTTGGAGTTGTTTCACTTTCACCGCTGAAGAACAGATTAGTTGTATACTGGTTCTTGTGCTCTATCTAAGTAAGCTACTAAGTATGATGCTTCCGAACACGATGTTGTTTTGAAGAAAACCTTAATATTCATCAGTCTCCAGTCCCCCAGTCCTTTTCTCTATGTCCTTCCGCGACAGCGCCTGCCAGAATTTCGGCAAGCATGCGCGTGGAACGCAAGGTTCGTTGGTCGTACGCAAAAAAGGCGGACCTGGCCATTTCTCAGATGCTACAATACACCCACTCTCAAAGAAAAAGATAGTTCCCAACAGGGTTTTGTCCTTCGGAACCGCAGAGGCATCTTTTTCAGCTAATCGCTTTGACGCTTCATGAGCCCGTTTACTTGGCGGCAAAAGATCTTCGAACTTCATCTTGGCTGCTGGCGATGCCGTTGTACTACCGGTCACAGCGCTAGTACTAGATTCTTCGACCGGCTCACCCGCGGGGTTTGTCTGCATGTATTCTAGCCGCACTAGATATGTTGATCGTGGCGCGCCAGGAGCTGGGCCACTAGCACTGGAAGATGATGATCCATCGCCACCTCCGTCGCCACCACTCATCAATCCTCGTTTTCTGAAAGCGCCAGTTATCTTAGAGCCCCCAATCCATCCTGAGACGCATCCTGGGCGCCTTTTCCCGCCCTTAAAATCATCCCTCTCTCCTAGGATATAGATACATATACTCTCAAGATGGACTCTATCTAAGATACATATACTCTCATCTCAAGATGTTGGATCAGAATAGGAGAAGCCGTAATTATCCGACCAAGTGCTCCGAAAGGCACCTGGTCTGCTACTAGACGGACAGGCCTATGGGTCTTCTCCATCTCAGGCATGCTCCAGCTGAGCATCTCTGAGTACGTCTCCCTCAGCGTCCTGATCTCTCGAATTAGACGAGGAGCGCAAGAACAAAGTTGTGACTCATATTTATTATTTCTTGTAGGTTCATTTATTTCGCAGTTGTATTACAATCCTACAAGAAAGCAGAAACTGGAGGTGCCCAACGAACCTGTGGCAATCATGAAATAGAAATACAATGAGTATGAGCCTTAACCGGAATAAGGGATAGCCACTGCCACGCCTCGTATGCTTGTCCAAGCAGTAAGGAGGTACTCGCAGAAGGCGGCCTTCGGGTTCAAGTTCATCTTTCGTTACGGCCGTCATCACTCTCCTCAAAAAGGGCGTGTGATCTTTGATAAATTGGTCCAACTGGCGGGATTTTGACACCTGTTCCAAAACACTGATCATTTGTCCAGATCCAACTCCCACATCTTCTAAACTCTGCGGTTGATTACCTGTCGTCGCAGCGGGTTTTGATTCAGAGGCACTGGCTGCTACTGCTGTTGCTGGTGCTGGCGTCGCTGCAGGAGTTGCAACCTGCGCCGGTGGGTCTTGGGGCGCAGGTGGTGAAGCAGGTGAAGCAGTAGGAAAGTTCTGCGCGTAGTTGCTGTTATTTCCTTCATCATCTCCTTTATCATCATCATCATCATCTTTGCCGAAGGAAACCGTTGCTAAAACAGCATCAATATTTGCCATATCCTGGTCATCGTCGTCGTCGTCGTTTCTTTCCTTCATTAGTTTGGACAACCGTGTTTCTTCCTTCACGGTAGGAGCAGCCGCAACCCAAGGCCAACGTGTGGCTAAAAGGAGAGAAGATTAGAAGAGCGAAGTCAAAGAAGAGGAGGACAGAGAAGCAGAAGTGGTGCTGACTTGGAGATCTCGATCTGATATGATGCGAACGAAGAAATGGTAGAAGCAGCAAAGCCTACATGAGGTACTACTATAGCTAGAAGTCGCACTTCATAACATTGGTTCAACGCCATCTTCGCACCGTTTCGAAGCTCCCGCCTTGACATTCTCTGCAATGCTTGACCATGTGCACGGATCCGAGCTTTCGGTATTGTGCGTATTATACTCGAGAACAAGGCATCTCGCTGATGTTCGTCCCTCTCTGCTGGTACAGAGACAAATTTAGACCTTCCCTATTTTCATCCTGAAGCACATCTTTGACCCATTCCCCCTTGGTGACGACGCGTGTCGAACAGAAACAAAGATGCTTTTCAAAAGATGAATTTGTCGCACTCGCTGCCGCCTTAATCAATGCGCAATAAGCCAGTAGAAACAACTCCGTTTCTCGCCAAAGGAACTCCTTCTCGCAGTCAATATCCTGCTCAAGAGGGACGTAGGCGTTGAAGCGGTCATTCTTATTCGACATCGAAGGGCCAACCGATGAACCAGTCGATCTCTTGCTTTGCGGTATGAAAGCGCATGTTGTATGTTGTTGGAGGTTGTGGGAGTCCGTCGTGCTGTTCCGCTTGGGAATGGGAGCTATGATGTATCTATGGGTATATAGTTCCTGGGCTTGGTCATCATGGGGAGGTGGTTGTGGTATACCTATGTATATTAATGTAGTATGGGAGTTAAAGTTAACATCTGTAGTATGCTTGTATGTACTTCTTGGGATCAGTACAATTATTTGTAGAAGATTGGAGCCTTTCACTTGTTGTTCATACTAGTAGATCATCATTATGTTCCTTCGTGTACAACTTTACCTTTAGTAGGGTAGCAACAAAAGATATTTTTCCAGCGACGAATAAAGGACATCATACCCATTAAGTCATACTCGGATCGGTCCCGGATTTTCTTTGTTCCGCTTTAGCAAGCCTCTCCATCTTGATGAATTCTAAGGTCCTCTTAGGCTTCGCTTGAGCTTCGTCTTTGGATTCCTTGAGCCCGTGTGGCAGTACGTCTCGCAGCCAGCTCTGAAACTTCATCAACGTTCGTGCGAACGTTTTGATCACGGTGTCTGCGCCAACGAGTGGGGAGATCGAAGGTCTAGGCGGTGGCTTGTTCCGTTTGGTAGCACCTGGTGGCAACTTTCGCAGCGCACGCTCCGCAGCAGCGATCACCTCTAGCTCTTCTTCAGTGACCGGATTCGCAGTAGCATGGAGATACGCTCCCAGTGTCTCATTATGCCTAATATCGTCAAGATACTCGTCTCCCACTTTCGTGGTTTTATTTGATGATGTGGGAGATTTCATCCCTGTACTCTTCGACGCAGGTGGTAGAACTAGACGGTCGATAATATCCTCTTGAATATTGATGTTGCCATCGGACGATAAGGCACCAGGCATGGCACGGAGACTTGAGGAACCTTGAAATTCTTTGGAGGATGAAAGGGAATGATGTCATGTCAGGGAACCTCATTTTACGTTATACAAACGTTACGGAGGCCGTACAGCTGAGCCAGGATAAGCACAAAAATGATTCAAGATCTTCATCAGGAAGAGAACATTTATTTAAGATCAAAAACAATGACAAAAATCACATCAATACTCATCTCACATCTAGCAGAGGAGAAAACCATTTACCACTTCCCACCAACAATGCCTGCGTCCTTACAGAAGACGCTTGCTTCGTTCGTTGCACCGCCTCTTCCCAGACTCCGCGAAGCCAAACGCTTAAGACACAAGTAGCACGCGTCTTAGGTAGACGACATATGGAGATTAGAGGCACTAGCTAGTGCAGCATCGATGTACATGACTTGTCGTGAGGACATGATGCACGTTGTAGATGAAGTAGTTACATTCTTTTTCTTTTTGATACAACTACTTACCATTCTTTTTGCTGCGACTCCCTGTTCAAGAAGTGCCCTGAAAAGAGGCCAGCACTGACGGCGCAAACAATGATCTACCTCGATGATGATGCGAATCTAGATCTACTCGGCAATCTGCCTAAGATTTATCTTAATCTTTCTCGGCAATGATTATCTTGGTCTTTCTTACGCTTCTCACATTCGTATTCTTCTTTGTGCCATAAGTAAACCGCAGTAGACATGATGAGTAGCATGCAATGTCGTTCTTCTAGAGCATCTTCGCCTTCTGCTGCCCAGGCTTCCACGTAGTCGTCCGCAGATGCGTTGTTGTCAATCAGGGCTCGCAGGTCTTTGTTGATATTGTTGGTGGTATCCTCAATGCGTTGAGCAATAGCTTCCTGTTTTGCAGCTGCAGCCCTTTCTGCAGCACTTTTCTTTTTAGCAGCATCATCGTCGACTTTGACTGCTTTGTTACTACTTAGACGGGTTAATTCATGACGCTCGGGTCATTTTTGAGCACGCAGATAATGCCTTTTCCCAGTAGTTGAAATCAATTTATTACGAAGTAGAGGAAAATAAATCGACCAAAGAAATGGATCCATCGTTTGCCCCCGACCGTCGAAATGCCACCAAACAAGCCAAATAAAATACAAACCTCAACTTATTTCCTTGCTTCTCCCCGCTTTTCTTTTCCACCTTCTTCAGCAGTTGCTTTGCCAACGCTTTGGAGTATTTGTGTCTAAGCGTCGCCACCACCTCAACACTCTCTGGAGCAGCTATCCCAACGTCTTCCAAAGTCATGATGAGCATGCGATTCATCGCTACCTGTCCAAGTTCGCTGACATGCAGTTCAGCGGTCCAGAAAGCTGCAGCATCCTCTTGTCCTCGCCTAATGGCTTTCTGAAGACAGGAGAGCGCTTCGTCGATCGGGTAGAAGTGGAGGGTGTAACCCTCCATGATGGTGAACCGGCGCTTGATGCGGGAGGCGTTGGTGTGTGGCGCCCTCACAGCTTCTAGAAGTAGCTAAAGGAGCGAAGCAGGCCTCGTCTCGACCCGAGCGCCAGGACCAGGCGCGACATGATCTTCATAATCTCTGAGTGACGAAAAAGATTTCAGGCAGTTCTTGATCGTCTACTTGGTGCTCCTGCTTGTCTTGTTGTACTACACTGTTTTTTTCGCACGACAACTCGAGGTCTATCACATTACTTTCACTAGTATCGCCGACGTTTTCGTTTTCCTTACCTATTATAGATACTTCTTCATCTTCTTCATGATCTCTTCCAACTCTATGATCAGTTGCAACTACACGACCTAACACTGAGATCATTACATCCTGTTATTTTACGACCGAATAGAATCTCTGAGAGAGCCCGAACACAACGTACAACGATGCAAATGCAGCCAGGCACAGGTACGGTCTGATAGAGTATTTGTGCGGTCGTCGTCGTGGTCCTGATCGATGTCTTGGACATAAAATACATTCTCGGGGAAGGTGCTGGGAATGAGGAACAAAAATCTTCAAAAGGGAAAATTCAAAATCCAACAAGAATGTACTAGCGCGTACTCATTGATGTTCAGTATCGCGGATTGTTCAGACAGCTCCTACACAAGTTCAAACTTCTTTTGAATTTCTGGCCTGCCTCGCCTCTCGTAGGGTCCATGCCTGTCGTCTTTCCCGTACCCTTTCTTTCCTTTGCCTTTGCCTCCTCCGCGTGCATTAGAAGCCAGTAGTAGGCAAAAAAAAGTACGGATGTGTTGTAACATAAGGTTGATTTGCTTTCGATTTCAATAATTTTCGTTCCTGCATCAACACCTAGTCCCACTTAAAAATACATCAGAACTTCAACAGCTTTCTTCACTCCTTTTCTTTACAAGAGACACAAACACTTTAGCTTTACCACCATCAAAATCATAACTTTCCCCTTGTGCTGATCAGAAAGCATTCCTTTCAGGCCACCTCTTCCAGCAATAAAGCCTCCTCTGTCATCGTGGCCTCCATGACCGCTCTTGCCTCCTTTATTCCTACCATGAAAGTCTCCACCTCGCTTTCCGCCGGGTGTGTGTCTTGCGATCCACGTCTGATGATCCTCTTCTACTATGGATAGGGACAGCATATCCCCAATCTCGAACGTTATCGGCTTTTCGGCGAGGAAAAGAGGCCGGTAATCCGTTGCTCGCTTGAATCGACTATGAACTTCGCCTATATCTGTTGTGACGCTGCGACCATCGGCACCTGTGTGATAAGTGTGTGTCCGTAGAACTTGAAGTGGAGAAAGCAGGTTGTCAAAGTTATTTTACTCGTCTTTACTTCTAGCCTGTCGTTATCGATAAACGAGTCACATCTTGTTCATGCAAAACAAGCCGCGAACTCGATGCAAATCTTGCTCGCTCTGCAGCAGCAGTAGTAGGAGTAGTAGTAGTCGTAGTAGTAGTAGTAGAGTACCCAGTCTAGGGGTATACAGAAGCCCAGAACGAAAGTCAATTTCAGTACCTGGATAAATCAACCGAAACGCCAAATTATAGTCGGTTTCTCGGATGAAGGGGAGCTCATCCTTTAGTAGGTCGCATATTTCCCGCAACGTGACATCCATCCATGTGTACAGCTGGCACTGGATATATTTGTATTGAATTTGAAATAGTAATGCAGCAAGCTGTCTCAACTCTCAAGTCAATGGTATGGTAGGATACCCAGATCAGTGAATTGCTAGAATAACAGAAAAGAAGATGAATAATTGCTAGAATGACAGAAAAAAAGATGAATAATTGCTAGAATGACAGAAAACAAAAATAGACGCTCTTACTTCTACTCACCTGTAAATTAATGAGTAAATGCAAGCACACGCATCGCGGAGCGCTGCTCAGCGAACAAAATGAATCCAAACAAGCTACAACCAGAGAAAAACAAAGCAGACAGGCCGTCACACTCACAGAGCGAGCGACGGCCACGAAACACGAAAAAAGACAAGCCGCGCCAGGCGCCACGCAGCGGCGGTCGGAATCAATTGCCGCCCGCTTCATCTATCATAGAAAGCGCACAACCCGAGGGGCGAGGCCTTCTAACAAACATCACCACCAGCGACCCAATAAGCGAGCGCGCGCCTTCTGGGTCTTGGTGAAGCATCACGCCCCAAGCTGACTCGCCAGACCAGCCCCGCGCCCGCGCGTGGCATCAATCTCTCCACGCTGGCGCCCGGTTCAATCAGGCGCGGCCTTTTGGCACCGCTGTCCCCTCCTTCTCCTGCGCCACCCCAGGCGGAGCTTGCTGCCGCCGCCTCCCAGGGGGCTGCGTTCTTTTTCCGCCCTCCTTTGCGATAGTTTTCAGGCCTCTCGCTGCTTCCTTTGCTTCGTGCACTAATATCCAAAAACGAGGGCGCAGCCTATCGTGGCGGGCTACCTCCTGGGGGCGACTGGAAGCTTCACAAACTCAGGAGCCCCCGCCCCCCCGTCTGAACCGCTGCGAAGGCCCCCCTTGTGCATATGCTGGCCACGGCGCGGCCGCACTCCCCCCGCAATCGAAGCCGCACGCTGAAAGCTGCGCACGATCACAAGAAAGCCTCCATAGAAATGCTTGCCCGGATTCCGCTCATGAGCAAGGAAACCCGGGGTCTCGTCGCTCAAGGTGGCTGCTTGTGCGCCACCAGCTCCGTCGAACGAAGCCGCGCACGTAGTGCGCGCCTTCTTTGTTGCAGCCGCTTCCACCCCCATGTCCATCACCATCAGGCGCCTGGCGCCTGTTGTCTTAGGCAAGCACCTGCCCCCGCCGCTTGGCCGGCTCCGCACATTGCTCCGCATGGCCCCCCCAGAAGCCCCCGGCCTCCTCCCATTCCCCGACGTTCGTGTGGGCAATGGTCTCCGCCTCCATGTCGCGGAGCTTCTCGCGGACTCCTCCTGCGCGCTCTGCAGCTGCTTGCGTCGTCTCCGTACGCGCCGGCGCCTCATGGTCGCGAGTTTAAAGAAGCCCGCGCCGGTCCCTTGCCTGAATCACGTTCACCCGAGGAAAAAAAAAAGACGGCCACGGCGACGACGTGCCTGCCATGGCCAGTCCTTTAGATGATGCTTGCGCCAAGCCTCACACTTTTCAGGCGAGGAGGCCCCGCCAGGCGCGCCTTTTTCCTCACCTTTGCAGCGGCGCGGGGTCTGGCCCGCTGTGTCAGTCGTTGAGACAAGCCGCGAGGGCGTTGGCGATCATGATGCGCGAGTCTTCTACGCTCCTGCCGCCTATTTGCACACCTTCAGCACAAAGCTCACGCCGGTGCTCTCCGTTCATCCTCAGCCTGCGACAAGGCGGCAGCGGGGCCGCTGCTGCATGGTTCTGCCAGCTTGTGGGGCCGAGCGCTTTGGCGCCTCTCCTTCCTACCAGTGCGCCAACAGGTCCGCCGCTTCTGCCTCCTCTGGCCAAGTGGCGCGGACTGCGACCGAGGCCGGCCTCCGCGTCCATCTAGCCGGCGGCTGTTGCGAGGGTGGCGCGTTTGCTGCCCAAAGCTGCCCCGCGCTGCCTTCCTCATCGTTTCACCTAACTCAGCACGAAGTAGGCAAGTCGATATCCTGGCCGCTCAGGCCGAAGGGCACCGGGGGAGTCAACTGGCGGCGTGATTCCGATGCCCCAGCGGTGATTCTCGTATCTATACCTGCTGAGACAAGAAATAAGAAATACCTCACTCTCCGGCGTGTTGTCCCGACGAAAATGCTCGATGTTGTAGTGTCTTCCTTTTTGAAAGAAGACTCGTAATAAAAACGGAGTCGCTGTCTCGCGGTCTATCTTCTTTGTATTGCTGGTCTTCCCCTCTTCCTTCTCCTTGTTCACACCTCCACTTTTCGTCTTCTTCATCCCATCCCCCTCTCCATCATCATCTTCTTTATCATCATCATCTTCGTCTTCATCCCCTTCTACTACTCCTTTTTCCTTCATCTCCTTATCCTTCATCTTTCCCTTTAACAAAGATGAAAGCGCGTTCCTTGGTCTCCGATCAACGTCTCTCTTATTATTAGAGCTCAAAGCAGTTCATTTCTAGGGTTCATTTCTTCGGAATCCTAAGTAGGGAACCGCGAGAAATAGCGCGTGGAAATGAAATATGTTGAGCTTAATATTAGGCTTGTCCAAGACGTGCTGGGGGTCTTCGTCGTCTCGTTCTCCCTGTTTCACCAAAACCACATCGCGCAAAGCAGAACGAGCTAACATTTTTTTGCTTGGGTTTGATATTGGTCAGCTCACGGCAATTGCAATTTCATGCAAGGGACGACTAACATTAATTCTTGTCGAACGATTTTCAGTGTGTTAGGTTAGGTTAGGTGTGGGTCCACTAGAAAAACTAGCAGTATGTATGCGGGAAAGAGGATAAACTAAGAGTTAGGACGTCGTAAAAAAATTTAACGAAACAAAGTGAGAGGCGGGCGAACCTTATCGAAAAACTCCAATCATTTTTGGGAGAACCTGAAGAGAATGAAGCGGGTCACAAAATTTGTTTATATGTAAAACAATTATCGTGCTTGTGGTATTTTCGGTTTCGTGAGTAGTGTTGTCGCAACGAGGTCAATGTCGTGGCGTGTGACTTAATCTACTTAACTAGGACACACAGACACAGAACCATTGGACTTTCATATCCCGACTTTGGATCAAATCTCACAATTTGTTCATGTAGTTGTCATTCCGTTTGGCTTCGGCGGTGAAGGGAAGACGACACCAAGACGACCGGCACCAAGTGTTTTATCATTCGTAAAGACGAGGGAACACTTTTTACAACATGTGCAATTTCTGTCTTGGAGAAGAGGTTGGAAAACAAAACCTCTCGGACAGGGTCAGGAAAATGCCTATGAGCAGTCTTTTCTATGCCAGATAAACTTGAACTGTGAGTGTCTGTCGTGACAGACACCCTGAAAATGTTAAGGACTGAGATTCTGATTGGTTTGTCAATAATGTGTTTCTGGTTGTTTTTCTGTGTGGTAGAGGAAAATGGATCTCGTTGACATGATTTGCCTCCTCTTTCCCTTTGGTGGAGAGCGACTGTATGGAAGAGTTAGTGCATATCAAAAGAACTTAGAAGAATGATTATGTCACATCAAGATCAATCAATTGATATTATACCTAAATTATTTCCCCCTGTCATTATGCTAGAAGTAGATGGCTTCTACGATCTAAGATATCTGGACAATAACAAGTTGCCTGACTGTGTTCTGCATCCCTGAATTAAGCATTCCATCACATTTTTCATCAGGCAAAGACCTTTATCAAATGGATGTTGAAGATGTTAGTTTCTGAGTAGTGGTCTATTCATTATCGAAGTGTAAATAGGCTTATCCTGTAAATGCAGAATCTATCGATGCTCCTCTAAAAAGAGCATAGTAGAACTACTTGCATAAATGGAAAATTGTGCGTTTTCATTTTCCTGCTGCATGTATCCTTTGCGTACTACACGTCACATGAATGTTACCGTACAACGGCCACTGGTAGTGCGTTGTAGGTTGCGGCTCCTTGAGAGGCCGTATGCAAGGACAAAAACTTTATAGGACCTGATCATGTCGTGTAGTCTCAAAGTACTTACAAATAAATATGACCCCTTTTTTCCGCAGTCTTTTGCTATGTTCCTCCAACAAATGATAATTGTTCAAAATGAGGATAAATCCAATGACAAATTGATTGACCTTAGACAATATGTAAAAACTTCTTACTGAATTAGGATGGTAAATTTTTTGTACAGTTTTCTTTTCCACGATGCACCATGCTTGTGCTTGTTCAATATCAGGTAGAAGACACAGACACTAAGCCGGAGTCGAACCCTGCTATTAATATGAGACTCCTTCATGCCAATCTTGTACTTCTCTGCACATGCAGAGAAGGGGCTGAACTAGTACAAGCGGATTTCTCAACTTGACAAAGTCGCCACACACACCGAGAAATCTCCTTGTACAAGCAGTGCCCAAAAATGAAAAACAGAGGCTCATCCTTAGAAAGAACCAAGAAGTTGTAGGAAAAGCGGTTTGTTTGTTAGTCTTAGGAATACATAAACCTTCTAATCCTGCTAAGTTGGTGTTGTTATTTGTTGTGCTGGAAAATTCTTTGTTGTGAATGAAAATAAATTAAATATACAATTACGAGGACTTCGATAATAAATTTTGTTTTTGACATAAACGTGACCCTCTGCTGACTATAACCTGTACTTTATATTTCAATTTGAATTTCTCCTCAAACAAAATCCCATAAAAAGGTATAGATACTCGAGTAAATCATGAACATCATCATGTTGTTGTCTTAAAAACTGCGTAGACCTACATCTTTGCTCGAACGATGTTGTCCTAGCCTTACCTCAACATCCTTACATCTTTGCCCGAATGGCATCGATGTTGTGCTCCATGAGGTACTTAGCCGCACTGCGACCGGCAACGCGACCGTAGACAACGCAATCCAACAGAGAAGAACCACCGAGACGGTTCTCACCATGGATACCACCGTTGACCTCACCTGCACCGAACAACCCTGGAACGACCTTATCATCCGCGGTCTGCGCTTCGGCGTCTGGGGTGACCTGTAGTAAAGTAGGAGTGGAGGAACATGATGAAGAGGACCACTCATTTCCTGTTGTCTCTTGATGCATGATTTTCTTTTTCAGTTGAAGTATTGCGTTAGGCAGGTGGTAATTATCGTAGTATCACTACAATCTTGGTCTTGTAGCCTCCAGTGCCACAAGTTAAGAAGTATCGATAAAGCAATGTTAGTACTACAGTTAGTATTACCTTCATTCCTCCCATTGTGTAATGCACGACTGGGCACACGATAGCGACATGGTAGCTATCATCGACGCTGTTCGGACCGTTGTGGTAGAACTTCTTTCCCCACTTGTCCCAGCTCTTGCCACCACCATAGGCCTCAAATGGACCGTCATTTGGCTTAGCCAATTGCTTGGATTCGACACTGTTTTAGATTTGAAGATGTTGATGTTCTTTGATGTTTCTACTTGTAGTTGTACTAGGAGAGGTTTTTCCTCGAGGTACTTAGATGAAAAGTTTGAGTGATTTTTGAATTTTCATCACTTCGTTGTGAGTGTTACTTCAAATTGATTCATCACTTCGTTGTGAGTGTTACTTCAAATTGAAGAAAACCTATCAGTTGATTGCTACTCGTATCGCTTCTCTTCGGATAGGACACAGATGAGCATAAGATGAAACAAATTAGCCAGTAAATAGTACTCGTTATGTTCGTCGAATGTCTTCTTGATTTCGTTGACATCGATGTTCATCTCCTTCGCCAGATCGTGCATACTCTTGTACTGCTTCATCAAGCCGCGTCCCTTGTAGTGCTTGCAGTGCCACGCAATTTCTTCACTGGCTTTGCTGTTCAGGCAGAGACGAAAGGGTCCCTTGTTCTTGAACATCTCCCCGGAGACGTAGTCACGTCGGCCCAACTCATTGGCAAATCGATGTCCATTGGCATCGAGGAGGATACCACCACACCCACGAAGGGCCTCCGCTGCCAGGAAAAGAGTTTTTCCCTTGACATCGGGTTCCTTGGGGTTGACGAGGCCAGTCGGGTGGACCTGGACCCACTTGAGGTCGACAGCATCTGCACCAGCATCGCGCATGGCGAACTTAATACCGTCACCGGTGCAGTGGTCACCTGTATGTAATATTATGTTGAATGAAGATGTGAAGAACGAGAGTGCACTTGTTGTAGTCGTGCTGGTCTTAAGTAACGATGTTGAAAAAAAACATGATGTTGTCTGTGAATTCAATTTCAAGCTTACGGTCCGAAGGACGGACAAAAGTCTTATCATATTAGTCTTATCACGTACTAGATCTAGAGCAGTCAGACACATGAATACCACAAGTCGTCGGCATATTCACCAGGTCCGGACGATGCTTGTGCAAGATCGAATCCGACGTGTTGTCCGCACCATAACCACCTGTCGCTAAGACGACTGGACCGAACTCTTGGATAGTTTTGCCACCAACCTCGACTTCGACCCCGTTTACCTGGCCCTTGGAGTCCTTGAGCAGTTTCGTCATCTTAGCCTTCAGCATGATTCGGGCCTTCTCTGGCTGTTTCTCAGCGATTTCCTCCAATTTTTCCATCAAAGCGAAGGTGATCGTCATACCGGGGAATTTTTGCCCACCTAGAAGAAAGAAGAAGAAAATGATAGAGGATAGAGGGCTGTCCTCGTTATACCTTATTTCTATAGAGGTTAGCTTATGCTTACTAAACGTAAGATAGAGCCAGCATATTAATACCAGGGAATCTTTCACTGGAGGAAGGAGTAGTAAATTGGTCTTCATTTTTGTAAGTAGTTGATGAAGATGATCTAAGTGCTTCATCTTGCTTCTATACTAGAATGATGATCTACTTCTTGCTGCTGTATAGAAGAGCCACCTCTTAATCTTCAAATAAGCAAAAGCAAGCAAAAAACTACTTAAGAAGTACCTCTATGAGTTCTGGGTTGCGAATGACCACCCAATCGAGAGACAAGGCTCAAATCCAAACCGAAGTTGTCGATGAGCCACTCGACGCCTGGACCCGACTCCCAGGTCAACACTTTGGCATGCTCCTTGCTCTTAGCGCCACCTCGGATGGTGTCTTCCTCAAACACCTCTGGGCCATCGGTGACACCCTTCGCACGCTGTGTGCGCGTACCAGCGCCGTTGATACCGGACGTGGCCTGTTCAGTTGGTTGTGATGAGCATGAGAATGAGTGTGATTTTTGATTTTTGATTACAAATTCGAATGTTGGACGAAGAGATGCTTTAAGTTCATTGATGTAGTCAACAAGAATACCTTGGTCGAGTTGCCACCCATGAACGGGTTCTTGTCGATCAAGATGACACGGGAACCGCGCTCCATAGCAGTGTGGGCCGCAGAGAGGCCCGCAAGGCCACCGCCGACAACGATGATTTGATCCATTTTTTTTGTGGAACTTTAGAAGGTGTACCTCTTCACGACGAGTAGGATGAAATGTAAGAAGTTGTAGATGTATACAAGTAGAATCTATGTATCGATCCTTCTTGCTTTTACGCCGGTTTGCTTTCGTTCTATGTTTGAAGTTGAGGTAAAGATGTGTTGACGCTTGTTAAAGGTTGAGATGAACAAACAAAGAAGAAAAAAATTGAAAACTACAGATGTAGCCAAGATTAAATCAAAACAAGACGAGGGTGGAAGGTGTAAAAACTTTTCCGCAGCAGATCTACGGCTTTGGTCTGTCACATTTTTGACAAAAAAACGATTCATGGTCATCTTCTCTCTGTATATGACGAGAAAAAAAACCCTCTCACCCATCGCGTTCTCGTCGCTCTGAACAGACATCAGTGTTTTTGCAAAAAATAAAAGAATTTCAGCCTCGGTTTCAAAAAGAGAAGTCCCCACTTTCGACAGAAAACTGTTTCTCTCAAAAACAGATTAATACTCTTTCTTTTATCTCCTCGTTGTTTGCTGCGAACATTGATTTCACAGACAACATCTTCCCCCAGCAAAAAACACAAGCTCAAGCTCAACAACAGTTATTGATCGTGTTGACACTGGTCTGTACTGTGGTCGCAGTCTGAAAACTATAGCTATACAGGTAAGGATCATCACATCAATATTTCGTGAAATACCCACGAGGGATAATGGCAGACTCCAGTTTCACCTAACTTCGAGTCATTGACTAGTCTTTCATACACAGTATCGTGGATGGGTAGCCAGCAGGATTTGCAGGCACGGTGAAGATAGTGAAAAATCCATTTTGGATATCACTGCATCTTGATTGGGGACTTGAACTTCAAAAGTACAAAAACAAACACACAGAGCGGCCTTCTATTCTTTTACTTGTTGTTCATCTTACAGAAAGCAGCAAAAGATTCTTACTCATTCTACCCGATCCCGATGTTGTTCAGCTTCTTAGAAGAAAGTATTCAGATTAATTCATCAGACTGCTATCATCCTACAGCCAGCTAATCCTTCTCCTTTTCAAACTTCAAACAGCTCAATAAGCATCCAAAGATGCATGCTAGGAAGAAGTAACACCTCAACGAAAAGACTGACACAACGCCGATTGCAAAAAAGCACCACAGCAAGGCATGCGTACATTGTAATCCACGCAACACCAAATCAGTGCCCCACTTACCCTTCGCCATTTTGAAGGCTTCTGGAATACACACAACTGACTGTGCAGCCGCAATGAGAAAGGTCAACGTGGCCCATAGCGGAGGCCACACAGGAGCTGAGGAAGACGAAGCACTGTTGTTGCGAGCGCGGCGATGATAATACGAATCATTCTCAGAGCCGGCTCCAGATAAGAAGTAGTAGATGAAAATCATGAAAAGCAATCCCATGTTGGCAAAGATCGGGTAAAATTCGAAGGCGTTTTGACGAATTCTTTGGCCCAACATGGTGTCTACCAATACTTGTGGCTGTGATGAGGCGTTCTTTTTACTCGAAGCACTTGTATAGGTAGTAGCTGGCTTATCGTTGAGTTGAATCGGCAGCGAAATAGTGAATTTGGTGAATAGTTTCTGATAGGCAGAGGGCTTGGTAGCACTTGGAGGGCCTAAGCCACAGGGATTACGATGAAGTTTTTTCTGCAATTCAGTGAGTTGCTGTTGCGCGTCAGAAGAAGCAGAGCTTGTAGAGGTTGATGAGGTGGAGGTTGATGCAGAATCACTTGTAGAACCAAGCAAATTAGCCAAAGCAGCATGCTTCCAAAGTTCTTTTCCAGCATTTTTTACTACGGAAACACGAAACAACGAGCCAAGAGAATTCGGATTCGCCTTACTCTGCTGAGAAGTATTGTTCTGCTTTGGTAGTGCCCAATCCTCTTTTTCTTGAGTATTTTTGTTTGAACCTTGTTGATGTTGTTGTGATCCGGCGTTTGCTCCTTTATTCTTATTGCGCTTTTTGTTTGCTGCTTTGTTGTTACCACCACTCGTCTTGGTATTCGATTCTTCTTGATGAGCCTTCCCGTCCCCCTGAGGATCGACAGTATCGCTATCACTGTCTGACGAATCCTGTTGACTCTTGCCGGCTTGAGCTTGTTGTGCTAATCCGCCTGGTCCACCTCCTCCTTTCTTCCCTTGCTTCTTCTTGACAGGTTCGAAGCCATCGAAAGCCTGCTTGTTAGGTCCACTTTTTCCCCCTCCATTGACGTGTGGTTGTGAAGATGTCTCCTCGGCAAATAACTCCTCGTCGGCACTACCTTTTTGTCCACCCTTCATTCCACTCCCAGATGCATCTTCTGAAGAGCCGGGTGCTGCACCATTTGAAGATGTCTTACTAGTTAATATTCCTTCAGGATTTTCTTTACCTGAAGCTGTCGGTTCTTCTTCACTCCCCTTCAGATCTGCAACCATGCGCATCTGGAGTTGCTGCGCCAGCGTCATATCCGTAGCGTTCCACTTAGCAGGACCGCTGTGTTTAGCAGGATTTGTCTTATTAGAAGATGTAGTCTTCGATCTAGACGACGAAGCAGCGGGGTTGGGGACTGCTGTTCGAATAGGTGCAGAAACGTTGACCCAGGAGCTCACCTTCTTCTTCCCAAAGTCGTCGTCAGAATCGAGAGAACCGAAGGTCGAACGAGTCTGTAGCATAAGGACAACATTTAAAAAGTCGTGTCAATGCTGTAGACAAAGTTGTAGATGGCAAGAATTTAGTACTTAGTTCTTCTTGAGGCGAAGTAGATGAACAGACAAAGAGAAAGACTCACAGTGCTGAGATTCAATACATGTACATGTTCGAGGATCATATTTATAGCAATTCATAGTAGGTACCCTTCGCATTGTCTCCAATTTCTCTTTTGATTTCGCCAAGTCTTTCCTCAATTCCCTCTCCGTGGATACCAACTTATCCGCTTCTGCGACGTTCTTTAGCTTGTATTTGCCTGCTCTCCACTTCTCCAGAGTCTCATTCGCTTCTTCATACTGGGTTTCCAACTGCGTGATGTCCCAAGCCAGCTTGCGGACGTTCCTTGGCTCCTTCTGGATCAAACTTTGGCTACTGATTTTTTTCTCCAGGGCACTCAGCCGGTCAATCTTCAACTGCGGCTCAGAGGAAGAACGGGCTTTGGCGACAAGCTTTTGGACGTAGGTGAGGGCGGTTTTCCTTTCCGCACCGGTGAGTTCTAAAGGGTCAGCGGCAAGCTTTCCTTGGATCAGGGTTTTGAGCTCAGTGGCATCTTCGCTGTCAGCTGCCACCTCCGACAGACGAGCAAAGAGGCCATAGAGCGACAGGTCAGAAGCAGGAGTGGACGACGACATCTTGATGTTGTTCGTTGGGTAGGACAGAGAGGAGTTGGTGGTCTTAGAACTAGAAGTGGATGTAGTTCTCGAATTTTTTAGGACAAGAAAAGTTTTGGTTGAACGTTGATCTTCTCGGTTCTTGTCCTTGGTGAAGATAGGGTTAGCTCGGGGTCAGAAAACTTGTTTCGTGGCTACTAGGTCTAGCGCTTGTAGAAGGTGAAAGTAAATGGGTCGACTGAGAAATCAAAAAGTCCGATCATAGAGGCAAGTATGCTTGTTATCCTGTAAAATGTCTTTCATCTTTCAGAATAGATGGAGAAGAACAACACTGCAAGCCTTTACTGCATCGGACAGATACCACCAGCTTCGGATAACATCTGCTCGGGTTTGATACTTTCTTTTACTAGGTTTGGCGCATAATTTTCATTTCCACAACATGTAATACCTTGCGCAGATCGGTATCCTATTCCTATTGTTCTCGAATCATCATCAAAATCCTAGCTGGTGACTGAAAATCTTCAAGGATCATGATGATATCTGAGTGTGTCTTCAAGGGAATAGTACCCCTATTTTACTTGACAGACGTATCGATAATTCATTGGATCACGCCAGTCGCAGGATGGTCGCTTTGACAAATACAAAATTCCTATTCAACAGAGAAAACGCACTCATAGTACTGATAGATGCAGCTGGTATAGATCAAGATCACCTCTCCCCATCTCCACCTCCTTTTTGAACTAGCTCATAGTCTTCTTCGGATGTACTACTGTCTTGGCCCGTGGTGTCTACTTGAGGTGCTGTTGAGCTTTGTTGCTCTCTTTCCTCGTCCAATTTGTCCTCCAATAGACTCCTAGCTTTCAAAGTCTTCAGCGCGTCCTCGTAGTTTTTATTCAGTCTTTCCATCACGTGGAATTAGATGAGGATGATTCCCATTTATGATCCATAAGTAGAACGAACAACAACAACAAGCAATGGGAAGTTTAGTTAGCAGGTTGTACTTGTACTAGAAGTTGTACTGGGGTTAATTATAGGATAGGATAGGGTACCGTTGCTCCGTCCTCACCTATAATAGGAAGATAATTGGTACCAACGTACTGCCCACTTATTCTATCTAGTAACCACGATTCAAGCCATAAATCTGATCCGGATCCTCTGTTTCTTCATCGTCCCCACCAAGACCTTCTTCTCCGCCCTTTCCTTTACCCGCCCGACGTCTAGTACTAGAGGCGCCACTACTTTTATTTCCCCTTTGATTAGAGGGAGGTTTTTGGTGTTCGTTTATCCCGTTTGTTATGGCCGTCCCCGTCCCCCTTAGGAGAGCCATAACAAACGGTAATAAATGCACCTTTAACCTACCCTTAATTTGAGCATCATCACCGCCTTCACCATCGTCCTCCCCCTCCACCATTCTTTTTCTTTCCCGTTCTTCTTTTTCAACTATTTCCCTTCTCATGCGTCGGACTTCCTCCTCCACCTTTTGTAGGCCTTTCCGCACCTGTTTGTTACTCCTGTCTGCCTTCATCCAATCTAATGGACCCTCGTAGCGAAATTTAGTCCTCTGCTTCCACATCGTGTAGCCACAGACAGCGCAAATCACTAGGGCCACGATGAAACCTTTGAGCGGTAAAGTTCCTCCAGGGTTGAACAGCACAAACTCAATATATCTGCGGAGATAGAGGGATTAGAGGATGGAAATGTAGTTGAAGTTGTTCAGGCTTTAAGGGTAAGTAGAAGCAACATCTGAAGAATTTTGATTGCATTTCCAATATCAGAGCAATTTCAAAGGTTTCACGGCTCGCATGGCATGGAGTGCATGGATCACATGGAGTAGCATGGAGCTAAAGGGGGAGTTTCTTGCGCCCCTTAAAGCTCTGCGCTCCATGCACTCCATGCTACTCCATGCACCATGCGTGCTATAAACTACTCTGCAATATTGGAAGTCTATCAGGATTGTATTTCAAGTGAAAGTCTTTGATTCATTTGAACAGGTCTAGGTCCTTTCTTGTAATTAGTTTGTAGTTACCTCTTGTCTATCAAGACCAGGACCAGCAAAGAAAAGGAACCCTAAGATGATGAGCTTGACGAATCGGACCTCTGGTAGGAAAAATAATCCATCTCATCTTCACCACCTGAGACCGCAGAGGTGGAGTCCTGTCCTTCGGCAGGAAAATCATACCCAAACCAATACGACAAAGCTGTTGCAACCATTGGAGGAATATTGGTCTTCGTGGCCCTTCTCTTTTCTTCTGCAGTTCTTGTTAGAGGTTACGCTATTGCATTCCTCAGATCATCCTTGACCCTTTATTTCCTACTGGAAAACGAGTGAGGGATGGTAGTGCAGAATGCAAAAATGTCAAACCCCTTAATCTTGGAGTAGATGACTCAGGCCTGCCTGCTTTTCGCCTGCTCTGTTCTTTCTTGGAGACTGGTTTCTTTGGCGGCGCATTGTAAAACTCATCAGAGTGCTCTACTACTGAGTTGTACACCCCTGATCCAGGAACAGAAGCTGCCCGCCTTCTGTCAGCACGTATCTGCGCGTCACTCGGAAACAAATTGTCTATTATGCCACGGAAAAAACCTGTTGGAGGCTTCGTCGGAGTAGGAGTGGCACTGCTAGAAGAACCTGTCTTTCCATTTGAGGAGGGCGATCCAGATGATGTTGAGAAGACACCTCGTCCATCTGACGATAGCACAGTTCCTCGCGAGGATAGGCGAGCAAGGCTCAGTGACTGTGTAGCACTACCGCTTCGGATGCTCTTACTTCTATTCTTGGATGATGATGTACTAGTTGCTGAGGAAAGTAGTTTTATATTTGCAGCGGCTTCACCAGTGGCGACTTTCCATTCTACTTTCTGGGCAGTCGCAATAATAGCTGCTTGCACTAGAGAGTCGATGGTAAATTCTAGAACTAGCGTTTCCCTCTTCTTGTTCTTCGTTGACGTTTTTGACATCTCTTGTTCGACGTCAACATAGAGCAGTTGTCCCTTCTGCACACCGTAGAAAGGTGAGACCGCGAAATTGTGGACTCTATGCTCCTGGATCGCCTCTCCGCGGTCCTCGTGGTCTGCTTCATTGGAAACAGCCTCAGACGCAAAAAACAAGGACAAATTAGAGGTTTCCGAATTGCATTCTTCAGAACATCCTTGACCCATTTCCCCCTTGAAAAGGAGCCAAGGATGGTAGTGAGGGATGTAATTCGGAAATCCTTAAACAAAACATCGTCAACGAAGAATATCCCACCTCCGCCATCCGCTCCTTCATCCGAGGCCATGCCTGAGACACGGCCAGGAAGTGGCGGCGGCCCTGCGTAGTAGGAGGACAGATTAGACAGTAGACACAGTGAATTAGTTCATTGCTCAAAATGTTCTTGTTGCTGCGTTTTTACTTAATATCTGATAATATCATTCGTACAAACCAAAAGAAGCAGAAGAAAAATGAAAATGATTACCATTATAATATCTATCATTATGATCCATGCCATTGTGAGCCTTAACGAGAGTGGAGGCATGCGCAAACTTGCTACCACCAGCTGCGCGACGGAGGACGTGGGAGTTCGCCTGTAATAACATGGCAGCTGCTTTAGCATTTACGGCTTTCGCTTTGTTATTTCTTGCCGCCAAGGCCTGTCCACCGCTCGCTGTTGCCCCACCACCAGGCTCAAACTGTGCACCGAAAAACATCAGTTTCCCGTTCTCGTTAGACATTGATGCGGCCCCATAACTCATCTAAAACCACTTACGGCAACGTTGACGTATGTATCTATCTCCTGCTTGAAAAAGGGGTCATCAAAGAAAGGCGGTTCTTGATAAGATGAATTCTGCGGAAGGAGCCTTAATTCTTTCGTTCAGAACGAAGACATAGCGATCCGCAATCGCGTGAAGCTGTTTCAGTGGTGCTTGTGCTTTATGGTGGTCTGCTTCTGGCGCCGATTTCGAAGTAGCCATGCTAGGACCCACGATTCTTGGAAATCGAGTCTCTAGGACACAAGTTTTTTCCCTTTTTCCGTGCAATCGTTCCGTAAGATACACTAACAAGTCGCCGTTGTCCAGCAACAGGAAGAGTCGGAGGCCACTTTGTGTGCTTACTAGTTCTCGAATGCGATGCTGACCGAAGCCGCCACACATAGGTAACATCACTTCGTTGATACGAGGTGAAAAAAGAGTAAAATGCGTTCGTGTGTGCATGACCACTCGTTCTGGCGCTGCCTGACTTTAGAGCTTAGCTACTGCATTGGCATCCTTGGGAGCATCCTCAGCGTCGTTTGCAAGTAGAAAGAGGGCCAGGGATGATACTTACCAGGGATGCTTCAGCAGTATCCTTAATGACTAGCAGTTCCTACTGGCGCAAGTGCCTGAAGCCCTATTATGGGTCTATCTGCGACCTTGATTGACAGCTTCTCAAACGCCAATGGGATCTTCTGAGTTGTCGATGTACGAGAAGCAGCGGCGCTGCTCGATGATAGGTTTGATGTTGAAGTACTCCCCTTTGATGCGCGGCTACTGGATGAACCAGAAGATGAGTTTGTTGTTGTAGTAACTTCTACTTCATCTTCAGGCACTTTATCAAACAAGACGTATGATCCCTGTCCACCAGAATGCCTAGGAACATCTTGAGGCAGTATGAAAAGTCGGACTCGTCCAGAAGCATCAGCAACTAGTGCTTCCCGACCGTGAAAAAAGATTACGGGTGCGCCGTCCTCCGTCTCAGCTACCGGAAAGGTGAACTGGCAGTGGTTGAAGGGTAGGAGTTGCTGGACGTGACAGCGGATGAAGTGCTCAACTAAACGTAGACCAACATCTTGTAGTTCTCCAAAATTTTATCTGAGTGTAAGTACATTGAAAGCCACAGTCGACTCTAAAAGAGGACGCTTGCAGCAGCCCCACTGTTCGGCTAGGAGGATACCCGCACCCGCTTTCCTCACGATCCACACTGTGTTCGTTCCACTAAATTGCAAACAGTTAGACGAGGAAAAACCAAAGAAAAATGCTCCAAATTCCGGTATCAACAGGTAGTATTGGTTTCTTGACAAACAAAACTACAACTTCAACGAGTTCTGAAGGTGGTGAAAACAATAGATACTGATAAACCAAGAACCACATAATCGAAAGAATTTTCTGCTCTTCTACCCCCTCCTGGATGTCTTTCTTCTCTTCTTCCTGGATGTCTTTCTTCAAGTTAGCAACCTTGCCCAACCCGGATGATAGCGTGTCGTGAAGTTCTCCTTTGTTTGCAAGAACTACCGTGGCCTGCAAACCATCGGATATCACAGCTTTCAGGGCATTGCTGACTCTGTTCGGGTCCGAATGTTTTGTTAGAGCAGAAGATGAAGATACAGGAGTAGTAGACCTAGAGGCTCCTGGAAATATGAATTACTTATGCAGTCCTGCCTTGCCTTAACTTCTCCGCAGAAGCACCAGATTTACTTCGTTTATTAGCCGCAGCACTGATCCCGGTTCGGGATCCGCCTCCATTGAGATATGCTTCGAGAGCATTTCCGATCCACGAGCCTTGCCTTGGCCCTTGGTTCGCAGCACCACTACCCTGAAACCTAACCTGGTACAACGGCGCACTGAGAGATCCAACCTTTCGAAACACTCCTTGGCCGAGTCCATATGATGAAGCGTGGTGTTCTCTGAGGTTTTTTTGGCTTGCTCCAGCAGTTTGTGTATTTACTCCTCCAAACGAAGATGAGCTTGAGCTCGAAGCTAAACTCGAAACCCTTTCTCCTCCGGTCGTCCCTACCTCCAATGCTGTGTGATATCGTTCGTCGTAGGTGGGCACGTTAATGCCCTCAAGCCATGGTTGGAGGCTTGTGGGTGCAGGAACTGCTTCCCCACTTTGAGCCTTCTCGCGGATGCTTTGTAAGGTCTCCAACACGGTCTGTATCTCCAGTTGCCTTATTGTTGTGGAAGAGGTTGCCGCTACTCCCGAAAATACGAATAAGGACAACAAGAAGCCTTGACGCTGTATCGATGATGTCATGAACATGATCATCTTACATGTTTTGCTTCTACTTATATTTCTAATTCGATGTGCTACCAGAGCGATGTTCCTTGAGAGGTCAACCCCTAGCAGGATAGGGTACACTATACAGTGAGGGCTTGTTAGGGGTCTTATGCTTATCCTCTCAGCTCTCTCATCTGCTAGACGTTACTTTCTCGCTCCTCGACGGCAATCTGCTAGTTGTCCAACTATTCTCTCACTCTCTCATGACATCACTAATCTCTAGTTGTATAGCCTTGCTCTGCTTCGTACAGGACCACCGTACCGACAGGACAAGATGTCTGCGCAAAAGAATTTAGATTTCCTGTTGTAGAGATTGTTAAGACTTCCAAAGACCGAATCACTTCGTGTAGGCGTAAGATCCTTATTAGGAGCTAGTTTAGTTGAAGATGAGAACAGCATTCATTGGAGCAGTCAAGTTCTATCCTGTTGATTCCAAATGATGAAAAGCATGGCCAACATGATACGTCCTCTGCAGCTGGTCTTCAATTTTTCATCGTCAACATCTTCATCTAGTATCTTCACTAAATTTCTATGCCCCATGCATCCATTGCGTCAAAAACGGCTTCATCCAAATCCTCAAAGTCTTCCATGTTGTCAGATGAGTAGACAGACCTCGTCATAAAATAACTGGTAAGCGTGAGATAAGAGCCGAGAAATATAGGTAGTAGTTACTGGCACCTACTTATTGTATGATCACATTGCGCTATCTTGTGTACAGTGCCAGCTGTGTATGGTTCTGGTATTTGGTAACCTGAATTTGATCCTAAGGGTTCTCTTCTTGTTTTCCCTTAGGATCAAATTCAGGTTACCAAATACCAGAACCATTCAAGCTGTACGATAGTACCTACACTACTCGTCATAAAATAAAATAAAATAAAATCTTCCAAGAAGCCATCCTCGATCAGTCCTCGAATTCTTCCACTACATACTCGACAAGCTCCACTCGGATTCTTGTTAAGTTGTCACTGCTATCCCGCAATGCGTCTTGCACGAAGAAACAGTGGACCTTGATACCCACTGCTCCAAGGGCACTTTTATTAGAAAACAAGCGCCTCTATTCCGATACGATTACGAATGAGTCACAATGTCGGTGTATAAGTAATTTAAGAGTCTGTGTATGTTATAACGATTTTAGACTTCCTTCCAAGTGCAAGTATAATTTTATCTGTTTCTGATAATACCAAGCACTAGAAAATCCAAATCCATAACCTTCACCGCTCCTGCGATGACGTTACTGTACCACAATTCTTTCATCTGAAATTCTGCCGGCATCTCCACGAACTCATTGAGTGGGTTTTGTCGAAGGAGGAACTCACAAGCGGTTTGGTCTGAGTTCCAATTTTGGATTTCTGCTGGAACTGTTAGAGATTGAAACTAAGAATATACCTCTGGAGCGTTACCCATACCTGTGAAAGAAAATTAGCCCATTTGGAGAAACAACAGTTAAGTAAGTAGACGAGTTTTTATGAGATGATCCGAATAATGTCATCTGTGGGATTTTATTTCACGAAGGAAATAAAACTGTAAGAACCACGCGAAGATACAAGTTCATCTTCATAAAGTTCCCAGGTAGAGTTTGAATCCCACATAGGCAACCACCTCGCAAAGTTCTGGAAAATCCTGGCAACAATAGGGGAAGAGGCTCATGATGTTCGCTGTTTTTCCAAGGAATTCGTCAATCAGACGCGCACCCATTTGTTCGCCGACGCCAAACAACTGCTGATTCATCCCCTCGGCATCTCCATCGTAGTCCAGCAGCAGTTGGGATACCAGAGATCCATAGACTAAGGCTAGGAGTTCGCCGGACACCGTTTCCATTCTATCCATGACATCCTTGGTCATGCGCTGTAAGGCCTCAGAACGATCAGCAGCTCTTCTCCCTTGCAAGGGAGCACCGGATGCGGACATCTTATCAAGGCTTGTTCTTGAAGATCAAAATACTCATGTTCACAACCAAAAACTTGTTCAAAACTTGGTCTCGACAGTCAGTGGATAAACTGATTTCTTGTTCAGACCGACGAACTTTTCGGGATCTTGATCGTAATTTTTCTTCCCCTTCGCAGCCAAAGCGAATACGGGCTTCGTAGATTGAAATTAACGACCTCCTACCACGATGTAGGACAATATGCACAAGAACACAACTCACTCCATGATCATTTGTTTCTGTTTCATACAGTAAAATGATCAAGAGGTATCAACATGGTGCAGTCGAAAAATGGGCAATCGAAAAATGGGGCGAGGTAGTTCGTCTGAAACAATGAGAATTGAATCGTGATAACACCGGGTGTAATTGTCATGGATGTGTGTGTTGTTGTCATGCTTAAGCATGATCATCTGCGTAGGAGTATAAGCATCGTTCTAGACAGTGAGTTCTTCTTTTCATCTTCTCGCTCACGAAAGCATGCCCTGCAAAGCGTCGTGCTCCACTTATTTACAGCTGCAAAGCGTGTTCTAGCATGGATAGGCGACCACTAGTGTCCTCTGCCTGCTTCCCTAGTTCGTCTAAGGTGTCAGCTTGAGATGCCAACACTTGCGCCACACCACCCAAAGAAGCAGAATACCTGATTTGTAGATTACATGAATTGTGAGGAGTCATATCATGCTGGTTCGTTCTTTCATCTACGATGTTGACATCATGGATACGCACATCAAAAATTTGCTGTTCTTTTTCTTCTCTTCATAATTGCAACTGCATCTCTATTACCTAAATTCGTTTCTCCCTGACTAAGCTAGAAAGTACTCATACTCATAAAGAAGAAATATTTAAAATCGTTCATCTAGTACTGTTTCCCATGCACTGTTTGCAACTCCGCAGTCAACTCCTGGACCTGTCTTTCTAAGTCGTCTAAGTGAAGTGCTAAAACGTTCGCTTTTTGATGTGTTTGCGTCAAAGACCCTCCAAATCCTCCAGTACCTCCGACCTGCATATCACTTGCCTTACTCTGCAGACTGCTCTGCAACGAGCTCATCAAGTTTGCTAAAGCGTCTTGCTGCCCATGGATCGCACGCAGGCTCTCTTCCACGTTATCTTGCTTTACTCTAAGAGTCTCGTACTCTAAAGTTAATTCTCGAATCTTCAAACTATTGGATATCAAAGCAGTATCAACTTCGACAGCTTGCTGGGCTGCCTGCTGAAACACCGCACCCTGCTTCAGAATTCGTTCCTCGTAAGACCGAAGAACCTCGCCAACTTTGCGATGCTCGTTCACCTATGATTTTGATAGATTTAGGACGTAAGAATGCAAATGATCGTCATGGGAAGAATCCAAGTCACAAACGAGGAAACGATGAGCAAAAATAATGATGACTGGATTAGATTGCAGGTTGTTTAACTTCACAAGCCCCGCAGATAGATAAGCTAATCAGAAATGCACACACGAGAGGTGGGAAGGTGGAAGACTAAAATAAATCAGGATCGATTACAAAACATGATGTGGAAAGTACCGACATCTTGAGAGTTGCGGCGCTTGCCTCGTCTTTTTTGGCGAGTGCTGTAGTAGTTGTTGCTGCAGGTGCGTTTCCATTCGTGGCAGCTGCTACTCCACCTCCGCCAAACAAGGAACCTGGAAACGACAGTATACATGATCGCTGAAGTACGGAAGAAAGTGAGTGATTTTGATCACTATGACCTAACTTTGTATTCTTTATCAACTACTATGCTTGAGGCAGTCTTATTTTCTTACCTGTTGCAGCTGCTGGTTGATCCTTTTTCTCTGTTGCAGCGGGTGCACCAAACAAACTTGTTCCTCCAGTTGCCGGTGCACTAGTCGTCGCTGCACCAGTTCCTGCTGCCGCAGTAGCTGGCGCACCAAATACACTCGTCGCTGCTGGTGCTGCTCCCGAGGATGCTGCTGGTGCCGATGATGCTGCGCCGCCACCAAAGAGACTTGCTCCAGTCGCTGCTGGTGCAGCAGCAGTCGTGGTCGCTGGAGCTGTTGTTCCAGTCGCTGCTCCGAAGAGACTAGTACCAGTTGCAGCTGGTGCTGCAGGAGCTGGCGCAGGTCCACCTGCTGGTGCAGCAGGAGGTGCAGTCGTTGCTGCAGCTCCACCTCCTCCAAAGAGACTAGTACCACCGCTAGCTGGTGCAGCTGTAGTCGCGGCACCACCTCCGAAGAGACTGCTGCCTCCACTCGCCGCTGGCGCTGCTCCTGTTGCTCCACCTCCAAAGATGCTACCTGTACTGGCAGGCGCAGCTCCTGCGGCACCGCCGCCACCGCCGAAAAGACTAGTGCCGCCAGACGCTGGTGCAGCAGCAGCTGTACCACCACCTCCGAAGAGGCTGGCTCCGCCAGATGCTGGCGCAGCGGCACCACCACCGCCGAAGAGGCTCCCACCGCCACTAGCAGCAGTACCACCAAAAAGACTCATCCTTTTTACCCAACTTCTGAGGTCAACGTCAAATGAGTAAGTGGGAGAGCGTAATATGCAGCTGGTTCAACCTTCAGTCACTTAAATACGTATCCTCTCTAAAAATAGCCAAGAATCATACTACATAGCAGACCTGGCGTTTGTATGCAGCATGCAAGAAGACGAAGATGGATGGTTGACGAGTAGGAAATGCAATCAATCTTCAGTACTAATACTGAGTCAGAAGCAAAAAGGACGAAAAACATTCCTCAAGGAACAGTAGAGCGCATTAGCATTATGATTCTTGTTGATATCATGGTAATTGGAAAGAACAAATTGCAGACGCACAGTTTAACGGCAACCCTTTGGTCTTGAGGACGCCTTCTTCATGAGCAAGGATCCATTGACATCCACGAAATCAAAAGCAGACCAGATGAACGAACCACAGATTTTTATCACCTTCTCTGGAACGAGCGCTTCCGCTTACTTCCAGCTTATGACCTCTACTCTTGATAGGCGGGATCAACACCGACATTTTTTGTGTACATAGAGATAGATTCATCCGAGTAGTTGTTCGATGTGCGTCTTGATCATCAGATGCGTCAGAGATCTCTATTTTGATTGTCAATATGTTCCCGTCAGACTCAGATGAAGGCAACAACAACAAGCGGAGCGATGCTTCTTGTCGCGACATTTTGGGATCAAATCGGTACCGGAGAATCACTGGTGCGTGATTGTCACAATTATCATTCCTTGTTTTCATCTTTAATCTAGTAGCTAGAGGTTGTTCTCGTAGTCCTTTGATGATCCTGCTGCTTTGTATACTCACAGTCACGCTGATGTAGTGGATATCATAGTGGAAATCGAAATGTTGTTGTTTGTGGTTTTCATGAATTTGAAGTTTCTTGTTTGTTCCCTCCTAAAGATGAAGAAGGGAGTGCATTATTCTTGTAAGGAAGAAGGTAGTACTATTAGAGGTAGGTTTTTGGTGCTCGCTTACCCCGCTTGTTATGCCTTTCTCCCTTAGGAGAGGCATAAAAAGCGGTAAGAACAAAAGCACCTTTAACCTTCTCTTAATACTAGTACAACTTTGTAAGTGATTCATTCGGTAAATTATCAGTGAGTAGAGATGAAGCCTTGCTTGACAACTGTTCCTCAGATCCGCTTTGCGCCAGCTCATTGTTCCGATTCGCTCTGCGCCAAAGTGCACAAATAGGTTTGCAATTCATTGTTCCAATTCGCTCTGCGCCAAAGTGCACAGATAGGTTTGCAGTTCGTGAATCGTCGGTTTGGGATCAGCTGGTTCCAGATAGCAAATCAGATTCACGTGCAACTATTGTTAGAGCACGCTTAGTAACTGCATTTTCACTAACTATAAACTATCAATTAACAAATCATTTATGAACACGACTAGTGAAAGAAACTCCTGAGGACGAGAAGAGGTAAGTCTACTTTTGTTCAAAAGTACTGGGGAAGAGCAAAAGTTAGTAGGACGTATATCTAATAGTCTAGATTTTTGTAGTGAAGTATTCATTCTATCAAAGTCGATGAAGATCGAATCGGACAACGATTCTTGAGAAGATCGATTCATCTTCATCATAATCAAGTGGATATTGTGGTCGTTGCTGGCACCAATTGAGGACTTCAGCGACTGGCAGACTCCACGCATCTACAAACTCTTGGACGAAGCTCCAAGTTAAATGCTGGTCTTGACGAGTTTCTTCTGTACTACGCTGAAGAGTTGGTGCGTTCTTGCGTAATACAGCAAGGAGAGAAGAGAACCTGAAAAATTCGTATTAGGTTCGATGAACAAGAGGCAAAGTCTGTAGAATGCAATGAGAAAGGAGAAGGACAGAAAGAAAGCTTCGTCAGGATACGTTTGTATTTGTAAGGGAAGGTACTGATAGGAAAGTCTATTCAAGGCACTGGCGCCAGTTAATTCCACATAAATTCGTGCGTAAGAGTAAAAATACTCATCCAATAAATCCAAGTTTTTTGATCGTGCCAGGACATCAGCAGTCGCGAGAAGAAGGTGATGCTGTAGGGCAGCCCAGATTTGTTGTTGCGTTCGTGTAGGCAACGAGCCACCACCGCAGCCAGGTATACGTCGACCAAGGTCCTCAAACTGTCTCTGCATCTGCTCAAAATACATCCTGGTTTCGTCTGTACCAGTGGCTTCTTTAGAGCTGATTCCAGTGCTGCCTTTTTGATCGATGCGTTTGATAAACTTATCTTTAATCATCATGGTGACAACGTACAGCATGAAGATGACATGGTCTATCAATAGAGCCAAATAACAATTTCGATTTCCTACTTATCTTAGTACTAGTGAAACGTCCTTGGAAGCAAAGACCACGTCATTGGAAGCAGGTAAAGCTAAAGCTTCGTGAAAAAGAACCATATGGCCATAAGTTGAGCGCCCCTCTGATGTGCTGATGTGCCTGTCGAACCGCTGACGCACTGGCAAAAGATGTCTAGAGAGAGTTCCTCGTTCAAGTAAAGCACGTCACGATTAGAAACAAACTGACACGCTTAAACCCACATACGAATTTTAGAGAAAATTAGGGAGCCATAATATCCCCTAATTCTCCCAAAGTTTTGACCTCCTCCACAAGCGTGTCCGTTTGTTCATAACACGAGCAGCACAGTAGTGCACTACTTGTTGCAATTCGCGGATTTCTGTCGCCTTTTGCTCAAAGAATTCCCTTTGTTGATCGGCAATTGCGTCCACGCTGGAACCCGGCTGCTTTTGTAGAGCATCCAGTAGACTAGCGACGCTCTCGATTGCGACACAGCGTTCCGCTAATGAACTGAGACCATTCTTGTTCACTGAGATCGATTTCAGTTTCTTCACTTCCAACAAGTTTTCAACCTGTCCGAAATTATCGTTCTCGATCAGGTGATCCTGCAAGTGCAGTGCCCGCTTTCGTAACGCAAGGCCTTGTCGCTGCAGGAGAAAAGCTCGATACTTCGTGAAGACCTGGCTTGTGTCTCCGACTGCTGCTGGTAAATCCAGTTTCGCCAAAAAGCACTTTAGATCGTGCTTCGACAACGCTGCGCAGAGTACGCCATAAAGATAGTACTCGAACAACTGCGCCAGCGAGAAAAAAACTTCTGGGCACAAGGCTGCATCGAACACTTGTTTGGATTAGAAGACAAGATGGGCAAAGAAAAAGAAGGGATGCAGAGTAGAGGATAGACAGAGAGGATAGAAGGCGACAAGGGATGAAGCGTAGAAGATCAACAAGGGATGAAGCGTAGAGGATCAACAAAGGATGGAGCGTAGAGGATCAACAAGGGATGAAGCGTAGAGGATCAACAAGGGATGAAGCGTAGAGGATGAAAGACCGAAGAACTAACTCCGACTGCGAAGTAATGTAGTGTTGATGAAATAAAAACGAACACTCGCATCAGTTGATTCTTCCTAAAACAAGCGCAAAAATCGTTCCAACAGTTGGCCGACTTGTATCGTAGCGGTGGCCAATACTGGACCATCTTCTCGTAGTTTCAATGCTTCCGCTTGCAAAACAGCTGGATCACAGCTACTAGAACTAGTAGAGGACGACGAAGAGGATACGGAAGAAGAACTAGAAATAGAATCCTCATGGTCCTGTAGTTGGTCCCAAGAAGCAGAGTCCTCAGTTGTTGCAGCAATCAGACTCGCGCGCCCGTCGTAGTGAGAGAACAGGTTTACGAAGCGCCAATCATCAGGTGACTCGAGGTCGTGGTCACTGTTTTCTAGCCCTCCAGCTGCACCCTGCTTGAGCCCTCCGCGAAGCCATAGCATTCTCTTAGTTTGCGCAAACGTCAGCGCCGTGCTTTGTCCTGAGGTCTTCAGTATTCGAAATCGTGGTGCTAACTTCCTAGCATCTAGTAAGCGAAAGCTGGCCGGAACCGGAACGCGCTGCCAGGAGTCGTTTTCTAAGAAGCTGTGAATCCAACCCCAGCTTGCTCGATGCAAAGACTCCAAATACTGGTTGCAGATCGTCCTAGCTGCATTGCGCAAAGCTGTCGAAAAATACTGGTGCTGACCTCCAGGAGCGTTGTCTCTTCTTGTCGAAGCTGTCTTGAGCCAATGAGGCGTGTGAGACATAAAGGAGTCGCCTTCCTCCACGAAGAGGGAGAGAAGAAAAAGACAGTGTAGAAACGTGCTTTCTCCACCTAGCTCATCGAACCGCCAACCTAGGAGAAGCAAGGCCACTTGGCTTTGCATCTTGTCCCACAAAAGACGCTTGCTCTCCGTCAACTCTACAAGCACATCATGGAGAAGTTGCTGAGTGTCTATTTTGCTGCTGGTACTTGCTGTTGATGGCGTAGAAGATGACCTGCTTGTATTTGTTACGGCGCCAGTAGCTGGAGATGAAGCTACAACAATGTTCGAAGCCGGAGAAGGAGATACTACTTTTGATATAATTTGTCCTCCACCCCTCATCGTGCTATCAGCGTGTGCTTCTTCTCCACCACCAAAAACCCTCGCCGCGTGCCATTCACAAAGATGGTGGTGGCGGTAGAGAAGGTCACAAAAATTCTCCAACAAATTCGCCAGGCATGGAGTGTAGTTCGAAGACGGGATCTCAGAACTATGATCTCTGGAAGTACTATAGCGATTCTGCGTTTGCGTACCCATTGACACAACTGCATCTAGGAAAAACTCGCTGACAATAGAACCATCAATCTTCTTAGAAGAAGAAGTGGTAGTCGTTTTAATACTGGATGAAGCAGGTGGATTTCTAGCACTTTGTCCCTGTTGTACTTTCACCTTTGACTCGTCAACGGAAGAAGATGCCGATGATGATGTTCCCACCTGCACCGCCAGTTCACCTGCTGCGAGCAATATGCTTTCGTACCTCTCTGCATCTAAGTTTAGTTTGAATTTCTGTAATATCCGTCTCCTTCTGCTGCTACTGCTTGAAGAAGGCCCTAGAGCAGGTCTACTACAAGAATTGCTTGAAGAAGTATGAAAGGAAAAAGTGCACTCACACTGTCAACAAATTGACTAAGATTCAAGTGGGAAAGGAGCTACTTTCTTGAGTGTGAGTGCACTTTTTCCTTCCATAAGAAGAAGGCGTTGGCGTTGTACTAAACAGAACGCTCCTCAAGGCTGCCATGATGCCGTTCTCTACTAGGCGCCTTTTGTCTGCGATGCGGGTCTGCAGGTCTCCTATGCACACGAACTTCTTACAGAAATCTACGTCGTCGTGGTCCTCTTGTGCTACCTTCGTAACTACATCGACAGCCTCGTGGGAAGATATTATAGCGAGTTATTTGCGATGCACCTCGTTCATATCTCGTGAAGGAGATATTTCTGTTGTAGAGCATGAGCAGCGATCCAAGAAATGCAAGAAATACGTCGTTCATAACTCGTTTCTCACCTCCTCTAGAAGACGACGACGTCGCGCCTCCCATCGTCTCGTTCTTCCCACCAATGAAAAACGCAGTTTGCAGTTCTTTCAATTGTCTCACGCTGTCCAGGTAGCGACCTTGTTTCAGCGTCTTGGCGATCCCGTCTCCTGCACTCTGCACTCGCAGCAGCCTTCGCAGAAGTGCACGTACCTCGGTCAACCGCCGTGCTTGTCGTGTCTTCAAAACCACTGCTCGACGCTGTTCATGGAGTGAAGTCCGAGAGTGCTGCAGCTTCCGTCTGGCGTTCGCCACTAGGACTTGGGTGAACGTCAAATCCGTGGATATTTTCTGCACTAGAGACATCCCAGTTGCAAATTGAGACCAGTTTTGGAGGACTTCAGAATTAGACCGCTCCGTAGTTCATCTTTCAAATGCATCCGTGAAGAATGGCGCAGGGAACTAGTTCCTCATCCTTTTCAAGGATGCAGTCGGAGATGCATGAGGAAGAGCCTTAACAGAAGACATCCGAGATCTTAGCTTGGACTCACACTCCGCGTACCGGTCCACATGGGAGTCCAAGTCGTTTGTTAGAGGATTTTGGAGGACACAGAGGGTATCTAGTATCCAAGTCTCTACTTGTTGTTGTTTGTGGTCATCGATCAAGGGTTAAATACGAAGAACATACTAGCCTTAACCCCAACTGATCAAACAAGTGGTTTCCGCGTTTGTTAAGCTCCCAGGCCAGAACCTCGTCTTTCGCTAGCTGGTAATACACTGGCGGAAGGGCCAGCTCTTCGACTAATTCTGCATGTTGAGAAGGGGCTACTTCTAGATCCCTTGTTTGTGCAGAACCAGTTCTTGCACCAGCACGGTCGCCATCCTGTCTCATCCTCGAATAATTCGATGACGACGCGCTCGAGCTCGATGTGGAGGAGCTAGCATCGTTTATCTCCCCCTCAAGCATCTTCCCAGAGGAGGTAGAAGATGACGTCGAGATCGGAATATCTGGACTGTTGTTCAGAGCAACCGTCATCCTTCATCATTCTGTTGCATCTAATGTGTAGTTGTACGTCCTCATGGTACGCAATGATCGCGAATCTAGCAATGATAGTTTCATCCGCGCTCGTTCTTAAACAGAGGTTCGAGTCTTTTGTTTCATCTGCGCTAGTACAACTTACTATGGTCGTGAGTTTGTTCTAGCTTTAAAAGTTTTCCACATACAACTGCACCAACACGATAGAACATGGAGATTCATCTTCATTGACATTTTTTTACTATGCTGGTGAAAATGAAAGCACATCTTGAAAATGAAAGCACATCTTCCAGACACGGAATTCCACAAGCGAGAGATCCGAGTCCATGCGCTCGCTCTCGACTGACAATACAGGAGCCACGAAACTACCACGGCAAGAATAAGTAGAAGTTGAAGAAGTACAACTGGTACAGCCAAATCAATAGCAGGCACATAAAGAAGACAGCAGACAAAGCTAATCTTTCCCAAAAGTTTCGTGTTCGTTGTATGGAATATATAAATCTGAGGTGAGAAAATACGCATTCGCATGCAGAAGCCATTGGGTTAATAAGTAGAGATTCATGATACGCATCAGATGTGAAATGAGGACGCGACGAGTGCATGTGGGTGAATGAGAACCTGTAGGTCAGGTGCCGCTCTTTCATTTGCAATGAATGTGCGCCTGCGCTGACGGTGGAATGTTGAACAATGAATATCAAAATGGGAATAATTCTTGCGACTGCGCCATGTTATTTCTGTGGTTTAGGGCGTTCTCCTCGGGAGTTGCAAGATCATGGGATTATGAGGACTAGCAAGTAAAATGTTGAGAGAGAATAAAAACTATAACGAAAGGCTTCTCATTTTCGACGAGAATCAAAAATTTATTTTTTTTGAGAATGAGCGATTACACTTACGGATCAACATTGACAGTCTTGTTCTATGTATAACTTTCGTGATTGCAGATAGCGGACCGTGCGCATAAAGCGCGTCGGATTTCTGCTCACTACATTTCGTACCAGGGGAACAATCTCCGGGAGGCCGGGTCTGCGATTCTTTGGCCGCAGTGTTATTAGAGCGACCCCAGCGCGTCCCTGGTGCCATCACTGGGTCCTTTTTCCCCTTGAAAAAGAGGCCAAGGATGACGCTGACGATGCTCTCTTGGTTGCCTTAATTTTAGGAAGAACACGCAGGCGTGATCGAAGCTCAACTCTGCGCATTCCACGATTTCCTCGCATTCTCTCTGGTTCGACAGGTCCTTCTTCAGATGTATCTGATTCACAAATTGCTTCAGAGAAGGCAGAACCTCATACCATAGATTCAAGATTGCGCGCACCTGCGGAATCCACTCTGGTGAAAGAGGTTTTTTCAATTCCGCCTGTTTCTCCATGGAAAGCTCTACACGCGACGAAGAACGAGCAGATGAACATACTAGCCTTGTTGTGTTTCCACGCCGGTAGTTGTTGCATTTGCCAAGAAAAGCTCCAGAAAGATTCTCGTTTTGTTCCCCACGGTCTTCACCAGCAGCGCCGGTGGAAGTGGTTGAAGAACAACGAGTCGAGGAATCCACGCGCTGCTCATTCATCTTGAGGAGGGCTTGTCTATCGAAGAACGTGTGAAGGATCGACGTTACGTCCAAAAGAAAGAAGTTCCTTTCCTTATCCGTTTGCAACCGGTTACGCTGTCCCTTCTGTCCGGGATGCCAGTCGGTAAATTCCTGAAAAATAGTCTTTTTCAGAGCAAGAAGACGATGTATTTCGTACCCTGGGCTCGGCATCACTTGTTCTCTAATTGAAGACGGAGATGTTGACACACTGGTTTCAGATGTTGTTGGAGCCGTGGTCGTGTATATCAACCTGCTCTCGTGGTCATGATCTTGGTTGATGATCTGCTTCCGGGAATTAATATGTGCTCCAAAATGTCCAGCCATGCGTCGCTTGCAGTCCCATCTGCCCGAAATATTTGCGTTATAGAAATTCAAATGCCCAAAGCTCTCAACTATGGCATTGCGCAACTCCAACAATGCGGGTCGTAGCATCAGCCGCGGATCGACACCGTCGACTTCATCTAACAATGCAAAGCCGTTTTAATTGCACAAGCAACAAAAAAAGCGGCTTACCTACAGAGCCACCATTTTTTTTTTGCTTCTGACCATCTAGGTTCCATCCTCCAATCGCTGCCAAACCAGTAATATCCCTGCAGCTCAACGCTTCTGACATCTCCACCCAACAAATTACTTCACCAAAATTTGTGCGAAATTAGTCACCTGAAGTATGGAAAAATGCAGCACTTATGGCCTGAACAATGGAGACGCATGTTTATACTCAGTGGGGGAAGGAGATGGAGATACTTTTACGCAACGCGATTCATCCTAATGCTTTTCAACAGGTACACGGGGCGAAGGGTGACGGGGGAGAGAATATCTATGCGCAAGCAACAAATAAGACCCGCCAGGACGAAAGGGAAGCTGAATGGCAGTGGGAAACGACATAGAAGGCAAGGTCCGAAGCAAAGAGGTGGGAGGGGGCGTCCCTCTCGTCCGCGGGGGAGCGGAAGCACGAAAAGGAAGCCGGCGCGCATTAGAGCGAAAAATAAGCAAGACGCGAAACAGAAGGCTTAAGGGAAGAAAGTAGAGGGCTCGCCCGGATACAAGCAATATACAACACAGGCGACTTGGAGGATTGAAGGCAGAAAAGGAATAAGAACCCGCATGCCCTTCGTCGTCCTCAGGCTGTGGGCGTCCTTGGTCAACGTCCACAGCTTCTAGCTCCGGGAGGCAAGGGTGGCAGAGGTCGTAAGACGCGGCCACAACGTAGCTGCTGCAACAAGGCTTACAGACTGGCGTGACACTGGCAGGGCTTCTGGTTCTGTATCCATCACGGAAATCAGGCGGCGCGTCGAGAAGTTAGAAGCGGCGGACGTGATCCGGGATGCCCCAACGATGCCAGGAGAGTCCATCGGGGGGAAAATATGTGTCGACTACGACAGAAGCCACATTTTTCATGGCTCTCTCTTGGAAGTTGCAGATCCTCAAGCCCCAGGGTCAGAGCCTTGGCCGCGAAGGCCTGCGCCGCCTGATCTGGAGGAATTCCAGGCCACTCGCCCCACTGCGGTCGCAATGGCCCGAGCCGGTGGAAGAAAGCCACTGTCGCGGCGGCCTGCGGGTCAGCTATAGGGTAGCAACTTAGTTCAACCGCCTGGCGGAAATGGAAAACGCTAGCGATGGCGTCCGTCGACAAGTCCCACGCGGGCTGCTGGAGTGCGCGCTTTTTATAGTCCATTCCATCTTCGGTCTGCTCGTCTAGCGGGTCGTAGCACAAAGCCGCGTCTTCGTGTCGCCTATCCGCACGATAAAACGCCCGGCGATTAAGTTGCGGGCTATATCTGCAGAGTTCTTCAATCCTTTTCCCCCCGTCACACGTTTGTCCACATGCGGGGGCTCCGCTCTCCTGGTCTTCTCCGTTTTCAGCGTTTGGCCTCAAATCGAAAAACGCCATAGCAACTAGCATGGCGGCCGCGCTGATGATTCGGCGGGGCAACGCGTGAAGGGTAGACCCCAAAGGGGGAAACTGGGACAAGAAAAGGGCAGCCCGCAATGCTTTCCAAGAAGTGACGAAATGAAGAACACACAAGGGGCGACAGGGTGCCTCTTGAGATTTGCCGACTCAGCGAGGCGCAACCACTCGCGAGCGGCTGCCGGCGTTGATAGCGAGGATGTAACCTAAGACCTCTAAACTGTGCACAATGCCGATAAACCTTATGGCGCGCCTGCGTTATCCAGCACGGGGCCCGGCAACATTGGGCAGCGGTTATCCGTTGCGGAGGCCCATAGGTAGAGCGCAAAACAGCTGTGGCAGAACGGGGCGAAAGACACCGCCTCCCAGTCAATGCCCGCCATTGGTTCAGACTCGACGTGAAAACGTCGCAAATCTCCGGGAATGCCAAGGCGCTGGAGGTCTTCTGGGGCGCTCGTCTCGGTTGTTGCTATCACGCCTCGCACGCGTAGCAACTCGTGGCATCTCAAGAGGCTGCCCATGTCATCTACAGACGTCCGGCCCACAGTTGTGCCAGGGCGGAACTTGCTTATCCGCGACGCGATAATATCAAGGAGCGACGCGCCTTTACGATCGGCCACTCTCTCGATCAAACTCAAACGAGGGCGGTGCGAGAGGTGAACATCATTACTGCGATCGGAAGATGTTGAAGAAGGCTGACTCGAGGACGTAGAGGAAGGGAACCCTCCCGCGTTTCCATCCCTGGTCTCCCGAGAACATCCGCGCGCCTAGTAATGGCGCCTGCGATGTTGTTGAGGTCGCCCTCCCTTGACTGCATTTTCTCCCACCAAGAGGTCAGTAAAATTCCCAGCAGCGCCCAGTCACCCCGGTAACAAGCGATACTGAAAGCGGTGTTTCCCCGTGCCTTTTCTTGGGACGTCGGGTCTGCCCATTGCAGCCGGGGTTGCTCCGCGTTCGTGATCCAAGCAGCGTGGTTCTCGATGAGAAATCGAACGCACTCGGTGAACCCATTTTCGCAGCAGAAATGGAGAAGCGTTTGCCCAGCATATTGCCGGAGCTGCATCTGCGCGAGAGTATGAAAAAGTCGGGGATTCTCCTGGTCACCGCTTTCGAAGTACAGCTTCAGTAATTCAACAAAGCTCGAGTCCTGCAAGGCCGCGCGAAATATTTCGGGGTCATCGTCTCCCTCATCAAGCAGATCAAACTTCTCCTCAATCACCGATTGCACAATGTCGATGTTCATGTTCGTCGCGAAGTGCGAGGTCACCACACGACGGTCCGAGATATCGTGAGTCACCCGATGCCAGACGCCGTTCTTCGATCCCTCCGTCAGTTCCTCGTGGTTCACACGAGGCTGACGATTGCGGACGTCATTGCTGGTACTACTAGCAGATGTACTTCTATCGTGTGTCCACGTTATTTCGCTATTTTTAGAAAGTAGTCGTTTTCCTTTGCCCTTGTTGCCTTTGTTCTTCTTTCCGTTTGCGTTCCCGAAGAACTGCCGTTCGTGGTTGTTTCGAAACCTCTCGCAGCGACAGTGGGCGGCAATGAGTTCGTCCGGCGGAATCCACCGCAAACAAATCCAGCGATATGGCTTTGACTTCGATTTGGAGCCGTGCGTGAGGAACTTCTGGCCTGTGTTCATGGTCTCGGCACACAGTTGCGGATCATTTGCGATGTCGCGTGAAGCGGCGTGACCGTATAGCGCCTCTACACAGTTCGTCAGGTACGAGCTACCCAAGGAGCAGATACTTGCGGCGTCCATTCTTTTTCACCAGTTCCAGTAGTTCCTTGGGGCTTCTACTTCTACTTCTCTTGCCTAAAAAATGAAGACGCATCGATAATCTACAGCAGAAACAAGTCTACGATTTGGATTCGGATTTGGAGATTTCAGAAAAGCGCTTTCTTTTGTATGCCAAAACCGCCGGAAGGGTGATCCCAGTTTTATCCAGTTCGCAAACCGGCGGCAGGTGGAGTCCGGTTACGGGTTACCTCCTTATATTACTGCGCACTAATTGCCTACGAACCCGCCGATTTTAAACTGTGAGCTTTCTGGCCACCAAAAGGGGCAAAATACGTTTCGCAATCAACATCTAGATCTTCTACATTTCTTCGTGACCGTGATCCAGATCAGAATCTTTCATTTTCAGAAAGCTGCATGCTCTGTCGATGAACTAAAACCTCCGGGAGTCTTGTTCACATTCACTTCACGGTTCGTTGCAGAAAACTCCGCAAGCAAATGCTTCTGCTTGTTAATACATGCAAATCTCACGACTTGCAGCTTGTTCTATGTGGTCAAGTACAATTTCAATTGTTTCGTTCTTTCACCCTCTGTGCTGACGAGATGCAAAAACGGAGTGCAAAATTTGACAACTAACCAAATAAGTATTGACTACAGACGAAGTTGTGAGCTGACTTCTGTCTCGTAGAATTTCGAAATCGAATTATCCCATGACCTAGTATAATCAACTCCCACACTGCGAACACAAAAAACCTTGACATAACGACTGTACATCTTCGAACATGCTACATTTCTTTCATTCTTGGAAACAACAACTACGAAGCAAAAAAGTGAGAACCACGACTATGCAAAATCTATCTAAACCGACTTGTAACTACTGAAATAGTGTTAGTCATGAGTGAACTTTTTCTATGAAGTACGCGTACGAGAACTTGATGACTAGGGAAAATGAACGAAACCACATGCTTAAACTTGGCTATTCAATGGAACAGGAACTACGAGCGCGTAGGAATATTACGGTTTTCTCATGGCACTCCTGAAAATGAAAATCATATACTGCAGGTGGTAGTCTTTCTGACGTGATATGCAAAATGTAAATGTAGTGTACCTACGTACATAGTCCACGTTTTAAGCTTCGCGAAAATTATTCAATGCTCAGTATTCATGGGGGTGTCCGATTCAGGATCGGATGGATCGGATGGGCTTCCCCGCTTCGCTAAGCATTTCAATTACGAACCAAGGACTTTGGTAGGTCCATCCGATCGATCCAAGTCCATCCTACATCCGTTCTATGAATTATTTTTATTCTAATTTACTGGAATGTGATTATAGCTAAATCGTGTACGTGTTAAGATCATAAGTAACTTAAAAGATTCATATTCTTTCACAAAATCGTGTACTTGGTACTATCAACGCGATCTCTCTTCCGTTATCATGTCGGCAACACCCCAGTTGCACCTGACAGTGCCAAGTTATTTGTATTTTCATTTGTGCTTCCTCCTGGTACCACTTTACTAGTGCCGGACTTGTTGGCAGAAGAGAAAAAGAGGCCACGACCTGTAATCGGCATTTCGATCAATCCTATAAGAGGCGGTAGGAACAGAAAGACGTTCCAGATGGCGAAGATGTGGGAGAAAAGTAATAGCACATGCATCGGTCGCAAAAGTGTAGATGTCAGAGCCATGGATAGCGGAGACCCGACGAGAAGAAGGGAGAGTACTGCGAGTGTCGGTTTTTGAATACGTAGTGCGGCAAGGGAGGTCTGAGACAGGGTTTTTGATGGTCTTTCGTCACACACTTCTTTCGTCTGTGGTGTACTACTAGTGAAGGTGCCTGCGGTTATAAGAGGCAGCACGAAGAGCAGTTGTAAACCGACTGCCAGGAGAATCCCAGTCGCGGTTGAGAAATTGAGGGAGAAGCCGCAGACTTCCATCAAACCCAGAAGTTCGCAGATTGTCATTCCTATTACTGGCACTGCTATAATACTAGTGATAATAGAAGAAATGGTCCCATATCCAATGGCAGGAAGATGTAATTGGACAACGAATAACACCACAGCAACTGTGATGAAACCTATCAGCAGGAAGCGGTCAAGCGCTGGACCCAAATCCGTATCGCGCTCTGCCTCACGCATGAAATCCGCGTAGAAGAAAGAATCAACATTGTGCTTAGATGAAGTTGATTCTGAATGACAACATTTCAATTCTACTTGCGCTTGCCTTCCTTCGTACAACTACTACATCAAAGAGTTCTTCTAGCATTAGAAATTGTGCATTTTCCCACATACAGCCTATAAAACACCAGGTAAGTAGCTGGAAGTGCTGTCTATTTCATCAAATCATTTACATCGTGCAACGTAACTTTCACTCCCCACATGTCTGGCCGACGCTGTCTTTCATTTTCAAGGATGTCTTGAATCTTTTCTGCTTGCCTGCGACGCATCTGAGGGTCGGCCATGTTGACCTTGAAATAAACATGCACAGGAACATGTCGTAAACCTGTGATCTTGTCCGTGTACGTATACGTGACATCGTTGCGAAAGGTACCAACGTCGCGGACCACAGCAGTGGCATCACCTCGATGGCTCAATGCAACCTCCTGCAGTGTATCTGGCCGAAAATAGGTGTCTCCACAGAAATTCCCACGATAGTTCTCGAAAAAAGTGTGCACATAGTCGTAGAACTTCTCAGGACGTCGTTCCCAATACTGCACTCGCTCTTCGTAGGGGTTAGAGGAGCTAGAGCAGGGCTAGAATTGAGTAATGAGAATTATGGGAAGCACTCCTTGAAGACCAGCAGGACTACCGTTGAAGCTACAAGTCCTAGCGAACAAGGTACGAAATTAAGACTAGTACCTTGTTGCAATTGATTGAAAGAATTAGAAATTTGTTCTACTTAGACCCGGCGATCCCTAAACAAGTTTTCTTCCAGGGCACACTGTGCTCTTTGTCCCTTCAAGAACGTATCTCGCAACCAATTTGCGGACATCGAATCTTTCTTGTCGATCTTTTGACCATTCTGCTGTACAAATCGCAGGCTGATATCCATGTCGAAAAAGGCATCGGCAAGCTCGGTGGAAGGAAGGATTCGAAATAGATCGAAAATCTTGCAGATCAATGCAAGGGTTTGCAGCTCCTACGATGATTGTACTGGGGTTGTACTGGGGTTGTTTTCAACTAACAAGTAGAAAATAAAACTTTAGTCTCATGCTCATCATTGTGGCATGTGGAAAATAAATACAATGCCTACTACAACTAGAAGAAAGTTTCTTAATGTCACAGGAGTCGCATATTCCACGACACGCCTTGCCACTTCCTCGAAGAGGGCACTAGAATTCCCCACCGAGTCTAGCTCTTCACTTTCTGCGCGTGGCAATTGAGAAAAGAGCACAAATTCGCCAGATCTCAGCGGGTCGACGGTGCGCCTCTTCAGTACGATCTCCCACAGGTGTTGCGGTAATGGAATCTTGTCGTTTTCACACAAGGCGGAGAGGAAAGTGCATTTTTAGAGCAAGAAGGTGTACACAAGTCTATAAGTAGGTGGTAGTTTCCGTAGATTTTTGCTAAAAATACGTTTGTTGTTGGTCACCTCCTACTAGAAGTGATTACTTATGATATTCGTGTTGCTACAATGCAAGTAGAAGCATCGTTAATATTCATTATGAAGATGTTTAGTTGCGTCTCCGTCTTGCACCATAATTTTCACCCGAGCTAGATGACGCACTTGTTGAGATGCTGGTTCCGCCAGGACCGGCCGCAAGACCTGCTAGATTCGTCAACACCGTCTTGGGCAGCGCGAATACGTCATGGTCGATCTTTTCCATGTGCTGAGCCGCTGCGGCTCCTCCAATGGCTGCTACGAGCTTGTTGCTGATATGTGAGCGCACACTTGCCGGCACTGCACTTCCAGCACCAGTTACAGCGCTATCCAAGGAGACCAGAATTTCGTCATATTTCTGGGTCTTCTCCAGCATCAAGGGACATGCGGAGATCGGCACGGACGCGCGACCGGCACTCCAGTCTCGTTGGGCATAAGTTTAAAGGTTGAAACATTTCATTTTTAAAGAGCAATCTTAAGAGAGAAAAGCGTGTAAAAATGAAATTATACTTCAACCCTTAATAAGTGGGATCCTTCGCTTTCGTTTTTGTACTAAACAGACGATGTGCATTGTCGCGATAGTGTCCTCGCTGAATCTGCTCAAAATCCACGAGCCAGCTGTTCACGAGCGCGCGCGAAAACCCGCCAGACAAGTCGGGATCGTCATGGTAGTCAACATATGACAGCACACTGCTGCGGTAGTTGCTGCTCCTTGGATGTCCATCAAATATGGCTTCTTCGTCGCCAAGTAAGACCAGCTGGTTCCTAACGAAATCCAGGTAGTAGTCACGATTCTCCTTCTTGTGGTAGTTGCCCACATGAGAAGGCGGGAGAAATAGTGTGATTTTCGAAGGCTGGCCCCCAAGGCCATCGCCGACTGCTGTGAAAAAGTCTTGTGTCTTCCCATCCACAACTCGCCAGTCGACCCATTCGGATTCGAGAGCAGTAAAGCGCCAGAGAAGTACGCCAGCAATTATGGCACGAACGGAGACGGCAGCCAGTGCGGCAAGCGGTGAAGATATCACAGTACGGGCACACTTTTCAGCAAAGCGTGTGACTGGACCATGGTAAGGTGGCGCTTGAGAAAAGCAGTCACCGAGGTAGAGGTCAGAAGAGCCAGACGAGGCACCAGCTGTCGCCGTCACCGCGCTTGTACTAGCCGAGGTGGCACTATGAGCATTATTTCCGCTTGCTGTCTCGACGCCAGCCTTTGACGATGCTCCCGCTTTTTTGTCCTGCTTCGGTGTTGCTTCTAGTAGATCTGCTCGTGGTTCTTGGGAAGCAGTGCTACTACTAGAGCTAGGATCTGCATTCGCAGCGACCGTCCATGCTTCTTTGGGACTACTGCTTCCCGCCTCGCCAGCAAAGGACTTCATCACTGTAGGAGTAGCTTTCATTTGGATGTTCTCTCCCCCGATAGGTTGTATCATTGCAGCAGCTGCTCTTCTGCAAGGTGAAACCACGCAACAATGTCGAATGAGCAGCATGGCAACAGCAATAAACAACACACCGAAGACGATTTGGATAGAGACGAATCGCAGAGCTAGAGGTGTCTCCGGGTCACAGGCTCCAGCGAAAAAGAAAACGACTATACCCGAAGCACTCTGCAAAAGGCCAGATGTTGTCGTTGAGATACTACTTGGTAATAGAGACGATTCGGTACTTTCGTCTGGCTCGGCATCGGATTCGTCCTTGTTCTCGGATGGAGTTGCCACGAGAACGATCCTTTTCCACGACGCACGGAGAACAGTGTCAAAAGGTCCTGCCCCACTAGATATACTCGTCCAGAACCATAGCAAGACCATCGGGAAAAACAGACGGAAGAGCATGAGGCTCGAAAATGTCACAGGAGCGCCTTTCTCGGTTTCGCCGTCTACGTCAACATCCAAAACTTTCTCCGCTGTAGTATCGTCGAAAGATAGCGCTGCACCAAAAAACCCACCGCTAGCAGCTCCAAACGAGAAGAAAAGCCCCAATAGCATCAACAACGGCGCCAAACAGGTGATACCGCAAACACCTATCGGCAAGACGGCTCTCGTTTTGCTCGTTTTCTCTTCATCAAATTCGTCATATGTAATGCAGCCATCCACCTCGCGCAGAGGCGAGTAGCGCAAGCCGAAAACTCCAGAGCATAACAGTATAGACCCAAGCAAAAACCAAACCACGAAGAGTTCCAAAACAAATGGCAATGGTGAAAAATCTCCCATACTTGCCTTGGTCAATTCCCTTACCGCCAAATCCGCGCTAAGAAGGAGCACCTGAACACCATGCTCCTTCTCGAGCTGTCGAAAAGGGCTTTTGTTTGCGTCCGGGTCGTCATTGCTTAGACATGTGCAACAAACGAGGGTAGTACAACGATTATGACAAATTACAACTACGTGAGTAAGGGTTCACTAAGGACCGAAACAAAGTGGCAATATGCGATAAGTATGGAGATTTATACGTAGGACTTTTCAAAGTCAGTATTTCTATGGAGTAAAAATCCACATGGATTCCAGTGCAACTACAGTATATTTTATAAAGCCAACTTCTTTGTTCCTTCACCTGCAGGAGACTAAAAAACTGGTACGCCATAATTTTCCATTGCTGTCGATTCCCAGGTACTCGTTCGATAGCTCCGAAAGGTAGTCTGCCACATCGCTCTGCTCAAGGAGCGTCCCACTTGAGTTGCGAATCTTGCTACACTTAGAAAGTGGATGACATGATGAAGATGTTCATGATGTGTCTTTCATAATGCTAATGATCCTTCTTCATGATCGCATGTGATGATGTACTACCTGATAGGAAAGTGCTAGTTGAAATAGCCCATACAGTTCAATTTCTATCTATCTAAATAGTTTCCTTCGCCATAACATAGTCGATACAGTTAAATTTCTTAGTAGTCTAAACAGTTTCCTTCGCCATAACATAGTCCACATTGTTCATTTCGCAAGGAGACCGCATCGCCATCCACCCAAGCCAGAAAGAACAATTGGTCAAGGAGTAAGCCTTCTTTTGTGCCATTGTGGCCATGTTGCGACCTAGAGAGTCCATTTTCGACTCTGGATTCTCCATGTTGTCCGCACAACATTGACACATAGTAGTTGCCTCTTGTTGGGATGAGGAAGTAGAGAGGTCTCTTGTAGGTGTTGCATGTTCGCGTTCAAGAAGTGATTGCCTACTGAAAGGTCGGGTTTTGATGATGTCGCTGATCTTCTTCTTGCGTTGTATTTTGTTCTTGCGTTCTATAGATGACGCTGCAAAAGCAGACAAAGGGTTCTTGTTATTGTTCCTACTTTTCTCCAGCAATGAAGCCATCGCCAGCATTGTTCTTCTGCGAGGAGTTCTTGACGATGCTAAAACAGTTTCATTGAACATCGTGTGCAAGTTAGCATTTGCACAACTGAAAACACTGTCGACGCATGTCTGCGGGCACAGTCTCGAGACGTCGTCGCGCGCACAATAGCCGAGAGAATGCATGATGGAGCAGCATTGAGCCGGATCGCACGAGAGACCCATTATTTGGGCACTGACCGCCATCACATCGCCTCGGTCCTGGCAGATGATGCATCGACTAGGAATTTGGCCTCCGTTTGCTGTATTGTAGTTCGTCCCCGTGATCGGATCTGGATCTGCGACGAAAGCTGTAAGAGCGCCAGTGTAAGCAGCGCCCTCAAGCAGACCGATCTCGTACGGAGTTACAACCGAGCAACCATGACTCGCACATTTTTCTAGCGTCAAGCGCACCATCGCTTGAAACATGCCCGTTTGCGTGGCTTGGGCTGCTGGCATGCCACCTGCAGTAAGCGCAGAGATGAATTCCGCTGCTTTTGCCTGTATTTAGAGCTACCGCGTTAGCATCCTTGAGGGCATCCTTGGTCCGTTTTTCAAGTAAAAAAGGGATCACGAATGATGCTGAGGATGCTTCAGCGGTAGCCCCAATGTAGTGCTGTTGGCGCCAGTGTCGTGTCCACAGACGCACATTGTGCGGCATTTTGCGAACCTGGCATCACTAGTTCAAGCGACGACGTCAAAGAAGATGCGTGTGCGATTTCTTCAAAGCCTGTGCGTGCGACGTTGGCACAACTCGTGGAATGCTGAGGACAGACGTGAGGACAGGGCCACCATTAGAGCAGCTCAAAATATTTCATCTCTTCCAACCATTTCGTCAGAGTCCCACGAAGGAAATTCTCCCCTGAAGATCCTAAGAAGGAAAGAACAGAAGAAAATGACAGCTGGAAATGCATTGCGTCAAGCCTTAGCACCAAGAGAGGATGGCAGGATTACTGCAGATGCCTGGGATGCCAGCCATGCAAGCGCACACATCCTCAGCATTGACACACGGCGTTTGGCCCAATGCGAAATACAGTTTCAAAACCTCTGTAGGCTGGTTAGCGCATGCAGAGCACATCGAAACTGGTGTGTTCGGTGCCGTGGCCAAAGATGACGCGTAGTACCCGCCCATCTGCAGACTCTTAGAGCTCCTTCTTATAAGGACTTAACCATCTTGACGGGCATCTTCCTGTTCTTCCCCTCTTTGTTCCCCTTAAAAATAAAATCCCCTTGGAAGGAAAGTCTCCCTTCTAGAATCGATGACTCCTCTGAAGTACTTAGGTGGATCACACTGACTAGGGGAAGCCTTAAGATTCCCTTGGTCGAACGCGGAGAGCCAAGAGCATCCGGCTCTACGACAATCCGTTTCGCTAGCACTGTAGGTGCCGCACAGCTTCCAGTCCTGATTTCCGGCAGTTTCACGCTCTGTCTGACGCTCTACGAAGCCACTAGACGCGACATTGGCACAACTCTTGGCGCGACTAGGACAGAGAAGCGGGCAGAAGTCCACACCCGCATACGGCAAAGCGCACATATTCAGTCCCGGGATACCGAAGGTGCAGCCGCATGGATCAGCGGCGGTTGCACATGAATTCACCGGTGACGGCATTAAGGTCAGAAGCACGCTGAAATCTGCATTCCGATTCGCACAAGGGACACATCTCGGAACAGCGCCAGAGTTGGCCTGTCCGCTGTCTATCAGCATCGCTGTGGAGACCCACTGGCATCCTGAGGCAAAACACGCGCTTTCTGTGGACAAGCTCGTGCAAGCAGTCTCATCTTGATTGCCAGCGGTGGCTACCTCGACCGAGTCCCCAGCGAAGAGAGAGCAGAAGGCACCAGGAGCACTAGAAGCAGATGACGATGTGGAAGTTGAACTGCTGCTACTACTGCTAGAAGTGCCACTGTTCCTAGTTGTGCCACACGAGGATCCTCCAGGTGTATCTTGTGGTGTTGCAGCAGATGAAGACAAGAGTGCATCACACTCCTTACGACAAGCACTGGCAACGATGTCACACCTCGTTCCGGTGCCGTGCAAACAAAACTGTCTAGTTACGTTCGCACACGACTCAATACCACGGGTCGCTGCTAGATTCACGTAGCTCAACCCCTTTTCGTCATTTGCGCAAGTTGCAGTGTCCGCGCTGTTGCCAGTGGAAGTGGACGAAAATTTCTTAGAAGACTATGAGCTGCTTCTCTATAATTAGTAGTAGGGAAGGTTCATTTCTGTATTATCAATCTGTCCGTAGATATCATGTTCATCTTCTCCATACTGAAAGAAAAATAACTCCTTGGTCGACAAGAAATATCAATTTCTCCAAAACAAGATGTCGATTTCAATACTCCATAACAGAGCCGTTTGTTGCACACACACCAGCATTACTTGTTACACCGCTAGCGGATGGATACTCATTAAGCACCAGTGGTGTGAACGCACCTGCATTGGAGCACTGTCCGCCCGATGAAGCCAGCAGGCACGTGTTATTCCGAAAACAAGATGGCCGGTTATCCTCCCGGCGTCCTTGCACCATGACATCCGGTACGAACATCGGAAGAATTAGCGATGTTAATTTGGCTTCCGTAGTTTCCTTATTATATCCCAACGATAACCTAGTTCTAGTACTGATCATGACAACCAAGGTAATTTAGTTGTAGTCTCAAAGACGAGCCCTAAGAAAATGTATTCGTTTTCCAAATAATGCATTGCACTTTTCGCACCTTCGAAACCGCGATCCCGTTCCTGACTCCAAGCAGTATTAGCGATAGTTTTTCCCAATACCTGGTGGAGTGAGTTGCCCTCTTCCTCCCATATTTTCCCCTTCAAATCAAGGGGGACGCCACTCAGCGCACTCCACACAGGGGATGGTGAAAAACTGTCCTTAACATGACTGTCCAGCGTCGACAGGTACTCAGTCCAGTAGTCGGTAGTAGCTGAGACTTCTTTGGTCAAGTATTTACTAAACGCTGTCGGCGAACTGAATGCGAGGCTGTCGCACCAGTGTCCAAAGCCCACTTGATCAACCGAGTCTCCGACGATCGTGGAGGAGTCTGTTTGTAGTAGTTTTTAATACTTTTCAAGGATAAGGAAATGACATACGCTGCTGCAAATAAAAGCACAAAGGAAAGCAAGTAGACTAGAAGGGCCGCACTTGGCGGGGTGAAAGTGCTCAGCGTCAAGGATGGATCCGCTCGGCCCCTGGCTGGTTTGATAGTGCCCACCTTGCCGCGGCCTGCCTCAGCGTTGCCCGTAACAAATGGAAGGGCAAGACCATGGAGAGGCAGAAGCGCTAGTCCATCGCTTCCAAACTTGCATAAGCATCCGCAAAGGGAGCGGGGGACCCTGCCGGCGGGGGAACAACGTGAGGCCCCCTCGTAGCGGCGGGGGCTGCAAATCTCCCGGCCTCGCCTTCTGCGCAGCTAGCTGCGCGGGCGCTTCCCTCGCCTTCTGCGGTCCGATCTGTGCCACCGCTTCGCCGGCACTCAAGGTCAAGGCCGACTTGGGTGGGTGGCTTCGCTGCCTAATCATGTCAAAACTAGCCGAATCTGAGAAGGCGAGAGGTGAACTTTTCGAAACGGCGCGCCTTTTTCGTTTATCACCTACTAATCATTGCTGCAGAAGATTATACCACAACGAAGCATAGACACCTTCCAAACAAGGCAGCGCCGAGAAGTAGCGGACACTATTCGCCGAAGTCGTGTTCGCAACTGCATCAATACATTCCTCGACGCTATTCTCTGGGTCGCCTACTTCACAGAAGCGGTTTTTAGTGAAAAGAACCCCATCTGGTTCTCGACACGCCTGCCCAGACTTGCAGGTGCACGGGCGACTACTTCCAGCAACTTTGCACGGCGGATATTCCAGAACTCCGTCTGAACCTGAAGATGCGATCGATTTAGATTAAACAACTTAGAGAAGCATTTTCTATTTGTGTACTTAGATTGAAAGGACATTATAATCATAAGTAACGAATATCATACATTTAGATTGAAAGGATAATCATACCGTTATATCGCCCACACACGTTCCTGCTATATGGCGTGCACTTTTCGTATTTGAACTGGATTTCTTGGTAAGGACAGAAATCCGGACGCCATCTTAGTTTTCTTGAGGAGGTTGCAAAATTTTTGAGCCAATCATCGAAATGCCAGACACCTCGCAACGTTTCGTTTCCGCAAAGGTCCGCTCGTGAGGAATCCAGTACTTTGTAAGCTAGCCCAACAGCACTTCTCTTGCGGTCTCGGCGAAGAGCGCACGTGCCAAGGGAGTCTTTTGACAGGTCCTTTAGGGGGATTAGAAGTAGAAAGTGAACATGTTGTGCTGGAGCAGCAAGTTAGAGTTTGTGCATTTCAAAAAGGAAGTAATGTGAGGAATTCATCACGCACCTGGATTCCTCCACCTCTCACCTACTTCTTAGTTACAATGTCATGTCATGGTACCTCTTATGTAGCTATTTTTAGTGAACTTGAACAAATAGATATAGACATTACAACAGATCGTAAATTCATTACTATAGTCAACATCGTAATTCCATTGTTCGACGTCTTTCTGCACCCTTCCACGTCCGATTGCGGAAATCCCATTCGTACCGGATCCTTGCCTCCTCTAGCTCGTACTTTTTGTTCAGCAGTTTTTGAGAATTAGAAAATGCGATTCTACAGTTTCCATGGTAGTTGAAGGTCTTAGCACTACGTTCTAAGTTAGGTTAGGGTATGATTAGATATGTGGTATAATGCCATAACATATCGAGCATTTGGCTTTGACCAAATTTCAGGCCCAAAAACCGCAAAGACGCCGTCTGACTTCTTAGGCCCGATGAAGCCTCCACCCAGTCGTACGAGAAAGGGACCTGCAGCGGCACAAAAGAGCACCGCTGTCAGGACCGACGCAGCAGGGACAGTGAAGGACGCACTCATTGTTCCTAGTCCTATTTCAAATACTAGATAGTCATCTTTCTTGTCAACGAGGCTGGATCACGTTCATGTCCTTTTAAAAACAACGGAATAGGCCGCTGGAAAGGTATTCTTATGATCTAGTCCAACTTCTAATAAAAGACCAACTAGAACATGCTAATATCCTTGTACACCATTGGTGAGTCAGTTGTAGATATCCTAATGCTCGTCACTCAAAATTCAAATTGTCCTGTTCACTCCTCTCACTTGTTAATCAATCTCAGCCGCCATTGGTTGTTTTATTTGCTGCTCCATTCGTGCAGCTGTCCTTCACACAGAGCATGAAGCATGAAAGTCTTCCCAAGCGTATCATGGTGCCCCTGACCAGCTCGGTCAAATGTTGCTCTTCTTGCTCAGTTCTTCGTACCTCGACACTGTCGTTGAAAAATGCACTTGTTTATTGTTTTCGTCATTGGTGCCACATAATGACTCACGCAGCTAATGCACGTTTATGGTTGCGTTTAGAAAAGGACTCTTTGACGTTTACTAGGGATAGTACTGCAGCTGCAATGACTCTTTGTTATTGTTTACTAGAAAAAAGGACTAAGTTGTTGTTGACTAAACGTAATTAAACAGCAATATCCATATCGTAAGCTCTGCAATGAATGGGTGAGAATGAATGACTAGATCGATGTTCAATGGTTGTATTTGTAATTGTAGTTCATGACTGTTAAGAAATAAGTACTAAGTATACTTACCTACGTGGCCAGAAAAAGTTAGAATGTAAGAAGTTCATTGCATGACGGGGAAAGACGATGAGAAGGTGAGTAAAACTGTGAGAGAGCTGCGCGTGGTTGGAGAGGACTTTTACAACGTACTACATCACTGGGTAGATAAGTATTAGTCTCACTCCAAGTGCCACTGGACATTCATGATTAGAAGAAATTCCGAAGGCACACGACAAGAGCCGAAAGAAGCAAATGTATGCTGCATGCGCGCGTCCCTGTTGTCAACTTTCCTGAGGACCGCAGAGACAATGGCTTTTTTTTTCACATAAGAAGTACACTGAAGCTCATTAGAATTAGATACTTAAGTATCAACTCGACCTTTTGCTAGATCATGTAGAGTTCCCGTGACCCAAGCTTGTTCTTGAAGACGTTTTGTAGGACTAGGACTAGGACTACTACTTCTAGCTACTTCTCGCACGTCATCCTCACGATGTTGAAAGAGATCTTCAAACTCTACCCTCAAGTTCCCTGATGATGATCCTCCTCGTCCTCGTTTCTTTTCTGAAGATCCTGAAGTGGAAGCCGACGTCGGTCTTCGCATCAAGTCCCCTGCTGCCACCTTCCGCCTTGCGTTCTTCAAAATCGAGGTAATAGTTCGATTTTCACGAATGAACTGATTGTTCTTACTGTTCTTATTGTTCTGGTGGGGTGCATGTTCCTCATCTTCACCTTCACCACTTCTAATACCATCTACAACAACCTGTGCTTCCAACCTTTCCCTCACTTGCCGATGAGACAAACCTGCTGACGCTGAGGACGGCCGCCGACTGCTGTAGTTCTGCGCACTTATGGGACGCTGCCTTATCATCTGCTTCAAGGTAGTGGAGCTTCTTTCTGATGATGTAAATAAAGGTCCTGCTGCAACTGTAGTCGTGGTGCTAGAAGTTCCTCTTGGCGTTGCAGTAGAAGCGAAAAGCTGTCCTCTAGCTTCCAGGAGGTCCTGTTCTAACTGTGCTGCACTTTTCTGGCTACGCCACTCATGCTGAGTCCACGATCTATTTTTCGCTGATCCCGGTCTGGTACTAGTGCTACTTCTAGGCCCGCCTCCAGGTGATGACATTCCTGCTGTCATATTCGCAGCGTTACTGAACGAATTCATAGGAGACGATACACGTCCACCAACCTCTTCTACATTGAGATACTCATCGTCCACAGCTTTTTTCTTTCTGTGCCATTTCCTAGTGGCATCTGCTCGTGCAGCTGCACCTTTTTGAGTCGCCGTACGCTGCGCGGTCCAGGTCTTGTGCATACGTTTCCACCACGACAACTGTTGAGGACTTTGTTGCTGTTCGTTGTCGCCTTCATCATCCACATGAGCGTGGTCTTCGACATGGTCGGGATCTCTACCTTGTTCTTGTTCTTCAGCATCTTCAACGCCGCCGGTTGAGTTCTTGATGTCGTTCTCGCTAGTACCGTTATAATTTCTCTTGGAAGAGGAACTAGAAGTAGAAGCGCCACGAAGTAGTTTTTCTGCTCCTCTACTTCTTGGGGGGGGCGGAGGCACTACATTTTTCGCTGAAGACCTTCTATTGTCCTCCTCTCGCGGTGGAGACTGAAAAACAAATACTGAAGGAGCTGCCGCAGACGATCTGTTTGCAGGAGTACTTGTTCTTCCTCCACCAGCACTTTGGGGGCGTACTGAGCCCGGAACACGTGAACCAGCACTCTGTGGACGTCGATAATTTTGATCACGACCGCCTAGTGCTACAACTGGTGTTGGCGAACTATAATCAGCATCATCTTGATGCAGCATGTCACGATTGAGATAGGTTCGCAAAATCTGAGGCGAATTATCTCTAGCATCTTGTTGTTCGCCTTCCTGTTGGAGGTGAAAGTCGATTTTCTGTGTCTGATTCAACATCTGTTGTTCGGCTGCTTCTGCGCGCGCCTGCTCCAGCTCACGCCTCCGATCTTCCCTTTCGCGCTTCTGCTGCTGTCTCACCTGCGACCGCTGATCCGACAGAAAAACAACGTCAACCGGAGGTGGAGCTGCTGGACGATCAGAAGGTTTGTTCTTGTTCTCGTGGCTACCATGGTGATGGAACAAGGTAGCGCTAGCCTTTGTCGCGACTGGTGACGAGGAGGTTTTTGTATTATCATCCCACGCAGCTGCCCCACCTCCATTTTTAGCACCTCTATGTGGAGTAGACTGACTGGTTTCCGGATAGTCAAACAACCCAACAGTGGTCCTTGTTGGTGCAGCGACTGTGACTTTCTGGTGTGCTGAAGTAGGTCTAGCACTTCGTGCAGATTGTGGCCGTGCTGGATTTGGACTGGTCGGTCTCCTGGTGTTGGTCGCAGAAGTGTTACCATCCTTAGTACTAGTAAAAACATGCTCATGATGTTGCTCGTTCGCATTCGCCAACATGACGCGTGGCGACTTCCTAGGTGATTTGCGTCCTTTTTTTCGATCATTTCCTGAGGACCTAGGAGAAGCTCTTGGTGAACTTCGTGGTGATTTCTTAGGAGCTCGTAACGAGGCAGAACGGCCTCCAGTCGATGTTCCACCTGCAGTTGTTCCTGTAGTTGTATTGACTGAAGAACTCACTTCGGAGCCTTTTGATACTGACCTAGCCCTACTTGAAGAAGAAGAGGATCCTCCCATTGTGCTACTATTAAGACGTTCAACTTGTTCATGTCCCGCATGAGTCGCCGACGATGATCCTAGATTCGCAGCAGTCGTTGTCAAAATCTCCTTCCCGAGTCCTGTTTCAACAGTACTAGAATCGCCGTCACCGCAGGGAGTCTTAGTGGAAGAAGAAGAGGCCCCTCCTGCAACACCAGTTCTCGTCTGCGTAGCTGTCCTTGTCTGAGGACCTCCTAAGTCCGCCTCCAAACCTGCAATCAGATCCCGTTCTTCATCCGTGAAAGCGAACTCATCGAAGCCTGACAATTCCTGCTGGCATACACTAGCTGTGGGAAGGTGGATTACTGAGGGTGTCGAAGCGAGAAAGTTTTTCTGCTGGTGAGCAGAAGGTGTTGTTCTGGAGGTTGTTGTTGTAGCACCGTTCTTGTTCATCCTATTGCAGCTTATTGTTGTCGTCGTAGAGGGTGATGTTGGATTTGCTTTTTTTGTTGTGGTCGTGGAAGAAAAAGCGCCACTAGTACCACCTGAACCAATCGAAGTACTAGTACAACTACCCCTATTGCTATAAATATTCTTTCCAAAACAATTAGGCTGTTCGTCAGGAGCACTTTCCAAGTCGGGTGAGAAGAGGACTTTTGAGTGATCATCGAAATCACTTTCCTGCACGTCTTCGGTGTCCCGGTAGACACTCCTACCCCACAAGGGTGTGCCAAACAAGGGTGTTCCCAACTGACGTAGAAGCTTAGCAGCTGAAGATGGCTCTACTATACTAGAGGATGCTGAGCTGCGACCTCGTGCACTCGGGGGAGTCTTAGTACTTGAGAAAGGTTGTTGAAGTCCTTTTTCACAGGAGGATGGGTCAACAAGTTTCCCTCCGAAAGCTGGTGTACTTGGAATTTTCAAGCGTTCTTTAGTCCTTATAGAGGTTCTCCTGCTTACTACTTTTTCGTTGTCACCTCCAGACTTCGCACCAGCAGTATCGTCTCCTAGCTCTATAGAAATTTCGTCGCAACTATGCGAGGCAGAGGCAGAAGATGAAGCAGCGGAGGCAGAGGACGAAAGCGTTCTTTCTCTACTCGCGCTGCGACTAACATTCGTTGAGGAAGCTGCACTTGTACTACAAGAAGTTGCTGATGCGGAGGTGGTCTGCTGTCGATTCGCTGCAGTCGAAGCTAGAGGTTTAGAAGGTAGCGGCTTTTCATCTTGTTGCGACTCCTCAGAGGGAGCAGAAACAGTTGCTTTAGAATCTTTTCTAGCAGCACCGCTTCCACTGGTATCGGTATGCTTCTCGTCGGATCCTTTCACGATGTCTTCCTTTAAGATCTCGTTGCCCTTCACGAAGCCAGAAGCGGTCACTTCAGTCTCTTTTTCCCTCGTCTCTGCGACTTGTACAACTTCTACCATTGTTGAACTTGAAGTAGTTGTGTCGACTGCACCAGCGCCAGGAGTCGTGTCGTCTTTATTTTTAGCAGTAGTTGCATCGACCTCCTCTAGCTCTATCTTCTCATCATCACTCATAATATCGGCGAAGTTACTGCTCAAGTGAGGCGCCTCTTCCTTGAATAGGTAGTCGATTTCGCCCTCATCTGAGTCCTCAGCGTCTGATATCACTTCTGCTTTGCTCACTGTGCGACTGGTGACATTACTCCTACTATTGTTCAGCGGGCCACCATTGTTCCCGTAAAGGCGTCGTCGGTACTCCTCGGAAAGCTTGAATTTAGGAGTCAGGACCGGGATCTGCTGAGATCCAGCTGTTGAGTTCAAATCTTTATTGGAGGTACTTATATGTTGGATACTTCTCACTTTAGATGAGGAAGCAGATGTTGGAGGAATAGTTTTGGTAGACGATGAACATGGGTCCTCCAGAGTTGCCGCGGAAGACGAAGAACTTGAGGACGAAGAAGAGGAGTTTGAGGAGGAACAGGACGAAGCTGAGCTAGCGGATGACTTGGAGGCACTACTAGAAGAAGCTGCGGTCTCCGTGGCTCCTTGTCCGGAGGATGATGAAGAACTGCTCGAAGAAGACTGCCCAGAGACAGACGTCTTTGACGACATGATCTTTGAGTCCACAGCAACTACAGGGTGGCTAGTACCTACTACATCTACAACAGAAGCGGTGGCTCCAACTCCACTAGATCTTGCGCCACTAGACACACTCGAAAACTCAGCACCTTGTCCCACTGCAGGCTCTTGTTTCTTACCAGGCGACTGTGACTCATCTGGAGTACTTGAGCCACGCAAGAGCCGGAGATCCGAAGATGAACTTCGGTTTCTCCGTAACGCCACCACCCGACGCGCACGTTGTCTTATGTATTTGTCCGAAGATCTGGTGCTATTCATCTCCACTACTCTCTGTTCTAGCTTGCTTACGTAGTCGTCTAATGGCGTCTTTGGCTGCTGATGTTGCTGAGGGTCAGCTAAGTCGTCAATGTCTTCCTCAATCGACGAGGTAGATTTGGACGCATCACGCTGCCTTCGAAGATTATATGGTCGTGACTGACTCTCCGATGTCCAAGTGCCGAACCGTGTAGGCTGAGCATTTAGATCGAAAGCACGTTCCGTTTTCCATGGAGAAGAAGATTGTTCTCCAACTGTTCCCTTGTTGTTGCTGTTCTCCGAAGATGACGATGCCGAGACCTGTTGTGGTCTTTCTTTCGTCGGACTTCGAGAAGCTCCTGCAGCAGGCACGTTAATATTGAAGAAGGTAGTACTTGTTGATTGAGCTTCGTGCTCGTGTTCTTGCATGGCTTCCAAATGAGGAAAACGGCGAGAAGTTTTGTAAGCGTCGACATCGAAGGCTGCGTTGTCTTTAGCTGCACTTATTTTGTTGTTGTTCTCATTTGTTTTAATATTACGTGCTGGTGGAGCAACTTTCTTCATCTTCATCATGTTCATATTCATTCTTAGATGTCGGTCTCTGGAAAAGGTATAGTCATCATCCTCCACGAAAGGAGGATGATTCTCTTCTTCGTCAGAACAAGAACTATCTCCACCACCTGCTCCACTATTTACAACAAAGACACCTTGTTCATCCTCCTTCATCGAAAACAGGGAGTGCTCCTCAGCCGCGTCCTGCGTTGCATCTACGTCCACACTGAAGTTCCGGTTTCTCTTCGCAGCCTGTGCAGATGATGGTCTACGACTCACTTGTGCGGATGAAGGTCTCTTCAATGTGACACTAGTAGCAGGATTATTAGGATTTTTGATAGTCGTTCTAGATGAAGTTGTGCTAGTGGTCGACGATGGTGTTGTAGTTGTATTTGTTTTCCTAGGTGTAGGGCCAGCGGATATAGCTGTACCTGCTCCCGCAGAAGTGGTGGATGTGAAATTCCTACTACCTGTAGTGGCCTTAGCACTTGTTGTACCAGTCGACGAAGAAGACAAGGACGCCTTACTGTTCGAGTTTGCACCACCAGACGAATTGTTCGCGCCGCTATTTCTCGTATTCTTGTAGTATGCTGCGGCGACAATACTTGCCGCAGCTTGTTTACTAGAGCGCTGCCGCACCCATTGTCGATACCCCTGCGCAGACGATGGTCGTTGTGGCTGTGTCTCTCGCACGGGAGAAGTGACTGATATGGGTGAATGTTCCATCATGGGAGGGGCGTGATGGTTCTCCGGAGGTTCGCTTGTTACCCAACCAGGTCTTGGTGTCATACTAGATGAAGCAGCTTGTAGTTGATCTTTAGCTGTACTAGTGAAGTTCACATCTTCCTTATTTTTGTTCGGCTGCTGTGTTGTTGTAGTACTAGATACCTGAGGATTCGCGCTCATCGGCCTCTGCTGTTCTCTTTTCCACTCCTCTGCAGCGCGTAGCCATGGAGTTGCGATGTCCCCTCTTGACAAGACACGCTTAGCATCACCCGATGAAGAGGATGAAGTAGCAGGAATACGGTCTTCTACGTCTGCTCTGCTACTTGTCGCACTAGTGGCGGCACTGCTAGCCTTACCTCCTCTATTTCCTTCAACATTGCTTGTCGGTGTTGCAGCACCTGCAGCACCAGGACCCATTGTTCTAGAACTACTATAAAAGCTTGCTGACGAAGGCTCGCCACGGCCTCGTGGTCTGGCTGAAGCGGGTCTTGTCGCGGATTGTGGTCTGCGTGCGGCGCCTGCTGATTGCGGTCGCGAAGGCGGTTCTTGATTCCATCGATTGTAAACGGGAAACTCTACTTGGTGCTGCTCTGATGGCCTGGTCGTGGACGAAAGGATGTTTGATCTTTTTCGATGCTTGTATCCCTGTTCATACCAGTAGTACACACTTTAGACTTGAATGGAAATGGTGACATTGAAAATCTGAATCGTGACGGTGAAATTTTCTTTTTCAGATTGTTTCCTTAAATATCAAAATATGTTGTAAATAAGTACTACTATTAGTACCCAGCTGCAGCACCCGCAGTTCCATTTTTCGACATCCCACCGCCACCAGAAGTTGTTCCAGTGTTTTTCTTGCTTGTTGTTCCACTCGAAGAAGATGGGTTGACATGCACAGATGCGGAGGTCAATCGGCTTGAGGCAACTGGTAACCTCGCAGATGCCGTTTTGGGCCTTGCTGTCATCTTTGGGACTGCTGGCTTTCCTCCAGTTGTTGGGTCCCGTCCGGCTGCTCGATTTGGATCGGCTATAAAATCGCCTAGTGTTTCTTTCAAGAAGCTTTCAAAGATTTTTGATTTGCTCTTGCTTGTTGAGGCAGCGGACGTGGAGGTGGTGGATGCAGAAGAGGTAGATGCGGTGGCACTTCTCGGTCGCGGCGGTCCAGAAGAGGTAGTAGATGCGGTGGCACTTCTCGGTCGCGGCTGTCCTCCAACATTCGCATTCCGAATATCATTCAACTGATCCTCGTTTGGACGAGAGGAGGAACCCACATCGGGACCTAAATCTCCAGTCGCTGCCTCACCAGCTCCATTTAGGTACACTTCTTGACATTCGATAGTTGTCTGATGACAAATGAAGTTGTGGCCACAAGTTTCGCACAGTTTGAAACAGTGGAATTGGCTGCAAGCTTTGGGACCGCAGATGAGACAGGAGAAGGGAGGCAGAGGGCTGTGATCTTCGGGACCGTGTCCACAGGAACAGAGCCAGCCATTCGGGACATACTGGAAATTCTCACAGGCACAGTCGGTACATTTGTAGGTTTTCCTGTAGGAGATGAGATTTGAACGTGGTGTCGCTAGATAAAATTGTTTGACAGACTTGGAACTCTACTTCAAGTGATACTACTTTGGTTAAATTTGAGCTCTACTTCAAGTGATATTAATCATTCATGCGATATTGAAGGTTACTGCAAGAAGAAAGTTCAACTCTTAAACAAGTACCCCTGATTCCCCCCTCCAAAAGAGTCGTTGTACGCACTCGGCTGTTTCACAAGTTTGTGACCCGAGAATGGATGACCGCAGAAGCATTTATGGCCGTGCTGGATATGCACACACGCTTTCCTCTGATTCGATAGGTAGGCTGCTATGTCACTCACCTTACATGCTGCACATTCCCACACAACTTGATGCTTCAAGACCGTAGTACGGACTTTATTGTCTGCAGATGAGGTGGAGGTGTATTGATCGCCACTCGTTGTTCCAGTTCCTCGACTGGTGGTTACACCTCCTGCACTGTGGGGCCTTGCTGTACTCGTAGTTCTTGTAGTAGTTGGTCCTCCAAAGGGCTGTGGAAATGAGGGACCTTGATTAAACGATGGACCTCCAGAATTGGGGAAATTCACACCATCTGGAAAAAACGATTCCTTGTAATTTCTTGCCGCATCCGCTGCTGCCTTTTTCCACTGCCCATCCGGGTGGGCTGAAGGACGTGTACTAAACCCTCCAGGAGTAAAGTTCGGATGATTCCCTTGCCAACCTGTGAAATTATGACCGCCTCCACTGGTTTGGGAAGATCCACTCGCGGAACTACCTGCAGAAAAACTACCTGGTCCTCCAGTTGGACCAGCACCACCATAGGAACCACCTTGTCCTTGTTGTGCATTTTTCTCCCATCTCCCTGTTGTTGCTTCGTACACTATTCGATGTAGAATCGATTTATTTCGTCTGCAATATTCCACCAGCACGTCTCTCGCAGCAACGACCTGCTGAAACTTTCCCTTGGCGACCTCTGATTCATCGAGATTCTTGTCCGGATGGAAGACCAGAAAGCTTAGAACTACACTAGATATTCTTGCTGTAGATTAAGTTCATGTAAGTAGTTGTAGTCAGAATCTATTCTGTCCAGAATCAACAGTCCATCTTTAAAAAAATATAGGAGGATGGATGGAGAGAAAAGACTCTGTGACTTTGAAAATGAACGGAGACAGAGTAGACTCCTTGATGTTGATCTATGTGAACAATATACCTCAAAAAAAATTATCAAGTATCGACTCTCCACCATCGACATGAATCATAAAGCAAGACGCTTGTAGGCTTTCTGGACTCCATTTTCCGTGATGTCATCTTCAGCTGGAAAGCCGAGGATGAAACGAGCCTGCCGCAGCGACGGTGGCCCGGCGTGTTGTTGTGCGGCCATCTTGTTTTTGAAAAATTACCCCTATGAAGAATACGGCTCCATCGTAGCAGTTGTTGCCATGACTTAGTAGTCTGACTTGGCTAGTAGGTCTACGATGATCGCGATCTGAGCACAGGTATGTGTTGGTGGGGGAAGACGCGATGGCGAGTTCGGGAGAGATGCGGGTAAAAGGGACGCTTCTTCGCTAACAAGAACCAACTCATGAATTGAAATTCATACAGACTGTCAAAAAACCACGACCGAAAAACCACGAAGCAACCACCGATGTTGTGTCGCGACAGACCGATTAAGAAGCGAAATGTTTCGACGGACCGCTTCTAAAGTTGTTCGCGACAAATATTCTGTTCCGCGACTTTAATCCACCTACACTCATGATCTCTAAATCGTAAGATAAATCCCCCTCGGTCACCGATTGAAGAGCCAACCGATTGGTCGGTCTCGCGAAGCCATACCTGCACTTCCTTCACCGAAATTATAAGCAGCGCAACTGAACGAATAATGTCGACAGCAAGCACAAACCCGCTCGCTGCTTGATGCGGGCAAGGATTAAGCGGCGCATGTTTTTTTCAAGAAAAGCAAGCTTTATTCACCAATTACATCGTGAAAACGCCGGGTCCTTTGCCAGCTCAAGTGGTTTTTGAGTGGCTCCATTCGTTTTTTCATTCACATTATTCGTTGTAAGTTGAAAGGTTTTTTTTGAACTTCTTGTTGATGTAGTTTGTTAGATTTTGTATTTCTGCTGTTGAAGTAGTTTTTGGTTTTAGTATAAGTAAGTTTGCCAGCTGTTGAGAGTTTTTAAGCACACAAGAGGATCCTAAGTTGAACTTGAATTTGTCTCTTCTTTTTGCATCCATATTTTTGCGATCAGAATCAGATAGTGAAGTCGATAGTTGGTTTAAACGTTGTATCTACTATTCAGGCCTGTGAATCAAATTGCAGGGAACTTGTATTATGTAGGTTGAGAAAAGACGCGTTTCTTGGAGAAATCGCGCCGACTGAAGTTGAGAAAATCTGTCTTAATATTGATTGTACTCCGCATTTTCGATTATAACTCCTCATGTTTGATACTTCAATTGGTTAATGGCAATAGCAATAGGAAAAATAGCATCATCTGGATCTTCTGTATAAGTAGATAATCATCATTTTCAACATTTTTACTACAACGAAGACGAACAACGCACTACAACGGAGACTTCTGAGCAGTCAATTCAATTAGTAGTTAAGCTTGCATAAGTAGGAGTAGCTATTCATAGATGATAACAAGCACAAAGTACAACATTCAAACGAACGAACCAACATCATGGGAGCAGCTCCGCAAGAGAGTTGACAACTCATAAGAACTTCTACCTCATTATTAGTCCTGTTTCAACACCAATAGAAGTTTAGATCTGTAGTTTTTTGTACGACATCCGCTTCCGCTGTATCAGCTACTTAATCCTTAGACTGTACTTACAACTAAGCTGCACAACATTTCATATTATAGAAGAACCTCCTGCTGAAGTAGATAGAAGTCGTTGCTATATCGATTGTTGTAGTGCCTCAAGTTCCTCTTGCAACGCTTCATTTGTAGTACTGGAACGTGAAATCTCCATCAATGAAAAGCCAGTTCTCTAATTCATCGCCTCACTCATCTCATAGTCCTATGTCTCAGTACCTCCACGACATGCTACTTGTTCTTGGTAGTTCCTCTCTACAACTCTATACCACAGACATTGGTTCACACGTTCGACCTTCTCTATTTCTCTACTCTATCATATTAGAAGTTTGCTCTAGGAGTATAGCAACCTTAGAAGCCTTGCGGTGCCGGTGCACCTGCGTTGGCAGCATAGTACTCGGCATCGTCGGCATAGTAGTAGTCCGCAGCGTTCAGGGGAGCCGCGGCCTCACCAGCCATCTCGTGGTCACCCTCGACTTGCGGCTCTTGTAATTAGAACAAGTAGTCTTGAAGGGAGGTATAAAGTTTATTACGAGGGGAAAACTTACGGGATTAGAGTAAGGGATTGGTATAATATTTATAAGTATATAGTACGATACACCAACGAGTCAGAAGTAACGTTGCCGGTCATTCGGTCGTTTAGCCAATCATAAAAGTCATCTTTTCTACTGTCAGTCTCAATCATTGACATCAAAAAATCCATAATCAGCAACAGCAGCTGCTGGGATCTCGACTTCGGCGGCAGCAGCCTCTTCGACCACCGGCGCAGCGTCCGCGGCCTCGGCCTCGGCCGGGGCTTCCGGAGCAGCTTCCTCAACCGGAGCAGCCTCAGCGGCCTGAGATTAGGTTATGTTGGCGGATAAGTATTTTTCTTTCTTTTCAAGGCCTCTCAGTGAAGGTCGTGAACTTGGTCGCGTCTAAACATCAACTATGATTTTGTACTGTTCTACTTTCTTGTTGCAAATCTCAGGATTGAAAACTACACTCTTCAAATAGCCAGCTCTAGTAGACCCAACTGTCCTACAAAAAAACCTCTCCAATGATGTACTAGTAAATCACTATAGATGCCTGATCCTCAGCCTCCATATGATATCCCTCGACCTCCACTTCCATCTGGACATCTTCCTCGTCTGCGACCGGTTCTTGGACGTCCTCAAAAGGAGCCTCACCATAGGTATCGGATTCGACGACCGCATTGGACTTCTCCTTCAACTCCAGGAATTAGAAGAGGTATTGGCCTACAATATCAATATAGGTAGATAGGGTCTGGCCAAGAGGGTCTGGGGACGGGGATGTCTGTGGGGTCTGAGATGTACCTCTAGGATTTATCGTCGGCTTAAAAAATATTTCCCACTAGGATTTGATCAACATTGGTGACCGAAAGACAAGGCAACAGACGAGGTTCGTCTTGTTTCATTATTAATTTCATTTCTAGCACGACTTCTGAGTTAGATGACAAAGAATCTTTTCATAAACGAAGCTCGAGATGACCTTAGCGAAATCCTCTTCGGTCTTCTCGGCATCAGCCTTCGCCTCGCTGGCGCCATCAACCTTCTCTTGATGCTCGGTGATCTTGGCCTGTAGTTCGTTGTAGTAATGGTTGAATTCATTGTTTTCGCAAAAATGCTGCGTGAAACAATGATAAAACTCGACGTATTCAAGAGCAAGGAATCCTGTTAGTACCTTAATTCCAGATTCCTTGCTTTTCAAAGCCGACAGCTGGGTCTTTTTGTCGTTAACGCGGACAGTAGACGCATCCAATTGCTCCTTCGCCGCTGCGAGGTCTGCCTCGGCCTGAATTGATGTTGCATGGAAAATTTTCAATAATGGGTAAGTGCTCAAGGTCGTCGTAAAACGTGATGTCAATGAAAACTAGACCTACATCAACTACTCCTGTTTACTACTCATCGTCCATTCAGTACATGAAGGATAAATAATATTAGCGACTACAAAAAAAGTCAAGAACATCCTATAAAAATACCGTCTCCACAACTGCAACTGCTGCGAGGCGTTGGCCTTCCATTTCCTCGATTTCGGACGCAATTTTGCTGACGAAAGAGGACAAAGTCTGATCAGCGTTCTGGACAACGATGTCCTCGAATTTGCCTTCTCGGTCTGCTTTCTGTTTCGTGACAAAGGAGTGTTGAGAAATGTTTCTGTTTCGTGACAAAGGAGTGTAGAGTTTTTATGTTTGTTGATAGATCATGGTTTTGATTCTTCATGTAGTACTACTACTACTAGTACTGGGATGAAAGAAACGAAGACAAAAAGTACATCAACTCTCAACAGTTAATATAGCAAAAATGTAGGTTTTGTGTAGGACTACTCTATTATCCTATTGAAGCCAAAATTAAATTTGCCGGAGTCATAATCTCACTTGTAAGTGCACTGAGAACATTTAAAAATACCGGAGTCATAATCGCACTGGTAAGAGCACTGATCATGGACTCTCCGCTTCCAACCTTCTCAAGCAAGCGCTTCAATTCAGCGACTTTCTTCTTACCAGCCTTGTCGCTGGATGGAGCTTCCTCTACCAGGGGTTTAAAGATGGTTTCGATTCCTTCCGAAACCTCGGCGCTGCGCTCCATCTTGGCGCCTTTATCGGCTTCCAGCACTGTCACGGACTTCTTGGCCTCCTTGACTGCCCAAGTTAGAGAGATAATTTCTTGGCCTAGAAGATGTCAACACGGTCGCGTTCTCTTTCTATCTTGTTACTGCAAAAAATGTATAATATCATCATCATGTTGTTGATCATGTGCTAGCTCCAGTTCCTGTTCTTCTACTAAGTACTTGTATCCACAAATAAACCATAACTTCTGAGCTGCCTTATGAGTGTCGGTGTCCTTTTCCAATTCTCCCTCCAGGACATCTCGCTTGTCCATAGTCTCGCTGATTTCGGCCTCAACCATCTTCTTTTCAGACTCGAGGTCGGCAGAGACCTGTAGTTCTTACAGGTACTAGTTGAAGATCTATGACTTTGAGGACTCGAGGTCTGAGGAGGTTGATCTATGACTTTGACGACTCGAGGTCTCAGGAGCGAGGTTGATCTATGAGCTGAGTACTTATTTGATGTAAAAAAGGCATTAACGTTAGTGTTGTTGTTGACCACATGAACAATTCTTGGATTTGTTGGTCTGGAACAGGATAGTAACTTTGCGATGTTCACAGAGTCAAATCAAAAGCAAACCTGATCTCCAGTGGAGATGACTTCTTCATGCTTCTTCGTTTCTACGTTTAGGCGGGCAGCGGCTTCCTTCAATTCCGTCTCAATGAAGCCAATTACGCCATGTTGCACGGAGTTGCGCTCCTCAATGGCCACGTTCAAGCACAAGGAAGCACCGGTGACGAGCAAGTTTGTGGTGTCAAGGCCCAACTCGGAAGGGATTAGAGAGTGTCAGGGAGAACAAGGGGGTAAATAAGAAGTTTCGTGTTATGATGTTCTATTTCTGCCTGATATAATCATAGCCATCAATTTTCGCTGTCATGTGTCTGTCCCTGATCGTGTCGCTCCTAACACCCGTAGAGACAGAGTCTGAATGTAGTCATGATCGAAATCAAGATACAGACAGCGCGGAGGAAGTATTTGGATTTCAAACTTACTACTCGAAGAATGAGTGTGGATTTCAAACTTACTACGCGAACAAGAATGAATGCACATCCACATCGTCCTTGACTTGATTCATAAGTACAAACGCAGAGCCTCTTGGACAGACTCGAGCTTCTCTTGCAACGGGTCGATAACTTTCTCTTCCTTCTTTCCCTTCTTAGCCGCGGCACCCTTCTTCGAGGCAGACTGGAGAGGAGGATGTGGAGAGTATGGGGATTGAGATCATGAGACCAAGAAGTATGATTAGAAGATTTCAAGTGTAAGTAGTATGTGTACGCTTTCTCCGGACAAGAGGTTTGTTTTTGCTAGTGAATACCTTCTCAGCCTCCTTCTTCGCGGCCTTTCCGTTTTTGGGCTCGGACTTCATAACCTTGGCCCCCTTTCCCGCTGCTTTCATAGCCATCGGCATCTTGGAGTGGTCTACTTTTTGTGTTCTAATGAACTACAAAAAGGAGAGTGATCGACTTCTAAGTCGTTGAAACGGACTAGGACTTGTGAGATCGTTGTGTTCTAAGAGCTCTACGCGGTGTTTTGATGAGAAGTGAGATGTCGATATGTTGAGTAGAATGAATGGATGACATGAAAGAATAGTTGGAGAAGATGAAACATATGGCAGTTGTATGGCCAATTCTTCATCTCAGAAGGACTTGTCACTCTCGCGTTGCTCACTCCATGATCATACCTCTCTTTATACCAGATCAATGATGCATATTTGTCGATTTGCTTATAATCACTTCATTCTACAACTGATCGATCTTTCCCTGCTCGACAACGATACGAGTGGCTCTCTAGTGCTCTTCTCGTCAACACCTCGACACTTCCTCCTACGAGAGCGAAACTTTTTTGATTTTGTTCGAATGCGAGTTCAGTGTTCTTACATCAAACCTCTCGACAGTTCTATTTCCATTTCAACAAGTAAATCCGAGCTGAGATTTACCCGCGGGCACTCAGGCGTCATCGGCAACGAGATCGCTGACCAGCTAGCCGGAATAGCAAGCTCTTCGGACTTCCCCGCCGAGACGGGACAGGCGATCGGCCACAGGCAGTACCGCACGGAGGCCGCGAGGGTACTTCGAGTAGCCAAGTCGCGCCAAATAAGCGGAGCAGCACGCACAGGGAGCAAGACGGCCAAGACCGTAACAGACACAGGCAGCTGCGGCAAGGACCTCCTGCGAGGCGTAACGTGCTCGCGGGAAGACGAGCGGCGATACTATGCCTTCAGGCTGGGACGCTTGGCGAGCGGAGTCACCGGGGAGGACGTTGGCTGCCCGTTTTGCCCTGGCCTTGCGGCAAGCACGCAGCACCTACTAGAGTGCCCTGCGCTCCAGGCTCTAGTAGAGGCCCACGGAGTCCCGGCGAATGTTGGGGTGGCTGCGTCGAACCCGAAGCGGCTAATCCCATACCTTCGCGACTTAGCGACCAGCTTCGGCGGTGCGTTCTTGCGAGCGCAGCCGCCATACCTCCAGTGAAGACAAGGGGAAACGAGTAGCGGCCGCTGTGGTAAACCCATCGCTGCCCGCTACGATAGGACGGGGGCCGAGATAGGTGGTGGCGCACAAAGAACGAGCAGGGAGGAGACAAGAAAGGAAGCACGCGAAGACAAAAAAGAACGAAGACAAAACGAGAACGCGAAGAACAGTGCACGCAGGCCGCAAAAACGTCAACCGAACCCGGACGCGCCTCACCGCCAGGCGCTACCTACGCGCAGTCGCCGCCGCCTGCTGCACGCCGCGCCTGGTATGCCACAAAAGCCGCAGCTGGCGGGGACTGTGGCGACCAGACATACCATAGTCGATCGCAATGACGACCATAGCACTACACACACAGAGCACAAAGAAATCCGGCGGGATCGTACGCGTCGCCCGGAGCGCATCAAAACAAACAAACAAGTAAATCCAAATTAAGCACGCTTCATCTCTTAGTTGTAGGTTTTGTTCAGCAATCATAATAGCAATAGGTTAATACGTTAAGTCTGTCCAAAAGCTATATATCAAGCTGCCATGCACAAGAGCTTCTATACATGTACATCTGCTCCTTATTATTAGTAACCACCAACCAATTGACGTTAATTTGTAAGTTAATTTCTGTGCAGCATGAAGTACGCTGTATGTCGTTCTGACGCGTTATAAATGTTAATCGAGACTAGTCTATAATCTAAGACAGTTTAGGTTCATTTTGGAAATTTTGGTAGGTTCATTTTAATTATGTAGGATATAATTTCAACAAAGTAGGTTCATTGTTCTGGCTACAAAATATTGTGCGCTAGACGGTATTGTTTATGACACGATGTTACAGATATGAAAGCCCAAAGTACAACTACAAGATGTGAAGTGTTTCTATCCCCTACACCAACAGCAGTCCAACTACCGTTTCTCACTTCTCTCCAAAATTCTTGCTTGTTCGTTTTCGAACTCTTCTTTTGAGAGTTGTAGGACCGCCTCCATTTTCTGCGTTTCGGCGTCTCCATAGCGCACTGCGCGTGTCTGCTCGTCGTACATGGCTTTGACACCAGCCATTTCCCGCTTCGTTTGCATAAATTCCACGAGGCGCAAGAGGTTAGAGAGTGAGACACGGACCGGAAAAAAAACTGCATAAGTATGCATTTTGTTTTTTCGGTGAGAGAGATAATGATAATGTGGGGTCATGTCCTACATGATGAAAGTACTCTGCTGAGAAGTCCAATCCACCAAAATATCGCAACCTGAGTACAAAACAACACAGTAGCAGCAACAAAGCCATAATTTCTCTGGTAGTATGTTGTCGATCGTGTCGCTTTTTCTTGGCCAATTCGGCTGCGGCTTTTGCTCTCGCACGCTCCTCATCCGCAACTCGGGATCTGTACACTTCCGCCAACATATTTTCGTCCTCGTAGGAGTCTACTCCTAAAGCAACTTGCGGCTTCAACTCGACTTTTTGGCGCACATTGGTTTCCGCACCGACGATGACCTAATATTCGTTGGATTTTGATGCTCATCGTTGTAGCTTGGGGCCGCGAGGGCTTAGGGTCATCGAAAAAAAAACCTTCCAACATATTATTTATAATCTTTAGAAGCTATAGGTAGTGAAGCTCAATAAATCATAGTCCTCTCTCTAAATATTGAATCTAACTCGTCTAAGTAAGTACTTCTGCCGGTGCCGCTGCAGGTTGTGCCAAGAGCTCTTTGAGTGCTTGCATTTTCTTTTGCTGTTCGGGTTGTGAAGGTCCTCCAAAGCGAGCACTTCCCATGCTTCCTCCGAGACCGCGGCTTCTCCCTAATGTACCTGGTCCGCCCGTAGCTGCTAGGATTAGAAAGGGAAGCGAATGTTTGAATTTTTACTCTCACACTTCTGTCTAAAACTTTGTTTCCACTTTGTCCTATAAGCGAGTAAACCTTAGATAGTCAAGTTAGTAAACCTTAGATTTGTCCTATAAGTTATTTTCACTTAAACTACAGGTACAGTCTAATCAATGAATTAAATCAGCTGCGAAGCAACCCTAGTCACGACCACCTTATCGATCCATAACATCGCTTTGTCCGGCACGACGAAGTTTTGTGACATCGTGAGCGCTCTCCTCTCCCCTTGCTTCACCTTCTCCAATTGCTCTTGTTCTAATTGTGCTTTCTTCAACAACAAAGAGTTTTCATACTCCTCGTTCTCGCGCTCCAAGAAGTAGAGATTCTTCTCACTCTGTTCGATAGAGTACACCACCGCTCGTTGGCGTTCTTTCTTCTCCTCCGCTTCGGTTTCGAGTCCGCCAACAGCCATTTTACGCATGATCTCCTGCTGGCGTTGTTCCATCATCAGTTTTCGGATGGGATTCATCTCCTTGCCGACTAAAACAGGTCGCCTTGACGGATCCGGCATATCCGGATACTGCTTCCGCATTTTCTGCAGAGAGGGTAGCTCCGCGAAGCAGTCACATTTAGAGCAGGTCGTTCCGCCATTGCATTCTTCAGATGCAGATCATCCTTGACTCTTTTCCTACTGAAAAACAAGTGAAGGCTGGTGGTGAAGAATGCGCGACGCCTTAACATATCCAAGTTCCTCTGGTCGATTCACGATTGCGTCAATCTCTCGAATAAGACCGTAATTGATAGTGCGTTCGATCCTCTTCGCTGTGTCGCCTGCCGCTCTTCGGAGCTCGGATTGCGCAGAACGGGCTTTGATTTCAAACTCGTTCTTTGTTGAGAAACCGAAGTGTTAGAGAATGTAGTGGGCAGATTGTAGTGTTTCTAGAGAATGTAGTGTTAGAGAAGTTTATTCTTGTGGTCTCTCCATTCTGCTGAACTTAACTTCTTATACTTACAATGAAGATACTGTATAAATTATTCAGTCTGAGATGAAACAGAAGAGCGATGGAACGACATTACAACAAAATTATCATATCTAGTTGTCGTTTTCAGCAAGCTATTCGAGGTGCTGCCCAATTTGCTCTTGGTCCCAGCAGGTGACGGCTCAGCACTAGGTTTCATCGCCAAACTATCTTCTGTCGTCGTGTTCGCTGTTTCAGTTATCTTCGGAAAGCTTTCGTCACTCTTCTGAACCGGCATAGAAGCGCCTAGTGCTGCTCCAGTCGGATCTCCAAATGCACCTGCATCGAAAGAAACCTCGCGATTCCTATCCGTCAGATTAGACCTATCCGTCAGATTAGACCTATCTCTGATGTGCACCCTTGAAAGCATGTACCTAGTCAAGAAGTACGTAGAACACTTTACAGGAAGGATGCACACAGGAAGGATGCACGTGAAGAAGAAGATGTAGATGAATTTTTTAATCATCTCTAGCCTTAAAAAGACCACCAGCCATTGCGCCCTCGGCTCCTTGTTCTTGTGCGGCCTCTAGTTGTGCTATTGGTACTAGTCGACCATCCTCTAATGGTAACATCTGAGACTCGTCAACTGCACCGCCTTATATTAGCGATGGTAAATAACGAGTAGAAGGAGCTAGACATGAAATTGTCAATGGGAAGTGTCTTGTTTCCTCGGTTGACAAATGTGGTCGTTTTCCCATGTCCATAACAACAGCATCTCATTCCGGATCCCGGTTTCGAACCCGCTGGCAGAGCTAGTAATGCCCGTAGCAGCACTCATTCCCGTTTGGTTATGAGAGTCTAGACCGCCACTTCCTGACCCAGATCCTGCTGTCCCCGAATGCCCAGGAGATAACCCAGCACTAGGTGAGGCTGGGAACCCTGTACCTGTCATGCTCTTTGGGATTAGAAGAAGACTCTTTGCCTTTGAAGATCATGCATGTGGTGGAAGATAGAAACTTCCCTAGCTATAATTTACAAAGATTGATTCAAGATGAGTACTTATATAGGAAGTGCACACTAGTAGAACTTGAAGAGGAAGAGGTTCATGAGAGACGAATAGAATTGACTAGCAGACTTGAAGAGCTAGGGAAACAACAGAGAAAATCACAACAGTATGAGTAGATCATTCATCGTAACACTAATCCCAGTTCCCGCAATCCAGTAGCTGCTTTTCTCTTTTTCTTCTTTTTCTTATCGCCCTCAGGCGCGCCGTCGTCCGGATCTTCGTCTGCGACAGCTTGTTTTGGCGCTGCGTCTTCGAGTCCAGGACTGTCAGGTCTCGGAAGTGGTATTACTTCGGTTCAGATTAGAGCTTGCCGTAATTCATCTTGGAGAGTTGCTTCACTGACAGTGCTTTCCTTCCCTTAGAGAAAAGGGGACCAATACCAAAGAAGATACTTCTCAAGATGAATTACGGGAAGCCTTAATTGAAACGGAAATCGTTGGGCAACAAAATAGGTGACAAGGCACTTCGTCAGCTTCCTGGAACAGAGGATAATCAAGCACTGGCTGTTGCCCGCTTCGGGACGGTACCAATGGAGGTTTAAAGATTAGAGTGTATAAAGAGGGGAGAGTAAAGGGGAGATGGCTTCAATGGAAGTTTCAGGATTAGAGTGTGGAAGTAAAAATACTAGAGGTGGAACCGAATGAGGATCCACCTTTAGTCCAAATATATTTAAGGAGCTTAGGCAAGAGTACTACCACGAATGCCGTGTCACACGTCATGTGTGTGTGTCCCGGATCATATGCCCCTTCTTGACCACCGTAAAGACACTACAATACGCTGTCTCTGCCACACCCTGTCATAATTGTAATGCATGTCTTCCGTGAAAATGATTTCGTCGAATTCTTCGCCATTCCTCTTCTTCAGATCGGGATCCCCATCCTTTTTCGCACCCCTAAGCTCCGCCATAACTCTTTGCAACAAGGCGCAAAAATTATCTTCGAGGACCTGGTGGGTTGTACATCGGTGCTTAGGGAGGTTAGAAATGTTATTCAGGATACCTAATGTGATACTAGGATGGTGAGCTTGATAGAGATGAGAGCTGATAGAGATGACCATGATGGTGCAAGTCACAGTAAGTAGTGTCTTTTCCAGCAGATTAAATGCTCATCTTCTATATGTGGCTAGGTTACGTCCCATCAATTGAAGAAAAATATCACCTTATCCGTCACTTTTCTCTTCTCCGCTGTCATGCGTTGTGTTCTGATCGGGGTACCGTCTTGATCCATCATTTTCTTAAGCCTGACCACCCAAAACTGACAGGGAAGAAAACCCGGCTTCTTCATGTTCTTCACGATTTGGATTAGAAACTCTAATTCATCCGAATTTGGAAGTGCAGAGATTTCCTCCAGTACAGTTTATATCTTGCAGCAATCTACTCAACCTCTATTCACGCTCTCGGTTCACCCAAAAATCAATCAAGAAGTTTCACATCCATTATCATCCGCCATAATTCAAACCTTTCTGGCATATCAGCTCCCTCTGGGAAGCGGGGGTTTATTATGCAATGCGTCTGCCCCCCAAAACGCATCGGGGCGATCATGAAAAGCCTAAATGCTACTGCACCACCATAGCCCAGACCAAAGCATCCGAATTTGTCTATTCTGTGATAGTCCAAAACTTTAAAGATTAGACCTTATTCCATAAATCCATCTTGAAAACACGCATCGTGTAACCTTTGCACACACCCGGCAAAACGGTTATATCAGAATTATGTTGCGTCCCAAGATGAATTAGAATTTATGGAAGCCTTAAGAGGATGATAGAGGGCATCACTTCGACGTAGTCTCTTGTATTCCGCTCAAACTCTGGCGGCGATTCAAACAGGATGACGTTGGCGCCTAGCTGCGTGTGCATATTCAACGCAATTTGGAGGAATTCGTGTGCCCTGAAGAAGTGTAAAAAAAAGGTCGTTCTGAGCACAGGCTGACATTCCTGCTATACTAGCTAAGCCTTCTTTATGCAGTGAGATGAAGTCGAAAACTGCAGTCAGGTCCTTCATCCTTGATATTAAGCGATCACTTACTACAAAGATCTTGCAGCAGATCCATCAATACCCATGCCCTCTCACCCCGTGATCCGCGATCAGCACAATGACTTTCCGTCCACTCCATCTGTTGACTAGTTGTAAGTGGTCCGCAGCGACCTTCTGCGCATGGGCAAAGGCTTGCGCAGTGAGGAAAAAGACCCAGTTTTTCGCAACTTCGTGTCTTATCTGAAACGTATTCAATTCCATGTTCCACAGGATTTTCTTATTAGAAAAATAATATCATTGATTTGATTAGATGTTATCAGTAGAGGACTCTAATCAAGAGGTAGATGCTGTTAGAAAAAATGTGTTGTAACTTATTATTGGTGTAAGTAGTTTGAGAGGAATTTAAGAGAGTAAGTTTACAGATTAGGTGTGGGCCTACCAGGAAAACTGGCAGACATGAATGGCTGCCGAAGAGCCAAAAAGGTGGGAAGCCGTTAATAGTGTTGATGTAAAACGCAGTTCGTTGCTATAGTTTTTTCTAGATGAATTATGTCGTTGTTTGTATCTACGCCGACTTGTTCTTTTAGGGCAAGTATTTCTTCATCATCATCATCATCATACTGCATCCCAAACGAAGATACTGGGCCATCGGCGGGATGATACGTTTCCTGCGGTTGCGTATAGTATACGGCTTTTATACAGACTACAGAGTACATTTGTACTGATCTACAACATGACTCGATACGTATCCTGCGGTTGTGTAGACCTATCCTCAGCCACGGCCATAACTTTTTCCCTGGCTTCAAACCCTTTGGCTTCGCCATTCTGCAAGATGAACTGTTCCACTTTTTTCGCGCTCTCTGAGGTATGAAACTTGTTATCTGGGTATTTTTCGCGGATGCTGTGGTCTATCATCGCCTCGAAAGCATTCACATCGGCACGAACGTAAACCGACCGCAGCGGTTGCGCTTTGACCAGCGTTAACTCCATCTTGTTCGTCTTTCTAAATGTTTGTTCTTGTGAATTCAGAATGGTGGAGATGAGACAAGAACAAGTACTACAACAAGTCTAAATACAACAAATGTGGTTGTATTTCATAACTAACTATAACAGAAGTTGTAGTCTTACCTCCACCTATCTAGTCCGAATCCAAATGAGAAAGAAAACGGAAATATCAAACTCACCTCAGGTGAAAAGAGAAAGGAACGCAAATGCTGCAGGAGTAGTCGAGGGATCGAAACGGAGCATGGGTGACAGTGTACGTGTACTGGAGAATGATCGTACAGGCTACCTAAGCATGCTATATCACACAAAATCTCCATCTCTCACTCCTCTCTCTTTGCATTCCTGTGGTTCTGTAACTGTTCTGCCGTTCACAACAAGTGAGAAAAGTAGACTGTGGTTCTGTAACTGTTCTGCCGTAAGTAGAGCCTCAGATGCTTACAAAAAGTACGAACACTTTGATCCTTTCGACCTCTACCGTCTCGTCAAAGAATGACTTCTTAGTTTCACATGCACCAGTTGTATCGGCCACATAAAAATGTTCTTGACCTTGCTCGTTGTAGGTAAGGTAGTGTCTTCATGTCATGTCATGTCATGTCATGTGCCCTCTTTATCCCTATGGTCTAATGGATTTGAGGTAGTTCAGTCTTTTTGTACCTTCAAAGAAGAGCAAATTAGATTCATGTTACTAGCAAGATTGCTGTGAGCAACAACCTATGGCCATCCCGGTGCATGAGTTCTCCGAAGCAAGATTCTGGACCGCCCGCCGCATTGTAGAAGGCAAGCATCTTTGCTGCAAATTCGAAGTAACCAGCGTAGGGAGTTAGAAGAAGGTCGCTCAAGAACTCCGAGCAGGAGATCACATGAAACATCTCGCTTTCTGTTACAGAACACATCTCTAGAAAGAGCCGAAGGCCACCAGCGAGATGAAACAGTTTCTGAAGCGGTGAAAGACTGGCAGAGGAAGCGCAAACCCTGAATCATCATCATCACACCTCAAATGGTCTTCACTAACCATCGACACGGTGAAAGAGTTCCTGACAGAATTCCGAAGAATGGCATGACCAATAACAAAGACCGATGATCTCCCAACGATAGAGCAGAGGGGCATTCAATTAGTAGAAACTGTCTGAGTCTAGAACTAGTACCATCTCCAACTCTTAGTAGAAACTGTCTGAGTCTAGAACTAGTACCATCTCCATAACCATTTTCTCTTTATCACACACTCCTCCCATGCTTCGTTCGAAGTACGCCAAACAGCTGCATGGGTCCGCTGCGTCCTTGCGACACCAAAGCGGAAGTCTTCGTGAGCTACTGGATCAAAGAGACTCTGCATACTGAAATTCCCTACATGGAAACAGAGCCAAGCGCGACAAAGGGTGTAGCGAGTCTGGCATTAGACGAGGCACGGTCTTGAATTCCCGGAAGTATTCTCAACATTGCTAGACTCAAAGACTCGCGGCATTGGATAGGCCTAAGATTGTGGAGGTGAAAACGAACTGGTTGTTTTACTTAGTGCTTTAAGCGTCGCGGGACCTAAACCTTGTACTCCACTGTATTTCATAATCTAATTCTTGAAAAGCGATGCGATCGGCTTCGGAAAAGTGATGGCTTTTTATAACGAGCTGATGAAAGTGGAATTCACAGTGCTCGCTCATCGCCTCACTAATTTCCTGCGCTAGAAACGTAACTCGATGCGGGAAAAGCGAGTTAGAGGATGGCCGAAGAGAGAGAAAAGAGGTAGAATTTCAGGTTGGTGTGTCGTTACGCAGGCGAGTGCAAGAACGTGAATATCTTCGTCGGCTTCGTCTGAGGGTTTCATCTGCATTGATCACAGTAACACTTCCATTTTCGAAGCCTTAATTTTTGCTGCCTTCTCTCGGTTGTTCCTCGTATTCCCGTAGTCAGCGTCCGCCGGACCCGTATCTTCAGCAAGGACACGAAGGAAGAGCTCAGCACGCCTAACATGCAGCTCCAACTGTTCCAGTGCTTCGCGTCTGGAAGCTAGGAAGTTATCCACTAGTAGAGAGCTGTTTTCAGCTGTAAGACCAGCGGTCGTGTTTTGAGCATCTGCCTGTGTCTGTTTCTTTGCATCGTCCTGGTTTCTCCCAGAAGTAGACTGAAGGAATCCAGTAGCTGTAGCAGTAGCTCCTCTAGTACTGGAATTGTTGTCATTTACGCCAGTCGTTCCACCAAATTTGGATCTCGTAGTTGTTCCAAACTTGTCTATTCTGGTTGTTTCGGAATCGTCCACCTCTATCGCATCAAACAGCACAGATAATGTGGGTAAATCGCTCAAAAGGTCAGTACTCTTCAGCGCTGCGCGGGCTGCTCTTCGGATCCGGCCTTGATAATCTCCAGACGGCTCATCGTCATACTGCAAGAAGTCCTCGCGTTTGCTTGCATCTTTAGAGATAGAGGTTTTCGTACTACTCTATTCACTGCTTCTAACCCTCCAAAATCTACTATCGATGTAGTTGCGGCCCTTCAACTTCTTCGTAATTCACAAAGCAACAGCCATTCCCATTATCATCCATCATAACAGACACAGCTGCATTTCCTCTTGTATATGCTCCCCGTGCCGGACTAGCTGCACCTGGAGCAAGCAGTGTGCGGGAAGCGGGACTTTCTGGCTCTGCCTTGTTCCCAAAGTCGACACGTCCTGCCGTAGTCGGAGAAGCTATGGCTGTTGCATCGCGGCCCGTTGTTAGCGCTTCTACGGCGTTCGCATCTAGTTCCCTGAGGGTAACAGTTCTCCTTGGAAAGGGCTTCTTTTTGAAGGAGAAAAAGAAGATCCAAGAAGCATGGTGTTGAGGACATGCTAATAGAGCGGCATCCTTAACGTTGCAGCCACCAGTGCTGCGGGAGACAACGTCCTATCTATGTCGTCGTAGACATTCTTGTGCTGTTGATCCTGACGAGTAGTTCTACAAGATTGATTTTCCAAGAATTTCCGCAGCACAGGCATTTTCCTATCGGCAACGGCGAGGCCAGCATCGTCGACTGCTCTTACATTAGAAGAATTACTCATTTTTGAACGTCGAGACCTTCTCAACTGTCACGTCCTGCTCATGTCTACAGAGTTTCTAACAAGTATAAGTATTCTTCTCAGTATAGTAGCCATATTTCTTGTAAATTTTGTGAACAATGGGCAGCACTTGCAATTCAGAAAGAAAGTTGATAAAAATGTTGACATAGATGAAATCGATTCCGTACCTAAAAGCCTTTTATGCCAGTGGCTATCGTTGAGCCACATCTTCGGAGTGTAGTTCTGGAAGCAGAGGCAGCCGCGGAGAGAGTCCACTTCTGTGCGGATGTTAGAAGAAGATGAGGTAGTACCACAAGTACAGCATTTCCGTTCCCCATGATGACTCCACTTCTGACAGGATATTTATCAACACTGAATGAGTACAAGCCATAAGCATTGCTTGTTCATCCTCGCTGGACCGGAAAACCGCACTGCCAGCTGGTCGAGTACGCACAGCGCGACAAGGTCTATGTTCAGGATTACTCACGGAACGAGACACCTCAGTCTCATTGCAAGGCATCAAAACCTGAAATCGCGCAAAAGGTGCTTAGTGGGAGATTTTTTATGCTTCTACTCCCCGGCGGCTCTGTTCTTCCCCTCTACGAGAGTCATAGCAAACGGTAGGAGAAACAGAGAGAAACACTAGAAGCCTACCCTTAAGGTACTACGTCTAAACGACTCAGTGACGACATGGAGACTGCCTTACGACCTTGTTCATCTAATCGGCTGGTGCGAATGCCACCACTTGCCGCACTACTTTCCGCGGTTCGCGCTTGAGCTGCGAAGAAGTTTAAAGATGGGTGGAGGCGGTCTTTGCCTGACGTAGCGTCTCATCTCCTTCTAGTATCATGATCTCGATATCATACAGAGATCACCTAAGTCTATAACAATCCAGACATTTTTGACGAACAACTTCCTATTTCAAAATCGATCTGATCATCAAACGAATGGATGCATCCATAAAAAAAGTTCTCGACAGCGCAACCTCAAATCAAGGTAGCGGTAAATGACAGCTAAAATTGCACCCAACTCCTGACGTACTTGTGACCCACGTGGAAAAAGCGTTTTTTGCAAGATCGAGAGGTCGGCATCCATTTCTTAGAAAGATAATTTATGGATTGGACTTATGGTAGAAGATCATAAACGAGATACACGTAAAAACATTGACTAAATTCAAAATGCAACCCTAGAAGATGAAGTAATAAGTAAAACTAAAACTCCTGCTCACAACTACGAGTACAACCTGCCTTACAGGGATGACCTCCTAGCTGTTCTTGGAGAAGTGTGTAGATCAACATCACCCTCCGGTTGATCCTCGATCTGCATCTCCTTCGCCGCTGCACGTAAGGACAGACTTATGTCCTCGGCAGCGAATGCTCCAAAGTGGATTAGAGGTTGTGGTTCTGGTTTCTCGGTATCAAAATTGTTCTGTCATTGAATGATTCTTCCACGTGACGATTTTTCTTGGCCGTCCTTCGTGACAGCGACATCTTCAAGGTCAAAAGAACGGCAGAAGGAACGGCAAACGCAAACAACACTGCTCCATAAGAGAAATTTGGGATCGTCATCCATTGCCTCTAGCTCCCCAGTCACGTTGCGCATACGTTGTTCGACCATCAGGCGAACAAGGCGTAGAGGATCCGTCATGAGTCGTGACACTTCTCTACGTTTATCTTCCTCATCTGGACTATTACCTTGCGTCTTCTCTACCGCTGCCGAGCCCGTGGATTGCTTTTGAAGATCGTCAATGGTACTTTAGAGTAAGGAGAACTTCTGCAAACGTAAATATACCCAGAGGCAGAGGAGGGTCCGAAGATAAAAATGTGAGTATGATCTCATCTCTTCTCGTTGCAGCATTTTAGTTTTTGAAAGGCATAGTAAGTGGTCAACATAAGTAGTTCTGGTTGTAATGCTGCGGAGCCTCTTTGTGACAGGATCGCGAACAATCCTCGCGGGCACTTCAGCACGATCGAATCGCCGGGAGTAAACCGACTTGTTCTCTTCATTCTGATCGGCAGGGGGAGCATCTTCTTCCTCCTCCTGTCCATGATCGACGTTGTTGATGTTCTTCTCTTGCAGCTGCACCCGCGAAGAAATAAACTCGTCCTCTCCAGTTTCTTGCTCAGGATTCAAAGACTGCCCTCTAGGTCTAGCTTCCACATCAGGACTCCTCAAAGACGGATCCTCACGATTCAAAACCGGTGCTGGGAATAAAACCCTACTCCGTAAGAAATCGAGATAGATCGTGTATAATCGGGTTTCGATCGAATCCTGCACCGATTCCCAGAATGAAAAAGCATCCACATCTGCTATTTCTTCGACAATAAATTAGAAGGAGCGATAGATATAAATGGGCATTCATTAGATGGACTATTTTCATTGTGACAAGTGCCACTACTGCTTTCAGAAAATTCCTAGATATGGCTTTTTCAACATGAATATTCAACCGCATCCACCGTTCATAGAACCTGTAAGAAAATCGTGGTGAAGCCGTCTTCGTGATTCAAGCAGCACTGGTGAGTATAAATATCATTCATAATCTTCTTCAAAAGCTGTCAGCTCAGTCTGCAGAGGCTCGCATTGAACTGCATATGTCGGATCCCGTCCTTGTTCACCTCTGATTGAGTCATTTCATAGTCCAGTGAATAACACCCTCCTTTGATTCAAGTAGAAGTAGGCTTTGCTTAGGCTGAATCCTAGAAAGATAACTGTAAAGTATATTACATGTGAATCTTGTCTAGAAGACGTTCCTCTTTTGAAATGATTCAACACTTCAGTTTAAGTAAGTACCAACACTAGAAGTGGTCGTCCCTTGCTCTCGCGCACGCCAAGCGAGTACCTCGATCCAGTGGCAGGGATCTAGAAGGGCTGTATCCAAGAGCTCCGCAGGTAGCTCCATGGCAGCGTATGAAAAATGTTGGGCGTGGCTCTTCTTTCGTGTTCCTCTACATCGACTAATATCACAAAGCTCCTTGGTCTAGTACTAGTCTTGTCCTCAGTCTTCTTCAAGATCATCGATATCATCTATGAAGAGGAAGCTACAACTACTGGGTTTTATTCTTTTCCTTCAGAATAAAGATGTTCTGTATTAACAAGTGCTCCATAAAGCTCTCCACGCCTCCTCACAGCATCCCAGTGCATTTTGGAGCATGCCGCGTTTCTCCTCTTCGCTCAGACTTTGTGTAGTCGTTCGCGTCATTCTGAAGGAAGATTTCCCTGACGCGGCGTGTTTTACAATGATTTATTTCTTACTAAGTAGTTGATATAGCTCTACTTCTAAACCTAAAGCTATGCTTGTTCTACTTCTATTCAAATAGAGTGAGTACAACTAGACTTTTTGTAGTACTACCATATCCCAGACTAAAGCGTATCGTCCCTGCGCTCGCACACAGGACATACATCAAGAGCACACGGGTCCTACAGATATTTGTAGATGCAACCCCATTTCCATAGTATGCTCAAAGCTCTCATCAAATGTTCTACAAGACTCTCTCAGTTCCTACAAGACTTGATACGATGACTCGAGTCCATAGGGCACTCTCAGCTCCTACAACACTTGATATGATGACAGACTCGAGTCCATTGTTCGGCGAGGTCAAATTCAAAAAAAATTCCAAGTCCAAGTCCACTATCAAAATGACAGAGGAATTTCCACTGCGCAAGATCTAGTAGAAACGCAAGAGCAAGTCAACATTTATATCTCATTTCAAATTTTCATCATGCTCATTTTTCACTCTTGCTTCAAGCAGTTGCGGTTTGCTGCAGGGTCGTCTTGTTTAGTGGCCTCCACAACAGTCGAAATACCCACCAACAAGTCACATCACATCTCCCAAGTCGGGACGCAGCCTCCTCGCCCGAACCTTATCATCAGCAGTTTATCATGTTCCCCGGGGATGAAAATGGAAACATTCCAAGACTTGTAATTTCCCAATTTCGGCATTGGCAGTCCATCTTGATAAATTCATTCGCGAAACTCAAACACCACGCTTATTGTAATCAACAAGAAGTAGTAGGTCCTCTGGCGCGTCTTCGTAGTCCCGAGCTCCGCGACTTTGCTCACTCTTGTGGTCTCCGTCACCCTCATTTGCACCTCTCTTCGCCGCATCATACGGTGCAAGGATGACCCAAGCCTGTTTACCCACTATATCCATGTTCGAAGTCTCCAAGTGGCGATGCTGATGAACCTCTAAGTCCTTGGCATTCTGGTCCCTCGACAAGGTGATTATGAGCACATGTTATGACGGTAGCGGCCTCCTCGGCTACGCGCTAAGTACTTCGAGTGTCTTAATACTCCGCATTGCAACACATCTCTTGTGCCTCCTGCTTGACCGCAGCAACGCTGTGCGTCGCTGCTCCTCTAAGTGATCCTAAGATATCGCCCGACCATTGCTCGAGCCCGTTGAAGAACTCAAACTCTTCTTGTGCAACTGTGAACAAGCGCCGCGCCGTCTCCCTCTCGTGTACCGTAGTTACCTGTACGACCGCCATCTTCTACATCGTTACCTTCTACATATTCCGCAAGAATGCCGACCCTTCGGGGCACCATAGGTTCCCACATGGTCGATGTCCCTGTAGTACTTTCGTCCGCGATCCCAAAGAGTCCTTCCACCATGCCGCAAAGACCGGCACCACCGAATTACTCCCGTCGTTCGACTAGCTCGGAGGCGAATCTATGAGGTAGATTTAGGTGTATATCCTCGATAGGAATGATACCACGTTCTTCTGTAGTCCCTTGTCCGGAGGTCCTTTTCGTAAAAATTTCCCGAACAATGCGCCGACCGGAGGGCAATTGCGCTTCACCAAAGTCAGCGTTTCACCTGGGATCAGGTGTTCTATATCGTCCAATTCTCGAAGCGTTTGTCCATTTTTGTCGGTTCCAGCGTTGATGCTTCTGGCAGTCCCACTGAGAGTCATCAACGTGACCTCCTACAAGAGGGACATCATCTCTCGTGGATCACTTTTAGCAACAACTGGAACAAGTGCCCCCCCGTCCTCTAATCAAAGCAGCACCAGAGACGACATCGAGAAATAGAGGTGCTTGCCAACAAAGCGCGCTCGATACAATAGCAGCGAAGCGCATGTTTCGACGCCTCTTTGTCTTCATGGGGTTCAAGTACTAAAAGTTTATCCTAAGTGTTATGTAAAAATCTAGTCGCGGAAGCTTTTTGTCCTGCGACCTGTTACTACGTTTCAAATACAGAAAAAATAATTTCAAAAAAAAGGCTTCGCGGTCATCGGACTTGTTGACTGTTTGTTACTATATTACAAGAGTTAGAGTTTTTGAGAGCCTTTTTGATCCTGATCCAACCCCATTGTTCGTAACCTTTTTGATTATGAACACATCCTCTCCAGGCGACCGTATGAAGCTGCGGCCACAGAGTTGTAGAGTCGAAATAATAATCATGGGGATTCGAGTTTCGTGGAGATCAGAAACAAAACGACATGAATAGCGACTGGGTCTGCAAGGTCGTTGGACTGTTTCTTTTTTTGAAAAAAACTAAGTATGTACTGACAGCGAACTACAAAACTATGAAAACAAACATGTGAATCACGATTTGTTCATCTTAGTCTATACTTTTATTTAAAACAACATACACGCAAATCAAATCAAGAGGCTTTTCCCGTGCGTACTCCACACGAAAACAAGTGACTTCGGGTTTTCCCCCTTCTTCGTATGTTATTCGATGCTCAGTAATTTGTATTTGATAGCTAGATAGATTCATTACAACAAGTCGGCCCCTTCACTGACATTTTTGAAAAAAAAATATTGCAAAATGGATCTTGGTGGGACTCGAATGCAAAACGCGCACTTTAAATTCCAAATCCATGAGTACTTATACACGGATACTACTCTTCCTGACCTAAGCAAAACACAGCCGACTTCAGAAGCAAGACTGCTCATAGTCATAGACTATATTACAAGATTTTGATTTTTTTTATGTTAAGTACATCATTGAATCCGGTTTTAGTATGGTGTCTCAGTCCAAAAGCCAAATGATCCATGCTGTGTTGATGATGATTTTACCTATTCTTGAGGTGGTTGACAGTCTGTTAGAAAAGTGAGAAAATTTCGTACTACTGGTGTCCTTAGAATTTTTTCAATCGCCTAGTAACTATCTCTAGTTCTTTTCACAGATTGACTTGATGAACTAGTCTCAAAAACTAAAAACGCATCGTTTCTAAACTTGACAATGAACTGTACAAAACTCTGCTAGGCTTTTAACTTATAGATACAATACTTCTTACTACTTCGTCGTGTTTTCTAACACATAGACATTGTTCTGAATACTTCGTCGTGATCTCTTCAAAACATACTCCGTAACGCTTCGTCGTGCTTACTACAAAATAAATCTTAAGAACACCCCATGTCTACTCAACACATATTAACACTACGCGTTCTCCTGTACTCCAAATCGCGCTGCTTTGAGAGCTTCTCCTCCATGACAAAGAAGTGACGCAACTCACTCTCGGTCATATCCCGGTGATCAGGGAAGTGCAAGGCAATCGGCTCCACTGTACCAGACATCTCCACATCGTGATCGACGTATCTAGTATTTTTCAGAGAAGATTGACGAGAGTCATCATCATACTGCATGATCCCAAACAAAAATAATAGCCTATCGGCGGAAAGCGAATTGAACATAGGGAATTGAACATAGGAGGTGCTGACGTTGAATTTTTAATATTATTTGGTCAGTTAACAACCACATCTGCTGTGTTCAGACGTGTGAGTGATCCATATCTCTCCTCGGACGTAGTTTCTTCTCTTGCTCTTCATACCACGTTGCTTCTTCCACAAGCACAAGAGTACTTATAAAATATTTATGATCATAGTACCCTCTCTGCCTTTCCTCCGTTCGTGTTTTCTTCAAAAAATCGTGTTCCATGCAGGCCCGTAAGGTTGTGCGCTTCGCAGGGTTGAAGACCAACAAGCGGCGCAAGGCATCATCCAACAAAGGGTCGACGGGGGATTAGATGATGTGATATCAGAACAATTTCATTGGCCTTAGAATTCAAGAAACTTATTCTCCCTAAGATATCAGAACAAGTAAAAAATCCAGACGAGTTAATATTTGTGGTGGAGCCGACCTAACTAGAAAAAAGACAGACCAGAGGAAGATATAGAAGAGAAAAGGGTAACTATCGACAAGTATCCTGAGGTGGCGACAAGACGAGTTAATATTAGATACCAGTATGTTATAATAAGAGGTAGATATCAGATCTATTCTTGAAGAGTTAGAAGATGGCTTCAAGAAGAGTTGTGTCAGTATGTTGTACTTTTAAAAAGTTGTTGAAGAAGAAACATTAAGTTGTTTCGTTCGAAATGAGAAGCGCCTATTCTTGTTTGCGACTATCCCTATGGTTACGGAAAGAGCCTATGAAGAAAGGTTCCAGCAACCTTTTCTTGATTTTTTTCTTTTTGTCGTCTTCTTCATCCTCCACTTCACAACACTTCTCCCTGTAGTTATGGTTAGCTTGATGCCACCCAGTACTTAAATCTTAGGTGGAGTAGAGGCCATAATTATGCAAGCGTTGATGAAACCACGTGGGCGGTCGCGCTTTTTCCACTGGAAAATGCTTTCGGAGGTAATACTTCGCATCCGGGTTGGAGAGGAAGTCGTAGTCGCTAGGTCTCGGAGTGCCGACGTGTTCAAATATCACCCTTAGTTGATCCACGTGCTTCTTGTCGACCTTTTTCAGGTGGAAAAAAGTGGAGAGGATGCATGGGGAACCTTCAAGCGGGGTCTTCCTTATGATTTTTTCACTAGTGTTTGGTGCTAAAAGACTCGTGCAACTTCTATAGAAAAGGAGATATACTTCGACTGGATTGTCGTTTTTGTCCTTGCGCGGAGACAGCGGGTAGCAGCATGCTCCCGGAAAAAGTGGAACTCGTCTTCTTAGAGATTACTTGCTGATACTAAACGGATTATGAAGCCAAGATCGATCTGAAGATTACCTCTCCTCATTCAAAAAGAAGATGAACCGGAGGGAATTTCTTGATCTACCTTCACAGTACTGATCATGCGTCAATGCCGTAGTTTTACGAAATGGTACGAGGATTAAAACTTATAAAGTATCACGTCATCTTAACTTTTTCGGAATATCTTCCTTCGGACAATAGCGTGGCTCCATCAAGGCCAACTCGAACAGGATGCAGCCTAGACTCCACACATCAATGGCCTCCGTATAAAAATCGTGCAGAAGAATCAACTCGGGAGCTCGGTACCTAGGACGAAGTGGATGTATCTACTTACACGCTACATCTGTCGAGAACAAAGAGGCCTGGGAGAGAAACAGTAGAGCGTGCACGGTTGTACCTAGTCGTTGGCACAAAAGAGAAACAAAGGGATCAACATTGAGTGCTCCTATTTAAAATATGCTGTGAGAATATGACCACTACCATCTCGTGACAAGAACATAAGTACCATCTCGTGACAACATAGGTAGTTCTCGTGACAACGTGAGCTCCTGTTAAATCTAAGTACCATCGCGTGACGACGTGTGCTGTCAGGTCGCGACTCTGATTCTTGGAATTCTTGTCCTCTAGCAACTGGAGGGAAGCGTTTCCATCTGGTGTGGCCACTGCTCTCGCCAATCCAAAGTCACATATCTTCACTGTACAGTCCTCGGCGATTAGAAAGGGATCGATCAAGTTCAAGAAGTAAGTAGTAAGTAGGAGTAAGTAGGTAGTAGTTGTACTTGTAGTAACAGTAAGTAGTAAGTAATTCCGTATTGTAAGTAGGTAGCAAGTAGTTCAGTTGGTTCAGTGAAGAAGGCAAGAGTAAGTTGTAGGTAGCAAGTAGTTCAGTTGGTTCAGTGAAGAAGGCAAGAACTTTGTCCGTAAATTGAGCAAGATGTTCGCCGGTTTCAAGTCTCTGTGCCAGACACCACGGGAATGCAAGTACTGCACACCACAACAAATACGGCAACATTAGAGGACGATCAGGATGATGAAGCGCTGGGGCAGACGAAATCTTGTTCGGGAATATTATGATGTGCAGCACAAAACAAGTAACCAATGTGTTGATGTTGATCAAAAAGCTCTTTCTCTTTCAACTTTCCCCCCTTGAAATGGTTGAAAATGAAAACACTATTTGGTAGAGAAGGAGTGAGGAAGAAACATCATGATCATCAACGAACTACTTGCATTGACGGTGGTCTGAGTTCGGAGAAGTATGCATGTCTAAAAAGTTGCTCCCGAGACCCCATGATCCTGATATTGTTGAGCACGTTGAACAGGTTAGCACCAACACTAGCGTCTTCACCACATTGTCTTATTCACCACCTGCTTTCTATTACAATCCCTTACCATTTTCTATGTAAATGTATTACTTAGTACAATCCATTACCATTACACCAAGTCCAAGACGACATAATAGAAAAGCGCACGTGAGTGGGCTTCGTTGAGGGTCTCGTTTGATTTGAAGAGCTTTTTCATATCGAACTGGCACTGTTCGAGGACCAGTGCGATTTCCGTAAAATTTGATGCACTACGTTTGTTAGAGGAAATACTTAAGTAGTCATTTATGTTGATGAACCGAGGAAGACCAAAGACAAGATATCTATTTATGGTAGGTACTTCGTTCGTAGTTAGCGAAGCAGGTTGTTCTAGTATGTCATGTGGTCATGGTACTTCTTGCGTAGCATTGCGCATCTACATGTGAGACCATCTCAAGGAGCTGTAATCTGTTGTTGAGGAGACGGCGACGTCCCCAAAGATGAAAGAACTGTTGGATGTAGTTCGGAATGCTAGTTGCAGTACAAAAGATAAAAAAGGTTTCTGTTCATCCTGTTGTTCTAGTTCGTACTACATCATTCCCAGTGGTTAGTAGTAGTAGTAGTAGTAGTCGTGTGCCCAATCTTCTTCAGGTATACTTACTACGTACTTCTACTACATTATACAAATTTTGGCGGCCATAACACTGAGTAGATAGATTTCGTGGAGCTTCACGACGTTGCGGTGCTCAACGCGGTTCAGGATGGCGATTTCCCGCAGCATCCTCTTGCAATCCGTCAGTTCCCCAAAAACATCTTTACTTCGCTTGATTGCGACTCGTTTTCCGGTAAACTTGTCAACGGCACCAAAGACTTTACCTGCCAGAATGAGAAGTCGTTTGGGATAGGATAGGATAGGATAGGATAGGATGCAAAAAACATCTTTACTTCAACCTAAAAAAGGCCTAAGTTCGCGTGAGAACCGCGGGAACTAGGATACCGCAACTCCACGTTCCATCGATGACATCAAAAAAAAGAGTACCGTAACTCCCCGTCCCGATGACATCCGCAATCTGATAACGGTCTGGATTTAGGGTCCAGGGCTTTTTCTGTGGTGACAGCTTTTGTGCAGAGTTCGTCACCTCAAATTGCACCGCTTTTGAGGCCATCTTTGGAGTACAAATTTTTACTCAGTAAATTTTTCAATCAAAAGATAAATTATAGCAATACTAGAAGCTTAAGCTTTAGCTTCTTGGAAGTAACAATATGAATATCAAGCAGTTATAGTCTTAGTTGCTCGACCTTCTATACCTCGAGGTTGGTTGACGAACAAGGTGAGTTTTTGGAAGCAGCAAAATTTTCTTCAGAAATCAAGTATATAAGCCTACTTCTAACAGCGAAAATTAAATTCTCTAAATCGATCTCAATGTATGCTGGTCTTGCACCAAACTAAAAAAAAAGTGTTGAGAGTGTCTCTCGTCTCATTTTCACTCTCTCATACTCTATATTTCATTCTCTCTATATTTCAATTCCTTTTCCTTCTTGTCATTTCCTTTTTGAATTCACTTTGTGTACGACTAAAGGCCATTTTGCATCCGTTTGAGTCTCTCTCGGACCGTTTCAAGAGTCTCTGCGCGATGCTACAGCTACTTTCCGTCGAACCCCCCCATTCGTTAACTCAAACCTCTGTGGCTGACTGAGTGGAATCTTCAAATATCTGATTCACAGAGGATGAGCACTATACAAGTGTTGCGCGTGCGTCACAATTGGGTGAACAATTTTCAATGCTCAGTCCTTCTATTCATAATGTATGCACGAGCCTTAATGGGGAAGAGTAAGTGTAACTCTACTCTTTTGATTTTTCTGCTACTACGTCAATTTGTAGGAATATTTATAAGAACAATCATATATCACACATCACAAAAAACACTACCACTAGTTTCTTACCAACTGCGTGAAAGAATACTAGAATCAATCGAATCTTGTGATTGAATAAAATCGAAATGACTGTCAAGCGACGTTCTTCGGTCTTTGAAACCATATTTGAGACTTTCCTTGATGTCGTCGTGCATTGTACTAGGGTGTTGGATCTTGTTGTAGTGCGGTCAAACTTGAAAACATGAAGAAAGAATCATCACAAACAAACATTCATAGTTGGTATAATCAATCTAATATTCTCGCGAATCTATGCATCAAATACCTGAAAAGACTGGATGAAATCTTTATACGTAAAAACATCATCTGTGAAGAAAAATACTACAAAGTAAATAAATGTTTAAGTTATTAGGGCAGGAAGCTTAAGTTCTTTTCCTTCGCGAGAGAGTGAGGAAAGATTTCAAAGTGCTATGGCTGTCCTCTTTTTTTTGAATTACTTAAACTTTAGGCTTCGCCACTTCCTGCGGGATAAACATTGCCATCCGCATCGTAGTAGTTGCCCGCTGCGTCAGTATAACCACCCTGTTCGTCGTAGTAGCCACCTTCTGCGTCATACTTTTTCTTAGACTTTACTAGACAATGACGAAGATGAATGCCTAAGCCTCAGAAAGAGTACTCTACTTCGTCTGCACATTTGTCCTGACAGAATTTACTACTAGAAGATTACCTTCGAAGTCGAAGAGAATTCCTGAAATTGATTTTTCTACTCAGATATAGTTGTAGATGCCCAGCACTTCCACTTCCAGTAAAAATTGGTGAGTTTCAATATTTCAATATCTCAGAGAGTCCCTAGCTCTGCATGCATATGTCCCTGTTGCCAACTTTCCTGATGATCTCTAGCTTTACATGATCTCCCTACTTCATAACTATCGCAGCTTCTGCGCCAGCATCTGCTTCATTCCAGTTCTCGCCATTACCCTCCTCAGGCCAAGCTTCTCCCTCCGCCCAATTTTCATCCCATTCTCCTTCTGCATTGCCTTCTGTCCACTCACCCCCTTCAGCTTCAGTGGGCCACACGGCATTTTGCTCTCCCCCGTTGCCTTCATTTTGCTCTCCCCCATTGCCTTCGTCCCAAGCCCCATCCTCCGGGGCCCACTCACCCTCATCAGGCCACTCCTCGGCAGCGGCAGCTGATAGATTGTGATAGAACAAGGAAAAGACTTCATGTTGATGTATGCAATTCGAATTGGATGGAACGAAGAACCACTTATCAAAACACACACAAATATTAGTATCGTTGAGTCTAGTAATTCATGCAATCAAGCAGTACCAGCACCGGCCCCAGCAGCATTATCCTGTAGTTCAGCTGGGACGTCAGAGGCCTCGACGTACGTACTTTCACCAGTAGCCGGATCATAGTAGTACCAATACCCATCTTCGCCAACGTAGTAATTTTCCTTTTCGTGCTTGATTCTTGTTTCCCTTTGTTAGAAGGTATCAATGTATCAGACAGAAAAGTTCTTTCTGGACGAATATAACCGGAACAACAACTACTAGCTACCTGAATCTGCATGGTCCTTGCTAAGCACCTGAAATGTTAAGTAAACACTACAGACACGACCAAACTTTGGTCATTGCAAAACGCTCTCGACTCTTCTTAATCGTCGTCCCATCCTTCAGCGTTTCCACGTGCTGCATTTGGCTGCTGTCCGACACTTGGGAAAGCAGGCTTATCTTGCATTAGACGAAAGGATCTTTAGGCACTTTGTGGAACAACGAAATGCAGTCAATTGTTCAACTTTACAAAAATGGATCAAGTAGGTCAAGTGCATCGTCTTCTGAGTTCGCCTAAGATGCTCACTCAAGCTATCAGTGAATTCCTTATGAGAATATCATCAATCTATAGCCATAAACTTACATGAGTATTCGCTGCTGCACCAGCGACGGCAGGACCGCCTGCTACCCGAGAAGCAGTCGTGTTCGCTTGATGTCTTAGACGGGGAAAAACTACTTGTGTTTGTTGAGTTATAGATGTGCATCTGCATGTCCTTCTAACGTGAGGATGCCTTCTATCAATCGAAATATCACTCACGATCTTCTCCTTTTCACCAGTATGCAGATCCACCACTCTTTAACTTGTATATCATTTCGTAATTGTCTATCCTGTGGCTTGACAACGAAACTGTAGTCCCCGTCTTTGAGGCTAAGGAGTTGCTGTGCTACAGGCTCCACTAACGAGCTCGCATCCTGCAGCGCTACTGTGCGTAGGCAGATGAAGAGGAAAGGGATAGGGATGTAAGTGAGTCCTTGTTATGGGAAGGACAACATAGAAGATTCTGTAAATGAGTGCCGTATCTTGGGGACATTAGATTGATAGGGTGTAGTCATCACTTACATGAGTGCTTGTCGGGCCCAAAGAAAGTACCAAAATACTGTATAAGTACTCTTTGAAAAGAAACGATAGATACTCTGGAAGTACGATATCTCCATGCTGAAGATGGTCGAACTACTTCTACTTTGACCTTGTTGATGAACAATAAGAACAATGTCGTTGGCCTTAGAATGTCAAGAAACTAACAATTGTCTAATCAAAGAAAGCTACGCCCTGTAATTTCCATAAAAGAAGCCCCTTTTGGAGATAACGCCTCACTCTGCTTCTTACCCAAAGCAGAGATTTGCTGTTGCTGCTGAATCAGGTTACGGACGATCTCTTCCTGCTGGGCCTGATACAACTGGTGCATCAATGCGGATGGGCGATTCTGGTTCAGCATCTCGGTATGAAGGATGTTGATGTGGTAGAGAACAATAATGAAGGGCAAAGTGGTGGTGGAAATAAGAAAGCACCGTGTTGAGGAATACATAACGTAATCACAAGAAAGTCATGGGAAGTGGAATTGTATCACAAGTTAGCAGCGTATACAATATCGACTTTGAGAAACTACAGACCGTAAAACCTGATGGGTTGTTGTATGAGTGGTATGATAGGTTGCCCAGATCAGTATTCCGAAACTTTCGATGGGGCTAGTAATGCCAAGCTTCTTGTATGAGTGTCAAACTATCACCAACTTACTACTAATGCTACTACAACTCCGGATAACTTCAACTATTCCAATTGCAGCTACTAGTATCATAAGATGGCATCGGCTGATTGTTGCTCGCTGGGGCATTAGCGGACGTCAAATTCCCAGTAAGAAATGACGGTGCGGCAACTGGATTTTGGAAAAGTCCAGCCATCATCGCAGGATTCATTGCTGGACTCACGTTGCTCATATCATTGAGACCAAATGGCGCAGCTGGAGCAGATGGGTTAGAACTAACATCTCAAGAAAGAAGTACTTTGAATACACTGGAAGACAGTATACTCGCTTTGAGAACAACCGACATGAGAGAAGATCTGCAGCCTTGAGCGATGGTATTGATGTCTTTGTCCCATTTACAATAAGCGGGCCATAAGCGGGCCACTCACAGGAGCTGCATTCGGAGCACCTCCTCGACTACTATTGACTGCAAACGTAGGCTGCGATCCGGAGGTGTTGGTATTGTTCATATTACTCAATGCTGCCGAGACCGCGGACTGGCCGACCGGTAACTGCAAGGGCTTTGGAAAAGCATGTGGATCTCGTGTTGCAGCAGGAGGGATTAGAAAATTCAAATTTTTCTAATCAAGAAAGCGACTCTCAGACCAAGAAACTTTGTGATCATCATGGAGAAAGGAGTGATCCAAATCACTCAGGTAGCTCTCTTGACCAACGAACAAAGGACAACAAGACAAACATTCTCAGCTTCTTTTATGTAATATTGCACCAAAGATCGACCCCTTCAAAAAACTTCAAGCATAATTGTTCTCCCGCCGGCATGATATTTTCGCCACGCGCAGGACTTCTTCCCGTGAAGACGCGACTATGCGGCGCCTTCTTCCGACCTCTCGTATCCACTGGTGGCGGACGTGGAGGTAGCGCAGTCGGGAAAGCAGAAGACTCTACACTTGGTTTAGGCCTGCTACTGGTAGGGACAGGGCTTAGAAGTGGAGGGCTTAGAAGTGCTGTGTAATCTCTGATACAATAACATCATTGGAAGAACTACATTGTCCTCTACTAAAATATTCTTGATCTTGCCTTTATACTACCCTTAACAAGTGAGTTACTGCCTGTGCTCCACCTGGTGACGCCTTGCTGCGAGACTTGTAGCGAATTTTCTCACGACCTCGCAAAAATTGGCGAAAGCTGTTCTTCGCGTCGTGGAATCCGAAGATCTGTATGCGAGTGTAATGTTGCGTTTGAGTCGATGACTGAGCATAATACCGGACCTAGCTGCAAAAATTGTTAGTGATAATTTCTTGGCAAGAACATGTCAATGTTCCCTGATAATCTTGGCATTGAACCTAACCATGGCTCAAGAACAGAACTGCACCATATTACCTCAGACTGAATCGGTAGATGAGCAACACTCTTCTATGTATGAAAAAACTACTTTTTTACCTCAGTAAATCGATAAAGCGACACTGTTTTCGCTTCCTCACTGTAGACGTTGATCTCATCGAAGGATTTGCGATGCAGCTGCTCCAATGTCCTTCGGCCGATATCTGAGACCAGAGACATGAAGTCCACGAACTCAATCGGCTCTTTGGATGGGATTCGTTAGATGGTTTTTTTACTTGCAGCATGTAGAGTGCTGCAGTTCTGTTGTTTATAGTGGAATCATCCAAGATCTAGAACAGTCGCAATAATGACGACTGAAACCGAAGAAGTAGCCCAAAATCCTTACACATTATCAAGCAAAAAAGTATGTCAATTAGAGCCAGAACTCCGATCTCCTGCAGCAGCCGCACGAAGTATTTATTCTCCATGATGACGTGGAAAGTCGTCATCGAAATGATGAAATCGATAAGTAAAACTTAGCTTTAGGCATAACCAAACCCTCCACTTCCTGAAGCGCGGCATAGATCTTCGTACGAGATACCTGTAATCGAAGGCAACTCGAAGCATCGCACTAAGATTAGAGGGACTAAGGTGCATCCCTAACTGTATAACCGACGCTCCTCGTGCGCAATGATATAGGTGAATTCCTCTACTTCTCGGTCTTTCTGAGTATAAGCGGGGAGAGGAAGCGAACGACATTACTCCTGCCGCTCTACTTCAGATTATGGTGGTAATATTCGTCTTCTAGACTTGTAGTTCCTAGACAAAATATTTTGTAGTTCCTAGACAAGATATTTGAGCCTTAAAAACATATGCCACTGTCTTGCGGAAATCCATCGTGGGGTTTGGTAGGGATCATAGTTCACGTCTGAGCGGGCGAAGTAGCAGAACGTCTCCGTGAGCCCTCTTCGAATGCGCTCGTATATTTTCGGCTCCATCCGTTTCATGCCTTTAAGCAAAGGCTGAACGATCTCCCCACTCTGAATCTTCTGAAGGAGTTCCTCACGCTTTTGGCATTAGAAAATCCACCATTGATTTTTATGTCTCTGCTCAACATCAACAACACTTCAAAAGTACCCTATTTACAGAGTAGATACTGCTCTGCTCAACATCAACAACTACACTTTACAACTTTTTTAGTGACCATAATTATCACCCGTTCCGACGAGTGGTGGGAGACGGTAGTTGCTAGCTGGTCGCGGTGCCTGTCCTCCGGGAGATGGTGCTGCCACAGTCGGGGACGGTAACTGTAGCTGTTGCGGTGGCATTATAGGCGGCGGTGCCATTCGTGCCTTCTTTTCAGAAAGCGGCTCAAACTCAACCTGCGTCAGCTTCTGGGAGGGGAATGAAAGGAGGACAGGAACAACAGAGGGAGGACGAACAAGAGGTTTGATTATCGGTCTTCAATTGTCATGCAAAAACCTGTAGCATTGTCGAGAAGGACCCACAAACATGCCTATCTATGTATCCTATAAGTTGCACTTCCATTATTTGAGCAGGATCAACAAGAATTAATATGTCCAACTCCAACTGCCAAATGCACTGCGAGTAGTACTTCTTGATCTATTTCTTTCGCTTCGGTTCATAAAAGTCCCTTCACGATGCTCGAGACGATCTTCTCTTCGCCCAACGTCAGATTCTGGTTATTCAGTCGCAACCACTGCCTAAACTGCTTGATAGTGTTCTCAATAAACTCTCCCAAAGGCAGAAAAGCCGGGTTCAGGATGTACTTCGTTGGCGCAGGCAAGTTCGTTTCCCGTGGCATAGGGTGCAACTGACTGCTTGGAGGGCTGTTAGAGCAAGGAAGGAATGAAGAGCGGAGCTGCTGTCTCGTCATTGTCGCGTTGAAGTGATAGATTTGTTGCGGAAGAATTTGGAGATGGGCCACACAGTCAAGAAGGGACACGACTTGATCCAAAATTAGCATCTCAAGAATAGTTTGTTCTCAATACGACAGCAGCCTTAAGCTGATTTCCCGCAACCTGCTGCTGCGGCATCTGGTTTGGCGCTAGTGCAGAACCAGAAAGAAAACTGCCGTCCACACTCTGTCCTGGTTGGAGACCTGGCTCGGGTTAGAGTTGACCCCTTGCACCTTGTTGTATTTCATGAGAATACAAGGGAAAAGGGTACCAAGACGCCGAGAAAGATGGACACTAAATGTTGACCTTAAACTAGGTTCAGGTGCAGGTACGACAATCTTAGTACTGTGTTGACAACAGACGAGGATTGAAAGTAGAAGTACGAACAAAACCCGATATCATCGAACTGATTCCGACAGCATATGATCACCCCACAACATTAGTAGACCTTCCAACCATAATTATGCAATCCTCTGAGCAAGTCCTCTCCGTTTTGTGCTGAGCGACGCAAATCCTTGACTTAGCCCTTCCAAATATTCACCCCGAAGTGCATCCTTGACCTTTTTTCCCCTTGAGAGTGTACCAAAGATCCCTTTCAAGATGAATTTCCGGAAGTCTTAATTGACGAACTCCTCACTCCAGTGTAATTTCGCAGCTTCTCGCTTCTGCGGTGAGTAGTCGCAATCATAGACACGCGGTTGCACGTCCGTGTACCCTCGAGGACTCTTCGGGACTGCCACGTCGATGTCCGCGAACGGGAGTCCTTGTTGGGATGGTGGGGCCGCGTTAGACGATGATACCATTACACATGAGAGACCCGCCAAGGTAGAAATTATGGATCGAAGATTATACAGATGATTGAAAAAACATTTCATATTTGGATTACTTAGGCACTGTTAGAAAATTTCACAAAGAAAACGACAGGGCGCACGTCGAATAAAGAGACACACCAGACGAGGGTCAGTTGGTTTCGACGTTGGTACATTCAAGAAGTTGTAGCGATCCAAAGCCTTAACTCCACCGCTAAGCATCTGACCTTTCGCAACCAAGCTCGCTGCATGCATGGACAATTCTGGAAACAGAGGGTTGACGCCTCCTGCCATCTGCTGCAAACTCGAAGCATTGCCTTGGTGCGATCCTATGGTTAGAAGGGCTTGATTTGGGTCTTGTTGCATATTGCGTTTGAGAGGACTCGGGCGTAGGCGCTTGTGATGATGTCATGGAAGTTGATGGATGATGATGAAAGAGAACATCATGGAGTGCCTATTAGGAAGGTTGTGTCTCGTTATCACGCTACCAATGAAGCTGAACGTGGCAAGCAAACGTCGTCACGATGTCGGCAACATTAGACATGTAGACTCATTGGAAACTCCAACTTCCTCTTCACCATAACTTGCTATTGACTTGAATCTCAGCTGCAACGCCTTCCAGGAAGCGTTCTACTTCAGGGTCGCCTGTCACGGTGTTCTCGCGCACGAGCTGCTTGCCCTGGAGACCTTGCAGCTCCTCTACACGACTGCGATAGTCTTTGGCGCCTTCTTGAGTTAGAGCTTGATCCATTAGGATGATGATCGACTGTCATTTCACTTCTCTGCTGTGTAGCTGCGACGCTTGTTGTAAGCGGAGTTCTAGAGAGGTCCGTCTAAGTCCTTCCTGATCTCTAGAACATAGTGCATTGACTTGAGGAGCTAGAACAAAGCATGATTGAACCTAATTTCTTAGATCTGATGATTTGAATCGATTCGGCAAGATGCCTAAGATTTCCCTGACGAGTTCTACCCGCTTTTCTTAGATCTATCGATACATAGTCAAGCCTCAACTTCGGGTCTCGCGGGTAGCGTCCGGAACTGCCCGGTCCTTCGCCTGAGCTGCGAAATGAAAGGAATCTACAATTACAATAAGATGGTAAAAGACCACATCAATTATCCCGCCACTGAAAGTCAGAGTAGTGATGCAATGCGGTGGTATCAAAACTACCTCTCAGTACCATGTCTACTTCTCATCTCCCTGATCTTCTTGTGCCATAAACCACCGCGAACTGGGCTTCCTTTTTCGACAGCGGTCGGCTTTGGCGAACGCGGCGAAAAGCTGGCAATCGGCGGCTCAGGTGCGTCCTGGATCAAATTCCCCCATTGGTCTCGTGCTTGGACTTCCGGTTCATTAAGACGCGTTGCGTTTAAGAGGAATTAGAAGCTAAGTAATTCAGAGAGTCTAGCGAAGATTTTATTTCTGTTCCAAAGGGGCCTAGAAGGTAACTCAGAATCTAGATCTAGAAGTGGTAGTTAGAGGTAATTCAGAGTCTAGAAGTCCCTCCACAAAAAGCCTTAAGACGAAACGTTTCCACCTTTGTTATCGTCTGAGAGTGCGCCCGAGTCTTTGGCTAGGTCCTCGGATTTTGGCTTTGACTCCCCACATGGCTCGTCATCTAGTGACTTCGGATCATCGCCATGTATTTCTGCACCCACCTCTTTCACTTTCTCAGTTCCCGAACCCTCTTTCTCATCACCACTAGCACTTTTCTTCTTTTCCTCTTGATCTTCCTGCGGCTCTGCATCACCACCAACTCCTTCATCTGCAGGCTTCTCCTCGTTGTCACTAGCTTTTGCTGCTTCATCTCCACTAAGCTCTTTGGCTTTTTCATCGCCACTGCCTTTGTCCTTTTCGTCCCCACTTGCAGCTTCTTTTTCACTCGCAGCGTTTTCTTCACCGCTAGCGGCTTTTTCGTCACTGCAAGCATTAGAGGCAAGAATCAAACTTGCAAATGTTGATGAATCAACTACTACTATCTACATGTGAGTATTGTCTAGGACTACATCTCATTGTTCTTTCCATCGAATCATCAGTTTAGAGCAGAGACTGAATTCCAAGAACGAAAAATATCTTGTCGCACCTCTCTCTTCATAATTTTTGCTTGATCATCTTCCCCGCCTTCTGTCTTTTCCTCAGCAACTGCTTCCGTAGGCTCACTAGCATTGTTCTCTTTTCCCTCGTCCTCTCCGTCTTTCGCAGTCCCGCTCTCATCCTCCTCAGCCATCGCATGGGCACCCTCAATTTCAATCTTTTTCTCTTTTGAAGTCTTTTTCTTCTTCTTTTTTTTGTCGTCGTCCTCGTCACCACCAGCTTGGTCTGCGGTCAGGCTGTCTTTTGGGGCTTAGAAAGTGCAAGTGGCGGGTGGGGGGGGGGGGGGGGGGGGGGGGGGGTGGGGGAGAGAGAAAGACAGTGGAGTGGATCACAAGCTACACCTACATGAATTACGTTCTATCTTTTCAAGAGTTCGAAAATGATATTCGCGAACGAATGAACTACAGTAGAAGCCTGTGAAGATACAAGTATTTACAACAACGAATGCTGAATCATACTTCAAGTAGACCCTGCCTTCCGTTTGTCATAATTCTTGCTTTTCTTGCTTTTGCTTGGACTTACATCCTCGTTGTCTTGTTCCTCCCCATCGTCTGCTGTCGAGTCACGCTTTTTCTTTTTCTCTTTCTTGTTACTCTTGTTTAGAAAAAAGATCGATGCAGTTGGGATATGCATCACTAGAAGAAGATCTTCAAAAAAAAACGATCTAATCCAAGTGAATTATCTCTCCCTGGTCGTGGTCTTCCCCTTGGACTTAGCTTACCCTTCTAGTGGTCACTCTATCTTTATTTGCCAGATTCATTCTATACGGGAACAGGAAATTTAGTCATTCAACGAAGCTTTGAGAATATATATAAATACATGATCGGGAGAAGCATGCTTAAAAAACATCCACAGATCTTAACTTGCTCTCGGTCGCATCGGTGTCCGTTGATGACTTATTATTGCCACCATCGTCGCCTTCCTCCGACTTTTTCTTTTTTTTCTTCTTCTTATCGTCGTCGTCGCCCATTTTGTAGTATTGTCTTAAAAAGCTAGTAACTCAAACTAAAGCTACAAACTCCAATACTTTTCCATTTTCTTTTTGGTCTTTGTCTTTTCAAGTTATTCTTCCTTGTTCGAAGACACTCAACAGCAAGAGAGCTTTCATTTTTCCCATTTTGTTTTTGACCAGTTTCAAATACTACCAACACGGAACTATTTTTCTGGACGCCTATTGTTCTTCATTCGTATCTCAGAACCACCGAAGCCATGCAGTCCGAGCAACATGCGAAAAAAGCTTGCAGAGACAAATTACCGATTTTCGTTTACACCAGACAAGATTGATGAACCTCGCTCAACGAACCTAGTTCTTTCTCCATCATTTCTTTACGGTTGTATCATTTGATACTTATCTCGCTTTGATACTTATCTCACAGACTAGGGTGGATGTATTCCAACTGCTCCCTCAAAAAACACACCGAAACAAAGAATTATCAAGAGAGAACAGTTTTTCTGTTTTTACGTGGGTAGTTTCTTGGAAGGTCATGGTCATCATGATATGGAAGGCCAAGGTCATCATGAAAAATAAATGTTTTGAAGCGAAAGACTGAGTGCTGTATTTGACTACTTTAGATTTACACCTTTCAAGTCCTCTTATCTCCAGCAGCATCGCACCACAGCAGAAAGTATTATCAAGAATCAGAGAAAGGGAGAAACAAAGAGATTATCGCATCAAAGTCGCCATCCAGTTGTGCTCATTGCCGACTCCCTTTAGCAGTGCTGCACTCGAATGCATCCCAGTTTTTCTTTTCCTTACATTTCTCGAGGCGGATTGTTTTAGAGCCCAGTGTCGCTGATTCACTACCATGCATGGGGCCATATATCAGTAATTCATGATCCCCATGCAATATCCGGATGGCCCACTTCTATATGCTTTCGAATGCATTTTGATTTTGGGCATTCTCCTTGACCAAAGATGCTACACTTAACAAGTGATGCCATAAATCTCTCGTACTTTCGCCTTCGTCCGCCCAAGACATCGTCGAAAGAGACGCTTCGATTTTTTGATACAGCACGAGGAACAAGAGGAAACTAGCTACCCATCGAAGAGGTGGCGGCACGTACATATCCAGAGGTCGCTTCACATTGATCACCCACCACCGACGCCAAGAATTCTGGTCAGGTCTTCTCAGCAGACTGTTTCCAAGCTGCTGCCGTGCTTGCAGATGATTAGGCCGCTGACCTCTCAGGGTATTAGGATTCAGTTGCTCTTGGTTTTGGTTTCGATTCCGGAGGATTGAAGACGTGGATGAACTCAAAGATCCTGACGATGAGGAGCTCGAAGATGGTGCTGCACCAGCGTCGTGATTTGCCACAGCTGGCAACTGTTGTTCTCGTATCTCGACAAGAATTAGAGGAAAAATGCTAACTGTAACTACCCTTACTCTCAACGTGTACGTGACCACCTCCTGGGAGTAAAAAGATAGATGACAATTATCTATCAAGAGTCTTACATCACTGACACAGAAATTATAAAACTTAATCTGATGTTCCTCCAGATCATAAAAAGTATCCCTCTTCATCGCGCCGCACAACGCCTTTACATCCGATCACTTTGAATATCGTTTCAGGAGCTCCTTCTTTCATCGTCTTATACCGAATCAGTGCTCTGTAAAGAAGTGGTCCCCAATCTGATATCTTCTCAGCTGCACAGCGATGCCAGGAGAAAGTTCCTAGCTCACGTTCAAGCCCATAATGGGACCAAAGTTCCCCAAATTTCTTATGCTCCTCCGGCAAAGTGTCGTCGTCGATTTTTAGCAGTGTCGGTCTTGTTTGGACAGTACTTATAAATGCTCGCCTCTGTCTTCAGTGAGACATCGCGTCAGAGACGTATCTTTACCTCAGCCCTCAGAATACTAGAATCTGATTGCCCTACCCTAAGGAGAAAGAGCCTCCTCAGCAGGGTAGGCATTTTTACAAATCAGTGCTGCTGGCACACTTTTCAGCAGGGATGCTAGTACTTACTTGTTAGTACCACACATGAATTACAATTAAATACTTGACGTTTACGACCGTCCTTAAAACCTGAGACGTCGGCGATAGAGACCTGCGAGGACCTCCCATTAAGATTGAGAATAGCAACAGCGCCTCACCGTTCAGTCCGTGGGCGTCATTAGGATCGTCTAGGAGGTTGCCTTAGAAAAGGGTAAGATGAGTCTGCTTCGTCCAACACTATCCAAGAAAAACAAAAGAAGGCCTGCGACAGCATCAACATCATAGAGTGTCTATTATCAAGTGGCAATGCACTTTTTGACACAGACTGACATAAGAGGCAGAGTCACTGGACGAAAGGAATTTCCAAGGCATAACTTGAATCACAGCTTGATGATGCTCTGTTCTTATACTTACTCAATTCCTTTAGATTTAGTACAACATTGACCGTAACTTATGACAGCATGCACCGTCGTACTCAGCGTCATTACGGGGGACCAACGGGCCGAAACACGCAGTAGATCCATGCAGACGTCGCCACTTGACGGACTAATATTTGGATGAAATGGAATTTTCGTTGTCGCTCCCGATGTGAGGAGTCCCGTTGTTCCCGATGCTGTGGCAGGTGTTTTAGAAGTTGAAGCGTTGATGCTCTGTAATCGTTGTGGAGCTGACTCGAGGGTTAGCTTAGAGCGCTCCTTTATTGAGTGGTTAAAGGATTCCTGTCCTAGTACTCAAGAAGAGGTTGCGAATACTTTATGGCACTGAAGCTGTGAGTAATCCTCCAAAAATAGCAGTGCCTTAAAAGTAGCTGCGCAGCTTGTTTCTACGAAAAAAGCGTAAGGTGGTTGCTGCGGATATCCCGGTGGTAAGAAGAGGCGCAGGCCCAAAGGTATATCAGCGAAAAACGTGCTAGCATTAGAAAATTATAGATACAACAAGCTAGAAGGAAACAGAACCTCAACGACCAGTTGTAATACCACAGACACTACAGAAAGCACAAGCAGTGCCTGGTGTCAGGTAAGTGCCTTCTTCTAGTGCGAAATATTGATCTTCATCGTTGAAAGAAACTAATTTGAGTCATACAGTGTCCTGTTCGTAATTTGCTCATACAATTCTGGGCGCAGTACGACTTCCACGAGATGCGCTATGTGAGTCGTACTAGTACATGTCGCGCTTTTCGCGGATGAAGAGGCCGTCTTGTCCAACAATATTCTTTGAGTTTCACTCGTCGATGTCCCACTCCCATCTTGCTCTTTCGAAAATAGTTTGTCCAGATCTATCGTTGCTACTGGCTGATCTAAAGCGAATAGTCGAGCATGATCGGCAGAATCGGAGCGAGCGTCTGCCTCTGCCCCCTGCAGTTGTACTTTGAGCAACTTTCTGATAAGGGCGCAGGGATTAGAAGAACAGCAAAATAGAGGCTCTACCTCTAAGTAGAAAACTAGAAGTTGTGGCTTGAAGTAAACATGACTTGATGGCGCGGTATTGGAGTTTCACTTTCAGTTGAGAGTTTAACGAATGAGCAAAAAACTATAAACGACAACAGCCGACTTTTCAAGAAGTCTCCGGACGATGATATTCGTCGATTCTAAGGAACAAAGAAGTCTCGTAATCCTTTCCATAACGATACTGGCTTCACCTGGTGTGAAAGCGGTTTTCTTGAGGTCAGACTTCGATGAAACAAGGTGAACCGCACCACCACGAATCGCTGTCGCGAGAGAGGAGTTAGAAAGAAGCGACATTTCTTCATGATAAGGCTGTAACTATTCAAGACGTAATATATTGTGAGGACCATTATCAGCCAGCATGACAACTCACTTGTACTGCTGAGTGACTAGGATTATAATCTGTGAAGAAGAAGAAGTGCGCAAATACACTTTTTTAGGTTGACCAAAGGAAAAGGTTCAAAAAAGGAAAAACCATTCTTAACACAAAGGTCGGACAACTCGCGGTCACGGCGCTTCTGCGTTAACGACATCTCGTTTTCGTTGAAAACTGGACTACTGGCAGATGCATACGGCGTCCTCTGACGCCGTGGCAAGATCCGGAATTCTACTCCACTTAGAGCGTCGTAACTCTCGCGAAGCACAAAATTCTGTAAGGTATCGTAATCCAGAAGTGTGGTCTTCGCGGCAGTCCAGTCGCAGTCTGGCAAGGAGATATGGAGTCAGTGGGGCTGATCATGTCCGTAGCAAAGTCCACAGTGCTCACATTCTGAGTTTGAGGCATTTTCTTCAGTGGTAGTAGTCGTAGTAGAGAGCCTATTCGAGAAGTACATTAGCTCGACTCTTAAACTTCAAAATCTGTTGGTCTTCAATGCTAAGGCAAGAATGACTAATTTTTTTTCGCAGCCAGAGGATGTCTTTCGATTTTTTCCTTTCAGTTCGTCGTGATTGAGAGGGTTCGTTTATCAACTCATTCTTGTTTTCCTTTCCTGTGTTTACTGCTTCTGATTTTCTACTTGAAGCGTAGGTCGTTATGAAACAAGTATAGAAATCCTGATGAAAGGAGCAGCAATTTTTGGGAATTTCGGTCCTCCAGGAAGCCAAGACGTAGAATGTATGGTGCACCCAGTCAACGTTCGACACGTGAGTCAACGTTCGGGGACACGTGAATCAACGTTCGGGGACACGTGAATCAACGTTCGGGCACACGTGCAAGCGGTTTATTGGTTTGGTCTTTTTTTTTGCACACGTCGAAGAAAAAATTCTGAACATGCGATGTGATTCTTTGAGGGGTTTTTAGGGTCTTCAGGGTTTCATGGACACATTCAGTCGGAAGGTTTCAGATATTTTAATGCTCCTAAAAATGCTCCTCAGAGAGCCACGTCATCATAATGGTCGCGTCGCCACGACATGCCTCCGCTCTTACAAAACAAGACGAGTGAAGACGACACCGGCGGGAATGGTTATGGACATACTTACACGATAGAAAATGCTGAGGGGAGGCTAGCCATCGACTTTCTTTTCCTCAGAAGATATACCAGCGAGATACTTTAGGCTTAACCTAGCTCCATCTGCCAACGAAAGACTAAAATACTTGACCATTTATCAGTGGTACTAGAAGACGCGCTGGCCTCTCCCATAGACCAACCCTATGCACAAACGAACCCCTGGTAGATAGGTCTGTCCCTGACACTTTTTCGGTGCTGTTCGTTCCAATTAATTGCCTTATTTTACCTAGCTAGTGGGAAGTATGTAGTTCCTTATATAATTTACCAAAAAAAATAATCATAACTTTTCACTGCCAGCCTGTGCAGGCGGACTTTGTACGCGCGAACCATTTCATACCAGTGTTGTCAACATGTTCATCAGCGTAAGAAAAATGCCTGATTGAAGGTTCATCTAGCAGTTCCCCATCATAGGATTGGTTCATGACTTTTTACTAAAAACTCCTAGAAGTTTATCGACTCTGAACCGCCCAAATATTTTTACAGACACCACAAAAATAGTGAGGGTCCTCTTACACTTACAACATTGTTTGGTATAAATTAATTACTTACACAGTCTAGCGCTTGTCTGTACCTGTTGGACTCTATTAACTATCGACATGGAGATTGATTGATATCGAAAATCAAATTACAACGAACCTACATCTATGTGGAAAAAGAAAAGCGTCTTTATCGTCTCCATCCTAGCTAGTAAAGGACTGAGAAGCGAATAAGATTGATGGGATAGTCCAGAAGTTCCATCCTACTGCAGGAGGCAAACCGGATAGTGCAATTTTTCCCTATACTTCTACATGCCGTCACTCTATTGGTTGAAGGGAGTAAGGCGAGGGAAAATTAACCAGCTATTTTCTACAGCGTCTAAATTAGAAGCTCTCTTAGTCTACCGACAAGACGAAGCAGTTCCAACAAGCCGACTGCGGTCCATTTGCACACTTAACTATTCCTCGTAAGAGTTATTTCCGAGAACCTAAAAGAAGTGACTACGGATGTCTATAGCACTACGCCCAAAAAAGCGCGTACGAAAGCAGGGAGAGGACTCGAACTGACGTACCATATTACTCGAATAAGAAAGCACTGGAGATTATTACTACTTGTGAATAAGAACAAACATCATCATCACAGCCTCAAGTAATACGAACAAGCATCATCATCGCAGCGTCACGACTAGTAAAGGTAATCATAGATACATCACCGGTAGTAGTCGTAGAAGTAGTTTTGTGGGATTAATAAATATCTTCACAGCATAATTTCCTACTTTTGTTATTTCGAAAAACAAGCAATTATCCTAGTTATCCAGTCCATCTCCAGGCAAGCTCCATACAAGAAGTTGTCCTGAAAGCAAGGCCTTTTTGACCACATCGGTTCTGTCATCTTCCGTCCCGTCTAACCGCCTCAACTGGGGATCAACATTCGCCTGCAACGATCGACGACGACCTCGATGTTAGAATTTTGTCTTTCGTATGCTTGGATATGCGAATATTTTTCGTGTGGTTGTGTTTGGTGCTATGCATTGTACTGCATTGCAATGTCGAAAATAAAAGTCCACCTAATCATAGATTCCTCAATACACAACAAAACTTTCAGTTTGGTCCATACTGACTGTGAAATCCTGCTCCTTGCACATGGCGCGGCAGACGACCAGAACGGCTTCGCATAGGCGCTTCTGCAGGTCCGCCCAAGCCTCTACTCAGTGGTACACTGCCTGGCGACGTTATCGTTAGAAACAGGAAACCTGACTCTGCTCAGTGGTACACTGCCAGAGCAGGAAACACAAGCTGAAAAGTTTGAGTCCCTACCTACATCAGAAGAGGACATCTAACATGAAAATGAGGACAAGGACTAGCTATATCACAGAGGAACTACTAGCTACAACAGAAGAGGACATCTAACATGAATATGAGGACTAGCTATAATATCACAGGGGAACTACTAGCTACAAGAAAAGAGGGACCAGCTACATCAGAGGAGCAACTGGTGGCTCCATCACATTGATTATCATGAGACTGGCCGATAAGATCTTCACTTTTGTTCACGATAGATGTCTATGAAAAACGGAAAAATACAGTTATAAGCATAATATTCTGTTGAGTCCAGCACTTCTGTCGAGTCCAGAACCGTGTCCAGAACCGAAGAATGACGTCTGAGACCTGCGATACGAAGGCAAGGGAAATCTATTGTCGCCCATTGTCGCCGGAGGTCAAGTTAGAGGGGTAAGCAAGCTCCATCTTCATCGTCATACGTCTCTGATGGTCATTCTCTACCATCGACGGAGAAAGACACAGTACTAGAAACTAGAAGACAAAACAGTAGGGAGAGAGAAAAGACACAGTGATTGGGACACACTGTAGAAACTACTGGCACAGAGATATCGACACTTTCACTAGATCGTCCGTTATATTAAGAAAACCTATACAGTTAATACATGATAGCAAACAGCTTGTGGCGCTCTTCCTTCTACTACGCGGCAGTCTGCACAGAACTCTTGTGAGGAATCAATTCTTGTAAACTGCATTGCATTGTACTGCCTTCATCTCTTCATAAAGCCGCATAGGATACAGGTGCTCCGAGATTGTTCGCCGGTCTCGACGAGCCTTGCAGGTAGGTCGGAGGAAGCCTCGACACATCAGCGGGAGTCTGTTCTTAGAGCTGTAGTCCGTCAATGTGCCGATAGTAGTGATGGAGTCCTAACTAAAGTAACAAAAGCTGTGCAACGAACACGATATCAATAGCTGTGGTGGAGCAGACCTAACTAGAAAAAACAAAGAACATGATATTATCAATAGTACGGGTGGAGCCAAGCTAACTAGGAAAAGAAAAAGGAAGGATAGTAGATAGAAGATATATAAATACAATAGTTGTAGTTTTACTAGAAGAAGATACAGCCGCGTCTTCTGCTATCTGTCAGTCGTCCTATTGAAATTTGCATAGTACTCTCTGGTTGTGTTCTTCTTGTACAAAACTTCTAGAAGTACGAAATCGAAGATACAACGCGCGTTGTTTGATGGGATAGACCTAGCATATGAGGGAAAAGCTAACCGGTGACTCTTTCACCATACGGTGCAATATCTAGCCATAGTGTCTGCTCAACTGCAGATCCGTATGCGGCATTAGCGTCCCAGGTTCCGGTGCTTAGACGTGGTAGAGTCGTAGAAAGAAGGATGCGGATGAGGTGTTGATGTCTCTCTTTAAGCAAACGTGGTAGAAAGAAGGATGAGGATGAGGTGTTGATGTCTCTCTTTAAGCAAACGTGGTAGAAAGAAGGATGAGGATGAGGTGTTGCAAATTGTAGAAGCAAAGTGATGAACATCAAGGTCGAAAGAAAAACAAAGATTTCGACCCTTGATATCCTCGTCTACATGTTGCCTGCAAAATAGCTTTGATCATAGACATAGGAGAACATGCATGCTGGTGCTTGCCCGTCACTGTACAAAAAAAAAAGTCTTTAAGTGATTCACAAACAACCTCTACCTACTTGTTTGTACCAACTAGCACAGCGCCATCATATATGATTCCCAAACAAGACCTGTAACTCCCTCTGGCCTTAACAAACTACATCACCTACGCCATCCCATCGATTCGGTGTGTTATGGTTCAATCGGTGCCCCTGCACTGTCGAAGGCACCAAACCCCGATCTGTGAAGGTTTGCATGATTAGAGCTTCCAAAAATCCATCTTGCCGAGCATGATGGTTCTTCCCCTTTTTCCTTTCCTCTTTGGACCGAAACATTCCAAGATGTTTTGAAAGTCATGGTGTCCCTTTTCCTCTTTGGGCCGAAACATTCCAAGATGTTTTGAACGTCAACAGGGTTCGCCTTTTCCATTTTCCCTACCTCTTTGGTTCCCCTTTTTACCTTGGCGTTTTGGATTTCTGCTTCCAGCCTTAACACTAGTGCACTCAGCGTCGGACAGAAGCGATCCAAATGATGGAGGCGTAGTTTTTCTGCGTTTCCGTACATCTGGATCCATTCCATGAGGACAAAGGCCACAGAAAAATGCTTCAAGAACTCCGTCATTCCGGCAACAGCTTTTCTTTAGAGAGGAGGAGGGGAAACTTGAGAAGAGGAAGCTTACAGGGAAGCATTGCCAGTAAGAAGACCAGCGAGTATCCGAAATAGGAACAAATATACGAGTAAGAATTATACCAAGTTGTGGGACGTGAGTAATTTCCTCTTCGTTAGAAGTTTGGTAACAAACAACAAGTTATCCCGTGTGTGTGTCCCTATCGCAGTTCAACGTATACGTAACCACCTCCTACGAGACAATATCGCATAGAAGTTACGGCCTAGCCACCCCCTATAAGTTATCTGCGGGAAACAAGTTTTTCTTAATGACATTCGTGGCCTTCAATATCCATTTTCATGACTAAAGGATGCCCTTTGGCCCATCGTGAAGAGAAAACGCTCAGATAATCGTCGAGTCGGACCTTGGTTGAAAAGGTAGAGGAAGCAGCGATAAATTATCTTCAAAGACGTGCTTTATTGTGAGGGGTCCATCGATGTATTAGTTCTGATCCCGCATAGTCCCGAGAAAGTGCACCACCCTAGGGGTTGATACAAGGATCACGGCATGTCATGGCACCTCTTATGTAGCTATTAGTGTCTACTCGTGAGGCCAACCAGTTGGAAAGTACCTCCGATGGAGAGCCAACCTACCGGTATAATAATTGTAAAGTAGTAGCAACCACAGTTCTTATCATTCACAACCGGGTCTTTCCATAAGAGAAGGGGCGTGAGTGCCTCCTGAGCCTCAACTCAGGAAAGGAGCTTGAGACGACATTCCGAAGCTCAGAACATTAACACCCTCAAGTAGAGCCGTGAAACGGAAAAGCCGCATAGCTCATGATCCTCTTCACGTACTACTTTCATCTCCCAGAATAATTTCTGCTCATTTTCGTGTTCTACTTCTACAAGTTGAAGCTCTATGTTTGTAGTACTGATTCCGCCCATGACGTGCCTTCCTCTTCAGGCTTGTAGTTTCGGTCTATTCTCTCGTTGCTCAGTTCGTTGATACTCACGCCACCTGGGTTTCGAGGATCTTAGACGTGACGCAAGAAGACAGTGACAGCTTGCATGAAGCTCCAGCAACGTCTTTATTGTTGCTCCAACGTATAATTTATTTGTATGAAAAACTTGTACAACGAACCTCTCTTTTCTCCTACTAGAAGAAGCCATGACCACGTTCTTGATGTTCCCCTACAGGACAAGCTATGTCGTGTGATGATACCTCGTTTTATTACGTCCTGACTCACCCTTTCTTACAAAGTAGAAAGAGATAAAACAGAAGTTACAGTGAAGATTCCAGCTGAAAACCGTTCGTAACTATCAGTTCCTCGAAATTTCCATCTGCTGCCGGATTTCGTGGACAGGCCTTTCCGGAATAGATGAAGCTCGTTTCCCAGATGGTTCCTCTGGATGCTCTTGCAGAGTCGTATTCGAGTCGTAAAAAACGGCTCGAATGCGAAGCTTAGAAGATGAGGCAATTCAACTTTCGTAGAGTCAGTTGGGCTTGCAATTCGGTCCCTTGGACACTGACTGAAAACAGATGAACATCGATACTTTCTTACTTCTAGGGTGAGCTACTTATACCAAGGAAACGGCCAAACGACTGGCTAATGCAGCAGTAGATTCATTTTACTATGTTGCGGAATGATAGAGTTAGCCCTTCGTCCAGACTGACTGTATCAACGAGTGAAGAATTGGCCAATTCGTGTGAGAACAGCATTGCCGGTGCCGTAAGAAGACATGTCTTCCCATTTTGGCAACTGTGATGCTGTAGATCCCCAAGTTTGCTCCCGCGTCCAGGAAAACTGCCTTTGGGTGTCTCCGCAAAGCAGACAAAATCAAGTTGACCAGTCCGCATTCCCAACATCCGTCTCGTAGGATGCCAGCACTGACGAAATTATCCTGGACTCCGGGAACATAGACAGCCATCTCCGTGGTAGGGTTCTGGTGTGTTGTGAACGTGGGAAATCTGATTGATAATGGACATGATGTCCTCACCATCACCATGTGAGTGGATGAAGATCTATGTATGGGTTCGCTTTCCGAATGAAGGAGTGAGTGGAAGACCGAGTGGGCAAGCGAACCTTAATACAACTGTGAGTATTATAAGTGATAGATTATATCATTTATCATCCAAGTAGCTAAGTAATTCAAGTAGCTAGTACGAGTGATGTCCGAGCGTAGGTGACGGGCCCCACTAGGTGTTGCTGCAGTCGTAGCGGATGATTGACGCCTAATACGATTTCTCGGGATCTACCCACTTTCAAGGTTGCCATCATCTACATTCGATTCTTGCGGTCAACATCCTTGATCTATTTTCTACTTGGAAAAAGGTCAAGGATCTTAGTGGGGGATGTAATGTGGTAAATCTTAACCACTGAACCCTCATCGCACACCTCCTCCACGAATTTTCCGTCTTCACTCTTCAGTGGTCCGCTCTCTTCTATTTTCGTTCCTCCCTCTTCGGAGGAAGGTTCAGATGAGGATGGTGAGGGTTTTTCAACTGATGTTGACATTGGTTAGAAGTGGGGAATGGGAATTAGAATAGGGAAATCGATATTGTAGATGCTACTCGTCTACGTACATGGCCATTCAGAATCAACTCTTCTTTTAGCAGGTTGAGAATGCGGCTCTCTTATCCTACTCCTCCTACATAGCAAGTTGAGATCATACATCACCCAATCTTAATGATCTTTCGTGCCATCTTGATCATCAGCACTGCTGCTTCCTCTTACGAGGTCTTGCGGTCCTGTCGTAGTAAATGTAGCACTCGCACTGTCTCCTCCTTCTGGTTTTGAGTTGGTTCGACCACTCTTTCCATCAACAGTCGTCTTCGCTTCTCCTAGCGACGTATTTACTTCGTCTAGGGCTGTACTCGATGTGCTTCGACTTGCTTCTCCTGCCCTTAGGCGACTTGCTTCTCCTGCCCTTAGGCGACTTGCTTCTCCTGCCCTTAGGCGACTTGCTTCTCCTGCCCTTAGGCGACTTGCTTCTCCTGCGCCTAGGCGACTGGCTTTTAGTGCGCTTGCAGAGTGCGCTCCTACTATGGTCCCACCACTTGTAAGAACGTCTCCTAGCGCAACTGGTGCTACAGTAGATGTCGCCGTAACTGCATCTTCTGGTACTTGTACTTCTGGCTCTGCTTTTGTGTGTGTACTACTACTAGAACTAGCACCAGTATCTTGCTTCGAATTCGATCTGTCTGTTGTTCTAGACATAGACGAGTCAGTACTTTCTGTCGCTCCACTTGAAGATACAGAGTGGGTTCTCGTTGTAATTTTTTCATCTACACTTGTTGTTCCAGCACTCGTAGAAGGTGGGGAAGGGTTTGCTACATTTGTTTCAGCACTCGTAGACGAAGTTGTAGAAGAAGGGTTTAAAATTATCGACTCCTCCCTTCCACCACTGCCTACGGAACTCAGCGATTGTTCGATAGCATCGTCCGTGGACGATTGTGGACGTGGACCTGCTTCTACTTGTTTTGAATTCCCTTTATGAAACCACTGACAGTCTGCCGACGATGCAAAGTTGCGTCTTCTCAGATCACCCTTCTGCCATAGGCAGAACATGGCTCCGAAAGAAACTAAGCGCCAAGCGACAAGCGCACGTGTGCACGGTGAAACTGGCGGCATTTTTATAGTTCCTACTTGATGTTCTCAATTGTAAGTATTGTGAGTTGTAGCTATTTCACTTGTACTTGTTGTAGCTATCGAAAACTCTATCGTGAACTCAAGTCAACGTAATAAGTCATAATCCAATGCGTATAATCAAATGAGTGGAAAATCGATCCAAAAGTACATAGTCAGTCAATCAGTCAGTTGTCCATCATAATCAGTAAAAGCGTTGCAAAAAGAAAAACATCTATAGAACCGAGTCGAAAAAATACCTTTACCACACGCGACTCCTAAAATTAAGGGCTTTCTCCTTCTCGTACAAAAGGTGAGAGTCATACTCACCTGACTAGATTTCCTATAGAAACGCCTTCTTGGTGCGCTTCTAAAAAGATTTTCCACTGAAATCGAGCTCCATGTGCATCGGTAAATATAAAATGAGAGATCATAGTGCTAAGGGGTTCCTCTCACTCCTTCATCCAACTACTCGGCTTGTCGCCGAAGTTCCTCCACTAACTGTCCTTCTGGGGTTCCTCTCACTCCTTCATCCAACTACTCGGCTTGTCGCCGAAGTTCCTCCACTAACTGTCCTTCTCACATGCTTCGCATTGGTCGCTTCGCTCCACGTTCTCTCATACGGCCGCAGACTCTACTAGAGTGAGAGTACAAGAGTGCTTTCATTCAACGACACCGATGCTGGACCACTTAGGCAAAAAACACTGGTGCAATGTCTCCAGCGGGAAGTTGAAGTTCGATGACATTTTTGATCATGTTGAGCTTGAGTGCCGGATCGCATGTTGACATTAATTGTGCGAGACCCAGGATGCTTGACGACGTCGTTCATCTGTCGTGTATCAATATTGATCTCCTGTACACATCTTTCGGACTCTCTTGTCTCATTTCCTTGCCTCGAAGGGGCTGCTGCAAAACCATATTCAGTGGGACGTGAAAGTCCTCCGCACATTCGTTGTATTTGTTGTAAAAGATCACACCTATTATAACACTTAACTGGTCCTTTCATTCATGCAATAACTTTACGAGTTTGAGTCAACTGTTCATCTTCACACTTGTGGCTCTAACAGGTTTTATGATAGAACAACTTGTTCTAGAACGAGCGGATTCTAGAAACCTACGTAACATCAAGTACTCGTTATCTATATACTTATGTAGTTATCGTGGTTTAATATTGGGGTGAATCATTAAAGGGATCGTCGAGAATCATTCTAATCTACTGGCACCAGCAACCACGATAAATAAAAACTTAGTCCGTTGTATATTAGCACAACTAGATCACTAGTTGTTTGGTAGCTCCACCAACCACTGCACGATTGGTTTGGAGTTTATTTTTCATTCACATTCTTTCTTTGTTGCCCGCATGTTGATTATAAGTAGTAGCTTTTTATTCTGTGCTTAGTCGGTACCTTCACTTCAGTCCGCCAGGTCTACTTTCCACACCCACCCCCACTGCAGCATTTCGTTTCCTGCGAAGAATCTGCCGTTGTGGTGCATTAGAGATGAATCACAAGTAGCTAGTGTGAATCACAAGCCGGGGTAAGTATTTCTAATATTGGAGTCCTTGGGGTAAGAGGGGGGCGTTGGACGCCAAGAATCCACCATAGAGTCATTGAAAATGTCCTCGCAGAAAATGCTTGCAAACCGAGTACAACAAACAGCCACCTAGACATAACTGTTGCCGCCTCCGCAAGTTCCACCACCACTTCTAGCACCACCCACTCCAGGTGACGGCCCAGCCGAAGTACCTCCCGCACAAAGCTGTCGAAGGATAGAGCCGTTGAAGATTCCCGCAAAGCATTCACCCAGGGTCATTCCACCCTCCGGCTCAACAGCCCTGTCCATCTCTCTCTGAACTTTGGCCCAGTAGGGATCAGGTTGAAATTGAACCCCCTCCGCCAAAGGCTCCTCTGTTTTTGGAGGTGAGTAGGAACTTCCGTTCTGATTGTGACTCAGTAGTTTCAAACTCAATTGGTCCTCTGTGACAAAAATAAAGTGAACTAGTTGGCTCTGCGAAAAAAAAGTAGAAATGTAGTCGTGACGAGTGTCATGATGAAAGAATAAAGTGAATTGCTCCATGCGGCTAGTACCTCTTTCGTGCAGGACTTTGAGAAACGGGCACGCTCCATTGCTGGGATCTACGCCGTTTATTAGAGGTGATATCATAAAAGAATGTCTGCAAGGGAGTGGGAGTAGACCGAGGGAACTAAGTATATTGCCGTTCGACCTTCACGTATCCACCTTTAAGAAAGCACTTAGACTTAGGAAAATGTTCTTCTACGTACAGCGATCTTTAAGAAAGCACTTACTTACTTAGGAAAATATACTTCTACAACGAGAGCCGCCATAAATCCAACGGTCCCTTCTTCGGCATTTCCCTCTCGCCGCTCATCACCGGACATTTACTGTTCGGGTTACTGCCCGCTTGAGGCAGCTCTGCAATAGGGGCCATTTTAGAAGCCTCTATGATGTGGTCCTATTCCTGTGTATTGATGCTAGATGAAAATTCTTGTTCTTGTTCAATTGAAATTGAAAACAGTAATAAAGTAAGACTACTAGTACCTTGGAAAAATGCAAACCAAATCCGAATCGAACTTGCAGAGAAAAAGGGTAGGTTTTCATTTGCGGTTTTAGGTTACCCCCGTGTCCTAGAAGGAGTAGACCACAAATTTTCACTCACCTGGAAATTGAAATTATTGCTAGTATTGGGAACATAAGCTGTGATAGATTACGTGCTGCATATTCTAGTGCTACCAGTTGTTCTTGAAGGAAGCGCTTTATTGGTGGCTTTTACATTCTAGCTTCAGAATTAGAACACTATGATCACTCAAGCGTGGTCAGGGCTCTCACTCTGTGCATGATCTCGTATATTCCTACTAGATTCCTGACACACTCACCTACGCACTCACTCACTCACTCTAGGGTGACGCAAAAAACCCGAACACACACACTATTAGATTACCATCCTCCGAACATTTACTACTCGCATAAGCTGGTAGCAATATGACAAATCCAAGCTCACATAATCTGTATACTCATACGCAATCCCACGTACTACTTCTGCGCAATAGATATGACTCAAGTCAGTGGTCCAAGGAGTGTCACCCTGGTGGTCTACTAACGTGACAATCGACTTCAACGTGTAAGTAATCTCGATGATTCTAAGACGCGCCGACTCTGTAAGTATCCCCTACATGTTACGAAAAGGAGTACGTCTACGACTTCATCTACGTGTAATATGGTGCCTTTGCACTAGTAGGGGAACTCCTAATTCTATAACCAGTGCCCAAAGTCAAACCGTCAAACCTAACGAGAACGACTCTAGGCTACTAGTCATAGTTATACTGCAATGCACGGCACTTGAGTGGCGCAAGTTTTCACCCACTAGAGACGTGAGTACGACGCCTAACACCAGTCTAATGAGGTTAAAAAGAGAAGTTCTGAACAAGTGGTACTGAGGTACGAAATGAAGTTCTAACAATTGTAGTTGTAATTGAGTGTCTATGTCAATGAATGTTGATGTTGAAATAAAAACTGAAAAAAAATACTTATTTGTGCTAGTAGTTCCGTCTTGTACTAGTAGCCAGATAGTGCTATGTATAAAGTGCTGTGTATGAATGTAAGTAGATGAGTTCACTGTATGAGGTCTTGAATCTCCAATAATGGTATCGTGTAGTAGATTAATTCACTTGTTATATGACAGGGATCTTCGAATTCGATCTCAAAAACTCTTTGTGATAGTAATTTATCATGGAAAAAAAGGCCATCAGGAGAACCTGTTTGAATAGGATAAGATACGAAGCCACTCACCTTCCACGGGGTAAGCCTGGCTGTGCCTTCGACAGGCTAAGTCTGATGATGCGCATCCTGCGTCCATTCCCCTTTCTCATCCTGATGATAAAGGGGATGATGATGATCCGAATCCACGAATCTATTCGGCATCTTTATCCTTTTTCTTGGTCTTTCCCAACCCTAGCTCCTTCACCAATTGCTTATGCTGCTTCCTCGTCATTTCCATAAGGTCTAGGAGCATTTGCTTCGTCTCATCCATTTCCGCAGAAAACTCCTTCTGGAAATCCATCAACTGTGAGGAGGAGGTGGTGGTGGTGGTTTTTTGATGGTCACGAAGATGCTAATTATGAAGATGACTTCAAAAAAATGGATCAAAGCGTAGACATATGGGTATACCCATGCAGGGACCACTTTGTATTAAGGCCTAAAACTTTTCCTTGTAAATGAAGCCATCTATACTTTTTACAACTGATAAAAACACACTGACACAAAAGCGACTTCGTCCAAGATAGAAAATCTTCAATCTAAAAACTGAAGCTCTAGCGAAGAAGTCCAAAAAAACTACTGAAGGAAGAATAGAGTACCAAATCAAACGTTTGCTTATCGTATGGGTCAGGCGCGTCATCCAATTCCATTTTCAGCAATTTCTCATTCAGACTACTATATGTGCCTGGCGCGCCTCCTTTCGACGCCATCTGCATCTCGGCAGCTAATGCTGGGTCTAACCCATCAAAAGGCGATGGCTTTGGTTGATCCTTTCTTGCTAGGTTTTCTGGGTTTGTCCACAAAAATTCGAAGTCCATCATCTCGTTCCATGCTGGGTCTAACGTCGCGTATTGGGTCTTGGTTCGGTTGGTCTTAGTGCTCAAAGCGCCATTGGCGTTTGGAACCATTGGCCAACAGGTGATGACGACGAAAGGATCGGAGCTTCCACCGCTGGCGAAAATGCTAAAATCTGCAGGAGCAACGTCTTCGGCTGAGTGCACGATGATGGTTAAGTGGCCTGGCCACAGCTGCTCGCTTTGATAGTTTATGTGTGTTCGTTTTTCTGGAACTTTCTTGCGCTTATACTTCTCGGCGGCCTTGGAAGTCGGAGCTGAGGAAGAGGTGTTGAGCAGGTGGTTTTCAATTGGTCGTGGTTTTCAATTGGGCATCGAGCTTGACACAGAACGACAAGGTAACTCTAAAATATGAGCAAGGTGACTTTCGAAGAGAAACGCGCTATTCTACTAGTTTCAAAATCCTATTGCTGGGCATTCAAAAATATATTCAGAATAGAAGTTGAGTACAATCTCCGTCTTCATTTTCCTTTGGTGGTGCTGGTTCTCCGTTTTCGTCAGTGTCATATGGTAGCGGAGTCCACGACACCAGAAGCTTAATTCGCCCTTTTGGCACGACTTTGTCGTTCGTATGTTTCAGCATATTCGGCGAGAATTTACACTGGAGAGGTGTTGGGAGGAGAGTGTGGCTTGGTACTGTACGATGCTTCTCATGATAATAACTCTTGTACAAAAGGCTGTGCGGAGTGTGTATAAAAATTCCGAGTCCAGTGCACGGGAATACGAATGGTGATCATGATGCTCTTGCTCACTTACATTTCCATAGCAGCATCAAACAAAATGAAAAACACAATGTCGAAGTAGGTACCACAATCGTCTCAAACTTCCTGCCTCCATCGCATTCCTTCGGTTCCTTTCCAATCATATCGAATTCGATTTGGGCTTCTCCCAAAAAGTCCCTCTCGCCCAAAGCGTCCTCATCCCACAATTCAAGGAGGACCCTTCGGAACTGTTCTGCGGGATCCTTGATGGCTAATGCAGATTGGACCGCTTCGCGCTCGATTTCGTCACTCTTCATGCGTAACCGCGCTTCTTCCTCGTGCTCCTTCCACACTTGGGAGAAGTTAGCGGATAGGACAGAGATAGGCATTGCGAGAACTAAGAGGCCGACGACCATAGTTGCGGTAGCGAACATTTGACCCAGACCGGAGAACGGGACCTGTTTGGCAGATTATTTTCAGTTTGAGGTGGGGGTGGTTCCTGTGACGAGGGTGATTGATGTGAAAGTGGTTGATGCGAGGGTTTTTGACTGAGGTTATTTGGCATCGAGTTTCTTCCGCCAGCCCGTGTATCAAGAAGCACTCTGTCTGTTACAATATCGCTACTTCCACCTGCCTAGGAAAAAAGTGTAAATCAACAAAATTCAGCATCGAAGGATACCATATCTCCGTAACGCACAGACTCTTATAATACCGTTCGTTGTACCTAGAAAAATGTAGATGGAATCAATCAAAGCAAGTACCATATCTCCGTAACCCACTGTCGTGTAGGTGACAAAACACCACCAGAATGAGTGGGGAATCGATTTAAACGGTGTTGGGGATCTCGAATCGTCAACCCAGTTCGTTCTCATCCATTCCTCTTCAACCTGTAAGTAGTAGAATGTAGAGGTTGAATCTTTCGAAATTTAGGTTTTTTGATAGTAAAGGATGAATCTTGGAAAGTAGAGGTTCAGGTTTACGAGAGAAACATGAAGTGTTTTTTGCAACAGCATCTACCTAGGTTTCAAAAAAAATGGGTCAGAAGATGATAGTGGTTTTGGTTACTTTGTCCATTATAAACACCAGGTTCTCCGCGATATAGAAGAAATTTAAATTCCTTTAAATACCGGATCCCACTCCCCGCTTTCTGCGAAGTATAGTAGTGACGCTGAGAAGCAAACGCAGAGTGCCAAGTAGAATATCAGCACTGTCAATGCCTGCATGGACTTCCGCAGCACCCTCCCAATGATCAGCAACGTCTCGAAATACTTCACCGCCTTCATCAGCCGGAACAACCTGGTCAATCGAATCACCCTCAAAACCGCTGTTCCGCGAATGTCGAATGCTGAGGCGAGTAACAACTCCAAGTAAAACGGCAAGATGGCAAAGAAATCCACCAGGTTTGCTGGCGAGAAAAAGAAGTTAAACAACCGCACATGTGAGGTCTGAAAACTGACTGGTAGATCACCCACGCACATGTCCATGAGGATTTCCTGTGAAAAAAGTTCTGCACGTGCAAATGGGTAGGCAGCGATGCGGACGCCGTATTCGACAGTGAAGACGACGACACAAAGCAGCTCGACTATCCAAAAAAACTCCGATTGCTCAGGCTCACACCGTTCTTTACAGAAGTCGATGTCGCTGGTAGTCGTCGGATTGTCGCAACGAGGCGAACAACCGTCGGCGGCGGATTTTAAGGCTGTTTCAGTGATGTTTGAGGGGCAGGATTCATTTGAATTTGAGGGATTGATAGAACTAGCATTAGGCGATTCCGATTTTTTCTAGCTATATCGGACGTGAGTTCTTTGAGGCTTGTATTCGTCCACAAGGCTATCTATACTAGACTCATTCGTCAACGAAACACACAAAAGGAAAAGAGGAACTAGACATTTTGGAGGTAAAAATCAATGGTATAGAAAAGGACTACTTACAACTATGATCTACGATAACTACCACTAAATCTCCAAAACATCATCAAAAAAAAGCAGTACAAGGCAACGTCGCCACCATGAAACAGGACGATGACAGAATAATCATCAGCATGACTATTGACTGCACTAATTGCGCGAATGCAGAACTAGAGACGTCCTCCACACTGAGCCAGAGCCGTTCTGCAAAAGTGATAGGTATATTGAAGTCGTTGGCCTTCCAACAAGCCACAAACTCCCACCATCCCACCGCACCTGAGCCGTCTACGTCAAAGTCCTCTGCCTTGAAGTTCGCGCCCTCGCGCTCGGGACCTGTAGTAAGGGACGCAGGGATAGGCTCGAAAGTAAGAGCGAAGAGGGTGTTCTTGTTGAAGAGTACTTCAATGAAGCCTCGTTAGTTTTGTACTAATTAGTACGACAGGAACCATGTATGTTAATCTTCAAGATGATGCACTATGATCTACACGATGTACTATGACCTGCAACTCGTGCTCATCTAACTGCTTAGTCGGGCAAACTACATGTGGATCATTCGGGGACAGAAAGGAAAGTCGATAGATGCCCACAATCATCATCATGGAGGTGTCCCATTTAGTACTACTAGCCTAACGGCGGGACAAAACAGTTCCAGCAGTGTGTCAAATTAATGACGGCCGTTGGTTGATGACTACCTTTAAGGCCATTTAGAAGTCGGATTGACCCATAATACCCGGTGGTTGATGACTACATTTAAGGCTATTTAGAAGTTGGATACCCGTTGGTTGATGACTACATTTAAGGCTATTTAGAAGTCGGATTGTTCTATCAAGATTTGTATGTACTACCTGATTCCCCCACAATCTTGTACAACCGCAACATTGTCCTCTCAAAGTGCGCAATTGAGATTTCGCCGTTTTCTCCGAATCGCGAGTTCAAGATCGAAAACAGTCGCCTAAAAAATCCCAGCTCCAATGGGATTACCGACTTCGCGAACCATGGTTTATCTTTCTCTAAGCCACTCCTAGCCGTGGCATTCAATTGTTCCTCACTCAAATCTGGGGGTAGCCATCTCAACGCTTCCGGCGCACTCGTAAAATAAACGTCCGCGCCTTCGCCTACTTCGACTAGCTTTGTTTAGAACGCACTACAATCCATCTTTTCCCACATCTCTGTCGCTTTTTCATCTATTTGAAAGAAAGCAGCTCACAGATGAATCAAAAGATGAATTAAGTGAGGCCGTAATTTGTGGCGGCCCCACTGGCAGAGCCTTGAGAAGGAGTCGGACTGGGAGGTCGTTCGCCGCCTTCTAGCATAGAAACGTCTACCGCTGCGTCCACCGCTTTATTTGCTGGGGCATTGGTAGTGAAAAATCCATCACCTGATTCATCCATCTCGAGGATTTTAGAGCCTTCTAGTCGGACCTTTTTTTCCGAATTGTCGGCTACGGGACTGGTGAGCTCCGTTTCCGGAGCAACAGCTTTATCGGTCATGATGACGCTTCTCTGCCAATCAACGCAACCAAGAGTCTGTCCAGGAATCTGTAGAGGTCGTTGCCCTTTTTCTCCTGTCTCAGCTGCCTCAATACACGATAAGGGATACAATAGGGCTATGTAGTTGGGGATATCAAAGCAATAGCTACACTTACACCAGAACCAAGTGGCTAAAAGAAGAATGAAAGTCAACAACGATATACTAAGTACTCTTCACCACTTTCAAAGGAGTCACTTAATAAATTGGAAAAATAACCAACTCAAATTATATTGACACGAACCTAAATAGAATAAAAAGTGGAACCTGATTGTTCAGTTCAACGACTCTCTTTTCGTTTTGCTCGGTAAAGGTAAAAAGGTGTAAATGGAAAAGCCTAGTACTAAGTACGATGATTTTTTCTTCCGTCCAAGAATAAACTACGATCACTTCTCTAGTCGCATTCGATCTTGAGACATGATTTCAAGACAAAATGCTAATAAAAAGTGCAAATATGATGCTAAAAAAAAGTACTCATTTGGAGTGTAAATTGCAAATATGGAGGGGTTAAGTTTTTGGGAGGGGCCTGAAGATATTCGATGATTTCGGATAGAGATAAGATTGATAGAATAGAATGGAGCAGCTTATATCTATGTCCACGCAGCGTGACCGCGTCAACGCCACCAAGTACACTTGCAGGTTTTCTCTGCTCATCAAGATCAATGCGTCTCGTGACCAGATCATGCACATAGAACAGAACAATTGATCTTCATTTATTGATTCTCAGTGTAGTACCCCCAGAAGATTGAAATTAGCTCTCTCTCTCTCGTTGGACAGAAGTATCGCAACATCATCAGCAATGCGTCTCAAATGATCGCTCTTGGTCAACATCGGCAACAGTGTGAACGTCTTCTACAGATCTACGTTATTAGACTCACTCCATCAAATCCGAGTCAACACGGTTAGAGTGCTCTCTAGGACAGATATCATCATCGCACCTCAAATGATCGTCACTAACCATCGTCAAGGTGAAACACCAGATTGACACTGACAGGAGTACCAGATCTTTACCGTTACTCTCTCTCTCTCTTTGAACACACAGCATTGTTACAAAGTTTTCTATGCCTTTTTTGGACGATCATATTCTTTCTTCTCTGGATAAAAGTGCAGGAAAAAGTAAGAACTGGAAACTTAGGAGTAGGATAATGGACGAACGAGAAATTCGGAGTTGTTGACAGGAGTGTCGTTGTCGATTGTCAGTGTAATCGTAATGACTCTGTAGTGACAAAATAAGTATTTAGAAGATCGGACCCTTAGGCTTCTCAACCGTCTGTCCCATTCAAAAAACGCTTCACGTTTTCCGCCAACATCCGGTCTTGCTCATGCTGCGCCAGCTGCACCTGCAAGCGAGTCTCGGCTTGGTTGTTGCTGTTGTGATCTTAGGGGAGCTGGAGAGGCCGCACTACGGTAGTAGCATCTAGATCATGTGAGAGTACATGTCAACATTTCTTCACTATGCTCTTGCTATTGACAATGCTGCTGTTGAGAATACATTCACGATAAGGAGCTACTCGATGAACTAAAATAAGGACTCTACTCGATAAACTAAAATAACCGAGTATGCTAGGGAATAATCTTCTCAGATACTCGGTTATTTTTAAGTTAAGTACTTACTCGCTTATTTTCAATTTTCGACTAAACACTGAATTTTCTACAGTAAAACACTACTACTCCACATGTTGATACCGCTGAGTACATTTCCAACTGAACAAAATTTCCATAAGTTCCATGTCCAGCACCTCCTGGCTCGATTCCAACGTCTTCCAGCACCACAACGTCCTCGCGTCCAGATGACACATCGGCTGCTGATAACGCACTCACGTGGATTTGTCTCGGGACGACCTTAGGCTTTGGTACAAGCTTCGCGAACGCTAAAGCCCGTTCCCGCTTAGTAGAGTCCTTGCCAGCGCAAGCAGCGCCACAGCTATCTGAATTGGTAAAGGTGATTGTGTGCGGAAACGGTTGCTTTGGTGATCTTTAAGCAGCTGAAGGGAAAAGGTTGATGTGAGAAATTCGTACCATTACGGCGGTACTAGCAGGATCTACTTACAACTGATAGTTCAAAAGAGGCCAAATCAAACCTACAACCTGTAGTTAGATTTCTAATAAATCAAAATCGCCTCAGCAAAGAATTAATACTGCTTCTCTGCCTCTTCTCTTGAAAAGTGAGTATCCTCCTTTTGTTGATGTTTCGCAACTGGTCAGAGAAGTCGCGGACTCGATGTGCGATAGCTTTCTTCAACAACAGGTTGTCGCTATCCAGGTCAGGCCCCAGGCAACCGAGTTGATCTGGCACTGCTGCTGGAATTAGAAGAGGGTCCCTTTTTCTTGTCACACCCAGTTAGTTGTCTAACAATCATGTGTACTTATGCGACACTTGTCTTTCCGTTTATTTACAGTGAGAGCATGGAGGAGGAAATAACACTCACACTCCACATCCTATCATCGAGCATGGAGGAGAAAATAACACTCACACTCCACATCCTATCATCGAGCATGGAGGAGAAAATAACACTCACACTCTTCATCCTATCATCACCACGAATTCGAATGTGTTTCATCTAAATGCGTCATAACAGTGGTTCTTTCTTCGGCGAATACTGTACTGGCCGTGGCTTCTTTGAGAAGAGAAGCAAGTCGTCTTTATTTCTCACCATTCGGCGATTGTCCCGCTCTCTCACTTTTTCAGCAGCAGAAGAGCTTGAAGATGAGGAGCTTGATGAACTTGAAGATGAGGAGCTCCCAGCGGCAGTTGGTGCCGTGACGAGAGGCTGAGTGGATTTTTGATAGTTTCCATCAATATGAGAGGCTGAGAGTTGGCATCTCTAGCTCGCATATCTATGGCTTTCCTGCTTGAGATAGCCATAAAGATGCTCTTAGATGATAGGTCAACTTCCAACCCTTAACTATACAGTATTCGCATTGAATGATGGAATCAAACTGTTGTGCACAAGAACAAGAACTAGCAACAAACTTACTAAGTACTACTGAGTACCTCGCTCGCTCGATACTGTCTTCTTCGTGGGATCTGTGGTTTTGGAGGTTGCCTAGGGCCTGGCGGTTCCCGCAATTGGGATACTTTCCCTGACATGCTCCTCCCATTCTGCCCCTCTTGTATTCCTCTGCTATGCGGTGCTGTCACTGCTTTGCGTGGTGTCGGCTTGCTACTACAGGTCGTACTCTCTGCTACTGCTGACTCATCCCGACTCGAACACCCACTGGTGAACGCTCGTCGCACTATACGTGGCCCAGTAGATTTAGACCGTTGCTCCTTCACGGAGGGCACGATCGGCGGCAATAAATTGCTATTACTCTGGGGAGGCTGGTGATAGTTCATGTGCTTAGGATAACTGGTGCTGCTAGATGATGGTGTATTCATTGTGACAGCAGTTGTGACACCAGTGGAGGAGGTTACTATCGATGTATTAGCACCATGTTTTACCACGTGGTCGTCTCTCCCTATCGTCGACACATGCATCTTTGGTGGTGGCGGGATTTTTGTTGAGGTTATTTCCCCTCCAGCCTTCTCCTCCACACCTGCTGGTCTGTCACGAAATTTCCCTAGTGTCAGATTTGCTCCTGGGAGTAATCCTGTAGGTCCATTATTCACTTGATGAGTACATCCTCCAGACGCTTTTTTTACAAGATCGGAACTCATCCCTGCGCCCCCACCTCCACTATAAGCTCCTCCCGTATTTGCAGCTCCTCCGCGCCCTGTAGTTGGAGGTGACGCTCTTGTTGCTGGAGGTGGCGTGTCAGCTCGATAATCGGGCATTTCGGATTCTTCACTATCAGAACTTGTGTCGTCGTCCACCCTCTTCAGCTCGTTCAGACTCGCACTCCGTTTCACAATAGGCGCACGAGGAGGCTTCCTGTGATGATTCAGTACGACATGTGTACTTTTTACGACACCAGTGGAAGTAGAAGAAGCTGCTGGATTGATGTTCGCGCGGCTTACATGTTGAGGTAGTACTTCTCCACGACCGCCTTCTCCACGACCGCCTGAGGACGGTCTACTAATTCCAGCATGGCCACCACCCGTGGCACCACCCACCTCGTCTGCAAGAGCAGCACTGGAAGATGCTGGTGTATCGTGTCCTTGTATTGGAGATATTGGAGACGCGGCGTCTCTTTCGCTTAGCGCAATGCCACTCCTTTGTAGAGACTGCAATGGCAGAGAAAGCTTCGTCACATTGCTACTATTGTTCAAGGAGGCTGATGATGATATGTTAGGAGGTACTACTGTCGAGGAACCCCTTACTCCAGACGTCGAAGAGGAAGAAACACCAGGCAGAGCAGGCTGTTCAACAGTGCCGAATGTTTCTAGTCTTAGTTTTTCCCGCAATTCCTGCGCATAGCGCTCTGCTTCTGTAGGAGCTCCTCTAGGTGCTGCATTTACGCTAGTTGTAGCTTTTTTACCTGCACTAGCTTCGACGCTAATGTCGACGTCCGCTATTGGGAGATGGAGAACAGTCGGCTGAACATTCGCAGAGCCCGATGTAGTAATGCTCGCAATCTTACCAGCATAATTAAGCGTCTTCACCACCTTCGTAGCCGTAGCACAGTCCTTGTTTGCGTTTGCCATATTAACGCTGCCAGACTGTATCGGTAACTGTGGTTCATGTTGATCCATAGACGAGGCCTCAAAGGGATCCACTCCTGGAGCACTGTCTAGACCTGGACTCATCACATCCCACTGTCGGTTCTGCGCCTCATAGTCGTCAAAGATGCTCTCAGCAGCTCGCGCCAGCACACTCTCGATGTTGTTCGTCCGTAAAGCCTGCTGTGGCGGTCGTTGCATTACTGATTGTGTGTTGTCAGGTTTGCGCGGCTGTACGGGTCGTAAGTTCATCGAAGGGGCACGAACCACCACTCCTGTAGTTGTTCCTTCGTCTCCTGCAGCAGTTCGATGTACCATAGCTTGATCGTCTAAGATGAATGCAGAAGACGTATCTCCTGCTTCTATCCTACTCCGTGAAGAAACCATGCCTCCTGATCGTGGTGTGTTTCCGTTGCTACTCATCTCACGTTTTCTCTGATACTGCACCATGTAGGACCCAGGTTCCCTTGGCGTCGTAGGCTTCCCTATTCGAGTTCCTATCGCAACAGGCTTCACTGGTCGTAAAGCCCCAGGTGCAGGAGGCTTCTTAGGGAGAAGAGGTAATGCTGGTGTAATCGATGTTGCTGGAACGGCCTCAGATGAAGTTACTGCTGATGCAGTATTTTCCTGATTAGCATTGGACGAGTTCTTGTGCTGGGCAACGTTAGTCGCCGCAGTAAAAGGTCCAGAGGACGGCTCTTGTTCAAGATCCTCAGGACCTGGAAAATAATTCCTTCCCGGAGGTGGTGCTACAGCACGATACGGTGCAGTCGCATTCACAAGTGCGGCCACTGAGCTTTTTGAGACAACTTTCGGTGCGCCTAAGACCGGGTTCATACTTGCAGCAGCCGAAGACGTAGAAGTCGGAGTCGGTTGTCCTCCTGCACGCTTACTGCTACCGATTTGCTGTTGTACGTTCGTAACCCCCACTGGAGCTGCTGTCATCAATGGAGCTGATGCAGGAAGTTGTTGTGAATCAGGGCCGGTACTCGTCGGAAGAGATGACGGTGGCGCCACTCCTGTAGGCATCGTGCCCTGCCTCGCTGATATCGTCGAAGATATCCTTTGAATCACTGCTTGTGCTGGTACGTGATTTGGAAACACAGAATTGCCACCGCCAGCCGCGACACTAGCATTTATTCCCATCATCCTATCAGTCACAGTAGCGTTACCAACAGAACCACTAGGATTCGCATTTCCCATCATCATCGTGCGACCACTATTACTAACAGCAACTCCTCCTATTGCGACACCCCCTTTACCACCGCCACCAAAGTGAGATTTAACTTGAATCACCTTTGGAGGCGACTCCTCCTCAAAGGCAAAGGACTCCTCGGCTGCTCCGACAGGTGCATTTGGAGGCTGTATCACTGAAGAGATGTTCTCGATGAAAGATAGATCATCGATGTTATCTAAAAGTTGTTCCAGTTGTTCTCGGTCTTGAGCTTGAGATTTATTGTTGTTATTCCTTGTCCTGTTCGAAGTAGAGGAAGATGCTTGTTGTTTTGCAGCTGATGTTTTTCTTGATGGCAAACCGTGACTGGCAGCTCCTTTTTGATGGCCACCCTTGCCTCCAGATCCATCTCCTTTCGAGCCTGACGATGAGCTGCTCCCTTTTCCTCCGACGACACCACTGTTTGGCTTCACCCGCTGTACTCCACTATTACTATTCTGTATCGCCTGTGTCGCACCAGCACCATCGTCCTTCACCTCCTTACCACTCACCACACTCGTCGACGGCGTCTTTTCCCTAGTACCACTACCACCTTCGCCAGCTTCCCGCATCATTTTCTGGAGTAGAGCACGGTTCGATTCGACCTTCGTCTCGATGTGGCCGTTAGAACTAAAGGCGCCGATCTTTCCTTCGAACCGCCGCTCAAACTCCGACTTCTCTGGCATTTTTTCGTTAGAAACTACTAAAACGAGAGAGTATAAATATTTCAGTTAACGCAGCCAAGTTAGTCAAACCAGGTAGGAAAAGGTAGAAAAGAAGATGGAACAGTGTGCTAGAAGAAGATGCAACTTTAGACTATGGCACTTCCTATGTCGTTTCGACTACTACTTTTTGTTCTGTCAGTTGTTTTTGAGAGTAGACCTCCTTCGACTTTTCAGTCTGCCTCATTTGCAAATTCTACATAGCTTGCCCATTTTCCTCTTTTGCTCAACGATTTCGAAAATGCAGCTTTTCTCCTCAGCCTTAAACTCTCAGAAACTTCGTCTCTCAAACTTCGCTAGGCCACCCAGGGCCACCCATTGAAACATTCATTAGATAGAGGAAGCCTTTTCCTCGTCTGAGGGATGCTCTGTTCTTCCCAAGATTTATTTTTTTCGTTTTTTGTATTGCGTTTACTTCAGCGTTCTAAAAGATGCGGTCTTATGTGATATGTCACTTTGCGAAACAATTTTTTTGGTCGCTAGATGTGCCATTTTCAGTGTAAAATCTTTCGAAGTAGGACTTTTTGGTATTGTTTAGAAATCGGTCACATTGAAATCCTCAATTCATCTGTATGCACATATTATTTTTGTCATCTTCGATAGTACATGATAAGCAGTGGTAAGTATTCATGCAGAACTAGCTGCACAAAGCAAAGCGCTACACAGAGTTGTAAGAGAGATTAGAAATAGTAGTAGCAAATGCGTAACTTCCTTCCATGACTCACGATGTGAGACGAGAGAAAGTAGAGTTAGCAACTTTATTGGTTGAGAGAGATAAAAAAACAGAGTGTCAGTCGCGCAACAAAAAAAAGTAGATTGACAGACTAGATAACAATCAAGGCAAGGAGAAGTTAGTACAACTAGGTGTCGTGAGTATTCATATCATTAAGTTCAATCAGCCGCAGTCGAAACAGAGACCTTCAGGCAGCTGATCCGCCGCAGCTGTGACCGACCTTCTATGTCTATGTAAAACGGTACTCATGTCGTTATAATAGTGCATTAATGATAGACGACCAGCCTTTACTGCGTAGCTTCCTACACTATGTACCTTCCCCTTTCTCCTCAAAGGCAGGAACAACAACTGCGATCAGTTATATTTGCTTGTCCTAAAACCTAAAATCATTATTCGTTCCTAGTATCTTTGCTTGTCAACATCAAAATCAGATACAGTTCGTTATCGTTGCTATACTAAATTCAAACTAAAATGGGTGAGAGACAAGTCACTACTATCGTACTTCGTGCTGTTGTAGTGACCTCCCCAGAGGTTGCGAAATTGAGTTTATAAAAGTAATCATCTTCTATTGCTTGTGATATTTGATATGGACATAAACTACACTGCCCTTAGCGTGGATGAATCCCCCTCGTCCACCCGCGCGCAGGCAGTGAGACACTACGCATGAAGCCGGAGAGAACAATCCTAGCTTCTTACTTAGCAACCATGTTCATTTCCAGCTTATGGGGGATGTCTTGGAGCATGGCGGCCAAGGCCACGGCGATATTGGCAGCATCGTCGACGTGCGGGACTCCCTTAAATTCGAGGCAAATTGCTTGCAACATGTCGCCGAGGGTCGCCTGTGTGGACGAGGATTGGTTTTAGTGTGTGTGGTCATTAGAGGAGGGATGAGGACTGATTGATGGTTAGGAAATTGATTTTAGTTTATAAAATGATTCTGTGGCTTCTAGCAAGAAGAGGTGTTGTAAAGTAGTAGTTCCTGTTGGATGGAAGATAGGGAACTACAGGCGTCTGTTATCTCATTGGAGCTACCTATGGATAAAAACGAAAGCCGTGCAGTAAAAGTCGACGCTGAACAAAGAGGGCTGCTTTCTTGTGACTGATAGATTTCTCCGATCAGCACAACTACCAGTCCTTACTCTCATTTTCGTGCCTGCGTAACCACAAGCAGCAACTAGATACTAGAGTAGTACAGCTTTCTCCTGATAATTGCACTTCTACAAGTATTTCCAGAGTAAGCTTTAGTTTTAGTAGAGCAGTACCGCTTTCTTCTGATAGTTATCCTCAAATGTCTTTCGGAGATCGATCCATCTCTTCCAGAATTGCTGAGCCTGAAGGCCTTTCTTCGCCAAGTCTTTTCTGAAATCGTCCTTGACTTCGAGGCCGGCTCCATATGTGACGAGCACGAATTCTTGCTGTGTATTCTGGATCTGGCTCATTGAGGGCTTCTTCTTGCGGAAGGTGGGGACCTGTGAGAGATTCACTCAGATTTGGTTTGCGTCGGGAGGGATGGTAGTGGCAGGTGTGATGGACTTTTGACCTCCTTTTGGACGGGCTTGGTAACACTTGTTGCTAGACTTAGTATTGATGTGCTAAGCATATTAGACTACGACTTTCGATTCTGTGTGCCGCTATGTGCACTTACTGTCGATGCTAAGCTATTGTCTTTCCTCTACGGAATCTATCCTCTACAACCTGCGTCCTTCTAACTAGAAAAGCAAAAAAAAATTTCCAACTAGAGCACAAGCTGCACAGCTGAAAAGAATAACAATAATTGAATACCAGATTCTTCTCCTTCAGGAATCGATCGAGCATTCGTAGGACCTCATCGATCGGCTGGGCATCAGCTTTGTCCAGGTCCGCATTCGTGATACTCGTCATTTGCGTAGTTTGTGGGGACAACTGCGGGAAAATAGTCGGGCGGACCAACCTGTTGAGTAAACAAAAAACATCAACGTCTTCTATGAACTATTTCTATTCTTTCGTGTAAAAACTACTTCGATATCCAAAGGCAAGGCTACTTCTAAGGTAGTAGCACTTCATCTTAAATGCGAAATAGCTTCTTTCTTAAGCTATAAACGTTTCGAATTAAGCAAGTAGTACTTCTTAAATTCGAAATCGCTTTTTTTCGTTTTGCTGTTGACAAATAGCACATTCATGAAGACTGTCTCTGTCACGAATGGCTTCTTCAGTTCCTCAAGGGGGTCCCTGTCTGGCTTTGTCGTGGTTTCGATGTGGACAATACCGTAGTAGTCCGGTTGCGCTTCTTTCGTCAAGCCTAAATCCTTTGGGAGGACCGCTGTTTTGATTTGTTGTTGAGGGGTGAACGGATTGAAGTTTGGGTCTGCTATGTGGTAGATAAACATGAACTATCATAAAGCTCAGGTAGAAAATGACGAAGACAATCGCCGCCCGTCGTCTATCGAAATTCAAGGAGGAACAGCTTCTTAGTGGTAGGCTTTTTTAGGTGCTGAAGTTACGACAGGGTAAAAAGTACGTGCCACCGTTTCTGCTATTGGTGTCTCTTCGTCGCCGACATCTGAATCGGTTTGGTCCCCTTCATCGTCGCTGTCAACGAAGCATGCGAACCTGTTATTCGCTGCCTTCTTTTTCTTAGCCTTTCCCTTTTGCGGAGATGCGTTCTGACTGCTGACCAAATCAGCTCCCGGCTTGCCCAGTGGGCTCTTCACCGGACTCACCTTACCATTTGCTGCAGGAGCAGCGCCGTGGTTACCGTTGGCGTAGACTGTAATTATTGCAAAATAGATACTTAAGGTAGATCCAAGGTGTGAAAGGAGACTTACGCTCGGGTTTTGTATCGACCATCTACTACTATTGCTTCTAGTTGTTGTTAAATTGTATAACGTCATTGTATAAAACCTCCATCTTCAAAATTACCTGGGGTCTGCACCAACTCCATGGGAGGTGCGGCTTTGTCTACTTTCATGAGTTCTTCCATGTTCGCTTTCAATTTCGGGTCTGCCTTCATATTATGTGCCTTCTTTTTGGGAACTGCATGGAATGCACCTTCTTCCGCAAGGCCAAACTCGTGTGACGGAAAATATGCCTGAGCAGTCGGAGCTGCTTGTGAAGCTGGAGGAGACACCTGTTCAGGGTTAGGGTTTAGCGTAATTTATGGGAATTACGCTATGCTGCTTTGGCATCATGATGACCATTCGTTACCATACTATGAATACTGATACACGCTATGAATACTCAAGATTCTTGAAAGCCTTAGAAGTACAACTCCCCTGCTGTTTGCCGGAGCAACGTTCGGCACCTGTTCTGACTCTGACTCGGAGTCAGAGTCCGAAGCGAGAAATTGAAATCGCGACATTTTCTGCGTCAGTTCAACTTGTTCTAACAAAGTAAACTATGAAGAAAAAACTATCAAGTAGATTTTTCTAGGTTTAGTAGTAGTACAAAAAATGTCGTAGGGTCGTGGTGGGGTTGCATAAATAGATATAAGCCAAAGCCCTACCTAGAAGTAAAGTGCATGTAAATCCTCGTCCTGGTAAAGGTAAGTAGAGATAGGTGTTATCACACGCAAAGGTTTATTCGATTCACAGGGTACCAATCAAAGCGAGAAACAGCGTCATAAGACCAAGAACGGCTATTCTTGCCCACTCTGCACAGATCGTGTTGAGATGAGCGCTAGCACGTCGAACATACTGTTTTGATTCATTCTGCGCACAGACTGTACTTCTAGTACAAAAATTTCGGATTTTTCGTTAAGCACACCATCATCTACAATCCTCCGATGTCGGGATGATTCTTTTCCATCAGCGACGTTCACACAAAATTCTGAGACTATCTTCTGTGCAGGGATCCAGAGCATGGATCTTTGTTAGTTTCTCTCGAACATTCAGGGACATGCATCAGTGGATAGAAGCGAGAAGAATTATTGCGCCTTTGGACCGATACTTTGATCGCAATTTTCGATTCCTCGAACTGGACAAATGGCAACGTCACTTTCTTTACATTCCTTCGAAAACGACTTGAAACACTTCTCCAACTTTGAGTTTCATTGTCTGACTCTGTACTCTAAATCACAACAGACTATAGGATAGGATAGGAGTTAGCTCACTCAAAACGAAGGAGCGAGCGTTCGGGGCCATTGAAGTGCCCAAAAGATATACACTTTCATTGAAGACTATACACTACAGCACCGTCACTTATGTGAGAAGGTCAACAAATTAATACGCAAAGAGATACAACTACGAGTTTTATGTTTAAACGCAGAAAAAAGCAGAGTTGTAGGACGCTGATGTGTGCCTCATCTTCTTTAATGCTTCCAATGAAGCATCGAGTCGTGAAGAGGAAGAGGACAAAGATTTAATTCTTTGAACCTGTGATTAATTCCCCTGTGAAGCTGTGTACAATGAGTTTCATAATAGTCGTCAGCATCGCGCATTTTGCGACCTTGTCATGAAGGAACTACGTTCATCTAAATATTACCGAGTGAGTTCTAGATTGATGAGAAATTGAGTAGAGTTCTTGTAGAGTAGATTGATGAATGTTAGTAAGTGTACGAACAACAACGAGTAGATGTCGCAGACTTGGCACAAATTTTGAATTGAGAGATTGTTTACTCGCAATAACAGCCCGTCCAACGAGTTTAAACCTACAAAAAAGTGACTGTGTATAACAAAAAAAACTAATGAAATCGAATATATTTGCAAGAACTCATTTCTTTCCACTGAAATGAGATACATTTAAGACAAAACAAGGTGATCTTCGCTTCTAAGGAAGCCCAACGTTACTATATCACACTTCTATTCCCGAGTTGCTTTCTGCGTCCGTTCTCTGGGCCGGAGGTTTCACCAGACCTCCCTCAGCATCGGCGTATCTTAGAAAGTGCCATTCGCGTGGAAGATGATTCTCTTGTTGTATCTGGAAAGGAGCCTCAATCAACGAAAGGAGCCTCAACACAAAATAAGCCAAGAACAATTGAACATCTACGGCGTACATCGCTAAGCCGTCTCCAGATAGAAAAGATACAACAAGAACGCGTGTATTCGAGTCTCATTGTCATGTGTTGCCATAGGGTCCAAGGCCTGTTTTTCCTATGGTGGTCCTGTTTCAGAGCTATGGCCGTACGGGGCCTGTACTTTTTAATTCAAACTCCTTTTAGTCCCTGTCTCACCCCTGAGCCACGTTATAACCTCTACTGTATTCAAACTCACGAATTATTTCCCTGTCATCACTGACCTCTTCGCGCTCGGCAAAACTCAGCAACAGCTTCTATCACCACAGTTTCGATCATAAGTCCATGTTGAAATTCCTCGGAGAAGGAGCTGGTGAAGCTCTCCCCTCATTTGAGTCGTTGCCGTCTACTAACTCCTCGTCCTCCCCACCTGCGACTATAAAAACCTTCCGTTCACCTGAACTACTACCAGTCGGCCTAGGTTCGATACCCGACTTGATTCCTAGTGCACCTGATGTATCTACAACGTCATCTCCGTCAGCGGAGTTGCTGGAGGCTTAGAGTACGAACTCACTGGGCGGCTGGAAACTACTACGATTGATTATTAAGGTGGAGGGCGAGATCAAAAAGTACCAGGGCAAATCCAAGATTCGAGGGAAATATTAACATCGTTCAGGATATAATTCAAAGGGCAAGAGGACTCCTGAAATGCGGCTACAGCGTCTAACGACACCAAGTATAAGGACATCAACAACTGTTCCATAGTTATCTTCTCCATCAAGCGGCATCAACTCAGGCCTTCCCGTTTGCTCCAAATAAGCCGCGTAATCATCGGGATAGAGTTCGCACAACTCGCGTTCTATCTCATCCCGCTTGATGTCCTGCTCTACATCCCAGTCAGCTCTGAGCTCATCCGCCTGTGCCTCAAAATCCGCGATGCCTTTGGCTGCCATCGCGCTTAACATCTTGGATACTCAGGGTTAGAGAGACAGATCTAGCACCTGCTTTTTAAGTGATGTGATAGAACAAGCACGAAGGTGCGAAAAAACCAATGCGATTCCGGACCCGTGGCATGGGTGGGGAGTAATGCACGCAGCATGGAGAGAATAGTAGCAAAGCAGCAAATAGCAGCGAATTCAACATCGAGGTACTTACATCGTTATAAAGAAAAATGTGAGAGGAGTCAATTACTCTAGCCTCTGCCTTTCATAAATGTAGTAGAAGAGGCAACCGCCGCCGAAGACAGCTAGAGTGAATTGACCGGTCGGCTTGAGCACATGGATGTCTTTCGGATTATCCGGCTCCGGCGAAAAGTTCCAGTATAACTGATATGCGGAGGATATGGAAGGGAGAAAAAAATACTAATTCAGTAAGGACGACTCTACTAAGGAAGGCCTGGCGCACTTCTAATCGCTATGTGAGCCTACATCAGCTATCCACAGGAGCGTCTCGGAGAAAGCACGAAAGCTAGCACCCAACAGGTCGTATGAAGAATGGTCAAATACGCTATAGTCATCCGGCTTGCTCAATTTCAGGTCTAGCTGTCCCCAACACTCTGAGTCGTTCCAGAAAAAGACGAAGCACTGAAAGCTCATCGCCAGGACGCCCACGAGCATGATTGCTTTCTTCCACCAAGCTAGCTTCGGCCATCTGGTCATGTCCTCGTAAATTTCTCGCTTCTTGGTACCCTTGAAATCAATCCAGTGCAATTCGCGATTTGCAATTTCTTAGAAGAAAAGGATTTCATAGTGCTGGAGGTGCTGTTACATCTATTTGTGAGGAGAAATAGAACTCAAAAGAGCTAGCGTTCTCCATCTCTGTCAAGCTTTACGTTGTAAACGTCCCAGGAAATTCAAGATGAAGCTTCGCAGTTGTATTAGAAACGTAGTAGATGATTACCAACCTAGACAAGCTTTGGACTCATAATCAAGCGGCACCTGCAACAGTGGTCCGTGGTTATCCATCACCTCCTGCACCGCATAGCAAGCGGCAACCCCCATAGCACACGCAAGAAGCACACTGAAAAGCAGTAGCAAACTCGTCAAGGTGACGAATATCTCGGTTTTAGAGCAAGCAAGGGACTATTTTTACTTGTTGCAGTGAGTAGGACTAGCAAGCAACTTCTATTACTTCAGTTTTAGAACAAGGGCCGCGATTTTTATTTTGTTCGGAAAAGGTACTATAGATCTAAGACGGATATCTGCAACTACTACTTGTTGAAAGTCGTTTTGATTCTGATTCTGGTATACAACTCCATAAACATTCACTCATTCATTTACCTGTTCCGGAGGTTGCTATTGACGCACTAAGCAGCCAATATTATCAATACATTGTTTGAAGGGCTACACGCTAGAGGTAAAAACTAAACCAATATTATTCATACACTAATTTGAGCCAACATAATGTCAGTTTTCCTTTTAAACGCTCCTGTCATCACCGTTGGTGAGACAAAGACAAAAATTGGTGCAGTTCCGATCATGATCTGGAGTAGGGAACATTGGAGGATGCCGCACAGCACTGACGTTGGCCAGTCTGGACCACCGCAAAGGATTGCGCAAGCCGTTAGAAAGACGACGAAGAGATGATCCTGTTGAATGATTCGTACTACTTGGATAATCTCTAGAGAAATCGGATGAATTTCACTCTCACTAGAATTTCACTTCAACAAATGCCCATCTCAAGTCTAATGATAAGGATGCAGTAGATCCTCCTCAATTATGAATGTCTCCTAACTTTCCAAACCCAAGACCAGGCTGTCGCAAGACTACTTCAATAGCGCGGATTGTCGGAGTATGAACCCCAACTAGCGCTCTAATCCACTCCCTAGAGCCCAATGGTTCTCCGATCGCCTTCTGTTGCATCGCACACGCATGTAATTTCAGGATCAGGGAGACGACACCTGTTTGGTGTAGTTCTAGGAACATTCCGTAGATACGGAGACTGACGAATTACGGAGACTTCCTGGGATTATGGATTACTGACTCCTGAGGATTATGGATTACGGAGACTGACGAAACGCATTTTTGGATCTCAAAATCTGCAGGTCCACTTGCAAAAGCAGGTTACGATCTCATCAGCGTTGAAGATTAACAAGCCTTAGGCACAAAACCTCAGAAGTTGTACATGTCAAAGCCAATCCCAGCCAAAATCCCGTCTCCGGGTCGTCGGTGTTGGCTTTTTCAAACGCATCCACCACTACAAGTCCGCCAAAGAGGTATACGGGCGGACCTGGCACTGGAGGGAGAAGAAAGCAACCTAGACCGGCTAAATACCAGAATTAGACCTACCGCTTGTTTGCATCTTCCTCTACCTCTTTCAGAGCAATATTGATATCCTTGGCAGAAGTGGCTTCTTTTTCAATTACACTTCCAAGGATGATAGTGTGACGGACATGCTTCAGCGGTAGTCTTAACAAAAGAGCATTACGAGAAGTGGGCTGAGACCATCGAGCATGACGTTCAGACCTATAAGCCCCAAGTTGAGGCCTTTTGTGCAGCCGACATTCAGAACGAAAAATGCAATACCCCAAATGTAGGCCCTGTGTGTGTTGAGTGATAGGTTTGATTGTGGGTAGTTACTGATGATTAATGGTCAGTGGTTGTAGTGGTGAGGAAATGTAATTGAAGCCGAACAAACTGTAGCTATACTTTGTAATAACCCCCGTTGCGTTCCAATGCGCTATTCCGCCCAACTGCATGCTACATCGTCGTGTACAATAGTGGTGCCATGGAGAGGGTGAGTATTAGCGCGTGACTGCTGTCGTAGTCGATCAAGCATAGCCGGATGCTTGATTGATTGATTGACTGATCGGGTAACCTCTGCGATATGATAGCATGCTCACTTCAACTGATTATACTTCTTCATGTCATGTCATGGAACCTCACTTATGTAGCATTTGATATCTACTTGCGAGGCCACTCAATACAAAGGTACCTCCAAAGGAGAGCCTAAGTGTCGATTTTACATAGTCCGTATACTTCTTCATCCACCTAGTGGTCCGTGTTATAAACATTTCTTAGTACCGTGTTATAAACATTTGCTACTCCTTATGATAACACCAATCGTTCGCCGTAAAAGTAGTGTACTTTTTGGTGCGCCTTCATTTCCTCCTCTTCTTTCTGCGTGGGCCTGTCTAACGGTACCTCCTCTGGTTCCTGTGAGGATCGCGCTCCCAAAGATTTCGTTAGAGCTCAACAAGGCAATTCATATTCTGAGGGCATGCAGACTAGTCTCAGAATCCTAAGAAGAAGATCGAAGCAGAATGAATCCCTTGTCGTAGAACCGAATTATAGTGAAGAGCCGTAATTTTGAATCAAAATTGTTGATCGTTGATGAGGCATCCCCCTCAGTAGCGGGCTTGGATTTTGTAGTCTCGTCACCAGGCGTGTTTGAGGGCAGATTAGAATCAAAGACACGGTATGTTTCTGGTAGGTGGACCTATTTCGGCTTGTGAACAAGTTCACCTGCATTGTGTCTTCTGGATGAAAGCTTTCTGCTGTCCTCCATGATTTCTTGGACATGAACCCATTTCTTAGACATGAACCCATTTCTTAGACATGAACCCAGTTTTACTACGCTACCATAAATTCCGCTGCTGCTCCCGTCGGTTCTGTACTGCCTTCGGAGGATGTGTCATCGTAATGGTTTCGGTCTCTAGTTCCACGCACATATCTGACAAAGCGGTTTACTGCACTGATTGCATAGTAGACTGGCAAGCTCCACCAGAATAGGAGCAGGAATTAGAGAAGCGAAGAGGAGAGGAATTGTAAAAATTGATTCGTTTGTATTTGACTACTTTACGTGTAAGAACTTATTGGTGTTTATTCTCTCAGACAGACTTCCTGGGAACAAGGAAAGAGAGAAGAATAATCCAGCAGTGAAAATGGGCATCTGCTGACGAGCCTTCGCAATAGCGTTAGTCGCCAACTTGACCGCAAGGTTGCGGAGTTCATCCTAATTACTTCAATTGAAAAATAAACGCAACAATCCAGCAGTGAAAATGAATCTGAGTCTTTCGGCTTGAGCCTTAAAAGAACAACGCCTTCAACCACTCCGAGCGCAGAAAGTCCACCATCATCCGCAGAAAGGGATTTCTCCACATATTCTGAACCATCTCCTTGTAAACTCGTTGCATCGTCGCTGCTATGACGACTACGAAACTAAAAAGCACTGCTCCGATGAACGTCCGCACTGTTGTCGAGACATCTAGGGAGGAATTGCTTGCGCCGACACCGACTTCGGCTGCGACCACAGATTAGAGGTAGTTCTTTTTACGACGTGTTGATGATGTCTTCAGAGCATCAATTATATTCTTGAGTGGGCGAAGAAAGTCAAGAATGCAAAATATTTTACTGTGTGGTGATCTCTCGACAAAGCCTTAACAAAAAGTCAACGCTGTGGCGAAAAGACCGCAGACACACAGCTTCACCGTATCTACAATCGCGTCCATGTTTCCGACACCCAAGATGCTGTCTCCGTGGTTGGCGTCCTCGGTTGCTACTGAATGGGCGAAGGGATTAGAGGACAGCAGTGAACTAGCAGATTAAAAGAGAGTGCTTAATCAATAAGTCGCACAAGCATGAAAGGCTGAACCACATATGAGTGGAAAACAAGACTGTACTCGTCCTCCAGAGCACCACACCCACATCATAACTTCCGTTAAAATTTCGTCAGTTTTGGTATACGAGACGTGGAGGTAACACCGTAACCCTAAAAGGCCGAAGATGAGCAAATAACCAACCGCCAGCAACACTGGAGCAGCCCAGATATTGAAGTGGACGAGAGTTAGAGAGGAAATCGTCTACAAACAGTCATCTTTGTACTTTGGTTTCCTTTCTATTAGAAATCTGAGCTAGGGCCTAAGGTTTAGGTCTCAATCGATTTTCTCTGGGCTCAATAGATACTCCCTCAGCTGGTCCAATGAATTGGAGATACAAGCAACTCGCTGCTGAAATACACATTGGATGATGCAGCCTTAAGTTAAACAACTGTTCCGGAGAAATATCCAGAGTATCGTCTGCTGTTATTCCGGTCGTTTCTGACTCCAAGAAAAGCCCGTCATTCCTCATTTTCTCCCTTGCGCTCTTTGACCAGTAGCGGTTTTAGAGGAAGAAAGAACGTATGATACAAGAATGAAAACTTTGTAGTAGTTGTGATTCATCAAGCGAATAAAGAGAAGTTGATTTCTCGATGTAAAAAAATAGGTCCACGTGCTGAAGAAAAACAGATAATTTTTTCGTTCCGAACTCAAACAAACCCAAGCACCATAATTCTTATCCTCCGCAACAAAGGCCCAGTAGAGCCACAGATTGAAAACTAAAGTGGCAGTGACCAGAGTTGATATGCACGCCGCTTTGTAGTAGATCAGCTTGTCGTGTTGCATCAGCAGGTAGTTGATTAAGATTTTGCTTAGAAGAATTGATTGGAGGAGGGTTCTTTGTGCTTATCATTTATGAGCAAATAAATGAGTGCGTGACGAGGACATAATGTGGAATGTCAAGGTTCAAGGTCCGCGGCTCTGCGGCCAGACCGCTTTGTCTGGGACGACACAGGCTCGAGTCATGAAAACTATATTTGTAACTTCCTATGAGTAGAAGTCCTCGAATCTTCTTAAACTTCGCATCCTTGCTAATCTCATTTTTCCATCTGGCAGATGCTTCAGCTGCTCTGCAATCGTGTCACGATCGTAATAGTGTAGTCGTTTTGCAAATCGAGCCGCAACTTGCAACCCCATCAATGCAACGAGCATGATCATCACAGGGTAATGGGGGTATCTGCTGGTTCAGTTAGTGTGTTGAGAAGCAAGTTCGTACTTTTAGCTTATCATCAGTCGTGTCGTGGGAAAAGCTGTGATCATACCTGTCGAAGAATTCGTCAACTGAAACTACTTCGATTACACGTCTCGTCATTGCACGTCAGTAGTCTTAGTACCTTCCAGCAGCCGTTATTCCCCATGCTAGAGCCATTAAGAAGCTGCAGATCGCCAGACATCTGCAGACGATCGTTCCGCATGCGCTCTGGCCTCTGTGATCCCCGTAAGCAAACCGAAAGGAAGATACTTTCACTTTTTCCTTATCCGCATGCGGAATCAACGGACAGGTGAAAAAGTCCAGCATGTAGAGGACGGAAAATGAAAGCATACGAGGGAGAGGAGAGGAGCGGTTATGTGTGATTGTTCTGCAGACCCTTCATTGATTGAAGGAGATGGAAGGCTTTAGCTTGTCTGAAGAGAGGTCATTGGAATATAGAAGCGCTTGTTCGAAATTCTATTCAAAAAACAACTCAAACTTGTTCCATAAAAATAGGATGAAAATTCCACCGTACCAGAGGTAGAATCCGGCATAGTCTTGTTCGATTGCCCATTTATAGCACTTGGATCCGTAGCTGGGATTAGAACGTGTTTGGGATGCGATCTTCATGTCTCTGCGGACATGGAAGTGGCCGTTTTACATAGGGAAGGGTTACAAGGGATGTTTCGATCGAGGAACCCATCGACACGAGCCACGTAGTTTCAAAGAGAGAACCTCCTATGCTATGTATCATAACTATCATACTCCACAGTGCTAGCGTCGCGGTTGCTACCAGAATGTTCACTGTGAAAGTGATCAAAAACCACGTCCGGAAACGAACCGAGTGACCTTGCAGGGTCGTTACCAGAGTTTTTCGGTTGTGCCGGACGTGTTTTAGAACAGAAATGGGCGTAGAAATAGGGTGTTGTTTTCGATCATGTTAGACGATATCATACGTACTTTGTGTTAGGATATCATGAGTGCTGTTGCCATCCGTTCTTCTCAATACTCTACTGTGAAATGATGGCAAACCAATAACTCCTTTATCTTGTTATTACACTTCTAGAAACGTATAATCTTCCCTGGGCGGATACTTAAACTTATAATGGTGTCATAATTGTTGCACCATTTCCTCCGACATCGTCACGCGTGTGGATCTGCTAACTGGTTCCGAATTTCCGCCACTGGCTATGCTGACCTCTCGCCCTCGCGGGATCTGGAGAGGCGTCTCCAGTTTCGTCTTTTTCGTCTGTACTTCTAGTATGAAAGTAAAAACGTTGTATGGAGTCTTGCCCCGACGAAGGAATGGAGGCCTTCGTGTGAAATACTAGCATGCTCGACTTGAGGCAACAGTATTATATCACTAAAGTTAACCCAGTAATCACCTTCTACTCTTGAAAAAAAAAAGAAGCGTGTAAGTAAGTGTCGGTCAGTGGCCACACATCTTCAACACGCCATCACTATGATGACTTTAATCTACTCGACGAACTGCCTAAGATTTCCCCGACGTCTTCTACCCGCTAATCTAGCCTGTTGTTGGATTCATAGTGGTCTTTCGACTGTTCCTGATGTTTCTAATCAATCCGTTTGAAATTAACTCCAGAAAACATCAACCACCACGTTTTTAATCACACACTCTATCTCAGTCATATCTTCGTCGCCGGCCGCGTCAGCCACTTGGACTCTTGGCAGTGAACTGCCAGTATTAGAGTGTGCTTGAATCCATCTCGGCTAGCCTCATCGTGGTAGCTTTTCCGCTGTGTTCCTCTAAAAAAAGAAGAGTACCAAACAGACACGTCGTGTGTATCCCTGATGGTGCCGCTCCTAGTACAACCCGTATTTTTTTTTTTTTGCGTTAGGACTATATGCCACCGCCCTTTCAATCAATTAATTAACCTATATAAGATCCAAATTACATACTGGGGGCGCATAAGACCGTACAACCGGCCACAAATCTACATCTATCTGAATGGTGTTAACGTGAAGTTGAATACATTTTCTTACTGATAGCGAACATGACCAAGGCCAAGACGCTAGCACCACAGGTGAAACCAGATCGGTTAGGACTTGATGCGGAGAGAGATGGACACTGCGAGGCGGACACGACTAAGAAAGTGTTCTCACGCAGTTACTGTCAACAGCCATAATGCTAGTCGTGGATCCTGCTGCCCGAGCGCTCGCTGCTGCCCGAGCGACATCTTCGGCTACGTAGAGGCCTTGAGCCGTGCCGGCTGCACGATCGTGTGGCTGCGGATGGTTTAGAACTACGGTAGCTAGCTGCAGTGAGATAGGATAAAAAAATGAAACAAGAAAGAGAAACCTCGCGAAGGAAGTTGACAAATATAGGATAAGTTACATGGTGGTTGCTTCCCTCCTGTTCTGCATCTTTAAACATCACTTGACCACTCCTGAGGTGTAGTAGGAAACAGCCAAGTACCTACAACAACTTCTCCAGTATCTAAAATATTTTCGGGCTACAAGAATTCACAGGGTAAAGGCATAACATTTTCTTCTCCTTTTCCTGTGCTGCTTCCGGTTTTCAGCAGTCTGAAGTGGAGGCCCTTTTTTCATACCTCATTTTTTAGTTCTACTCCCCTTTAGATTTTGTTGTAGGTGTGAAGGTGAAGCAGATGTTGATGAAAGTAGTTTTACAATGGAGTTTTTGTGGCAGATATTTTTTGCTGAAAGAAGCAAGCTGAGTAAGAAAAAATTTTTGCTTCTAGGCAGCTTCCCCTGTATTTTTCACTTATGAGGTCGTCTCGTTTTTGCAGGGGCATCTCTTCTTTACTTTTCAATCCTTGATAGCGCCATTTTTCACTTGCAGTCATTTTTTTTGGCAATTTCTCTCTAGTTCCTCTTCCTCCAGCTCGCAAGCCATCGTTATTTCTCCTACAACTTCTCGGCTCACCGATTACCAAATCGCTTCGTTGCGCCATCCATCAGGATCCGATCAGTCCTCTTTTATCAATTTGTACATTTTGTAGCGAATACAATTTCAATCACAGTACTAGAATTGTCGGCTCATCGCGCAATAGGCGTCATCATGATTCTTCTAAATTTGACATTCAAAGCAAGCTAGCTAGGTCTTAAAAATTTGCAAGCGTAGTTTTACATCTCCTAGCACGATAATTTCTCATGGTGGACTTCATCCAACACAGAGAAGAAATTCATACCGAAAACTAAAAATATTCACACGTTCATTATTAAAAATCACGAAATTGGGAGTTGACCTTTATCTGAATCTTAGTGTTGCGCACATTCAATTCTAAGCTCTAACCGCAGATGCGTCCTCCTCAACTTCTGAAGTTTCTCAGACCTTCTTCTTCTTCCAAACGGATAAGAAGGAGGCTACTTTTCGAGTCGACAACTGTTAAGTCTGTACATTATTATGAATAAACTTTTCCAGCAATAATAGTCAGCTACAGCTTATTCAATTCTTTCTTACAAGCCCCTCGTCTTCCAAGAGACAGTGTCGCCCGACTTTCCCCGTACTATAGGTTCATTTGTTTCTCAATGCCACAGAAACTCTACCGAAAGATCAAACCAAAAAAAATATTTCCAAATGCAAAAAAAAGTGTCCGTATTGGTTCCTGACTATGATAAATGACGCGATAAGCAAACGTTATAAACCTTGTTTCTAGAAGCTGCCACACAGAACGGAACCAGAAGACATCCTCCACTTATGATGTAGATGTTCATTCCTTCTTTTTTGGCCACATCTGCAATCCTGCATTCTCGTGTTCGATATCAGCAGATCAACTCGCTCTTGACCACTAAGATGCTTCCTCGTCCTCACTGCCCATAGTCTCCTCTGTAGAGTCGACATAGTGTTTCGTAGCTGATGTGACGTTCTAGGATTGTATGGAAGCCGTTTCTTTGTGCATCCATGATATTGTCGCTATTGTCGTCTATGAGGATGCCGGATCTAGCCTGAAAATTCCGCATTAGAACGTGCATGCGCTGAGCCTTGCCGTTCCCCCAAGGAGGGGCATCGGATCCGCAAATCTGCGGGTTTTTAGGATTTCGAGTTCAATACGAGAGCTCCAGAACGTCGAGAGAGTCCACCACGCTCTATGGAAACGTGGAAAACTCAAATGACCGAGACGAAAAGGAAATAGTCATAATTATCTGCAACCAAAAACAAGAAGATCAAGAAAGAATTCTAATTCACTCTACTCATTCATTCACTCTACTACTAACTATAGTACTACAACAAATATCATAATCTGCAATGAAAGCATTGTAGACTCCTACTTCTAACTATAGTACAACTAGAAGAAATATCATAATCTGCAATGAAAGCATAGTAGACCACAAATATCATACCTGATCAAAGCATTCGAACAATGCCACTGATTCGTCTTTGAGTACGGGGATAATGCGTTCTACTTGGTTCAGGGACAAAATGCAGATTTTCACGGAAGGCTTGTCCAACCTGATCTGTCGAAGTCGGAATTTGAGATAGTCGACTCGCTGCGGTCCTCCCATGTTCTCCCGTGCCGGAGGTTAGATGTTAATGTTAATAATGTTGTGAGGCGCTCTAATTTGGTGATGTAGTTGTTGTAGACCCAGCTGCAAGTAAGAGATGGATCACCCCCTTTGGCGCGTCATAGTCAGCATGTACAAATCTTTAAGCAACTATGACATGCATTTTAAGTACTTATAATCCGAGTACTAAAAATACTACTTTTTGATCGATGACAACTTACCTCTACTTGTATGTTAGGCAAGACCAGTTTGCTAGAACAAAAATACGCGACCATAACAAGCAGCTATATCCTCTGTGTCCCGGTACAGGTGTGCGCATGCAAGACAGTCATCAAAATCGATGCATATAAGGTCTGGTATGTTCTCTAGGCTCCATGTTCCTGGTTGAGGGATCGGTGGTCGTGGAAGTGCAGGCGATTGTGCTGCGGCTGTGGTCGGTGTGGTAGATTAGAAGCTGGGAACTTGAGGTGGGAGAAGTTTTTTTCCTTTACCTATTTTGTCGTTATATAATACGGAAAAGCTTTAAAAAAATCCTCGATATAACAAAGAAATACTCCAACACCTCTATCATAAACAGTTCGGTGCTTGGCTCGCTGGAAATTCAATTGCGGTTGCGCAAGAGTCGGTGGCGCTAATTGTCCTCGGCTTTGTGGTTCGAGGGCAGGTGAAGCGCCACTGGTAGAAGTCATCCCTGTACCGGCAGAAAACCCTCCTCCAAACTCAAAACGGAATCCTAAAGAACTTGTTGCTGGAGCCATCATAGAACCAGAAACAGAGGCACTAGTACTGGAAGCAGATTGTTGTTGCACCATTGGTGCTGCCGCAGTTGTATTGGGGGATTTGTGCTGCACTGCCGCAGCGGCTGAGGCTTTCAGCACGTCCATTGGCATGCCTGTGATGTCTAGGTTATCAGTTTCTGGTTGCTGCTGCGCACCGCTCGTACTATTAGTCGTCGGCGGCAACGCGGCTTTTCCAGTCTGTGGCGCAGTGGGTAAGCCAGGCATAAACACTGACGTAGAAGATGACGTGACAGAGGACGCCAGAGCAGCGGAGGATGCCTTCGCTGGAGAGGAAAGCACAGCACTAGAGGCAGTCGAACCTCCGTTAGACACTGCTGTTCCAGATGCGTGTATTCCACCAGAGGCTGCTCCTGTTGCAGGTGCAGCTGTGCTACTACTAGTTCCCGATGCTTGTTGTAGAAACGTCATTTTTACTGCCCCATTCGCCGCTGCAGACATGATTGGCGTCACTGCGGTTACGCTGCTCGGCCCTCCCCCACTGTTCCGCACAGCAGGTCGATAGGAGAATGTCGACTGCGGTAAGCCGAAAGTCGGTACCGGTCGACCAACGCCGGGGGGTCCGTGAGACATTTGCCTTTGTCTCGCATTGCCTCTACTTTATTAGCGCTCAAAGTAAGTGGTAAGCGTGAGATAGGAGCCAAGAAATACGAGCATGAGTCTACCATTCTAGTCAGTCTACCATTCTAGTCCTAGAGAAACAAAAAGAAGCAAACCATGTGAAGAAGCATCTTCTACGGTTGTAGTGGTCTCAGTAGAATCCTAGGACGCTGTGAGAAAGATGAATTGAAACACGCTGTGAGAAAGATGAATTGCCAAGAATCGAGGTCTGAAACCTGGAGACTATCATGTGAGAAGATCCCCTTCATGCATTTCATGTGTAACACCATAAATACTCTGCTCTGTAGTTCCACCTGCAGTGGGCACGCCATAACGTTCGCGGATACTAGCTGGGAGTCCACAAAGTTCTTGAATTGCCTTAGCCGTCGGGGATCCGCCACCGCCATAGGCAGTCACCGCTAGTGGTACTGAGGTAGATGCAGTTGCACGACCAGCAGAGGTTTCTTGCTTATTTGATGTGGCTAACGAAGAGGAAGATGTACCCGGAGTAGTTGTTGATGATGTTGCAAGAACTTGATGACTAATAGAAGTGCCACCTGCAGTAGTTGCACCAGCATTAGTCGCAGTCGAATCTACCGTGGGAGTTGCTGCACTACCCTCTTGTTCAACACCAGAATTTCTGTTCGCTTCTTGAAGCGCAGCTGTCGAGTACAAGTGATTCTGACCCGCGGCCGCTGACGGCGTAGCTGCGCCTGGTGTCGCTGAGCCAGCACGTGAACCTTGTTTCGACCAACTGCGCAGATGATCTTAGAGGAGCTCAAAATATTTCCTTTCTTGCTTCCATTTTCTCACGAGCCTGCTCAGACGTTGAGATTCTCTGCACTGCTTTGACAAACAGCAGTGCTCGTTTTCCGGTTTGTGAGGTCGCTCTTCCCATCCTAGTGGACACAGTAAGTGCCTTGTGAAAATGGGCAAATGATCTAGTGAGCCTTAATGATCCGTAGCCGCTGTTTTGGAAATGCCGAACTTTCCTAACAATTTCGGCATTAGGATGTTGGGCTGCTGCATCGAGCGCATAGGGCTATCCGGTTTCTCTCCTGGGACACTCGGTTCATCGTCGTCCTGAATATTATACACCTTCTCCGGTGACGCCCTAAAGGAGGACCCGTCGCTTTCCTACAGAGATACAAGATTGTTGAGTACGTACATCGTAGAAATGTGTTTCAAATTTGATGTAGTTGTACTGACAAAAGCTACTGTTCGTCACACAACTGGAATCACTGACAAAAGAATACCTTCGATGATTCCAACTGTGGATCAGACCGGATGTATTGGTGTGGTGGTGGAGCCACTTGCTCATATGGAGTCGAAGGTCCTTCAATTTTCCCGAACTTTGGGCGAGCGGCTGTAGTCGTGCTTACCTGGTAGAAGCGGGTTTTATATATATTGGTGCATGATTGAAAAAGACCCGTTAGATGAGAAAAAATTGGAATACAAGATAAATAAGAGGTTACAAAAATGGCCGTATGGCTTTGTCCGAACGCTATAGGTACTCTCTGTTGGTCTCACAAATTCAAGAATAGATCTCACAAATATATCTCCACGTCATGCTTTCGTGCTCATCTCAGAATAGGTCTCACAAATTCAAGAATAGAGCTCTGTTGGTCTCACAAATTAGAAGATTGTAGAAATTCATAGTACTGCAACAGTCTTCTGTCCAACAGCAACATTCTTCTGTTCAACAGTTCCCGCTTCAAACGTCTCTATCCTTTTTTGGTAGAGTTCTCGGATTGCCTTTGCATCGGCTGCCGCGTACATCTCTTTGGTGGAGACTCGATCCTTACTCCTAGCCTCAGAGACTGGTGTCTTGTTTCGACGTCCACCGGACGTGGTGGAAGACGTCGAAACCCTTGCTGGAGGTGGGTTTCCACTTGTAGGGGATTAGAGAAGGAAATAAGGTGAATGCTGTGGCGGAGAATTTACTAGAAGCAACAGATACTCTGATACACTTCTCATTCTTTGTAAGTGCTTATCATGAATCTCATTATCGATGGTCGATCTAGACGTAGGAGAAAAACAAAAAGATAATAAAGCCTAATCGAAATTTCTCAGAATCGGAAAATAAACAACAGTGCTGTTATGGAATAACAAGCACTCATCCCGTTTACGCCAAGCCATAACTAGACGACCCAGAGGAGTCCTGTGGTAGTCGACTAGGCGGTCCGGACTTCGGCATGTTTCCACTACCAGCTTGTAGCGCTATTAGGTTGAGACCACCACGACCGCCAGCGGCGGTACTTGCTGCACCTGATGCGGTGGAGGCTAGTTCTCTAGCTCTACTATCCCTCGTGCTACTATCTCTCGCTGGAGCACCATCATCAGGTTCGAAGGATTTGCGGTTGTCGCTATGGTGTCCACTAGTTCTTGGTTTTACGCGGGCTTCGGGACTCTTCGCGGGACTACCCGAGCTTCGGGTTTTTGAGCCAGTTGGAGTACGCGAAGCTATGCGCATCTCGTTGTTCTTGTTATTTTCTAGTCCTAGTTGTATGGTAGTCGTAGTAGAGGTAGTGCTGATATTGGTGTTTTCGTCTACAACCTTTGGCTCTGCCAAGATCGTTGCGGGACTAAATATTCCACCAGTCTGACGTGCGAGGTCAAGCAATGTCGGAGGCGGTAACGGATTTGCCTTCGTAGATGTCACTTCTAAGACAGCGGTGCCTTCTGATCGTATTGGCTCACCGATCTGCTTTCCCGGTTTCTGCTCTCCTACATTGGTGCTAACGTTTTGTTGAGACGAACGACTTTGACTTTCTCTACTAAGCTCTACTAGTCCTACTTCTTGTTCTGGTATACTCTGTACTACCGCAAGTAGATTTGGTATTTTTGGACTCGCAATTTTGTCGCCACTCTTTGTTCGTGTCGCTGGCGCAGCGAGAGGGGAAGAAACAGAAGCTCTCAGATCTCCTCCTACTGATTGCTGCGACAGGGAAGATGCAACAGTAGGCTGCTGCTCCGTTAAGTTGGTATTAGAAGTGCTAGGAGTTGTGCTGGTGGTATTGGTCGGCGATGCAGATACTTTTGCAGTTGCAGCTACAGTGTTGCCCGTGGTACTGGCACTGCTGTTACTACCACTGGTTGTCGTCGCACCTGATGAACCAGCACTGTTGTTTTTTGCACCTTCCCCACCAGCAACGGCACCAACAACACCAACAGAAGTTGTAGAAGATCGCGAAGTCCTTGTCCCGGCGAAGGTTGAAACAACAGCACTTGCGGAAGGTAGACTGTCGAAAAACGTGTCTAGTAGCGAACCCGCTTGTCTCTCCTCGGGGTCAGCTTTGGAGAAAGAGGGGATAGACATCAGCAGTCAACACAACAATCATGTCTCTGAACATTCTACGAGAGGACCACATGTTATTGTTCACTTCTTAGAGATATTACCATAAATTCCTTCGGTGGGGGTGGGGATGGAAAATGTTATAACATTGTAAATATAAACGACCATCAATAAAATGAATCGATGACAATAGGATGTTTTGAAATCCCATGCGAAAAAAACGAAATATGGAACTCCAATGATGTCGCAAAAGCAATAAAAGCGTCGCCACGTGAAAAAAGCACTAAGTTTTCATTTGGGAGGAAAAGTGGGACGAGATTGTGAGTCACTACATTTACACTTAGAAGAAGTGGATTACTATAAATTCCCGCACGATGCTTGTTCCCGATGCTCTCTCGTACAGACAGAGTGCTTGTCGATCCCTTTGCACATCGTAACAACCATCAGCTTCCCATATCGCAAAGGTCAATCTAACAACGGAATAACCGTCGATCGTCTCCTTCCAGCCCAAAATTGCTACCCAAGCAGAAGACGATCCGATCGATGAAACGAACACCCTCGATAGAACACCAGAGCATTGGCTACAGCGCGCATGCTCGAGGTGTTTCGTAGAACGAGTACTCTGTTGATGAATAGTCCCCAGAGAGGATGCCGACAAGAACAAGTCCTACTATGAAAAATATTTTACCTCTAATGGTCACACGCGTCGCTACGCTCTCCTCCACCATACTATCCTGTCATTATAAAATGTTGTCAAACGAAACAGCCATTCCTACTTGGGGAAGAAGGTACTATAACCTACTACACAGATATCGAAACTTATCACGCCAGAAAAAAAACGACGGAGAACCGAATAAGATTAAAGCTTTCAAGATGTCGATGGGGTGACAAATTCCGATACGGTAACAACCCAGGTGATAAATGATCCACCGATAGCAAGGAGACAACCGATAGCAAGAAGACAACCGATAGCAAGAAGACAACCGATAGCAAGAAGACAACCGATAGCAAGAAGACAACCGATAATAAACGCCCGCAGCTGATTTAAGACCTCCTACCGTTAGCTATCACGAAGTAAGCTCGTGAACCTTAGAGAGTCAAAAATCATATTCCACAGGAGATGTTAACTATCACGAAATAATGGGGCTTTTAAGAAGATAACCGCGAGAAACACACTACATTGGTAGGCTTACGTTGCACGACTAAAGATACTCCATAGGGGGCGTCAATATTATGACCTTCAAAATTCCGTGGATTGATGACAGTATGGGCGTCATCATTTTGCTCATCAAGAGTCAGAAAAATTCGTAGATTTGAAGCTGGGACTCTTTCCTCATCGAAGGGTCAGAGAGAGCGAAAGTCCAAAATTGAGATATCAAATGTGTGGAAGGTACTTCTGTGCACCGCCAATCATTTTGCAACATAGCTTCCGTTTTATCTCCCAAAATCTGTCGAAATGGCTCTTAAAACAGAAGAAAGAGCATTACGAACTCATCTTATGTTACATTATAAGAACCAGCCTCGCACTGCCCTACGCCTTCATCTCCACGTTCGTTGGGCCGCGATGGAGGGCCCCCAGAAAACGTCCTTCAGATACTTCAACTGCAGTTGAAAACATCAACTCTTGCGGTGCTTTGTCAAGCGATAGAAATTCGTCTGCAACTGCTCCTAGGTAGGAGCTCATATCGTGCTCATGTCGTGCGTCGTTGTGGTACTTCGTTTTCGAGCCGATCATCCATGCTCACTCGACCCCAAAGACACCTTGGGAAGCTGCCAAAAAGGGCAGCAGATGTAATCGAAAGTGCAGCATGGTCATGTTTCTTGTTACACTTAAGCTTCACTGTATCAAAGTCCTATAGAAGATTCAATTTGGTGTACTGGATAAATGCTACTTGTTGCACAGGGGAGGGCTACTCATTTCGTTAGTTCTGATGTGTCGGGGAGGAATTCTAGTTTGCGCAAAAATCTTAGAGGCGGTGGGTTCTGTTAGGCTAGGTCAGGCGGTGGATATTAGTAAATACAAGCAGGGTATTAAAATAACGAGTAAGGGCATCAACGACTGACGACTGTTTACTGTTTTATTCTTGTGCTGCACTGAGAAATCGATTCGGAGGGACTCATCCGAAACCAGACACCTTCACAATAGTTCTGTCGCTAGTGATGATAAGAAAATATTAAGTATAGAAATCAATTCCGTTTTTATCTTTAATGCCGTTTATCTTTGATCGCGGAATCCACAAGTAGAGACTTATGAAGTGGAGGTTTCTTCAGATCAGGGCGACTTCCGTGTTTAGATTCTGAGTAAACTCCATCTCTCTCTCTCATATTAAAGCTCAGCCTTCAATGGTCACTGACTCTGAACGGAAGGGACCCCCTTCAAAGCTCTCCCCTTTCCCTTCGTTTTCCCCTGTTCTCTCAAGGGGTCGCCTCTTCGATCTCAGTGACCAACTCCAATGACCATTGAAAGTTGAGCCTTAACTCATACATTGCTGTTCCCATATATTTTACGAAGAAGCTAGTAAGTGAAATACTCTCGCCATCTCCAGCAGTTGTAAGTGAAATACTCTCGCCGACTCAGGGAATCACTGTGTGTTCCTCGGTTTTCACCGTCAAATTAATCAATGAAGGTTTCTGTTTCCAGTGTGCTTTGGACATGTCTTCAAGGATTTGTAAAAGGCGGCTCTGTGTCCGCACGGTGGTGTTTTTCTTTAGCTGTCTATCCGATAGTACCGAGAGACGGACAAAAGTTCGGTCCCAGTGACGATATGATAGGGACAAGTCTTAGCTCGCTCAGCAACGAGAAAGCTAGTATCAAACCCTGTCCTGCAACCATTCACCCACATTCACCTTGCTCCTGACAAGCATGGTCAACGGTATCGACATGGTGACCCCGCCTATCTTCACCGTGGCGCATAAACCAGCAGAACCGTGAGCAAAGTGAGCCAGAGACCGCTGGCAATGGTGGTTTTCGTCAAAAGCGGAAAAACGTCATACATGACCCATTCGTCGATGCCCAACTTTTCGAATAAAGCCGTGTTCGAACTTGGTATGAAGACGAGGCAGCAAAGGGGGATTGTGACTTTACTCGAAAGTGTGGGCAAGAAACAATTTTTTATGCTAACTTGTGAGGAGAAAAAAAGTCCTTGGTGATTCAAAAATCGTCACATTCAAAAATCGTCTTCATAAGTCTCGTCTGTGGCACCGTCGGTGGCTCCGAGGATAGGTTGATGGCAACTGGATCGCTCTCAGGAGGCCCCAAAATGGGTCCCAATGAGGCTGCTGCACTCTGTGCTCCTATCGGTGCTGCTACTGGTTTTGTATGAAGAGGTTAGGTTAGGTTGTGAATCCTTCACAGCGAGCCTCACAGAAGAGATGAGTACATACCATTGAGAAGAATAGCACAATTAGATCACCCCGGAGAGATATCGATCACATTTTCATGCCATCGTCTGAACTGGAGCAGGACGTCGAACTTGCTATCAAGGTGCAGTTCAAGACCCTAAAACTACTGCAAGTTACCCTGTAGCAAAAGGACAAAACTCCAACACTCAAACAGCTCTCTCAATGCATCCATGCTTGCATTAATCCACGCCGTAAGCAGGTGAAGGAGCAGCCGTTGCTGTGCTCACTAATCGGAAGTTTTGTGGTCGTAAGGCTATGTTGGAATCATCTTGGCAGTGGACGCGATAACGACCGCCATCCGGATCGAATTCGATGATGACTGCTTGGATTAGAAAGAAAAAATGACAAGAAAATGCTGGTGGTGTGATTCCGTCGCTCCACACGCCACAGAGACTTCTAAGAAAATGTTTCTCTACAACTCAGGTGGTCTCTCCTTTGCGCAAAGGATAAGGAAAGGAAAACGCTGAGACCCAATAAAATGCAAATCGCTCGAACTTCTTAATTTCATCCCATTCAAATGGGCAGCATTGACGAGACCCTCGATCTGCACTTCGGTACCCGGTAGTAGAGGCCCAGTGGCCTCGGACCCCAACATTCCGACAGAGTTTGATGCCATGTCTACAACGTTGCTGCCGTGTTGAAGATGTGCCGTCTCAGTGATCGTTGAGCCGCCTCCTCCTCCGACAATGACAGGGTCAGAAGGGATAGAGGTCATGCTATTAGAAGAGTGAGGAGTCATTCGATGTTGATGTGCACATGAAATCTTTGTTCTGCACAAAAACTACCGCCACTTGACAATGATGACGTAGTCAGAAGCTCTTTTCAGCATCATAAGAGTAAATCCGCCTTCTGCAGAGTTATCCTCGAAAAACTCACTGTGCGGCGAATGTGCGGAGTTATCTGGGGACACACGAGTTCCGTACGCACGTTCCTCCCCCACGCCGTCCGCCCCTCCCTCTCTTGTGATTAGAGAAGAATCTTGAGATTGCCATTACGGTAGAGGAGGTCCAACTCTGAGTACCCGATAGTGTAGTTCTGCGTGTTCCGCCACCTTTTTCAAGTCTATAAGTCTCACTGATTCATTTTTGAACAGGACACTGTCAGATGAGTCTTAATATGCGTCGGCCTTAGAAGCGAGTCGCTAGAGGGAACTTTCCGACTCAGTCCTGGAGGTCATGTGTTTTTGCTTTCGGTGGACAAGGCAGTGATGACGATGAGGTCTGCTAGATCCTATTTCTCTTCTTCTAGATAAGATTACAATCGGTTTCCTGTACACACGCATAAGGCCTACCACTGAAGGGGTCCGTTTTTTTGTGAGCCTAATTCAGAATCTCAGTTTTGCTCGTATGCTCTCTCGAACGGAAGCGTCACTCTGGAAGGTCATGATGGTCCTGTCTGTGCAACATGTCCCATCATTCCTTCCACTCGCAGTCTGCTCAGGTTACACATCCCTGCACACTAAGCCTGCGCCGTGACCGATTTCAGGAACACACGCAGTTCAATTGAATAGAATTCGGATCCAACTCTCTGCTTGATCCTGGGTATCCATATATTTCTCATGACAATTGGAAAACTGCATCTGCATTACGATAAGCATGTTGTCATAGGAATGCTATTTCGAGCTCTTGAAGACAAAATCTGCCAGACATGTCCTACTGTGCAATTTCGAGTGTACTTAAATGTCTCCCAGCAGTTCTCCGCGCGCACGCTGCAAGGACATCCCCGGGTGGACTGCAGCGGCACAGCGAGACTGCGGAAGCTGCCGAAGTGAATCGCAACGACAAATTCTAGGTTGGATCATAGCACAAGGCAGGTCGGTTCCGCCTGCAAAATTACTCGATTTTTTACCGCGCGTCAACATCTGCAGCTTAGAAGGTGCATGGCAAGACCCCTACGGGCCTGGGAAGTTGCTCATCCTGCCGCAAAATCGAGCGTTTCTTCGAAGGAGAGAAGGTGGTGACAGTAGTAGGTCGACGGCAGCGGGAGGCGACATTGAGACGCCTGTATTCTTAGCCCCATAGAATGCCTTGCCGCTGAATTCGCTCCCCTTTATGCTGCAGAATTATACTTCCCTATTATATATCAAAAGGCCCTTTATGCCCCAATGTCCATCGCTTTGATTTTGAATCCGCGGCCCTCTATTGTCGCTCATCCACGCGGAAGAAGTAGTGCTGCACTCTGGCCGCCGTAGTCAATAGCAGCTGTGGTCCCGGTAGTGATAGGCTGGCTACTTACTTCGCTCACGCCACCTCCTCGACGAATCACCGTCCCACCCGCCATCCCTCTCAGATTCGTGATCTTGACGCTCATGCGTGTAAAGTCTCCTCTCAGGTCTCAGGAGCTTCTCCTGTGTGATCGAGGACCTGCTTGATGAGGATGATCAAACATGAAGTTCGCTTGAACACGAACAAGCAATGAATTTGATCTGTCATCGGATTTTTCGTGTGAAAAGAAGCCCTTTGATAGCGTTATGCTGCATGTGAATTGTCGCACGATTATGACTCGAAACGTACTCTAGAACCGGCAGCGTCTAACTGACGGGGAACTCCGTAAAGAGAAGGAAACCTCCAAAATACGAGAGCTCCAAGAGTAGTGACTTAAGGATCGCGCCTGCAATTCCAAAAAACGCCTCAGAGAATCGAAAGACTCGATCTTCGAAGCAGCGGATTTGCGTTTAGTTTACCACCAAACCCACACTTGGGTCGCCAGGGAAGAGTACAAAAGATCGCCATCCTTTCGTAGAAGGTCGGTTAAGGTGACCACTCCATCTTTCCTCAAAGAAAAGATCCCGACTTTTGATGGAAGATCGAGACCAATAATATGATTTAATAACTTCCATGATATAGAGGATACTTTAGGCTGTTATGGAAAATTGATTCATTTCAAGAGGTAAGCATGTTGCTTGTCGCAGGATTATGACTCGAGACCGTACCTAGAACTGGCAGCGTCTAACTGACAGGGATGAATCTTGCAGACTGGAAGAAAACCTCCAGAATGCGAAATATCCGAGGTAGGCGACTTAAGGGTCCTGCTAAATGTCTAGACTCACGACCAAAGTCTAAAAAACTTAGACTGTAAAGAGGTCAGGCCTACACGTAAAGTTTATTCTCCCGCGCTGTTGGTACCACAACATCTAGAGGCAAAGTAACCAAGAGCCACAGACGCCAGGAGGTGAAAGGGCAGTCAGAAACTTGCAGATACAAGCGGCATTTTATTGCACGGATAGGGGAAACGCCTTTAGCAGCACAATTTATTGCACATATGAAACGAGGTTAATGGGACACTAAATCGATGATAGGGTGATCGATAGGATGAGAGAACCGTAGATTTTCAACATCCCATATCACTCCCAAAACTTAGACACAATAGAGTTACAAGAACCGAATCTTTCCGCTCTCCGCGTGTCGCTAAGCAAACCGCTCTGCAAATGAAAGTATGAAGCAAGGACATGTAGCCGCAATAATTCCGAGCTCACCAAGATAAAAGAGGTGGGGCCGGACTCAATTTGCTGGCTTTGTCGCTCTAGGAACCTTTACGACTCGAGTAGCAACAGTCTATGCCACGCGAGAGATACAGGTCCCGGAAGTAGCTTCGTTTTTCCCAGGTAGAGAGCCGCGCAGCACGCAAAACCGGAAGTATTGTAAGCAACATATGGATCCGCAAGACACAGGCGCCCAGCAGGTCTCGGAGTCACAGTTCTTATAGCTCTCATGCGAAAATCGCCTACCACCGCTTGTGTATCAGCGGCAACTTCTCATACGGAGCAAAAAACACAACGAGGAAAACTCCTCATACAGAGCAGAACAAACCAGCAACGCTTTTTACTCTGGCAGGGACGCACGGCATTACGCAAGCGGAGCGGAGGTGCAACCATCGATAAGCAACGAGAGCACCACGGGGAAAACAACGAGAGCACCACGGGGAAAACAACGAGAGCACCACGGGGAAAACAACGAGAGCACCACTGCGGGACTGACACAGAGAGGCAGACCGGCAACACAGAAGCATATCTTAAGCAATTCGTCGTGATCTTTGTGCGTGACTTATGGATCCACAGGGCACTAATAGAAGAGCCAAGTGGATCTCGGAGCCACAACAGCTCTCTAGCTCTCCTGCGAAAATTACCCACCACCAATTGTGTAGATTAGGCAACTTCTCATTTGGAGCACAGTAGACTACGCAACTTCAGATATTAAGGCGCAGTAGACAGGGCTTGACAGACAGCGCAAACACGATGTAGCTGAGCAGAAGGCCCAGAGGGCGCGTGTGGCAGGCGCGCGGAAAACATGTAGCAGACGCAAAAGGGCGACTTCCTATTGAACCGCAACACTCGCGAAACTGCCCGAAGAAAACACAATCCTCGAGGGCAAGGGCCCACCAAACCCCAGCACTGCAGCACCGATAACTTCCCAGCGTTACACAAGTGCTCTCCTTACAACACGCACTCTATCTGCTGAATCCACAAAAAATTGTCCGCAACTTATGGATCCGAAGGGCATTAGAGTGAAAAGCCCAACAGGTCTCGGAGTTGCACAATTCTTGTGGCTCTCCTGCGAAAATCACCTACCAGCAAGGGTGTATATCAGATGACTTCTCATTTGGAGCCTGAGAATTCTTGGAAGCAATGGCAAACTATCTAATCAAAGAGTAGTAGAGTATCTAGACGAGTCTGTTCTGTGATAAGAGAACACACGCCGAACTAGGTTCGGCCCAGCGTGCGTTGAGTAACGACAGCTTTCTCTCTCGCACCAGTTTGGAGCGAGCACACTGAGAAGGACAGCGCCGCTCGCTTTGCACGAAGTGCTTGTTACTTCTTAGGAACCATTATATTATCAGAGATTGAGTGATCCTGTAGCACATATTTCATCCCTTCTACGGAATGTAACTTTGCTCTGAGGACAGTCACCTTTCCAACTATTCGAAAATGCGCGTGTCAGTCCACAAGAGAACGATCCACGCACTGTAAAAGCGTAGACCGTTGAGTATTGAACTTGGTATGATCTTGCGTCAGTTAGATAAGCCAATCGGCCATGTAGAAAGGGCCAAGACTCTTGCAATAACGCCTGTGGGGAAAGTAGAGAGATCTTTGGTTTTGCTCATTCAGGTGAAACACAGACCAGAGGTTAACCTTCATTCTTACGAAATCAGGACCTTAAAAAAGCTGTCATCATTGAGAGCATAAGTATAGGATAACTAGAAGAGAACGATGGATCCCAACGACCTTCGGTGATCTTGTGGACTACCGAAGATCTCGAAATCGAATCATGCGTTAAGAGATCTGTGGGGATCCTACACAACAGGTACGATCTCTTAGTTCTGCTTCTTTCTGCAGAATTCCTCATCCTATGCACGTTATGGTCTAGTATCTTGTCGACTTCTTTCCATTTTTGAAGCCTCCTTTGATGTTTTCGCAGTTTTTGAATTTCTTCACAGTCATAGTCAGTTGAAACACAGACCATAGGTTACTTTCACTCTCACGTATGACGTGGGTAAAGACCTAGAAGAGTAACATCATGTGGGAATAGACTGCATAACAAGTCATGCTTGCAAGTACAGAAACTCAAGCTCCAAACTTCGCGATTCAGTATGCCTCGATAGAGGACATTCGTCTCTTGATGCGCGTCCACCCGCGCAAATCGGAGGCACTAGGCTTCAGTGTCGCTCGGTCGTTCTTCCACCGCAAAGTAGCGCGAATTGTGCCCTTGGACTGAAACGCAGTGTGCGAGACGAGCGCCATAAACCATGATGAGTAGAGATAACAATTCCTTTTCTTGGGAAAGGTTCATTGATCGGTTTTGATTTCCCCTGTTCTCTGATTCAGAATATAACACCTTGCTTATAGAACGCCATGTAGTGGCAATTCTCTCATCACACTTCGTCGTGCCTTTTGCGTCACATTTCTTCCGCTTTTGGTAAATGCTGAATGGCAAGTTCTTCTCTCTGTCGCTCAGCTCTGTAGTACCGTGCAATTTGTTATAAAATCTGTCGGATTTTTCCATGTCCTTGAACACCAAGATAAGAATCCTCGCCGATATGAGGGACAAGTAAGGTAAGCACTTTTTAGAGTGCGCCTTTCACGAGGTTTTTATGTCGCTGCGCTGTGGTCTTAGCCTGAAGGTGGTAGATGCTAGCAAGATAGGTCGCCGCCGACTTGATACACGCCAAGAGCGACGAACATTTATCTTCCTTTCGTGAGATGTTGTAAAACGACGAAGCTCGATTAATCGAACAAGTCGAATTCCATGTCATCCTCCTCTTCCTCAACCTTCTCTTCCTTCTTCTCCTCAGCGGCACCACCGGCATCACCGCCGGCTGCGGCGCCGCCAGCAGCGGCACCGCCGCCGCCACCACCGCCTCCACCGCAAGCTTCGAGCTTTGGCACACCTGTAAAAAAAAGGAATTTGGACGAGTGGACTTTGGGATAACCAAATCCAGACGAATAGCAGAAGGGCTTGTAATCTTTAGTACCTCACGACGAAACTAATGTGGATATTATATTCTTCGATCCAGGTACGACCTCAAGTTTCCAAAAAAATCTTCACTGAAAAGGGTCTATACCAGCACTGATGATCTCCTGGACGGTCTTTCCTTCCATCTTCTTCAAAACAAGGTCGATCATGTCCTGTTCGAAATCGAGTCCGCCAGCAGTGAAGATGGCCTTCATGCTGTCAGCCGTGACCTCGCCGCCCTTCATGGCGGACAAGAGGTAGGCTGAGGTGTACTTCAAACCACCACCCATTTTGTTTAAGTTTTTCCAAAAACTAGAAATACTTCTCTAAGAGGAACCAACAGCGACTTGATTCCCGAGCCTTTGGTTTGCGTTGTTGTAATTTGTTTGGAAGTTGAAGTTGTTTGATAGGATGGGTGTGGTGGCATTAAAAAAAGGTGGCATTTAGAAAACAAAACATGAAGGTAGATCCACGGAAGATGGGTCGATACTATTCTTGGTTCAGATTGTTCATCAGTTGAGCATTAGAATTCGGAAGAGAACCATAACATCCCAGGGCCTCCCGGGCGGAGGTTAGCTTGCGCCTCTAACGCCAGTGGAACCTTCTTGATTAGATCCTCTTTTCAGGGAATAGACTTTCAACAACCTTTAGAGGACAACCTCTACAGGCTCCGTACGAGAATGCGGATCAGATCCAGAGCGCCGAGTCTGGCGAGTATTTGATTCTACTTTTCCTAAACTGAAAGACCGCGATCATTGACTATCACTGCCTCAAGCTGAAACACTTTCGCAACTTTCCATCACGAAGAATCGATCGGAATAAGATAATGATTTGGCTGAAAGAGTTGCCTTGATTTAGATCCACAATTCTTACAGATTTAGAGCGATTCCGATAGACCTATCTCGCGTGAACTAGCAGATCCGTGCCACAGAATTATCCTTTCCTAAGTTAATTTCAAAATTTAGAATTCTTGGCTTTTCCGAAATCAAATATGTTTCATCCAAGACGGGGCATTGATTGGAAGGCAGCCCTTGAGTGAGTTCTGTAATCGGGTGATGCCGAAACAAAAGACATCAGCTGTTCGTCTTTTCTAAAAAATCTAAATCTCCGCCTGACGAAAATCTAAATCTACCGTCGTATGATCGTTCTCAGCCCAACCGCGTGTTCTTCGGCACAACCTCCATCTCATCTTGCTCACTCTGGGGCGTCTCCGTATCTGCAGCTTCAAAAATGGGGGCCTGCAGACCGTAAGATTCGCCATCGAGGCCAACAATGTTGACGCACTTTTCCTCGTACTGTCGATCCATCATATGCCAATTTTTTCTCGCTCCGTACCTCCGAACCCGTACCTCCGAACCAAGTCCCAACAGGGTCTCTCCGCATATCCCGTAGTACTTGCAGGCCCCTTTGTCCATTCCTGAAGCTTGTAGGAAGGCACCGTGCGTGGCAGGGCGGCTCGTCTTTTTCGCAAGACTGCTGTCAGTTTGCTATGCAGACCTAGCGAAGCTTCTACACGTTTGGCTTTCTCGCGCCGTGCGTGATCGACTTCATCACAATCTAAATCTCTCGAACTACTAGGCCTTCTGATCATTTCTTCACTCGCGATGCTACGAAACGCACGGACGACCCAAGGAGATACTGCAGCATGATTCTCCTCCTCCCAGGACCCACTGACGATATTGGCATAAGCCGCCCAATTCGTCAATCCTAAAAAACCTTGACACCCGTTCTCGAAATTCCGGATCAATTGCGCTCCACGCCATGCTGCCTCAGTGCTTCTTGCGCGATTTAGATTCTTGTATTCAACCGACGTGGCCGAATCGATTTTACTGGTCGATTTTTTTTGAAATCTTCCTGGTACAACAAAGGACTCAGTGCTTGGATTGGGAATCAGCGCTGAACCGAGCCCGATCCTCAAGTCTCTTCTTGTCGTTGCAAGCTGCCTGAAAGTTACGTCTGAAGTTCTCCACTGTCTCCGCTATCAAGGGTATTGTAGTTTTCTCCAAGGGCGTTAGATTAATGAATTCCACAGTCCCACCACTTCCATGAAGATGATCCAGTTTCTGACGTCTTTTCGTCGCAAAATCTTCGCTAGAACCTTCTGTGGGTTCACGACATGTGGTGTCGCGCTCCTCCTCCAGCTTTTTGTCCTCGCAGCTTCCAAACAAACGAGCATGCTGATCAGCACCTTCATCTTGATCTGGTTCTATCGAATCAGAAGCGAACTGTCTAGAAGATGACGAGGCAGCTCATTCCATCGAACCAACGACTCTCTTAGATGATGACGACGCGGCTCTTTTCCCCAAAACGCTATCGTCACTCAGTAAAGCTGCTACCGCCCAGATCGACTCGCCGGAGATGCTCGTGTCAACCAGAGTAAAATTAGAGGTAGGTTTTTGGTGTTCGTACGGGAGACGGCCATAACAAACGGTAACAAAACCAAAAGCACCTCCCTACCCTTAATAAAAATGTCTGGATCATGTCGCCAGAGGCACACTAGTGGATAATTTTTCTCGTCCAAGACATGAAGTCGATAGGCCCCTGCGGGGGTCGATGAAAACGTTTTTTTCTTCTCTTCCGCCACGAACATCTCCTCTAATCCACCAAACATGTCTACTCCGCCCATCGGCAGCGAGACAGTAGCTCTCCGCCTTCCGACAGCAGCGCGTAGATAGTCGGCACTCTGGCCAATAAATAAAGTAGTGCCCTCTCCACGTGGCGGAGTCTGTTGCACAAGCAGGTCCGCAGCACGGCGTATCTCCTCCAATAAACAATCTCCAATCGGCGGTTGATCCTCAAGTAGAACCGTCTGCAAAAATTCTTGATGTGCTGGCAAGTTGCTTTTAGTGTCCCGCAAAGACTTGTTATCCTGCAGCTGCAAGACTTGTCCTCCCCGCATCAACTCGTCTCCAACCTGCAAGCCATCCTCCTTTTTCCTTGTTTTAGGGGAGGAGGGATTCTTCCATCAGCATCTCCCCTTTCTGCTTCACCTCCTCCATCTGTATCGACTCCTCCGTCTGCATCGACTCCTCCACCTGCATCTCATCTATCGCCTCTCTGAAGGTTGTGCGGTACACCTTAGTGTCAAAAAACGGACACTGGTTTTGCAACTTCCGGATTTCTGAGCGAAGATCAACTCGTGCTACCACATCTGCTCGGATCAATTCCCGCAAAGGTGATCTTGTCTTTTTGGGAGGTTTTGTACGTTCCGAGGACGTTGTACGTTCCGAGGACGTACCTGTTCCCAATGTTGATGCACCTGCTCCCAATGTTGGCGTACCCTGTGTTCCATCGACAAACGGCACATTGCCCGTGTCTTCAGCACGTCCGCCCTTTCCCACAGATACAACAGCTTGCCTCCCTCCATCTTCACCAGCATGTCCACATACAACGCCATCCATATCAATTGCAGGCAGTTGAGTCGTGTCATCCATAGACATTTCTTGGGGAACAACATCGTCTTCAGTAAAATGCAGTTGTTGGTTTTCTTGTAGAATGACAGGGGTATTTCCGAATTCATCGGCGGCCATTACGGTCGCTGCAGTGGCGAGATGAAGCGGTCCCATCAATAGCAATGCACAAACCAGGCCGTAGTGCGTGCGACACCGAGCAGTGGTTGTGAGCGACAACATTTTTTGCTTTCCGGCAGATGACAGGTGCAAACAATAGATGCTTAGTGGGTTGTTGTGTCGTTGATCAAGTCCTCAGACGAAGAAGACTTCCACTTTGATGTACGTTGATTAGTAGAGATGTCCGTGAGGAAGAAAGCAAAATTTGAAACAGCAACGATCCGCAGGACAGTCCACAAGGACCACTCTCTTAGATCCGCAGTCGGTGTTTTGGATCTTCCGGTCATACTTAATCACTTGTTTGGGTCTTGTCACACTGACTCCAATGTTTTTCAGAACCAACCGGTTGTTTTCGGAAGAACAGGGCATCAACAATTTCTCTCCAGAATTTGTTGACCGCTCTAAATGACATCCCCCCGACCAGGATACTGCTGCATGCCTCAAGAACGTTCTTGCTTCAAAAAAATAGTCATTGCCTAAGTTCGGAAATTGAAAGGTAACAAAAGGATTCTGGGAATAGAAGTACTTACAACAAAGTCTGTGGTCCTAGGACTAGGTCGACTGGGACTAGGTCGACTGGAATCAACTGTGCATGAGTCCTTCTCGTGACTTCTGTTCAACCTGTGTGAAGATGATCTAAAAAATGTTGCCGCTTTAACGGCATTGCTGCTCGCACAAGCTTGCGATTGACGAAATTTACCATTGACGGAAATTAGAGAACCTACTGGCAGTTGACGATTATAAATACTTACCATTGGATGCTGACGACGATACAGGCGATGTTGACAATTACAAACACTTACCACTGACGATTATACACGCTTACCATTGACGATTTTAGACTTTTGCAATTGACGATTGTAGACTTTTGTAATTGACGATTGTAGACTTTTGTAATTGACGATTTTTTGTAGATGACGATTTTAGACTTTTCTAATTGACGATTGTAGACTTTTGTAATTGACGATTTTAGACTTTTGTAGATGACGATTTTAGACTTTTCTAATTGACGATTGTAGCCCATTCCTATTGGAAATTGCGAATACAAACACTCTCTATTACGCGATCTTGCCTTTGTTGATTGCATGCCCATGAAGCTGACGCTTACACCTGCACATGTGGTTGATTACACATGCGTACCATTGACGCTTGCCAAAATAACCGCTAGAAAGTGACGATTACATATAATACACAAAACCCATCCAGCAAGTGACAACACCCCAATTAAATCAGCTGAACTGTTATCAACTGCCAACTCCACAGTTATAATCAAGCGACACCATAGTAAGTCCTTGGTTAAAGGTGGTAGTAATATGGTTAAGCACTAAAGCAACTACCTGCCACCACAAACAACAACTGCCACCTTTCTTGCTACCTCCCCCCTTGACGAATCACTACATTCGCCCTCTAGTACGAATCACCTCCGCCCTCGACGATCCCGCTTCCTACCGATCGCAAGCTCTTCGCCTTGAAGGCTGCCACTATTATCTGCGTCGAAAATTTCGAAGACCAAGTCTGTTTCCTTCGGCGTCACTGCCCGATTTGACGCACGCGAGAAAATGGGGAATGAAAGGGGGATGAGAGACTCTTCAGAAAGAGGAAGGATAGGATTTCATTTTCAGGAAGAGAGGAGGAGGAAGTAGATGTGCTTATTTGAGAAAGATACAACAGCATTTTTGCAGAGAGTGGTGGGTGCAACATTTTGCGAAAAGATAGAACAGAAAAGAGAGAAGTTGTGAGTGCGACATGAAAGAACAACAGGACCTGCACTGCATCGTTATCAACTTGATTCTCAGATTCTTCTTAGAGGTGTACAAAATGATATCAGAAACTTCTTCATAAGCTCTGAAACTTTTCTCGACTTATTCCTTCGCTATCGGCGGATGCAGAGGTAGCCATTTCCGCAAAAGCACGATCCAACGCTCCCAATTCGTCGAGTAACCGCCCATAGGCCTTGAGACGCCCTTTTCTTAGTGCTTGGACCTAAATGTTCTTTTGTTCGTTCTTATAATAAATCGAGTAAAAACGTTCAAGCAGCTAATGTTGTCGGGCAATCAAATACTAAGGAAGCCCCCTCTTCTTGAAGAAGAATGTGGACAAAAAAGAGGCGTCTCTCTAAGAACAATTGTTTTCTCCTCGATGGAAAACGGAACATGCCAATGTCTAAACTGCTCAGTTGTCACCTACTAAAGCTAGCCTTAATATTTTGTCCAGGTTTCGACTGCGGTGTGAATGCCAGACATTCCTGAAACACAGGAAGGCCACCGTACCCCCTAGTGCAGCACTCAGTGCACAAACCTCGTTAAAACTTATCCGCTGATGGAAGTCATGCTCAATATTCATGCCGAAGAAACCTGGTGAGTAGGTGCGACGGTTGATGAAGCGTGCTTATTAGTATAAGTAGGTTGTATCAATCTTCTGTATTCGTACATAGTAGGAGAAGTGGATTGCCTCCTATTATATTCGAGGCGAGTACAGTAGCCTAAGATTGGTTAGGTTAGGTTATGGATCCTTCACAACGAGCCCCGAGAAATACGGATACAAGTTCTTCTAAATTGGATCTAGTAGGAGGTCGAATACCTGCAATCAGCGTGGGAACTGCAGTTCCCAGAGCTGCGATGGACAGAGATAGTTCGGTTCTGAGAATGTTATTCCGATAAGAGTCCATCGAGATTTTTACCAATTCCTGCTTTGCCACCAGTTTTCGTTCGAGGTAGAGAACTTCGGAATCTTTTCGAGCTGTGTACTAAATGGAGTTTCTCGTCGATGTGGTGGATGCAGCTAGCCTGCCGACTAGATGGAGTTTTTGTTGTCTGAAAGATCCTAAAAAATCGGCTGGGTCTCTCTGTGAGTATTTATTTCGCCCTCGCCAACCACAAGTGTTTGACTTGAGAACCTCAGAATCTTTTAGAGCTGTTTACTAAATTACTAGGGTGCTTCATGATCCATCACTCTATTGAAATTACAAGTGCTTACGGCCATAACAATATCCCATGTAAAGACCGGCAGTGTTCCTGGAGCATCGCCTCGACTACTTGATGGTAGCGCGCGTCGATCAACTCGGATACGTCAGGCATCCGGCTTTTTTCGACTTGTTTAAAGCGTGCCAATTCATGTTCTAGAAACGGTAGAGTTAAAATAGCTCGCCTGATGTGTCTCGACGAAGGTATGGATACTGTACAACAAGTAGTCTACAACTATCACAAATCACCAACAATGCCCATGACGAATTCGTTTTCCGAGATATGCTCTTTACTTTCTTCGTCATAATCTTCATTTTTTTCGTCTCCCCCTTGTCTGTCAAGTGTCGGCTCTGTATCGCGTTAGCCCGTTCTGTGAGGAGGAGAGCGAGCATTGCGTCATCATCCCCAAGCACGACTTCGAGTGCGCTTTTGTTAGAAAGGGAAGTTCTTGATGGTAAAGTGATGAAAAAAGGGTTGTTCTTGATTAGGAGAAAAAAGGGTTGTTCTTGATGGTAAAGTGATGCTTACTTACGAAGAGAAAGTCTTAAATACTCACGCATGCACATCATAACTATCGACTCCTGTAACAAACTTTCGAACGCCGTGAGGTTGTACTTTATGGGCAGCAGGTTGGAGATACGATAGAGTACCTCTCCCGATGACGTCATACTTCCATCCATGATCGGCTGCAAGGAATTGAGGACCTGAAAAAAGGTGAGAGTGCCATATATGAAGATCGGAGGTTGGAGAGAGTTTAGAACCTGATGAAAATAGAGAGTTCTAGAACCTGATGGAAAATAGTTTTGCTTCTCGTTTTGCTTCGAAGTACCTCTGCAATAATCGGACGGTAGAACAGTAGTCTTCGCTCCCATGCTTCGCAGACGTAGCCTAGAAGCGACTCCAAGACGCACACTTCGAAGTCTCCTTCTATTGCTTCTGGCTTGAAACTATTAAAGGAACTCTGAAGGAATGAGCATGATGTAGACCTTAGAATATTAAGAAATGAACGAACGAATTTGCCTAGCAGGAGGTGGCGCAGAGTCCTGAAACAAAACAAAACTGGGAACGACTAGCTATCAAACACTTGAAGATGACTTGAAACTATTTGGCAGCATGCATGAGATTTCGTTGCAGCTATCAAGCACTTACTTCTAAGAGAACACTTTATAGCTCGCGCTGGACATTCAGAACCAGTAGTTCGAGACCCAAAATTATCTGCCAAAGAGCAGGTCTGACAAGCACCATAGAGCAGGTCTGACAAGTGTAAATACCCTAAATTAATATACCCGAGAGAAGAAAGAGTTCCTAGCACTTAACAAGAACCATCAGTCATGCAATCCTGTACAGGGTGGAACAGGCAGCTAGCCATAGATATAACCCTGTATAGGCACTTTACCAGACATAAACCTCGCACGTCTAGATTTGGCCGATTCATGCTGATAACTCTCCTCGATGGCGTGTACTACGTGATCCGCAAGGGCCGTCGTCTCCACCTGCTCTGCTACGACATAAGAGGGAGTCGCTTACGATATAAGAGGGAGTCGCTGGAGAAGAAACAAAGATGGAGCAAGTCGTCCCAATTGCGAGTAAGTAGTATTCAGCGTAGGTTTCACTGGAGTGAGTAGTGGCATATATTAATCGTCGAGCTTGCTAGAACCATTCATAATCGAACAGCAGGAGCTCTTTGCGCCACAGTTAGAGCTGTCCTCGTCCACTTGTAGCACATCAACCCAGCTGGAATCTATAATCTCCATAGTGATGGTGGTTATCCAATCTGAGTTAGCTCCAAAGCGGAAGTGGTAGGGGGCACAGCACTGGATTTTTCGTGGTGAGAGCCTTGCGCATGAGAGTAGATCAATAGCGCCAGTAGCCTTAACAGATCAACGCCCTCACGTTCCCAAACACGAATATGATACAGTTTCTGCGACTCAATATTTTCGGTTGCAAACGTCGCTTTTGAGCAAATTTATGGGCTTGCTCTTGAAGCGCGTCTGCTACTGCCCCTGCTGCTCCTCGTGTCATCCTTAGCACAAGCTGCCACTGATCTTTACTCTCGCTATCTCGATAATGTCTCTAGAATCAATGTAGTTCATGACTAGAAGAGCAAGGTACTTCCAAGTATCTTGGCGCTGCAGGAAGTAACTGAGGTCTTTCGCTACAAGATGCGTCCATGAAGTAATGATGTATACTTCCAAATACGAGGTTTTAGAAGACACTTCCAATTAAGGCCTTCCGGCATGACTTTCCATGGGCCTTAATGACCGAGTTCGTTCGAATTCGAGGCTCGCGCCCTTCCCGTTGCCTACAGCATCTCCAGCGGCACTAGTGCCTCCGAAGTGATTCTATGACAGGGAGAAGCACTTTTACTCAGTCCTTATATAGTACTCACAAAGACGCGAGTACTCGCAAACAACCTAAAAGCATTTGCGCCTCATACTTAAAAAACCTTGGCACCTGCCTCTCCTACCAAAAGACTCTAGAAGGATTTCCAGCTCATACTCGAAAAATAAACCTTGGCACCTGCCTCTCCTACCAAAAGACTCTAGAAGGATTTCCAGCTCATACTCGAAAAATAAAAGTAGATGAAGGCACCACGGATTTACCTGTATACCGATGATGCCTACAGTTAGAACTCTTGCCTAGTACTTTTCTCAGAATTCATCATCAAGAATCAAGTGTCAGTATTTCAGACGAGTAAAAAAACTCTTTCTCTGTCTGTCATAATTTGTTCCCGTTCGAATCATCTTTTTTTATGTCTTTACCCAATTCACCATCTTGACATCCTTGTCCAGGTGAAGGACGTGGGGAATCTGCTATTTTTGGCCCGGTAATATCGGCAGTTTCCTCTGGAGGTTTTTCCTCGGCATCGATTTTCTTAGACTTGCAACTAGCTTCAATGAAGAATCAATATCACAATATCAGTGCTCTATCAACACAGCAACGGATAGAGAGAGAAAGACTGACTGATTAATTCATTAACTGACTGGTTGAGATCGTCTACTCAACTCAACACGGGAGACAGAAAGAGTCACGTGTATGCCCCTGTCGCAGTGCAACGTAACCGGACCTAAGTAGAGGAGACAATACTGCCTAATAAGAAGTGTTAAATTCCTTAGTACTAGACCATCATCGTTATGGGAGACTTAATAGTATAGCTGGTAGAAGAAGCGAGTGGCAAACCTTCACCCAAAGCCACTCCTACATGCTTTATCGCTTTCTGTTTTTCTGCTGAAGTGTCTATCGCTTCGCCACCCAACCGGTCCTGTGCCAGAGACTGACCCACCAATTTCGTCGAAAAATCTTTCTCCCACTCCCTTGCTGGCGTCAAGCTCATGCTCAGCAGGTCGAAAATTAGCGCAGGATGATACATAGCAAGCACGTACCCAGTAGCTCGAATATTCGAATAGGATAGAGGGAAAGGATCGGGTGCCTCGACATCGCATATTTATTAGGGTAGGATCACGCAACTAGTACTCGGTAAGACAAAAACTGGAGCGTAGTGATCCGCCGTTATCGAAAACGCTTAATATCATCAACTTGTAGTTCAACAAGTAGAGTTGTCACGGTGAAAGGGTTAAGGAGGGGAGTATCTTCGAAAAAGTCAGTAGAAGCACATCAGCCCAGTCCGTCGCAAACTAACAATACGAAGAAAGAAGCAAACAGCCCGAATTCCAAATTACAAACAAAAACAATATGAATATTCAGCCAGATACAGCAATGCCAAAGCTAGTACCCAATCATTCACTCATGCGAACCACGTAGCAGCTACCAGTAACTGCCTGGTTCAAGTTGTGACCCGAACAGAGACACGGCAGTTACAACACCCAAACTTATGCGAAACTCAACATATACCAAACAGGAGATACAGATCACCTACCTGCATCTTCAGAGTTCTTAATGCGATGATGGAAAAGGAGTTTTCCTTTTTCTGTGCTCTTGTGCACGAGCTAAAGGGGCTATGTGCATGAGGGGAAGGAAATCTCCAACCAAATCATAAACGAATATGCAGTCTGTTTGTCGCTAGTGCTGAAACGTAAGCTTTTTCCTCTTCTGAGGAGTTATTGATCAGAGCCAAACCATGCGAAATGACGTCCTGTCCGCCCACCAAATGCCTTCGACGCAGCACGCGGACTCCGACTCTCTTATAGCAGATTTTTAGTAGTGGTTGTTGTACGCAAAGAGTATCTTGGGTAGGACATTTAGTTTTGTAGCACATTTGGTTGTTGTTGTAGATACTAGATCCATGCGCTCCTGCTGCTATCTTTATTTCTGATAGCCGTAGAGACAGGTGCTGAAAGTACGACTATCTAGACTTCTTCATTAGTAGTTCTATTCTGTCCATCTTTCGAGGATAGGATAGGATAGGATAGGATAGGGCGCCTTTGCTTCGTTCTCACGCGAGGGATACTCGTTTCAAACATACAATCTTCTAACGGTACAGTCGCTCAGGACACATGAAGACCATCTCAGTGATAGTGTGGTCGTCAGCAGTAAAGCGGCACTGAGTGCCAGGAAAAGTAGAGTCTTACTCTAGGAAGATGGGTGCAACACTCAATCCTTATAGGACAGTGGAAATGCAAATCCACGTGAAGTTTTCATTACAAGAACACTATGCTTTTAGTAGAGAGGTTTTAGAAAATCATACCTGCGCTTCTAGTAGATAAGATCTCAGCATAACCGTCTCCAGATTGTTTTGGCGGGAGATTGGTATCCACCGTAATTCGGTACACCGAGTAGGCTGTTTTGGTATATGAGGATCGATGGCGCTGCTGGTTCCAAAAAATTCCCAAGGCCGACTGCGCGTATGACGAACGATAACTAAGCTGATGGCTTTTACCACTGTTGTTTCGTATCGGTAATCTTCCCACAGACTGTGCTTCGCCGTTGAATGTTGTTACCATAGCATGGTAGCCGTAAATTGCAGCCGTTGTTGCTGCCTCATGGAGATTCGGTCTCCGTGTCCATAGCATAATCATGAAAAAGGCTTTCTTTGACCTTTAAAATCTACACTACTAATAAAAAGTCACATATTGTGAAGCAGAGACTACTCATGAAGAAGAAAGTATAACGGCCTCTTCCAACTCCCATGGTTCTCGACAGGTAGATCTCCAACAAAGAGAGAGAGAAAGCCAAAGACGATAAGTACAAATCAATATTACGGGATAGAAAAAAGCCACGTCCATAACCAAGGGAAGCTCGGTCTCACAGAGAGCACGCCCAAAGATCCTTCGCGATCGTGAGCTGCGTGCCAGCATCGTCACGCTGCGCCAACAAGTTGAACTACTGGAAGCTGCCATGTCCTTTCTCGTTGTAAGGCAAGAAACAACTACAACAATGAGAATCACTTGATATTGAAGTTGCCATGTAATTTCTTCAGGTTGATTTTGAACCTGAGTGCCACCATAGCCATTTTTGAATAAACGTGTAAGAAGTCAACGTTCTGGCGTTCCAATGTAGGGGACTAGATCTTCATTATAGATTGTTTCCTATGAAGCTGAAGAAAGTACCAGCACAGCACTTAAGGATCTGAAGATGTTAATTACTAGCATGGGGCACAACAAGAACTCCCTCATCAATCCCTCATTACTAGCATTGGGTACTTTTATATCAAAAACTCACACACGCAATTGTCCTCACACCATCTGAAGGTGACCGATATGGCACGACGTTGAAAATCGTACGGCATCCACCACTACTACAGATTCATAGAGGACTCTTTGATCACAACAGACCACTTGCCTCTTCAATCTTGAAACTGCATAGCTAAGAGCCTGTTCTTGATCTCAAAATTGAATTGTTCAGATTTCAGATTTCAGGGGGTCTCACTCCAGCTACGACTTTTTTTTTGTATCCTGGGGCTACTAAATGAGCGGCCTCAGCTTTATCTCCAAGCAATACAGTTACAGTACTAAAGAAGCAGTGGATAAAATTATCAACATGAAGGCTGTCGCACTTAGCGTCCAGGCAGATCTGTCATGAGAGAAACCTGAATTCAGTGTGCTCCTCTACCTACCAGGAGGTTTACACTGTTTCTCGGGTGATCCGCCGGTCCCCCTTTTTTGGAAACCGATTGGGATCTAGTGTGACAATTTCTGTTGAGATTTTTTACCACGAGAGAATCTACATCCACAACATGGAGCGCATGATGATATTAAGGGATCTCCCACTATACGAAAAAAATCTGTTGAGAGTCGAGGAAAACCGAAATGCATAAATGCCACCTACCTACCTGGGTGACTTTTAAGCATTTTGGTGGCCCGCCAGTCGCCTTTTGGAAACTGGTTGGGGTCTAGAGTGTTCCCAACTTCTGTCATGTGTGAGTCGAGAGGCGCGGACTTGTTTACGGACAAAAAGAAAGAGGACGGAACAAGAATAGAAAAATTTCAGATCTTACGCGCAGCTTGATTTAAAAGGGGGAGAGCGTCCCATCGCTCTCCCTCGCCGATCCTTTTATCTCCCGTCCGCTCTTAGCAGAGAAGTGGCTAGCAGGCATAAGGCAGCCCCTTTGGTAGGAGTAATCCCTCCGGTTTCTGTTTTTCTTTTTGGGTATTTTATGGCGATTGCGGAAGCGGGATCCGGCTGAGGATGGTGCACGTCGCGAAGGAGGGAGCGCGAGGCAGTGAAGATAAGAAAAACTAGGCTAGTGCACTCCCAACAACGCAAAACATGTTGTACTTAGGGCCTTACGCCAGTAGGCATTTACTTCTAGTTGTTCACTTGTCAGTTGACTGCGCATTAGTCAAGAGTTAGCAGGGTTGGCATCCCCTGCGCTCGTGCCTTGAAGGTAGGCGTATAAGAGTGGGGCGGTTGGCAGCCGGTGGAGGTTTATATAAGACTCGTAATCCGCCTCCTTTGCCCCTAGGGTTCACCATTTTAGAATCGGCGGGTTCGTAGGCAATTAGTGCGCTGTATTATAAGGAGGTAACCGGACTCCACCTGCCGTCGGTTTGCGAACCGGATAAAGCTGAGGCCGCTCATTTAGTAGCCCCGGGATACAAAAATTTATCCGGTTCGCAAACCGACGGCAGGTGGGGTCTCACTCCTCCAAAACTACGACGTTTGCATCTCCCTATTCTGGAGACCGGTGTAATACAATAATGCTACTCACTGCTCTTTGTGCCCCATTGACTGGCGCTGCTGACTCTAGGAGAAGGAACGTGCATACAATGGTGGCCTGTCACACCCTCTACTGCCGCTCTTAGCCGGCCTCTTGGCACTTCCTTCGCAAGAAGGTCACTTTCTACATCTACAAGCCAAATGGTCATATGATACAGTGCGAAATTGTATTTCATTTTCATGCACAGTAATCGGCAAGGTCAGCGACACGCGCTGTGCCTCTTTTTTTTTCATGAGGACTCGACCGCCTCCATCCCATATTTTCGTTGTTGTTATAAGTCAATCTATGCGTTTGTAATTTCATGCTACGCCCTATGTTGAGCAAGTGAACATTGTTAGCAATTCTTTGCATCGTCCGATTCGTTTCGGCATTGTAAATTGATTAACGGTAGCAGGTCTAACTTCGTCCCGTCTTTGGCGTCTATAGGTTCTGTAACATAATGGAGGCCCTGTCAGTGGTGGTGTAGCTCCCTTTGCGCCGTCGTGTCATGTCATTTCATCGCATGACGTGGCCTATCTACCAGCAATGATGACGTTTAACATTCGAATATCTTGAAGAGTTCGAAATCAAATAGCATCTCCTTTTCATATCTAAATCTACACAAAGATCCACTGGCGAGGACAGTCAGCGGAATACTAGGCACCTCCAGAAGGAGTGAATGGGTGAGTGAATGAATGTGACTAAGTAGAGGCTATTGCATTAATCGCCACGCGATCCTGGTAGTCCTAGTGCAAGGCACCTCCAGAAGGACAGCCGATACACCAAGAGTATGCACCACCATCAGAAAAAGCAGCCTACATACGTTACGATCTATCGAGCGCGCAAGAACGAGTTTCAGACGTACTTTTATCGAGCCCATATATGTTCCAAGGATGGAGGCACCCCCCCCCGTCGATGGAACATGTATAAATATCGATATCTTTCAGGAACAGCAAGCTTTTACGTTCACGACCTCTGACGAAATAAATCCTCGAGCTCTGTATGGTCCTCTTCGTTAGTCTAAAAGACCAAGCTACCGCATATTTTTCAATAAATTAGATGTCGTTTCTTTGAGCTGCATACATGTTCGTGATGTACGGATTCATCTAAATATGTCTACATAACAATAACTAGCTGCTAAGTATAATTTGTAATGACTTTTATGGAGATCTACGCTGTTGTACCTAAGTATGACACTCATCTTTTTGATAGATATTTCAAGCAGAATTCTTTCGGATACTACGTAATCTGGCCAAGTGAATTCGGGATCATGTTAAATCTAATGCCTTATATATTGATGAGAGTCGTCGAACGACCTCTGGGGGAACTTTGCGCGGAACAATAATTCGCGCGCCTAATTCGGATCCCTTGTGCTTAGTGGTGCAGCAATTTTGTACTGATTTCATTCTGAAGGAAATTCAGCTTCGTTGTTGGAACAGTCGTTATTTCCTGTGATCGTTATAGATACATAAATATATCAGTCTCACTACCAGTCTACGAGATATGTGCTACAGGTGACGTTGCGTCATGTTAATGCAGTGCGTTCATTTGTGGCATGTATTTTTCTTGTGCAATCGTTCTAGTGGATATGGTTCGAGTTCGTTGATGTGTCATGCAGATTTGTGGACTACTCAAGGAAAAATCTACTAGAGCTAGCCCCCTCGTCGATCGTCTCCTCAGTCGATTTCTGTCTCCCCTCCCTTTTGTAGTACTCCCCCGGCCCTACCGTCTGAGACCCTGCCGGCACCTCCCCACCAACTAAAAGAAGCCACAGCCCCTTAAGGGGATGACGCCACAGCGCCATACTCCTTCGAGCCCTCTGCCACCGAAACTGCTTCGCTGATGGTCGGTCCGGGTTGTTAGAGTTCGTCAGTTGTATGTCGATGGGCGTTAATGTCAGAAAGCATTACTCAAAGAGGACTCTAACTTAAGAAGGGGGCTGGTGGAGTGTCAATTCCAATAATGGTTTTCCGTATATTACTTCCTCGTTGACGAGATAGTATCACTGGCCTCGTTGCCCTTGACTTTTATCATGCTTAAAACTAAATACAACACAGACCGTCGCCAGCCTTGGATGCTCGACGCGATGGAATCACGTGCACCATCGGATAATCTAATAGATACCGAGCATAATATCCTCGCTGAGCTCGATACAAGCTGCGCAACCAACGGCCAACGAAACAGAGCAGCAGCACGACCAAGGAGAACGCCAGGACAGAGGCAGCGTCGTTCAGGTCAGGCAACGATGGCACGCGCGTAGAGGCTGTGCGGAGGACTCCCTGGTTCCGCTTCGGAGTCGTGGTCGAAGCGTGCGAAGCGCCTGCAGCTGACGTGCCAACATCGTAGTCTTCAGGATGCACCTCAACGCCGCTAGCGGTCACCGTCTTCTGCGCGAGACTGGACGGGGCGCCGCGCTGCTCGGCAACCTCGATACCTTCGGCAGTCTGTTTCTGCAGTACCTACCGATATCGTTCGATAAAAATACAATGCAGGGAAAACCGAAGGGAAAAAGAACGAACAGCGAATGAGCCGGACTTACTAGGAGCTTCACGCACCCCCTCGCGATTCAAATCCACTAAAATCCTGGCCGAGTCTCGAGCCAAACGGCAGCAAGACGAAGTAAGAAAGCATGGGAAACCTGTGCCCGGTTGATAGTCGTCACCGAGTCAGTTACCCCACAAGCCCGAAGCCTCTACCAAAATGATCGTGGTCGCCCTATCCTTGACCCAAAGTTTCTACTTGGTGGCTCTATTTGCGCACAAACCTAGAGCAGAAAAGCCGCCCCAGAAGATCCCCAAACCATCCTGATCGGTGGATCTCCGTCCCGGTGATCATCTTGTTTAGGATCTTACTGACCTGGCGCGCCGAACATCTCAGGAGGACCTTGCGCGGCCTACTGCTGAGGCGCTGAAATTTCCAAGGTCTTACTTACCTCGGACTTTCATGTTGGAAATTTACCCAAAGAACCAGCACAGCCAGGCCATGCGCCAGTTCTAAGAATTCCGAGAAACCTACTCGCCCACCCTCAAAACCTATGGGAAGGGCCTGCTCCTCTCCTCGATCTTCACCACCTGCAAACTTCAGACCCAAGCGCAACACCAAAATCGTTCCGCACTAAGCGTTTTACACCACCAGAAAACGAAACCTCTCCACCGCGAGGCCTTCGCAATGCCTCCGCGTCCAGGGCCTGCATTTGGCGAGCAAAGAGCGACAGAAAACTCACACCAAATGCCCCCCCGCTCTGCGCTCGGACAATGCCGCCAGACTTCTTCAGTCACTCGGCGACCCGCGTCGGGATCACCATGTTGCCCACAGAGACCTGCCGGAAACGAACGCTCCGCGGCTCCTCGTCAGCAAACTGCACCGCTGCCGAATCCCGCCAAGCGCAGGCACCTCTGCACCAGCCCCGCCCCATGGACGAGGTGAAAGGAAAGTCCGGACGAGAGAAAGCGCGGACATGGGCAAGCACTGCCAATCGGTCCAAGCTGGCAGGGTTCTTGATGGGAATCCGGTCGCCCGCCCCTCGGTCCGGCGGGTACGCTGCACGGCCAAGAAAGCTGGCAACCACATACACCGGCCTGCCGAACACTCCCTGCAGCTCCTCCCTCGAACGTTTCTCGACAAAGGGGGGCCCCCTTAAGACCGAGAAAGGGGCCCCCTGGGGTGGTTCTTGTTGTCGTTCCTGTGGTTCTTGTGGTTCCTGTGGTTCCTGTGGTTCTTGTGGCTCCTGTGGTTCCTGTGGTTCTTGTGGTTCTTGTGGTTCTTGTGGTTCTTCTGGTTCCTGCGGTTCCTGTGGTTCTTGTGGTTCCTGTGGATGTGCTCACTGCGGTCATAGTTGGTTCCTGTGGTTGGATGTGCTCACTGCGGTCACAGTTGTGCTGCCGTGCTAAATTAAGCGAATTTGTCACAGGCTGGAGCCTCCTCCGCTTACATTTTCAAAATGGTAAGGAAGCGAAGCCAACAGCCTCCGCTGTTTACATTTTCAAAATGGTAAGGAAGCGAAACCAAATTGCCTACACGACTAGAAACCCCGTAAAGCACAGGGGGTCCCTTTCTCGACCCTACGGGGGCCAGTTGAGCGCCGGCGCCAAGTCTTCAGCCCTTTCACCCCGGTCGGCTAAGTAATGAGAGCGGACCAGCAGGACCCGCCCAAAAGTGGCGCGCGCCGTCCTTGCAGATACACTCCTCAATGCTTTGTCCTTGCGGATGATACGACACCTCCCGGCGAAAATTCTCTGCAGGGTATCCCCTGCGGGCCCGAGTTCTCAGCCCTCCGCACCCTTTGCCGCGGAAGTGTCCGCAACCAATATCAGCACGACACCACAAAGGAGGGCCGTAGCCCTTGAAGATTCTGGGCGGGCACTCCATGGCCGCCCTTGCTGTCTTGTCCTTCGTCGCGAAGACGAAGCCCAGACCGCTGCAGGCGCCTCCTGCTGTGCTGGGTGGTGTCCTTACTTCCCTTGCGTGTTTCGGCAAGCAGCCCAGCATAATCGGGCACCAACGTGTGGAAGAATCGGGCACAGCTCAGCGCCCCGGAAGTAGTGGCGGCGGCTGTCTCCTCCATTCGGTTGATGTTGCAACAAGGGCACCGCGGCACGAGCTCGCGGCAGTCTTTCCGCATCGAATCCCACGCAAACCGATTGCGCCGCACCTCCACGAAGGTGGCAGACTCTCCAGCATGTGCCACACCTTCCGCCGGTCGGTGAACCTGCCACGCCAAGAAGCCGCGCGCACTAGTGGCACCACTTGGAAACAGCGAGCGCCCCCAATCAGTTCCATGCCCTGGGAAGCCAGCGACCAGCCTGCCCGGCGGCGCAATCGGCCGCCACTCTCCAACTCCATCAAGCTCAAGACAGCCGCGGAAATCTTGGCCGCCAGGCCGATAACCCCGGTAGCAACACTGGCCCGCCACCTCTTTGACCAGCTTGATCGGCCACCGCTTCGCGCCACGGTCCACGAGCAGCGCAGGAGCCTGGCGGCAGCTAGCACCTTGCCCGAGTGTCCAGGAGTGGGCCAGAGATGCTGCCCGCTGTAGCTGTGCCATTTTCACCTTATCCGTGTCCACGCTTCGCCGGAGTTCGTCAAGCTCGGCCCCCACCTTCGCTGCTTCCGAGCCGTATCCGAGAAGCACCCCGTCGCCCTATTTCTCCAAGAGGTTACCCTCGTCGACCATGCTGCCGGCTGCCCCCATCATGGCCGGGGTGCCTCCGGTGCACTCCCTCGCCGAAGGCAGTAGCGTCCGCCACTCGCTTCCCGTGAACGGTCTGCCGGGCGCGGGGGCAAGACGTCTGCCAACAGGTTCGCCTCTCCGCTGGTGTGGCCTCTAGGGGCCAGCGGGCTGCTAAGCTTCGGCAAAATGCTCCCAGCCCAGCGCTGCACTTTAGCGCGCTTCGCCTGCGACTGCGCGACCCCCTCGAGGGCATTAAAGCCTAGGCCCTTGCGATCGAAAAGCCAGAAAGCCCCGCGCCCTTGGATGAGCTGCAGCCCCCGACCGACGAACAACCTTACTGCCGCGAGCTCTCGCCTAAAAGTTCCGACGCTCGAATCTCCCGGAACAAAGCCTCCACCCTCCTGCGCCATAATCGGCCGCGCCGTTCCGTGTCGAAGATCAGCCTGCGCAATCACGAAACCACGCACACAAGGACTACCATTCAGAAGAACGACCGAGGCCCGCCCACTCCTTCTCCAGTGTTGTGCCGCCTGCAGGTCCAAAGCCCTGAGGGGCACGCCATCGCGCAAGCTTCTACGCAGACGACCAAAAGCAGCCAGTGCTTCGGAGCAGCTGCGAAACTCTGGAAGGCTGCTCCCGTTGCCGATCCACTTCCGCGGGGGCGCCATCACTTCGCTGGAGTCCGGCACGAACTCGCGAGAAAACGCCGCGGAGGCTACCGCCGGCGCTAAATCCCCTCGAGAACGTGGGGCAGGCAATTCCCCCAACGCGTCGCAGCGCTTTCGATGGTGTCCAGCCTGCCGCACTGAACACGTGCCCGAGGACCTCCAGCGACTTGTCCGCAACGAAAGGCAGAAGCCCGCCCCCTTACACGACCGGAAGAGCATCAGCGAGCGAGCCGCAGGTCCTTCATGTTCATAGCTGACCGCGCAGAAGCGAAGGCCATCGGACGGCGTACACGCTGCAAGCCCCCCTGTGCTTATTTTCCGCTTTCTATCGGCTGGGCCCTTATCGGTTGCGCCCTGTTCTTCTTTTTTGCTTGCTGCCCTTGTACCGATATAGAGAGGACGAAGACACCACGAGCCCAGCCGTGTCAGAGCCCAAGACAATCCACACGCCGCCCCCCGCCATCACCATGGAACCGAAGCCCGCTTCTTTTTTCATCGGTGCACTCAGCACAAAGGCGGAGAAATAAAACGAAGACAACCAGCCGCCGCGCTTCGCACGGTTGCAAGAAAAGCCAGAACTTTTTACAGTCCCAAAGTAGCGCGCTGCGGGCATGAGCGTGATGGAGGTCGGGGCAGTGGAATGCAGTCAGCGCACTGAGTGTCTTGCGCCCATGATGGACATCAAATGGCTTGGCCCTCATGCACGAAAGGGAAGACGCGCCGCACCTTCGTCCAGCATGCGCATAGCTTACATTTCGGGAGGGCGTTGCTGCGGTCAGGCCTTGCTTTGTTTAGTTCAGTCCCCCCCCTGTGTTCCTCCTCTTCTTCCGACCTTTCTCTCACTCCTGGTTTTTCGAAACAACACGAGGACGGCCCGACCGCTTTCGAATGGACACACCCCCAGCCAAGAGTAGAAAGACCACCCCACACACCACCAAGACTCCGCACAGATGAGAAATCTGGCACACAACACCACTAGAACCCGCGCGAGGAGTAACAGGCTTAAGGATAGGAAAGCAATGACAAGGAGAACCTTCGACGAAGATAGCCAGGAGCCCAAACCAGTGGCCAACCTGAGTCGAGTTCTGTGGGGCTAGGAGGTTGCCAGTGGGATAGCAAGTAGTTGGGGTTTTCCAAGTGCTGAACTTCCATGGGATAAGCGGATAGCTTTAGAGATACCGCGCTGAGGTGTGGAGGTGTGTTGCCGTTGTGAAGGTAATAGGAAAGAGGCAGTAGCCTGGGTCTTGGGGCTAATCCTGGCGCTAAAAGTGTTGCGGGGAGTAATGGGTTGCTGTCACAGTTGGGGCCCATCTTGCTGGAAACAAAGCCGAGAGCACTCGGACAAGTGTCGCCGTGTTTTAAACCGGTGGAGCTGTAACTTGAGAAAAGTGAGGCGCTAGACTGAGAGCCGAGCGCCGACCTTGTCGAACTGCATTCGCTACCCCAAGGCCACGCGATGGCGGTTACCTACTCCGCAAACTGGTGCGGAGCAAAGAAAGCTGAAGACGTGGAAAGGGAATCGCGTCCCGCTGAATTCTCGCGCGCGAGTGTCGTCAAAAAATCAAAATGAGAAGCGCCACCGTGTGAAGGTAGAACCTGGCAAAAAGATGGAACGCTAAACAGTTAGAACACCGCCACCAGACTAGTTAGGACCTGGCTGATGAGACAGCTTCGCGCCTGTCGCTCCTGTTCTCTCCCAGGACGTATTTCGCCAACGCCGCAACCCGGAGAAAGCGCGGCTTGTTGATGCGCAATCCCATCCAAGACAACGTCCTTCGCTAGATCCCATGGACCGTACTCCCTTGCGCGTGCGATGGGGTGCGCCCGTGTTACTTTCGCCGGATTTTCTAAGCCGGCGGCTTCGCCTGTCCTCTGCTCGAGGTGGACGGCTGTCCCGTGCGAGGCTACCTCAATCAGAAAGGGGCGACACAGTTTCGCGCCTGTAAGGCAGCTGCAGGAGTGTGCGACGCTCCGCGATCGACTAACACTAGATCGCCAGCCCCCGGCCGGTACCGCGTGGCGCCTTGGCTGTCCTTGTTGTCACGGCTCGCCTTTGTTCGGCTGGGTAGCGCCTCGGGCTCATTCTCCCGGACCGTCGTCACTACGTGCGCAAAAGACTTCGCGAAAATCCCAGCAGTCTGCGCCAATCGCGTTCGCGGTACACGCCCGGCGACGAGTTCAGACGGCGACTCGCCGTAGCGATCCAATGGCCTAAACCGTTCCCCCGCCCGCCTCGGTTTCCGGTAGGGGGTCAGCTATCTCCCGCAGCGGCTCACTCAACTACCTTGCACTTCAGTGCCTTCTTCAGTGGCTTACCCAGAGCCCCCGCCCACCACTGAGCGCGAGGGCAGAGAGCTAAACTCTTCACATGGATGCAGTTTGCTGGAAATGATGAAGAAAGATAGCCAGACCCACCGCCGGCGCGAATGGCTACAGGAGTCCCGCCACTGTTGAGTATGTATTTCGCTAATGCAGCAGCAGCCGCCCCTGCCTTCGTACTGTCAAGGGCAAGGAGCCAACACCAGAAAGCTGCTGCACAGCGTACTACTAGCACATCTACAGGCGCCCAGTTGGTCCCCGAAGCCTCTGCACCCTCGCGCTTCGTCTCGTTCCGCCGTCGGATTTCCGTCGCCTTGTCATTAGCGACATGCTTCGAAGTCGGGACCGATCGCGGGCGCCGTGGTGGTTCGGCCGGTGCTACACCGGCGAGGGGCTTGCCCTGTTTTCCCTTCTTACCAAGGCCAACCGTAACAGGGTGACGCAGCGTCCCGCAAACGTCCACGAAGTGCGCCCTGAATAGTCCGCCGTAGTTCTCAGCCGCGCAGTCCGCTTCTTGCCCATGTTTCTGCGCCGCATCACAAAACACACAGCGGAACTTCAGCACATCGCGAAACACCGTCGGCCAATAGAGCCTAGCCTGAAGCAACTCCAAGAAAGTCGAACTTCGAGCGCCGTGGCTCGCGCGTTCATGCGCTTCGAGGATTAGCTGTCTCCTGAGAAACAGATGCCCCGTCTCGCCAGTTTTCTGCGATGTCACCACGACGCCACAACCTGAATGGGCTAGCACATACCAACTAGCCGGGGCCGATACATCCGCAAAAAACCGCTGGAGGGCTCCGGCCTCTCCTCGGCGGCAGCTCGAAAGTTTAGCGCGGGCCTTCGCTCGTGTCTCCGCGGTGAAGTGGGGGAATGGCCCACCCTGGCCTTTCTCCCGTCGCTCTAAAGCCTCGAGCCAAGCAAGCAGCCAAGCAAGCAGCCAAGCAAGCAGCCAAGCAAGCAGCCAAGCAAGCAGCCAAGCAAGCAGCCAAGCAAGCAGCCAAGCAAGCAGCCAAGCAAGCAGCCAAGCAAGCAGCCAAGCAAGCAGCCAAGCAAGCAGCCAAGCAAGCAGCCAAGCAAGCAAGCACGCAAGCAAGCAAGCAAGCAGCCGCTGCCGTTTGAAAGGACCGCTGCCGTTTGAAAGGAGGACGCGCAAGCAAGCAGGCAGCCGCTGCCGTTTGAAAGGAGGACGCGGCGGGCGCAATTCCCGCGATGACTGCCCGACCCCGTCAGGACTCCGGCCGAATCCTCCCGGCTGGCTGGTTGGTTGGAATGACGATCCAACCAACCAACCAGCCAGCCGAAATGAATCGCCCCACAGGCGCGGGGCTATTGCAAATCAGTCAAGCCAGCTCCGTCTTCTCGTTCTGCGTAGGCGACACGCAGCCGAGCAGCGTCTCGCCCCGCCTCCTCCGCTGGAGTCAAGTTCACCGGCGCCGCCCCGTGCGCGCCATCTTCTCCCCCCTCTCCGCCTTCCAAGCATTCCGCCCGGGCTGCTTTGCTGATTCTATCCGCCGCTGATTCTGGTTCTAACTGCGCGAGGAGCTCCCCCACCCGTCTCGGTGCTTTCCCAACCAGTTGCAGACACCTCTTTGCCACACGCGGCTCCATGTCAAACTACTCGGCAGAGCTGAGGCGAAGCGTGATTGGCTTGCTCGCATCGTTCCGCACCTGTGGGAGCTCGGCCGCCTTATAATATACCGAGACGCCGAGCGGAGCTCCCTGGAAGGTGCTGGCGCTGTCGGTGCGGAAGTTGGGGCTGCAGCTGCGAAGCCGATAGAGCCCGAGACAAGCTCCACAAGGATCGCAGGCGGAGACCGTGCCACCCCAGGAAATTTGTCAAATACATGAGCACGAGCCCCACGCGCTGCGCGGAACCGCTTCCGCGGCCTGAGGCTCTTGAAATCGCCAGCGGAACCGCTCGCCCGTAAAACGACAAACGCCGGCCCGCCTCGGGTCGCTTCGCCATCTTCCGCCACACAATAGCGCCGCGCGCTAACTACTTCTGACCGCCCGGCCAGGTGCTCCAGTGCTGTGCTTGCATTGGTGACCGCAAAAGCCTGGCCTTTGGTCGTCGCTTTGGTGCTTTTGGTAGGAGATGAAGAAGGAGGAAGGACTGGCCCTGGAGTCGGTAGCGCTGCGCCCGAGCTAGTTGACAAGCCGGCACCCGTGGCCACCGCCGCGCTGCTACCGCTTGCTCGTTAAGCGCCTCGAAGTAGACCCCCTGCCCCAAACTTCGACCCTCTTCGCGACATGCTCAGAGTCCTGGGCCTAGACCGTGCCCACACCGTCAGCCTGTCGCTCTTGCGTGCTGGTTTGTCTGTGCCTTCTAGTTGAGTCAGGGCCGACGGCCTGCTGCTTGCTGGTGAATTGCGAGCCCACCCTTTCCACACCTGCGACGCAGCCGCCGCTATCCCTCCGAGGCAGCACGCCGCACCTCTTGCCAACGCATCTCCCGACGCGGCTGCGCAGCCAGTTTCCCCACCCTTTTCCTTAGTTTGCGACACCTGTGCGCCACCCGGCACGGCCTCGCGCCGGAATAGACCACGAGCCGCGCCACGACCTTCGTCCTCGCTGTCCATGGCCATGCCGTGAAAGTTCGGGCGTGAGCAAGATCCTTCCACGCCTGTTCTGTGGGGCTCGGGTTGCGCGAAGCGGATCCTTCGCCGCCTGCCACTATCCCAAACCCGCCCGACCAACTAGAACGCAGGCAGGGCGCGGGCGCCTCCATCCTCATGGCCATCTTCCTCCGGGACCGTCATCAAAGGCCCGCGCTGACGCAATTGGCGGCCACGGGCGTAGAACGGTGGCAGATTCGGACCGTACATTTTCTCAGGTGAGGCACGCATCCTAGTGCCTTACAAATTTCGAAAATCTGCCACATATAAGGATAAAGCTATAACTTACCCAAATAAAACTAGATTACTTTATGCGTCTAAAAGTTCGAAACTTACGCGGGGCGCGCCAAGCTGAATAACTCTGCCTAGGTTATTTGCTACGGGGGTCCACCACTTGCGACGCCTACCGGTATACTATCGCTTGATCGAAATTTACTAACGCAGGGGGAACAGAAGGGAAAAAGAACGCACAGCGATGCTACTCCGGACTAGGAGCTTTACGCACCACCCCGCTGCCCAAATCCACTAAAATCGTGATCGAGTCTTGAGCCAAACGGCAGCAAGACGAAGTAAGAAAGCATGGGAAACCCGTGCCCTTTTGATAGTCGTCATCGAGTGAATTACCCCGCCGGCCCGCTGCTTCTACAAAAATGACCGCGGTCATTTTATCCTTGGCCCAAATTTTCTACTTCGTGCCTCTACTTGCGCAGAGAACCTCAAGCGGAACAGCCACCCCAGGCCCCTCACCTATCCTGATCGGTGGATCTTCGTCCTGGTGATCATCCTGCTCGGGATCTTACTGGCGTGCTGAACATTTCCGAAGGCCTACTGCTGAGGCAGTGAAAAACTCAAGGTCTTACTTACTCAGGGCATTAACGTTTGGAAGTTTACATATACCGCGCCGGAAAAGTGGTGCTCAACATTCGAAGTCGAGGCGTCGTTCGTGTCGTGGTAGCGGATTACGAAAATGGGGTCCCAGACAGTATAACCGATATCGCACGAGGGGGATGCACTTTTCTCGTTCCATGCTGTTGTATGAGGAAAGAGCGAGTAATGTGTAGTGCGATTTCAGACCGTTTTAACAGATGAAGATCATTGGTAAAATGTGGCCCAGGTCGGTGCTTCATATTTGCGACAATCAATGTGGGTAGCATTCTGAAAAACTGGGCACGAGTATTGGATTTCAACAACCTACAAGAACACTTTGAAGAGCAACTAAACAAACAGTGTAAGCGGTAATAAGTGTANGCGGGGCGCGCCAAGCTGAATAACTCTGCCTAGGTTATTTGCTACGGGGGTCCACCACTTGCGACGCCTACCGGTATACTATCGCTTGATCGAAATTTACTAACGCAGGGGGAACAGAAGGGAAAAAGAACGCACAGCGATGCTACTCCGGACTAGGAGCTTTACGCACCACCCCGCTGCCCAAATCCACTAAAATCGTGATCGAGTCTTGAGCCAAACGGCAGCAAGACGAAGTAAGAAAGCATGGGAAACCCGTGCCCTTTTGATAGTCGTCATCGAGTGAATTACCCCGCCGGCCCGCTGCTTCTACAAAAATGACCGCGGTCATTTTATCCTTGGCCCAAATTTTCTACTTCGTGCCTCTACTTGCGCAGAGAACCTCAAGCGGAACAGCCACCCCAGGCCCCTCACCTATCCTGATCGGTGGATCTTCGTCCTGGTGATCATCCTGCTCGGGATCTTACTGGCGTGCTGAACATTTCCGAAGGCCTACTGCTGAGGCAGTGAAAAACTCAAGGTCTTACTTACTCAGGGCATTAACGTTTGGAAGTTTACATATACCGCGCCGGAAAAGTGGTGCTCAACATTCGAAGTCGAGGCGTCGTTCGTGTCGTGGTAGCGGATTACGAAAATGGGGTCCCAGACAGTATAACCGATATCGCACGAGGGGGATGCACTTTTCTCGTTCCATGCTGTTGTATGAGGAAAGAGCGAGTAATGTGTAGTGCGATTTCAGACCGTTTTAACAGATGAAGATCATTGGTAAAATGTGGCCCAGGTCGGTGCTTCATATTTGCGACAATCAATGTGGGCAGTATTCTGAAAAACTGGGCACGAGTATTGGATTTCAACAACCTACAAGAACACTTTGAAGAGCAACTAAACAAACAGTGTAAGCGGTAATAAGTGTACTGTGCCCCACCGGGCAGACTGGGGCGCCGGCTTCTTCTTTAGTTTCTTGCACCAAGCGGCGACGGCCACCGGGCTTGGCCTGCGGGGGCATTTCCAACCATAAGCTCAAGGCACGTGGCTTGCCAAAAGCCTTTTGTTGCTGAATGGCGACACTCAACTTCCCAACGCGATCCACCCGCAGTGAATATCCGATACGGCCATCCCCGTCAAATCTCGGACAGCCCTTCTGCTCTCTCATTAGATGGGAAGAGTGAGTAGCTCTGTTAGATTGTTTCATGAAACGGATACTCTTCAGGGGGAGTTCGACATGATAATTTTGAATAGCCGGTTTGCAAAGTTACAAACTTTAGGAGCTCACGTCTTCAGCATCTTTGGTTCTTACGACGTATCACGACACAAATACACGGGATATATCTGCCTAGTGTTTTAGAACCATAAGGCTTCAACGCGGAGGCTGCCTTCCAATATAGACTCACTGTGCTTACGGAATTCCACAACAGCGAAGAAAAAACCCATCTTTCCAGACAAGATTTGGTCCTTCAAAGTTTGGACGAAAGCATCCTCACCACGACGGCAGCGATATAGTTTATTAGCCGCGCGGACTACATTTCCTGGTGCAGACACAGCTTTCGTTCCTAAGCGGACCAACTTAGCAAACTTGCCACTTTCCTCCGCACCCGCTTCTTTGTCGCTCATCTTTGATTATGTTTCAACGGGGGTGATCCCGGGTTGATGTGATACAGCTATGCTAAACTAAGCTCTGTTCTACTACGGACGCTTTGATGAGGTATTTTTCCAGTTACTCACGCTTTGATGAGGTATTTTTCCACACGGACTGCAGCTATGGATTCGTTGGGTCGGAGCTGTACAACAAGTCTTCAGAATCACGTGAAGGAAGAATCAGAAATCATTCTGGCGCATTTTGTGGGAATCTTTGGAGGTTGCAAAGGGTGTGGAGAAATCTTTCGAGAAGATAGCACAAGTATCGATACTTCTCAGCGTGAGTACATACAACCGATGTTTTTTTGACGTTCAGATCTGCAAATGTGTTGAGCACACCGATAAGTGTTCCCCCATTTTCAACAGTCATTTGTGTAAATCTTAGAACACACGCCAGTACTCCCAATACACCTGATGTTGACAAACGCTCGCTCCCTCTCTCTCGTCTTATTGTGGTCACATACGTGGGACTTGTTTTTTCTTATATGTTTCGTGAAAATGTGACTCTGTCTGCTTCGAATCCAAGTGTCAGGTTGTGATGTCAATACAAGTTTGTGGATCTTCATGGAAATCAGTGCAAAACCTGTCTTCAGCAGTTTTGGAAAAAAACTACTAACGCACGCGATCATAAATACACAGTGGTCAGAGCAAGAGTGCTACGCCGTAATCTACTCTGTGAAACTCGGCGTTGGTGCTACGCCGTAATCTACTCTGTGAAACTCGGCGTTGGTGAAAGATGAGGAGTATATTTGCAAGTGGAGGAAAGACAAAGTAGGTGTGAATGATTCAATTTAGAGCTTGGAGAATACTAAATTCTGTCGACAAAAACGCGACTGAAGGATTCGTTACAACGTCGAACAATAATAACTGGACAATAACTATCGAACAACAACAACTGGCTATTGAAGCACATTGAAAAAATCTTCTACTACGGATATTCACCTATCAGAACGGTACGGGCTCTTCTATATTACACTATGGCGATGGTCTGAAGGGTTCTTCGATTGATGTTGACGGCTGTATGAAAAATAGAGGAAGAGAGTGTGCGAATCACACGGAAACTTTAACACCAAAACAACACTTAGTGCTACAATGGAAAATTAGATGTTGAAAACTACAATCTTTAATGTCAAATTTTCACAGTAAGTATGCTGTAACTCTCAAATAAATATGATGTAATTCACACATACTACCCCCAAAACATTCTACACAATAGCATTCTAGATCTGATATAAGCCACCTCCATGCTGACCAAGATCTTCCAGGTGAAGACATTCTAGATGAAATCTTTAACACCTCAGAAAGTATACTATCTTTATAAATCTCTATATTTGTGAGTTCTAGTGCAAGTCTCCTACACGAAAACTTCTGTCTTCACCTACACGAAAACTTCTGCCCTCACCTACACAAAAACTTCTGTATTCACATCTACACGAAAACTTCTGTCCTGACCTCATTCGCGTTCATCTTCGTTTCCGGTCCAACAGCATTGAGCAAGGGGTATCCCGCATCGGTACTCACTCCACAGTCACGCTTGCCACGGACGACGCGGAATTAAATGGGGTAGATCTTACTTTTGGTGAAATAGTTAATTGTGAGTAGGATTAGAATTCAAATAAGAATTAGTTCGTTATAAATACCACCACAGAGGTTCCCATATAGAAGTACCTGCTCTGAGGTTGTTGCACTACAAATATTCTTTGGCTGAGTGCCTGAGTGTTCTTTACCTCTGACTTTGAGGCAGGCTGCATCCCTTAGCTTTAGTTAAGTAGAGTGTCGTCCCCCGTGTGGTTGATAACGTTGAAGGACCATCCTTGTAGAAATGGACATACATTAGGATTTATGCCTTAACGGAAGTACCCCTCATGACCCCAGTAGGTGGGCCATGAGGGTTCCCTCCGTTAAGGGTTACTTCGTCTATTTGGAATAGAATAAGAATTAGTGCGCTGTAAATATGACGACAGTAATATCGTCCCCCTTGTGGATGCTAAGGCCGAAGCATTATTCCCTATAAAGACGGACATACATTAGGATTTCTGCCTTAACGGAAGTACCCCTCATGACCCCAGTAGGTGGACCACGAGTTCCGCAATGTCCAGTACTTCTTACCCGTCTCTTTGCACGTACCGAAGCCAACCAGGTTAATCGCATGGTTCAAGTCGGAAGGCTGTTTCACAGAATTGTTGTTGGGAAAGCATGGCGTTGATGGGAAAAGGATAGTGTTGAAAGAATGGGTGGGACAAGATGTCACGGCAAGATGTCAATTGAAGATAGGCTGTAGATTGTAGTAAGCAGATTGTTTGAATGCTGTTATCAGGTTGATGATTATTAGGTGGTTATCAGCAACCTCTCTTACCAAGAGAAGTGTGGATGCTGCTTTTGTATCAGGAGTGACAAGAACACAACAACCACGTTTTTGCCATAACTAATCGCAATTGCTTGCATTGCGACGCATACAATAAAATCACTTTCAAATCGTGATTAAGGTTCAGCTTTGTAGAAACAAGAATTACGGTATACATTTTTACGCTGCTCATCATGAAGGGAGAAGTACGGGGGAAAACTAACCTGCTATGCATTTTTGCTCGAGGAGTCATGAGTTACATAAACAGAAGTAGTATACCGCAGTCGCCTCGCATTCAGCCGTGTCCACGATTCCTGCGTCATAGTAGAGGAACGGTTCTGCGTTGAGGGCGATAGAAAGAGGCTGCTCCAACAGAGCTCGCATCACCGCGCTCTGGTCACGACTTGGCACTGATACCCACTGTTGCACCAGGGAGCCGGAGATTAGAGGGAGTATACGAAGGTGGATTCTAGTTTTTAGTCTGCTTAAATTAAAATTTCTGAAGCAGAATCGTTTTTATGTCTAAATTTCTTAATTGTTTATCGGATTTTTCTTGTGTTGTCATTTCTGGATCCATCGATCATGTGCATTTTTTCGAAATTCAGATTACTTCAACAAAACCGAATCTACAAGAACCACTCCCCTACTAGAAACATGCAGAGGCATAGTCTCTAGTGGTCATACACATCTATTAGAGAAATATCCAATTGTCAACATAACACAATCAAGTCTGAGTCGTGTCCGCGACAGTAGCCGTCCACTGTGAGGTACTGACCGTAGCTCTCCGTGGTCGGGACCCTGCCTCCGAAACGGGCGATGATCTGCTCAGCCCCTAAATTCGACTCTCCACCATCGCATGCGGCCAGATCCGTGTCCCACGTGCAGTCGATCACAAACTGTTCCGGCAGATTGACCTGGTATGAGATAATAAAAGGATTTAGAATCATGAAGCACTGAGAATGCTATCACAAGAGCTTTATTGAGAGGTTGACATAATGATCACCATGTTCAAGCTTTATTGAGAGATGCACCAAGACTCAGATGGTTTTGAGTAAGCAGACAACGACAAACAACCCAGTTTTAGATTGTAGGAGTTCATTTGGGAACAGACACGAAAACATTCTCTTACGAACGGAACCTAAAGAGGATCCTAAAAACTGCATGATAGCAAAAGCCACGTACAGTGAGATATTAAACTTTCAAGAACTAGACCGCTTTCCCCATCTTGATGAAGTTGACGCTTTCGATTGCAGAAATGAGGGAAAAGGCCCAGCAGCTGCCGCAAATGCCCTGATCTTTGATCGGGCTTACCGATCCAGGCATATGCGTTCTCCAGTCAAAATCCGCCTTGTCCATGAACTTCGTGTCCAAGGCCAAAGAACTGTTGGAGGAGATATTGGGTTGGAAAAGTGGAAAGTCTAGATTGTAGGAGTCGATATTGTGAGAGGGAAGTGGAGGTTTTAGATTGTAAAAGCGGATATCCTAAGTTGGAGGGGTGGAGACTGTGAGATGAAAGTGGAGACTTTGAGTCAGACTTAGAAGTGGATGTTCATCTTCAAGGTGAGTCGAAATTGAGGCACAGGTGAAGGTTTTGATGTAGAAGTGAAGAAGTTTGAAGGTTAATGCAAAAAATTCATTGACCAATTAGAAGTCGAAGCTTAGAGAATGGCGTCAAAAGTAAAAAAGTACTTAGGTTCTTCTCCTGCTTTCACGAGTTTGGCTAGCTTTGCTGGACTCGGTCGGTAACCGCCTCGATAGGAAAGCACTTCATCGGGCGTCATGGCTGCAAACTTGTTCACCTTGAATTAGAGCTTGTGGAAAATTCGATTCGATCATGTACATGCACAACGGATTCGATCATGTACATTGTGGACCACGCACACTCATCTTGACAGAGACAGTCTACTAAGCACTTATAATATCATCTGTTTTCCTCTTTGTTCTGCATAAGTTTCATCTCTTGAGAATGGGCTAACGCTTCTTAATAGGGCTTAGGGTTCAATTATTACTAGAATTAGTTAAGCGGTATGTATAAGGGACAGTCTAGCAAGCACTTTTCATTTCGTCTGTTTTCCTCAAGTTACCCCTTGCCATTTCCTCTTCCTGAATTCCAGCCATAATTGAACCTTGCACTCTGCGAGCCATTCTCGTGCCTATGCTCCTTGTTCATTCGCTCGATTTTCTCCACGTTTGCGAGGAAAATACGTTCACGGCGAGACCACTCTTCGGCAGTCGAGTAGGTTAACCCATGCTTCTGAGCAAATGCGACAAAGTGAGATGACAACAGACCTGGTGAAAGCGAGGAGGGGGGTACAAAGTGGGATGACGAAAAGATAAAGATTTATTGGGCGAGAAAAAGGTGAGGGTGAAGGTTCACTTGTTTTTTCGAATCAATAGGATTACCATTTGCTGAAAAAACGATTACAAATCTCAAGTTTTGCTTTTGGCAGCTTGTTCTAAATGATAGCATATCTTGACGAGAATTATTTCAAACAGTGAGCACAAATACTATTACCAATCCAACAAGTACCATCTTTAGCCTGATCGCGTGCTAGCTGTGCTGCCTTTCCATGGTGGGCTTGCCCAAAAACGGCGTGTAAAGGAAAGCTCAGCTTCTTACCCTTTGTCATAGTCTGCACGTTTGTTTTGTTAGAAGTATTTTTTGATTGTGAATGTATTATATTAAAGTTGTAAACTCTCGTGAATGTATCTATCTTTACCTCTAACGAAGTCACCCCATAGTCCTTTTCCCGCAAAAAAACCACGATATTTAGTTTTCAGAGACGATTCCTTCCCTTGTTTCAGGATAGTCCAGCTTCGTAGGATATCCTTACAAAGAGCTCATGGTCCTGTACTAGTGAAAGAATTAAACATCATTCGAGTTTGCTGCGTAACTTTATTGCACTCCTCAGGCATGTCGCCCATAGGGACGTCGCCGTCGATCTTCTTGAAATCCAGGTATCGCACATGATATTCATCCGTGTGGGAGTCGAAGACCTTGGAGATGTAGCGGGAAAAGGGATATAAGGAGTTTGGGGTTCATCTTCAGAAAAGAAATGCTGGAATCATCTTTTGCGAATTGCTTTTAGAGGAATAAAGGCTCTTTTCACCTACTTAAGGATTCTAAATCTAAATACTAATACAGTGCTCACGCCCTAATCTGTTTGCTTAGAAATAAGGTTAAGGTTGAGGGTCCACCGCACCGCGGCCAAACCGCACAGGCTGGGACGATTCGGGTTCGAGTTTTTGCTTAGAAATACTTATCGCATTATACTATGGACATCACTCCCGGCTATCAGGCAAATACTTTGTTCCTGCAGGGTGCTGATCACAACGCCATTCAGTATATATGAATACTTACCTTGTTCCGAGAGTGCTGATGCCAGGCAATCGGTTTGTGCAGCAAGTTGTCGTAGTAGAAAACGAGTGCGTCATCCATCGAGTGCGTCGTCCCATGCGTTGCTGACGAAGTGTATTTCTCGCATTTGATGCCTTACATTAGAGAACGATGTAGGGGAAAAAGAACTTCTTCTCATCACTCTACATCATCCATGATGATGTTGCCATTTCATGCAGAACATGTTGTCTCGAAAAGCCACACTACCCGTTCGTAAAAACAAAAAAATATATGATGGTCTTCACCTTTATCTGAGAATACCACAATCGCGATCTGACCGATAGCAGATACAGGTGGTTGTCTTATTTCTAATTCTCGTCTCACGATGACCCTATTCTTCACCTTCGTAACTGATAAACTGCTGGGCCTTCGTGCGTGTAGGATTTGAGGTCGACCGGGAACGGATGGATCAGGCTGCCATCATCTTTGTTGCCCAGTTTCTCCATCACCTCTTTCGCTTCCTTATTCGGAATGCGGTCGTCATCGTGCGGTGCCTCGTTGTGCAAGCACGCTCGCTTGTTGTTCTGGAAGACGTATGGGTATTAGAAAGGGGGATATGCGCTAACTAGTATTAGAAAAGAGAGGGATATGTACTAGTATTAGAGAGGGGGATATGTTGGACTAGTACCAGGTGAAGAGCATTGGCATTAGAAAAGGGGATATCTGTGTTGTACTAGTACTAGATGAAGGGAAACTAGTTTGTTATGTTGTTCTACAGAGAGTCCCACCAATGGGAATACGAATAGTGACTAAAGTGTATGGAAGAAAGTTCATCTGCACAAAAATTACACCCATCTTTAATACTTGGAAATCAATCGTCGCAAAAATGTCCCTTTCCCATAATTATATTTCCCGTTCGCATTGTAGTAATCTGTTTGCAGTCCTTGGTAGTAGTCGACTTGTTCTTTTTGCTTGTTGCTTAGAGCTACAGCAGTTGCATCCTCTAGCATGGCATTCAGCGCATCATTTCTCCTTGAGAAATGACCTTTTGTTTCCACCTAAGACAAATCCTGTTCCGCTTGAGAAAAGACGCCAAGGATACTCACTGGTGTTGAGGACGCTCTACCGATATAGCCATAAGGTGCAGTCGACCGTGAATTTCATTGGAATATCGATGCCTGCGTAAGGCAGCGCCATCGAGACAACGGCTTCATACCCGCCACCTTCAAGCACAGAGGCAAATTGAGTCTCATCTGCTAATGTGCGCTTACGCGTCTCTTCCGACTGTACTAGTGGGAAGAGCGCAAGGGCTGAGCACAAGCTCAGCTTCCTCGCCAGTTCAGGGCGGCGCATCTTGTTTGACTTTGATGGACACTCTAAGTGTAATTATTCTCTCTGTAGTGCGGAAACTCCGTCAAGTCGTTGTTTCTCGCCAATCGAAATTCTACAATTCTCAGGACACTCGAGATAGAGTTAGATGAGATGCAGTTATAGTTGTTAGAGAGAAGCATATAATTTTTTTCTTCCTCCACTCGCACTCTGCTTATAATTTTTTTTCTCGACTCTACTGGACAAGAACTTGTTATGTGGAGCATGTCCCTGCTGTAATTCGCCTGTCCAATCACCTAAGAGATGGCAGCTATCGGATCCAGACGCTCTGCCGACAGCAGTACACGCATTTCTTTCAGACTGTCCTCCCTCAGACGCTTTGCTGCCCCATGTTCCTGATCGGAAACTCTCTTGGGAGGCGCTGTGTCGCACTAGTACTCTGCCTGGGGATCAAGGAAAAAGAACAACACACGAGGAGATTCATTATTAATATGAACTTCAACCCTCCACAGTATGGCTGCCAATGCCTGCGTGTGTGTCAATACAGTTCCTATGCAGTAGTTGTTTTTGGTTTCTCTTCCACTTTTGTCTAGTACATTTTTGCTTTTATCAGTCCTGAGAAAACGTTCATTGAACAGGACACAAAACATCACGATCCTCCTAGTTAGTAATCTTCTTTACGTGTAGTCATCGGTTGATATGGAAAGTCAATCTATGCAAAAGGATGATCATCGATGATATAACAAAACTAGTATATTTACATTAAATATAAGTCCGTGTCATGAAACCCCCAACCTATGACATTAGGCAGGTACAACTACTATAGACAACAGCTTCTTTGAGAAGGCTAGACTTCATTTCTCGCTATGTTTTTTTATCCAAACTGCAAAAACGGCTGAGTATGTTAATCACATGTCGACTACTATCGAAGATAATTCGAATCGATACTACTACTGATAGTGATTCTGATGTACTCCTAGTCGCGACTTAGTAGTTCTTATGTACCTCCAGTCCTGCCTCCGTCTTTAGCTCCATACTACCTGTCCTTCTGTGTCCTTTTCTAGGTACTACTTTTTTTAGCGTCATATCCGACCAGCACTACTCCTCCGACCACCAAGAGCGGAGGGACAAGAAAAACGGCTTGTTCCGTGAAGACCATGATTGTGACGAGCAGTAAAACTGCGAACATGATCCTAAGGAAGCGGCGAGTAAGGCCAGTAGATTCTTCCTCGGGCTGCTGCCTCGTGATGACTTCGTCAGTGAAAGCAGATCTGTCCGCTGGTACTTTCGCAATTTTCAGTGAACCAGAACTTCTCTCTACTCGTGATGAACAGCAGTTGTTGTCCCTGTGCCGTACTGCTTCTTCTAGTTCCGTCACTGTATCCGCTTGGTTCTCTGCGTGGTATTTCGCACTTACTAATCGGCCAAAGCAATGCTCCTTGCCTTCCAAAGAAGTAGTACTACTGCTTCTCAGATGAGTCGTCCTCTTTGCTTCTGACTGGTTTCTTGTTCGAGAATTCCAATGTAGTTCCAGATAGCAACAAGCGATCATAACCAACATCCCGACTATGGAATTCAGCGTCTGTTGAGTCCATCGTACGCCGTCGAGAGTTAGACTTTATCAAGAAAGACATATCTTCACGTAAAACTAGAATTACCTTCTTGCTTCTTGTCTTGCCTTAAGTCATGATCAATCGCCAAGATACTTGAACCCCTTAGGTAAATTCTTTTGCCTTAAGTCATGGTAAAACGCTAAGCTTGTCACTATACCCCACAGCCACAGGCCGTAGAAAAACGAAAAGAAAGCGGTCCATACAAAGCGTCCCAACGCGAGCATGACTTCTCTCTGTTCGCCAGTATTAGGACTAATAGGCCTTTCAGAGGATTCACCAAGATCATTCTCACTACCAGACTCGTCCAGTACTCTTATAGTTTTGGTTGTTGTAGTAGAATTGTCCTTGTTGTCGATATTCTCCATCTGCGGTGGTGGCGACGAAACGCCAGCTACTAGTGTACTTGTCGCAATATCTGCAGAAGAGTGAGGTAGGTAGCCAACAGCTGCTACGACAGGCGAACCCAAGATGGCATCTTTCCCAACGTTCAGATTTTTGGCTTCAGTGATATTTTTTTGTACTTGTAATTCTTCCGGCCCTTGTCCTGCTTTTTCCTCACCCACCAGGTGGTTCTCCCGCTTCCTGTCAGACGTGTACAAGTTGTTCTGCTTGTCACGTGCGGAACCACCACAACACCAGCACAAGCACATACAACATAGTTGAACGCGTGATACGGCGAATAACGCCCAACTGAGTACGATGGTGTCGAACAGGATTAACAGGTACCATACCGCTTTTCATTAGAAGACGAAAGGGTAGCTACTCTCCTGCTTCGCGACTTCATCACTTAGTCCATGCCATCAATGCAAGAGGAAAAATGCGCAACCCTCCTGTAACTACCCTCTACCTAACGTTGACTTTACAGCAGTCCAGTTCTAATAGATCAAGGCCTACCCAAGGTCATCATAGATAAGAGTAAGCAACGCCTACGCCTTCTAATGTAGCAACGCCTACGCCAGAGTCAACACCATAAGAGTAAGTAAACCGCGCTGCACCTTTGTCATCTACTTGCCAGGACATATCGTGGAGAGGACCGGAATCCGATTGCATGCGCCAATGCTGTAAATACTGCGACCAGGTCCATGAAAGACACAAGTTCTTCAAACTCTGACTTCTTCATGTGGAAGACGAAGATGAAAATACTCCAAACTACATTTCCACAAAAGACGGAAAAAGAAGAATGCAGACCTACTTGTTCTATATCCGCGGTGTTCATAAAAGTGTTGTTCGATTCGCCGCATCGAAAAGACCATACTCTTTCCGGTCTACAGGAGTCCCACCACTACTTGAACCTGTTCTTGTCCCATTTCTTGCAGTCTGGCTAGAAAAATCCTCAAAAATCTCAAACCAACAGTGGTCTGGAACAAAAAAGCCACTTAAATCCTCAGCAGCTTCGTAAATTACAGCCAATTTCCCTTCCAGCAGGTGAACTAACGAAGAGTATCTGGACAGTCCGGGAAACATATTTATTATGTGACTGGAGTCAGGGAAGCACATTATGTGATTCGAATTTGGAATTATGTAATTCCAATTTCTTCGTTCGACAGAATTAATATCATATCAGATATCCAAACTCAAGTACTATCAGCATACCCTCTAATTGCTTACCCTGAAGGCCCCGCTTGTAGCTTTCCCTCCGGCTCTTGGGTCCAAGATTCACCACCATCCTTGCTGGAGAAAAGCCCAAGTCCCTTCCGCTCCATTGGATTGTCGTGCCCACTGTAATAGAGTGCTCGTCAACATGAAAACGAAACTGTCCAAGCACTTGACCACTTCTAGCAGCTTCATTCATTTTTTGTAGTCCTCCTTCGCTTCGCTTACACTGGAGTCTGAGTAAAAAGAACTTCGTTGATTGCTTACGTCAGTCCTGTTCAAAACATAAAAAAATAATGTATTCTTGCTCGACGTTCAAGTCGAGGGGCAAAGACTTCTTCGTTCCTCATAACTTTCTTGAAAAATAATTTTCTTGTTCTAAACCTCTATCCGATCCCTCAGTCGCAGACCACAAGTCCGATTCCACTAGACGAATTTGTGAGTCGAATGTCGATGTAGCCACACTCCCTAGACAGCCGAGGAAGGGACTGAAGAGAGAGGACGTGAATTGCAACGCTGACCAAGTTTCGCCACCATCATAGGAAAAGCTCTGCGCACGGTAGAGGAAGAGCTGAGTGTGATGGGGTAAGATGAGAAGCGGATGCGGGGCAGCCACTTGATGAATTTCTTCTACTGAAGAACATCAGGAGGTAAGCTTTTTTGAGCTAAAATCCATTTGCAAACCAAAGTGGTTATGATACCATCCTACTGATCGAGAGGTGGAATTTAATTAACAAGGATTAATTTCAGCATTCAGTTTATTTTCATAGGTTCTACAACGTGGTGACTGTCGCCGCTTAAGTGACAGCGAAGGGTACCACTTCGTAAATAGTTTGAGTTTAGCTTTCTGCGCGAAGGCTCGCTTAACAGGTGACGGGCACCACTTAAGGGACAGTAACGGTCACCCCTTAAGCGAAAGCAAACGCCGCAACCGCGTAGGCGACTATAACCTCATATCTTCCGACAACTTTACGATGATACTGGCAAAAATCGCCTCACACATAATTAATACGCCCACCATTCTCAATTAGGACCTAAGATGGAATATGCCCACGAATTCGTCTATTTTAGTAATTGGTACCGTTCTCACGCTCAACAGAATGCTTCCGTCGTCCCGCTCCACTGCCTAGGGTTAGACCTTTCACTAGTAGATCATCAAAATGTCAGGTAGCACAACTCCCTCAACAACTTGTACATCATACGCTAGTACTAGGAAACATAGTGAGGCGCCAGCGCTCATCTATGATGAAGAACCTTAATGACATTCGTTTCCGGCGCGACCTAGCAAGAGGCCAAGCGGGCCGTTGGGGACGATGCTTTCGGAAAATGTGGCTCCACCATCATCCGAATACCACACGAAAGCCTTACTCAAATGTGTTCCCGTGAGGTCAAGTCAATGAAGGGATGGGACATCAGATAGAAGATATCAGAGAGAGATAAATGTAGTGGGGTATCTAGTGGCAGTGGGGTGGAAGACGAAGATGATGAGATCAAAAAAATGTAAATCAAAAGGTAGATGTTGGATGGAAGAGTAGGCAATAGTTGACAGGAGTAGGCAGGAGGTTTTGATTTTTTCCCCAAGCTTTTGATCGAGAAAGTACGTACGTCTAGTGCAGCAACTTGAACGTCGGATGCACGCATGAGGAATAATCAAAATCAATGTTCGGTCATTTCCATAAAAAACCGGAGAGTCTGAAAAGTAGCCAGGGATTACTATTCGATTGCGGTAGCGCTCAGACCTTCGCAGCTGGATCCCCCCAGGAGGACCGAAGCCAACCCATGTCTGTGATTAGAACTCAGACCTAAGGAGAATTCATTCACTCGTGTCCCTTGTATTTAGCGGCATCTTCTCAAAGCCAAAATTCCAATTTGCCTTTTTCTTGATCATCGATATGGAGAACATTAATATCCATATCATGGACCTCTTGTTCTTCCTCCTTAACACAGAAAATGTTCGTATCTACGCTGTCGGACGGGTTTTGTCCAACTTAAGCCATCGTCGTCTGAATACGTCATATGCATCTCCACGTTGCCTCGAGTGAATCTGCGGTGGTCGAGGGAGAAATGATTTCACTCAGTAGCAGTGCCAGTGGCTAACTCACTTATAATAATAACTGAGACCGGCAGCCTTCTCAACTCACTCGCCAAAGGCCACAGCACCACACCCACACAACACAACACCACCACACAGCCACGGCACACACCACCACACCCACCACCACACACACCCATATGCATCTCCACGTTGCCTCGAGTGAATCTACGGTGGTCGAGGGAGAAATGGTCGAGGGAGAAATGATTTCACTCTTGATTAGTGCTAGTAAAACAAAGAAGCTGTATGTACACTTGTTCGACGTATAATCAAAGATATAAGCAATACGGAAGTAGAATTCGGCCAGTGCGAATGTCTTGAACTACGCCAAGATTCCCTGCGACAACATGCGATCCATAAAATCCGCGGACTACCGCTCTTAGAGATCAGTGGCTGTGTTATTCGGTCTGACTCCTAGAGTAAGTCGGTCTGACTCCTTTACTAGCCCTACCAGAAAGCCCTTGCACTGTCAACGTTTTCAAGTAAAATGGATCGCCAACATGATTCTTGGGTACTATGAATCTTCGCACTCCAAGAAAGAAATGCTTCTGATCACGCGTCGCGAAGTTCAACTCCTCCTACATTATAACAAAAAAAAAGCATATGAGCTCTCTTTTGTTCTTAACACTTGTAGCGAGCTCCAGCTGCGCCCTCCGTCTAAGGAGAATCTCGACACTACATCCGTGAGATCCCAGTCCATGCAGTTTTGCTTAGACTGGATTCAAAACCAAAGTCTATTTGAAGTACTAAAAGTATTGACTAGAATGTCCACGAGGGAGTACGTTGCAACTTAATAATAGCCGAAAAGGCACAGAAGATTATTGACGTATGCGCGTGTAAATCATTACGTCAGGAGTAATAGCAGAAACAGTAATATCAAAGAACCAATGAGTATCATAATCATGGGTTCTTTGATTACAATATATAGTTCAGGGGAGGCGCCCCCCCCTGGAAGCCTATTTATCCTCGCAGCGTTTTGGGGTAGTCCTTATGGAAGCTTATCAATATATGAAGGCTAATCAATATTATCGGATCTTTTCTATCTCAACATAATTCCTATACTATCGGGATCCGCGATCGGTCCTCGGGCTTCAGCAAAAGCGATCAGTCGACCGGTCCACGACTGGAATAGGTACGGCACTTTGTAGCGAGAAATGAAATTATTCTGAAGGTACGATTAAGTAATCCAAGTAGAGTCTCACTTATCATCATTATATGAGGCAGAGTCTGAATCAGAAGGAGAAAACAGCTGAAAATCGATGAAGTCCTGACAGTGACTCTCGATAGCCTATGTATAATGAGCATAGCAAGCGAACGCCTTCAACTCATGATTGAAGAGGACTGAAGAGGAACTATGTAGGCATAAATATACAACATTGGGCACAGTTACTTTTCAGACACCCTGCATACATGCATAATCCGGTAGCGCAACAGGGTCAAAAACTGATACGCGGGATCCACGATCGCGTCGCAGCTTCGAAAGCGCTCCAGCCACGCCATAGAACACCCAGAAGACTTAGACTTAATGTTAATAGTAGCAGTAGTAGGGTACTTAATCGTCTAAAATCTAAGTGAATAGTTTGAAATAAAATAAAAAAACTAGTCTATTTATATTATCTATTTAACTAGCCACTTCACTATTTATCTAAATTAAGACCCGGAAGCCGCCGATTCCCTCGCCGTTTCGCCAAAACTTAACATTTTGAGACTGAGTTCTTTTTTTCCTTCTATAATAGAGGACCACGCAGATCAAATTCGTAATAAAGTAAGACTTATTACTCTGACTTCCAGGTCCCAGATGAAACCGTCGTTTCAGCGAAAGCCATGTTCTTGAAGCTTACAAAGTTATCTTTTCTCATCATCTTGGCGTTTCCTTTTTAATGTAGCAAACTTAAAGATGCTCCTTAAAAGACGGCGGCGGAAAAACGTGGTCCAGAGATGACGCCGAATTTCGGAAGACGGCACATCGTGTTTTGTTCGGAGGACAGGGCTGAGTTATGGGCCCGGCGCAGTAAGCCCCCCCGCAGAAAGCTGGCTCGCTTCCGCTGATGTTGAGTCTACAACATATTCCCCGTGCGGCCTACAACATATTCACAGTGTTGCCGCCCCACAACATATTCACAGGGCTTACTTCCTTTGCGTTGAACGACTCGTATGCGTCTTCTGTTTCTAATGTTTATAGACATGGCGATGCCAGTGCATGGAGTTTAGAAAAATCCTGTGTCAATTTCAAAGTTTTCACAGATGCTTGGAAAATGAGAGAGACGCATGGCAGAATTTGAGATAATGCTGCAACGTCTCATTCGCTTGCCCGGCTGTTTCAGAGCCCGCCGGCACCGCTCGATGCAAGCGGCGCCGGTGGGCCCTCTTTGGTTGCTCGTGGGCGAGCGCCGGCGCGCAGGTCGACCACGGGGGGCGCGCACGCACCTCGGCGGCAGACAGGTGCCGCCCACCTCGGGGCACGCTCGTAGCGGCGATGAGGGCCTCCACAGAGGCCGACGGGCAAAAAAGCCGACGGCTGTGTGTGTGAGTCGCCTTTTCCCCCCCTGAAGCCTTAGTTCAAAGGGAAACGCCGGCAGCGCTGCAACGGCCACAAGAGCCTCCTGCGACTTCTTCGGGCAAAGCCTTTCAATGTCCGAGCGTTTTGGTGAGAAGGCAGGCCACGGCTGCCCGCGTACGTTATCGACCCATCGCAGACCGGCTTCCACGCTCGGAGCATGAGGCCCGAAGGCGAGCCCGAGGGTTTGGACTCGTGGCCCTTTGCTCAAAGAACTCTCCCGCCTTTCTGCGCGTCCTTCCAGCAGAGCCCCTAAGAGTCCGGGCTTTTGGGGGAGAAGGCAAGCGGACGGCGGCCCGCGTGCGTCCTCGACTTATCCCGGGGCGGCTGCCGGGCTCGGAGCATGAGGCTCGAAGCCGAGACCGAGGGTGCCGCCTTGGGGCCCATTGCTCCAAGGCCCCGCTCCGCTGGAAGTTCTTCCGGGACGAGGAGGCCACAAAGCTCCGGGCCTTCTAAGGAGAAGGCAGGCGGACGGCGACCCGCCTAAACCATCGACCTTGCGCGGGCCGGCGGGCATTCTTGAAGCAGGGGGCTCGAAGCCGCGCCAAAAGGTTTGGACTCGTGGCCCTTTTCCTGCAGGCCCCGCTAGTTTGAGAGCTCTTCCGGCAAAGTCTTCAAACGTCCGGGCCCTGTGGATAGGAGAAGGCAGGCGGGCGGCGGTTCGCGTAAGTCATCGGCTTCACCCCGGACGACCGGCCGCCCGGCTTGGAGCAGGAGGCCGAAGCCGAGCCCGAGGGCGCGGACGCGTGGCCCTTTGCTCCAGCGCCCCGCCCCTTTGCAGGCTTTTTCGCTTCTATCAGGCACTGGTGGCGAAAAAGTCAGGACTTTTGGGATTTGTCTTTGGGGTAGTTTATTGGCAAATAGAAAGAATAGAACTTTTGCAAATGGAAGCTAGCGCCCTTGATGGAAGGAGACCGAAAGCCCTTTTTACCATTATCCACCTATCGACTCATCGCGGACAGGCTGGTAGGCAGCTTAAATGTGCGCGACTGCTATCGGCTTGCCGACTTATCGCGGACAGGCTGCTCGGCGCCTCCGCGCTGCGCGTCTGTTGTCGGCTTATCGACGTATCGCGGACCGGCTACTAGGCAACTTTTCGGCGCGCGTCTGTTGTACTTGCCGGCTTATCGACTTATCGCGGGCCGGCTACTAGGCAGCTTTGCGATGCGCGTCTCTTATCGACTTATCGCGGGAAGGCTGCTAGGTAACTCCGCGCTGCGCGTCTGTTGTCGACTTATCGCGGGCCGGTTACTCGGCAACCTCCTTTGCGCCGCGCGTCTCTTATCGACTTATTGCGGGCCGGCTGCTAGTTCTCGGCAACCCTGCCAAGACTGCTCGCGAGCGAGGTTCTGCGCATCAGCTTCGCAGCCCGAAAACAGGCGGCCGCTCGATAGCGCGCAGCCAAGGCTTCGAAGAAGCGCGACTTTTTAAAAGCATTCCCTTCCCCACTCGAAGAGAGTCGCATCTTTCAAGTAGTTGCCTAGACTGCTCGCGATCTAATGGCGGAAGCGAGGTCTTCCGCATCAGCTACGCACGACAGAAGAACGCGCTGCGTAAGTCTAGCGCCTGGCCCGCGCTGCCCTCGCCTAGTTTCTCCGTGGGAACCGGAGGCGCCAGAAACTGAGGGAGACCCCACGCGAATCGCGAGCGAGATCTAACGGGCCGGCGTCTCCTCTGCATTAGTTTCCCGCAAGACGGTATAGGGGGCGAGCCTGGCCCTAAGGTCCGGCAGGCTGCTGAATGGTTAGCGCTCACCATGTCCGAGCTCTTTGGAGTGCGGCCATTTTACTTATGGGCGCAGCCCGCGCAGGTTTTCTGCTCGCGTCGCTTAGGGTTTGCGCTTTTTGGGGAGGTGTTCCACTCGCACAGCTTGGGGCCTTTGGCTTTTGGGTGGGTTTTCTGCCCGCGCCGCTTGGGGCTTGCGGTTTTTGGGTCGGTTTTCTGTTCGTCCGGCATTGGGTCGACGGCTTTGCTTCGAGGGGATTCCCTGCTCGCGCGCATTAGGGCTTGCGGCTTTCTCTGTCCATGAGGCCCGAGCGCTTAGGCCTTTCCATTCGGTTCCTGTCCGCGTGGTCCCAGGCTTTAAGGCTTTGGAGTCGGTCCCCCTTTCAGCAGCCTGAGGGCTTAAGGCTTTTGAGTTAGGCTACTGCCTGGCTGGTCCTGGGATTTCGGGTCTTTTGGTTGCTCGCCTCCATTTGCAGCCGATTAGTTATCTTGTGCCCACTAGATTCCGCGGGGAATAAGATCGGGCGGAAATGTTAGGCCGCTGCTTTCTTTCGGTCGTTTTTGTTTTTTGTTCTTTCGACTTTCGAGATCGAGCCCCTTTGTTTTTTATGTTTAACTAGCTTCCCGGGCGGCTTCCGCGTCCGCTTAATGGCACTGGTGCAGCTATATTTTGATACAATTTCCGGGGGAATTCGGCCCCCCCCGCCCGGCGTTTAAAAATTGGAAGCGGGTGAGCCCTGCGGCCTACCAATATCAGCCCGGAAGCAGGCCGAGCCCAAAACGAAGCAAACTAGAAAGCCCCGTGACATTGAGGGGACTGGCCCCGCGGCCATCTGCTCTAACATCAGAACCGCGACGCAGCACAGCGTCGGCGCCTGCTCTGTGTCTAGATTCCTCCACCGTCTAGATGTAGCCATCTGTCTGCGAATGATTCTAATAGTTACGCCTTAGCCACGCGGTGAGGAATTTATCCCCACGCAAGGCTTCGGCGGCGGCCTCTTGCGAGCCTGCCGGAGGCTTTGCTAGGCGGCTCCCGCGGGCTCTGCCCAAGCCTCCCAGGCTTTCCGAGAAGCTTGGAGAAGACTCATCCACGAGCCTCGACCGGGCTGCCGCAAGGGTCTCGGGGCGGGTCGAGGGGGGCCCGCGGTCCCGAAGCAGTCTGGCGCCCGTTATGGTTTTTCTCTATGTTCTTGCGGAAGTTTGTAGCCGTCTCGAAGTGTCTGCAAAATGACAGGCGGACACGTCTCAGACTGATCAAATTCGCACAACTTCGACCCCGCTCCGACAAGACCCGCAGCGGCTTCATTTCGTTGGGGCGATGGATCTTCTTCCCCTGATGGACGAAACCAGAAGCGACCTCGGCCGCGTGTGGATTCTGGTCGCGAGAGCTTCCCGACTCCGAGAGGGCTCCGCGTCTTGAAGAAGCCCCGAGCTCGGCCGGAGCTTCCTGAAAGACAAAGACGGGGAGCGCACTGCACTCGCCTCATTACCCACCGCCAGCCACCGCGCGGCGCCCTCGAATCTCAGGAGCGAACCAAGCACGAAGGAGACCGAGCGGGACACACTTGGCACGCAGTGCAGCCCGCCAGCAGCCACCGCAGCGCGCCCGCGAATCTCCTGGAAGAGAGGGAAACGAGAAGGAAACAAAAGAGGAGACGAAAGCAGCACAGGCGGGACCGTGTCGACCGGGTCAGCACTGGAGAACCACGCGCAGCCAAAGCCGCAGCATCGTCATGTCATCCCGCCTCTTGCCTCTATTGTCTCTGTCCCCGCTTCTCGCCCCTCGAGATTCGAGGGCGCGCCGCGGTGGCTGGTGGCATGGGGCTCCCTGCGGTTCAGAAGACCCAAGAAAAAGGAGAGGGAAGAGCAGAGAGGACGCGCACGCAGTGCGCCGCAGCCTGCCCCGTTTGGGTTCCACGCTCAGCGTAAGCCCCAAGCCTGGCCCGAGTTTCGAGCATGCTGCGGGTTTCGGCCCTGCCTCGAGCTCCGGGCGTGCTCGGGGCTCACCTGCTTGGTTTGAGGTCGGGCGGGCTTCCGGCGGGTTTGGTCGGCTTACGCTTGGGCTTCGAATGCGTTCGGTTCGCGTTTCCGTCTGGCGTGGGTTCGGTTTGAGTTTGGCTGGGGTTTGGTTTGCATTTCCGCGCGGGCGTGGTCTGGGTTTGGCTTGAGTTTGGTCCGCGCTTGATTTGCGTTTGGTCCTGGTTCGGCTCGGGGCTGGCTGAGGTTTAGTCTGCGTTTGGTTTCCATTAGGTTTGCGCTGGGATTCCGTTTCGCTCACGTTTGGTTTCAGTTTGGTCACGGTTTGGACCTCGTTGGGCTTCCTTGGTTTGGGTTTGGCTTAAGTGCGCCGCCCAAGGCTACCAGAAAGGGGCGCACTTTTGCACATCTTTCAGCCTGTTCCTTCTGGTCTTGGGCTTTTTCCTGATGGTGACTGGGGCAGAGTGGGCACAGGCTAGCAACTTCCGGACCGTTTTCCAGCTTGATCCTTCAGGGCTTTGGCTTTTTTACCAGTGGCGCTTAGGGAATTCCTCGCACGGCCTGGCAGCTTTTGGACCATTTTCCAACTTGGGATCGGTGGCCTCTGACTTTTTTCCGGTGGTGTTGGATTTTTTTCCTGCACCATTTAAGAACTTTCGGACCACTTTGCAGCTTGGAACCGGTAGACTCTGGAAACTTTACCAGTCGCGACCCCATAGAAAGCGCGAAAAACCTGATAAGTTTGCACTTTTCTCACCATCCACGCCAGAAGCAAAATAATAACGAGGAGAGACGAAGCAGGAGCAGAGTGATTCCTTTTGCCGAGCTGCCACATAAGAACTTAAGTGACAGCACGCAAAGAAGCGCCCTGCTCCTGTTTCGGCTCGCCAGTTTTTTTTGCCTGGTAGCC